ACACCGAATAATAAAAAACAAGATGATTTATTAACTATAACTGAATTAAATCTAATTGCTATATGTATATAATAGATTGATCTTATTTAAGGGTTGATAATTTATCATTGTATTTAATTGTAACAATTAGCATTGATTAACCTTATTTTTTATTTCTCTTTGTAACCTTAATCATCCTTGGTCTGCACCTTAATTGTAACAATTAACGACAGCAATGATGATGATATTGTTGATTAAATCAATAGCCAATACATTGAATTATTTATTAAAGTTAATTGTTAATCATTGAAAGATTAATTAACTGTTAATCTGGTTTTTCATGTTCATATTAATAATTGAATCCTATCAGCCAACAAAAATGATCATCAAATTGATTGCTAACAATTAAGTAAAAACTTTCACTTGAGATTAACATGTTTCAGAATTAATATATTTTAATCATCAAAAATTAACTAATAACAATTAACGATTTTTATATATTTATTAATATACAATTTATCAGGTAAATTTTTCCTTTCTAATCAAATTGATTAACATTCAAGTTGATGATTAAACGTTTGATTAACATGATTCAGTTTAATCAATTGAATATCAAAAACTTTTTTACCTTCAACTTATACAATTAAAACTTTTGTTAGTTGATTGTTACACCAACAATTTAACAAATTACCATTAAGGTTTACCAATAGTTTTCGGGTACAAATCAACATCAAACCAACAATCAAAAAGTTAAATTGTTAAATCATTTTAAGGTGTGTTGTTGATAAGTGTTGTTAGTTAATCAAATCATTATTAATGATAATGTTATATGTTTATTTTAATCAACATATCTCAACAATTAACCCGATTTTTAAATTCATTTGTTATTATTAAATTGTATTTTTAATTTCTTGGTGGTCTTGCTTATGATATAATTATGATTAGCATTATAATAGTAGGATAATCTTGGACATGATGATTATCATTATGATTAAGATTTACTGATTCACAATTAAGATAATGGTTAAAGATTATACTTTATTTATTATATTATATCAACGTTATTTTGAATAATTAACTTTAATCATCACTTTTGATCATTAAAACAATATGATAATTAAGATTTTGTTGATTGTTATTAAAAATAATCACTAAATATAAAAGTGATTAAGAAAAATCAAAAACGTTGATTAGTTGATAGCAAATCGATGAGTATAAACAATTAACATATGATCCAATCAAACTAAGATTAACATTGATGTTAATTGTTGACTATTAATTAACTATGTGCTTGGCTATACACTTACAAAGGTAATTTTATCAATCATGATAATACAATTTAATTTAATTGTTCAATATCTGTATCAATGTTGAATAGCATCCGCTTTTTTATCATCTCACGTTGATGATGGCGATCATCATCATCATCATCATAATCATCATCATTATCTTCATCATCCATGCTATTCAATTCAACTCTTAATTATGATGATATCACAATCAACAGTAAAAATAATCCGGAAACAATTTACTTAATCACAACAACAACAACAATCACGCTTTAATTTAGTGGCCTTGTTTTTATTCAAAAATGATGCAGATGAAAAAAGATGATGAAGGATGATAAGGATGATAAAAGAGATTAGCTAATCATGACCAGTAAGATGAAGATGATCCTTATCCTTAATCCTCATCTTGATCACTTTTCATTACATTATCTCATTAATACTTTTACCCTTTTTTTACACCATAACCTAATTAATTTTCATCCTTTTAATCATCAACATCACTCATCATCATCATGATAACTTTTAAATCTCATCATGATCAATATCTCAATTCTGAATGTGATCCATGAAATTCATCATCTGCTCTTCATGATGAAATCCATTTCATCCTTGGTTTCACTTTCCATTGAAGAAATAGTATAAAAAAATAAGCTCCAAATTTCAATGAGTTTATAATGTAAAAGGAAATGAATTGAATACATGTATATTTATTCAGATACATGAAAAATTTCACCATGATTATCATGTATATCATGTGTATATCTCATGAATACATGTATGTACATATAGATTATCTGGAAGAGTGAAAATTCTGGGTCAGAATTTTGTTTTTTTCTTCTTCTTCTATTATCCATTACTCAATCTCCATTTTCTATTCACATGTAATCCATTTTATTCCATTGATTTCCTTCCGTTTCCTTTATTTAAAATCATCTCATGGTTTCCCACCCATGAATCGTATCATGTTGGTTGTTTATCATCATTTACAAATCACTGAATTTGTTGAATTGTTGTGTTTTCATTAATACAATCAAACTGATCATCCTGACAACACACCACTGATCTTGATTTTTTTTCGTGTTTACATTTTTCAAGGTTAAATTATAACCAAATTGTTAACAATTAGTCCAATTTTTCATCTTAATCATCTTCTTCCAATCTTTCTGATTGTAATATATTTTCATAATCAACTAATTGTGATCAAATCAATGAACTTCCCCCCTCTCTCTCTATCATTTAACTGAATGATGTTTGTTGAATATTAATCATTAAACAATTTAAGGAGTTAATTGTAACCCTAACCCTAAATTGTAATAAGATAATTGTTAAAATTTAAACTTTACCCTTGACAAACCTGTTAATACAAAAAACAAACAATTAAACAATTATCTTAATCATCACCAGGTAATAATAATAAATTGTGATTGTTATGATAATTAAACTTAAATCACAACAATATAATCATTTGTCCCTTTGAAAACAAAGATTCTGCTCCCTCTCGGTGAAATGATTAACATGGTGATATAATTGTTAACTTAATTGTAACGATAATGATTTTGAAACTAAATGATGATCAACACCAACAACTACCAGGAATGTTAATTGTTACACTGAAATCAACAACAACAATAAACCATATCAAGTGAATTGTTTTCTGATTGCTGGTAACTGTTTTATCATCATCATCTTCATCATCTATTGTAATTCATAGTACGAGAGATGATGAAGACAAGTGATTTTTACCTTGAAGCAATGATGATGACGATGATGATGATGAGAGAGGAAGTACTCACCCGTGCGTGGATTGTCAGTCTGATGGAGGTTATTATAATCATCATTATGATTATAATGATATTAGTTTAGCTCATTAAGGACCCAACGGGTTCATGATGGAATATCCATCAGGCCAATGGCTTCTCACAAGAATTTAAATTGTTACTGTTAATTGTTGTTACCCTTAAATATCAACAATCAACTATCAATCGGCATTTGTATTGTTTATTGTAATTTTCCTTCATCATCAAGATTATCATCTTAATCTTGATTAACTACCAACGAATCTATGATTTAAATCAATTTATCTAATAATTTATTTTCCTTGATTGTTCAAACTGTCCAAAAATAATTTTCTAACAATTTTAATTGTCTCCATTTGATTGTAATGATGATAGGATTTACTTTCAATCCTCTTAATCTCTCAAAATGATTAACGAATCATAAATCATTGTGTTGATTAATTGCTGTAATCTTTCAATTGTTTATGTCTAATTTTGCCTAAGGAGGTAAAAACGTTTACGATTTAAATTGATTGTGATTGTATTTATAATTCCCATCGGTTACTATTAATATCATCATTTTGATTGTTAATGATTATCATGTTATTTATGATCAATTAGTTTATTTATTTTCTCTGATTTAACAAATCATCTTGATTAACTTTCTTGTTTCTGGTTTTTTTTTGCTGCTTTTGTGTGCCTGTTAATATTATTTGATATTCTGTTATCATGGGAAAATGATAATCTATTAATAATTAACTCTAATTTTAGTTGATTGTTAATTGTTTCGAGAAAAAAAAACAAACTGTTAACAGTTTCAATTTAGTTAATTCAATTCAATTACCCTCATAGTTGATTGTTCATTTACCTGGATATTGATGTTTATTTGTAAGAATCACAATCCTATTCATTGTTGTTTTGATTGATTTTTTTTTCTATCACAATTTATGATTAACTTTTAATTTTCTCATGATGATGATTTATAATCAATTGATTTTTTTAGAAATGCTTTTAATTTTAACAATTAAAAAAAGTTTTTCTCCTGTTTAATATAAAAATTAAGGTTCAAGGGATTTTACAATTAGTTGATTGTTTGGATAATTTAATGATGATTAAAATTGATGATTATCAACAGTTAGTTAATTTGTTTGATGAAACTTTTTCAGGTAAAACTTTTGCAATCATGTTAATTGTTACAACAATTGCAACATTTAATTGTTGTGATTTAACATTAGTTTACAATGAGAGATGATGAGGATGAAGATGATGAGGAAGATGAATTAATCATCTTAAGGCTTGTTAATTATAATTAATAATCAGCAGAAGCAATTGAATTAAATCAACAGGAGCAGCTGAAAGTTTTTACGTTTGAATAATTTGTTTTGATTTCAATGGTTGATTTTGATTATTATTAAGAGGATTAACTAATTGATTTATCCTGATTATCATAATTAAGGTAAAGGTAATAAAAATATTAATCACAAAGAGTGAGTGAGAGAGAGAGAGAGAGAGTATAATGATGATAATGATGATAAGAGTGAGCAAATAAGAGAAAGCAAAGTGAGAGTGATTAAGTTTAGAGGTTAAGAGAAGAGATTATAAAAAAAAGGTAACTTAAGAAGATGAAGAAAGAGGAAGATTTAATTAAGAAGAAAGAGATTGGATTTCTCTTTCTTTCTAAAATAGAAAGAGAAAGATGATGAGGGGGAAAGAGAAATAAAGAGATGGATGATAGGGGAAAAGTTCTAGAGGGAGTAAAGTGAATGTTACATGTTACTGGTTGAGTGAAGGTAACCAAGAAAATGACATAACATATCCCTAACTCCCTCATTCTCACCCTATCATCATCATGTATGAAAAGAAAGACTCTCTCTCTCTCTCTCTCTCTCTTATCATCTTTCCTTTCATTATCATCTTTCTCTCCCTCTCTTGTTTCTCACTCTAAAGTTGCTCACTCACTTCAGTTGTTATCCAGACTCAAGAGTCTTAACTTCATCTCTTCAGCTAACCTTTTTTGCTTCAACTTGAATACAACTAATAACATAACAAATTGTTGTTGTTAATTTAAATTGTTCAACTTAATTGTAGCCAAAATGTGATCACAATTTAATCCAAGTTTTTTTTTCTTCCTTAATTTATTCTTAATCATCTTTTTCATCTAATCACATGTAAAATTAAAAATCTTTATCAAGTTGATGACATTTAAGTTGCCTTTTCATTCATCAGTCATTCACATTTATCCTCATCATCTCTTCCTTATCCCAATCATCATCATCTTACAATCTTCTTCATCTTCCTAATCCACCCCCATTTCCTAATCATCTTCACTTTGCCAAGAAAATATCATCATTATGATTATTGTAAAGCTCATCAAAATTAATCGGTAACAATTAACAGCAACAATTTAAGTTACGAACCCAAAAAAAATTCAGTGATCCCTTAGTCGTTTAAGTTTGTTGATCCAATCGGAATATGTTTTTAATTACAATTAGTTAACTGTGATCATAATTATCAGTGTGTCCACATAATCTTCCTCTAGTGTCATCCAACAATCAACAATTAATATAAATTGTTGTGTATTAGTCTCTCTCTCTGATTGTTGATTTTGTTTGTATCTTTTTCTTAATTTTTTGCTTTTCGGCCAAATTTCAATCAACAATCACCTAAATCATTTATACTTAATTGTCACCTCAAAATTGTGCTTCATTAATTGTTACTAATACAGTTAATCAGGAGGAGAAAAAAACTCCATCCACTGAATGGAATCAACAATCTCAACCAAGAATCAACAGCAATTAAAACCATCAGCAAGCAAGAAACAATTAATATCAAAATCATCACCAGTTAATTTATTAAATTGTGTCTTTAAATTAACCAATGAAGCCAACATGTTTGCCAAACTATTGTCACCTAAATCATCAAAACTATCAAGGTAAATGAATGAAAATTGAGTAAAAAAAATGAACAACTCCAACAATCAACTGTTAATTGTTATTAAATCAACTATTGTTTAAAAGTTTTTAAACAAAATTATAAATCATTATCATGTTGATCGTTTAATTGTTTGAAACACACAATCAAAATGATTGTTGTTATATTAAGATACTCATACAAACACAAACACACAAAAGGCAATATCGTGAACATGATTTTACAATACAACAACATCCTATGTCTATTAAATCAACTGATTATCTTCATCTTTTCACTAATTGTAATCAGACAATAAGGTTAAACACTCACACAACAAAGATGTTGATGAGTCTTAATAATAACCTACCTAAAAATTTACCTGTTCAATTACAATTTACCTTTTACAGTCGCTTGCAAACCTTAGGAGCGTGATTATGTTTTCTTTAATATTTTCATTCTGTTGCATCATTATGTTTACCTAGGAACCTGTTTAGATGATGATGATGATTTTTCTCAAAAGCATCATCATCATCATCCTCTTGATATAATTGAGAGGGAAAACTATGATTACCTGTGACTTTTATATAATAGCCCCACTATTTACCTTTGAACCTAACCCATAGTTTAGGTTGTTGTTGTTGTTGATCATCATTAACCAGAACTTGAAAAGTGAATCTCCCATTTTCATCATCATCATCATCATTTTCTGACAAAAAGAGAGCAAAAAGGAAACCCTTCATCATCACCTTGATCATTATCATCATTAACACCCACAAAAAACATCATCTTCATGTCCACAAAACGATCAAGATGAAGATGAAGATGAAATGTTTCCTTAGAACTTTTTTTCTCTCTCATCTCATCATTGTATTGGCTTTTTAAGGTCAGAGTTTTTTTAAACTTCTAATTAGTGTTTTCTATTTTATATCTTCACCTTTTTTCAATCACAATTTCTTACCTTTCGTTTCTTAATTCAAAAGGGATCACCATCATCAATATTATCTTCATCTTCATCCTCATCATCAGCGAAATCTTCTCATCTTTTTGCTTCTTTTTTTTCCTCTTCTTCCATATTAAGCATTTTCTCTAAGCTTTTTCCTCTCTTACATCTTATATTTTTTTTCTTTCTTTTTTTTATTAGTATTTCATCTTCTCTTCTTAATGGGTTGTACATCTTACTTTCTTTTCTTTTTTTTCATCATCATCATCATCGTCATCTGAATGAGTTTTTTCTTTCTTATTTTGAAACAAGAAGGAAGAAAAAAGTTCTAATGATTCTCTTGGAATTAAATTACCATGAGAAGAATTAGAAAGTTGGAATGATTCTGAGTCCAGAATCTTTTCTCATGTTCAACCGAACCTTCATCTCTACCTTATCCTCCTCCTCCTCTCATCTTTGTCTTCCTTGTCTTCATTTCATTCTCCTCCTTACAAATTACATCTCTCTCTCTCTCTCTTGCTCACTAAATAGTTCAATTAATTACTTTTGCAGTGATATCTTAATTCATTCATTAATTTGATTCGATTACTTTAAATTGCTTGATATTCCAACTCATAGAATCCATTGTTCATCATTCATCTTAATCATAATGATAATCAAATCTTAATTATCTTCCAACTTGTTGAGTTAATCTTGAAAACTATAATCTCTTAATTGTATTCCATTAATTTTAATCATGTATATTAAATTTCCTGAGACATGATGAGACTGATTCATTTTCTCACCTCATCATATTACTCCTTATCACCAAGATTAAGCTTATTAATCGTTAATTAATACTTGAACAATTAAAGTATTCAACAAGAAAACCTTAACAATTAAAATGATCAACTTTTCACTTGATATACAGGGGCGGAGAGAATCATTTGAGCCAAATTAAAACATTAATTTTATAAAGCACAATCAAGTTTAAGAAAATTTTTTCAGCAATTCGAATAGAATATTTAGTTGTCTTTGAATTGACGTTAAATTTGAGTGGCTTTGGACATGAATTCGAAAAAAAATTTCGAATTTTCGAAAACACTAAAAATTGAAAAATTGCAAAAATGTTATTTTTTGACTGAAATGAAAATCGAAAATTTTTATCTTCGATTTTCGATTTCAACATGTCCATCTTATTCTCCGTGTATGAAAACAGATATTCATCAAGTTTTTTCGAAAAACTTGACCAATTTCGAAATATTCGAAAAAACTAAAATTTGCGACTAAAAACCCGAAAATCTTGTAATTTCACGTTTTTCAGTGTTTTCGAAAATTTGAATTTTTCGATCGATTTTTTTTCAGAAAATTTTCAAAATTGATAGTTTTCTACTCAGAATTAAATTCTCTATCTTAACCATGGAAAATAATTGATTTGCTGAGATTAATATTCAAGAAATTAATGATTGAATTTGGCTCAAATCTTTCTCTCCACACCTGTAATATCAATTTTGTTTCACTTTCACAACCAATCCAATCAACTGAATCAATTGTTGATTAATTGCTCATTTATATTTGATGTGTCTCCTGTTTTTTTATTTGATTGTGATTAACATTGATCGGTTATTTATTGATATTGTATAACAATCAATTTAATCAATCTAATTGTTACAATGATTAGGAAGAGAAAAAAAAAGTTTCTATTTGTTCAATTTAATTTTCAAATTTGATGAATGAAAGATTAACCCGGAATTAATTGTAAACCATCAACACAATCAACAATTTAACAATAATCAGTGAGCTTCAATATTTACCTTGCAATTAAATTAGATGATGAGGATGATGAAAAAAAAGGGCAAACATTTATCATCTTCATCATCAAGTCGATCATTTTTTCCTACCTGAAAATTTCATTTTGATTGATAATTATCATGATGATGATGTTTAAATTGTATCTAAATCAGTTACTGATTGTAAGTTACCTTTCAACGTCCATCATAATCATCATGTCTCGATCATGATAATGATTCAATTATTCATTGAACTTTTTTTCTTCCTTTTCTTCAACCAATGAATATATTATTTCCTTGATATTTACTAATAGAAACAAACCTAAAAGCTTATCACTTTCACCTAATCATTTTCAATCTTATTCCTGATCATGTTGATGCTTCTGTGTAAAAGATGATCAACTATCATGATGATTAAATTAACTATTAATCATTAAAATGATGATAATAGTGATTGAAATTAAAGTAACAGCAACTTGATCATCACTGCGAAAGTTTAAAATTCAATTTGATTTTCAATTTACCTCATCCTTTGATCATCATCATCATCATCATCTCTCTCTCTAAATATTATTATCATCACCTACTCTCTCATATTCACATGAAGTTCACTTCCTTTTCATCATCATAATCATCATATCAATTGATTTGAGCTTGAAAATTTCAATTACCATTGAAAATACATGTTAGGTAAATTACTTTGATGCAACAGGAATAATAATAATAATGATTGAAACTAATTATAAATTGTTTACAATTGAATTGATGCCAAAATTGATTATAAGTAGCGAAATATTTTCTCATGAACAATATTATCATCTAGTGGATGTTTACAATTAAACTGTTGCATTGTAATTGTCATGATAATATTTTTTGTCATCAACAATTGAACAAAAGTCCAAAATTATATATATAAGGTGACACCTTAAGTCAATACAAATATTCAACCTGAATTAATATTAATCATTTTAATATTCAACTCTCATTGTTAACTTGATTGTCCATCTCATTTCTTTTAGAGGTCAGGTCATGATGATTATTATTAATTTTATCATGTCCTTGATTATCATCATTATATTTATATATAATACATGAAAACATGAATCTATTACACCTGGAATGTTGTGATTAATCAAATTTAAGATTCAAATGAATCAGGGGAATGAATATTTCTCATCATGATGGAAAAGATTATCAATGATGAGATAATCACAACAATCTTATCACCTAATCTATCCCTTTCCCTTTGACCGTGAGACTTTTCCCTGAGGTCATCTGTGTATATCATCTTGTAAACCTTGACGATATGGTCATTTGACTTTTGGTCAGTCACTTTAAAACAAAGATGAAGATGAGAAAATCGTTTTTTTTATTGTTACAATTGAAATTTGAGTCAAGTAGTTTCTCTCTCACTACTCACTCTCTCTCTCTCTCTCTCTCTCTCTCTCTCTCTCGCCTTGCACGTTATGCTTTTACTACGACGTGTTTGCATTTATCATCTTCATCATTCTCTTTCTTTTTCGCCATCATCATCTTACATCCTTTCGGTGCTTTCTTGATGCTTTTCCCTCTCTCTCTCTCTCTATTAGAATCTTTTTGCTCTCTTTTTGTTTATCATCCACTTCCTACTATCTTTAAAAGTCTCTTTCTCTCACTCCCTCTTTCTTTCTTCTTCTTCCTTATCATCATGATTATCTTCTTCCTTTCGCCTCTTTTTTTTCTGTCTACATACAAGCTCGTTTCTTGATCTTCTTTCAATGACTCTATTGGCATGCTTCCGATTTCATGGTTTTCCAAGTCATTTTCATCAAGAAGAAGATGATGATAATGATGATGACGATGATGATTAAGACACAAGCCAACGATCTCTCATCTTACCTTGTTTCCGTTCTCATCATGTTTATCTTTCAATTTCATTATTCACAATCTTCCGATTTTCAAGTTTCTCAATCTCTCTGACCATTTCCTTACCAATGAATTTTATTATTATCAAAACGATCACGATTATTATTACAATCATTATCCAACTGATTGTAATCAATTTAATCATTTCCCACAATATATATTACACTCTTATGATAACCTTATTTAGGTTAATTGTTGATGAGAATTGATTGTTAGTAACAATGTTACCAATACTAAATACCTTTTCCGATTGTCTATCAATACCATGATTGTAATAATAATTTGTAAATTGTTATCAAAAAAAAAAGTTTAATGATTATCGTTATCGTTGAATATGTGATTTGATTGCTGGTAGACTAACGCTTGAAACAATTGATTGTTAACTGTTAATCACTTCAAGGCTCTTATTTTGCTACATATTAATCAACCTTACTCTCTCTATCTCTCATCTTAATTGTTTACAATCAGTGTTAATTATCATTAGTTTTGTTGATTGTTTTTCCAATTCAAGTTATAATCCAAAAGAGGAAGAAAAAAGTTACCCCACTTTTATTATTTCTCTTTCTTTTTCTCTTTCTTTTTTTCCCACCCTCGCCGGTTCACCTTCCACCTCCTCCCAGTCAATTACTTCCTGTATTATTATTATTCAATCAACTAATTTAGTTAATTGTTTTACAACCTACAAGGTTAAAAGGAAAAACCTAATCAAAGTTTTAAAAAAATTGGCAAAGTTGATTAACACACAACTGAATCAATGTCACAAATTAAGTTCAGTGTTAATTATTCACCATTGATAACAATTAAACTTGATTGTTGATGATCCTCATTATAAATCTACTTATTATAATCAATTAACTAATTGTGTCAAGTGTAAACAAATGTAAGTTTTTACTTTTATGATTAAGGAAATTTGCTAGATCTGATTAAGATTAATTTTCTTCCACTGGTTTAATTGTTGTTGTTAATATAATATTTTGATTGTTAATGATGATTGAATCCTAATAATAAAACATGATGATAATCAACTGAATGTGTAGGTGGATTAAGATAAATCTTATTAGTTAAATAATGAACACTAATGAGGATTTCCTTTGTATTTAATTGTAAACAATCAACATGACTGACAATCCAACATTGAATTGTGATCAACAATTTTAGTACATAATAATTATGATTGAATGTTGTGGTCATCATTATAATCACCATCATCTTAATCATTAAAGATGCTGATGATGTTGGCTAATTGATAATAATGAGCAATCCCAATAATGAAACTAATTGTTGTTGATTTGATTCACATTGCTAATTGATTATTTTTGCTTCTTCGTCTTCAACTTTAATTGGACTCAAAGTAATTGTAATAATAATTGTAGCTCTTGATTGTTGATGATATTTAATCATTAAGGATTGGTAGTTATTATTATCATTATTATTATTGTTAAATGTTGATCAGTTTCATGTTGATTATATTTAATATCTTTATCTTGTATAATCTACATGATGATCATGATCAACGATGATTATGATTGTAATTGTTTTTGATTGATGTTTATCATGAACTAAATCACCATCAGGCTTTGTAATGATGGTCAAGACCAAAATGATCATATTTATGTCAATCAAATACAATCTAATCATGATAATAAGCCACTTGCAATTATAACGGTTAACCAGTCAGCTGAATGAAAAAATATATTTTTCAACAAAATGAAAACAAGATTAAGATTTACAGTTTTAATTACAATCTAATTAATCAAATTACTGTTTGCTGACCCAATTTACATGATACATTTTTCATTTTGAACTTGGAATCTTAATCATGATAATCATCATGATCATCTTCATTTGATTAATGATGATCAACCAGTAACAACAACAACAATTTAATCATATGTAACTGGATCCAAGATTATCCAATTGTTTTTATCAACCATGATCATCAATTTGATTAACTAATTGTTGAAATTAACGACGTTGATGACAATTTGAAAAGCCACAATGAAAATACTTGATACCCTCCCAATATATTATACACAATCAATTAATCATCCTTGGCTTAATTGTCTCGTGTTGATAACCAACAATCAACATTCAAATATTAATAATTATTTTCAGGTTCATTGATAATATTATACAAATTGAACTGATTTTCATGATAACTTAATTGTTAATGTTTCTTTCCTTATGTTCAACTTTAAATTAACCCTTAATTGTTGCTTTCCTTTTCTTGATGAAAATCATTTGATTCTAATTGTAATAATTGGAATGATGATAATTATCATGTATCATTCATGAGACCATTGAATTGATGAGCATGAAAAGTTCAGTTGTGAACTTTTCATGATTGAAACTTTTTTCTCGTGGACAAATTTTCAGGGTTAACAATTTACAGAAATTAATTCATATTTAAGTTAAGCTTTTCAATCAAAAATTAAATTTAACATGCAATTGATTAGATTAACAATTTGATGATTTCTTGTCAATCAATTTGAATCATAATTATTATTATCGTAACAATTATGGCTACTGTTATATTATCATGTTAGATTTGCTTCTTAAATTTCAAACAGCAATTTAATTTAATCATGATTAAGCCAATGAACTTAATACAATTAATGATTACGATGATTATTGTTGTTTTTATTTACCAGGAAAACAATTGAAATAATTAAAACTAATTTATGAGGTAATGTTTTAATTAACCTAATCATTATCAGACAACAACCTTTTACTATTATAATCTGTCAATTAAATTACTATCAACTTGGAGTTTGATTAACAATTTAATTGTGTATCATAATTGCTAGACAATTAATAAATACACTTAATTAGAGATAATTAATTTTTAATCAGTCTATTGTTATAATATGCAGTTAATCAATCAATCAATCAATCAAAAGTTAATAGTCAATATTAGTGATCAGTTTCATTATCAAATGTTTGTCACCACAATGATTAACTAATACTTGAAAAAAAAGATATAACAACAATTAAGAAATGATTATCATTGAAATTATCGGAAAGTAGTCAGGAAATAATTAATTGTCGTTAAAAGCAAAAGATTGAGATTAAATTGTTGTCCTTTGAAAGGATTGATTATCATGAGGTAATTTAGTTAAACACTTTTACCTTTAAATTGTTAATTCAGTTAAGCCTCTAGTCTTGATTTTTATCATCATCTTGATCATCATTTCAACCCTGCCCTTGATCTGGTCTGATTTATTAATCATCATCATCAATTTGCCGTAGGGTTAATTGTTATTAACCTGGGAACCTGAATAAGTATATATAAAAAAATGAAAAGTTATCATTCTGAAAACCAGATTAGCTTGATTGTTGATTGATTTTACTTTTTAATTACCACGTAGATGATGATTATCATAGTATATTAATTATTACCTTTAGCCTGACGCTTGTGAGTTAAATTGTCAAGTTGATCAAGAGCAAAGAGATAAACAAAAAAATAAACAAAAACCCAAATTCTGATCAATATAAACTAATCATAATTGTAAAAATTAATACTACGAGACCTGAATTAGTTAAATAACCTCGATAATTAACCAACAATTTAAAATTTAATCGAAATATTCAATTGCCTGTGATAAACTTTAAAGGAACCGGAAAGTTAATCAGCTTGAAAGTTTTCAATTTAGAGTATGTTTAATTTAGATTATGATCAACAATTAAGAATCAAGGTTACCCTGATTAAATCATTTACCTGTAATAATTTCCGCTTTTTAATACAATTTACCTCCTACTTCTTGATCAATTTTCATGGTCACTTTAATCATTGGTAAATCACGTTGCCCATTCACTTGATTAACTTTTCATTGTTTATGAATATTTAATATTTTCAAAGTATTAACAACAACATCCGTTACTTTTACCATGATAATGATGATCATCTTTCCCTTTTCTTCATCAATCCATTATAATCTTGCTCTTAACATGAAGATGATTATATAACTTTGTCATTTGGTGATTTACTTATCATAATCATGTTAATCTCATTAATCTCTCAATCCTCAGATAATTCATTGAAACTTTGATAGTTCTTGAATATCATATTCATTGTTTTCTTCATGGGGAAAACTATTTTTTTTCAATTGACCATCTTAATGGTTATGATAATCATTTTTATGATCATGATCGTGATGATTTAGATGATGATATTGTCCATTGTAAGTGGACATTTAAGGTTTACTGACCACCTCTCATGATGAAAATGATGATGATCTCTATTGAATCTGAGGCTTTTTCATGGTAATGAAATTTACATGAGCATTTTTGGGAAACAATTTATAAATTACATTGTATTTCTAACTTGACATTGCCTTTAAATCAAAACCAATAAACTGTATCATCTTTTATCATCATCGCCATTATCTTGATCTTCATTTCTCTCTCTCTCTCCTCCCTCAACCATTATTATTATTTAGTATTATCACTTTATCTTCATCTTTTTTTTCATCTCAAAGACTAAATAACTTAGAGTAGGTGGAGAAGATGAAGAGAAGAGAAGAAAAAATGTTCTAAGAATCGAATTTTTCTTCATCTTCTCTTATTCTTTTTTCCTGTTTCCTCCTCCCTTTCTTTTCACTTTCATCTCAGGTACAAATACTTTCATTCTCTCTCTCTCTCTCTCTCTCTCTCTCTCTTTCGTTTTCATCCTTATCATCATCATCATCCAACAAAAAAGGAGGAAAATCTTATATATTTACTTTGTATAAGGACTTTTAGCTTTTCCTCCTTTGGTAATATTTCATTTTCTTTGAGATAATTTCTAACCAATTTCACACTTTATCAGATTGATAATAACAATAATAATTCACATGGTGGAGATAATCATGATGATGATAATCTCTGTAATCAATATCCGCAAAGAATTTCATTCCAAATATATACTCCAAAGAAAAGTATGATGATAGAGATGGAAAAAGTTTGATAATCTTCAGCATGGAAATAGCAAAACTCATTGTTATCCGTATTTGCGGTTATCAATGAAAAATGATTTCTTTTTGTTATCCATCATTTAATTTTTCTAACAATCAACTCACAATTTCGTGATTAATATTACAAACTGACCACCACCCACTTAATTAGTTACGATTTATTTATTTCCTCCTCGGTCAAGTAGATTAACTTATGCAAATGATTGTGTTTTTGTGTGTTGTTAACTTTTCATCCTGTTGTTTACTTTAATCAACAATATCTCAAGGATTCTAACGGTTTCCTTTTTCTTGCTTTGTTTATCTTTCCATTTACAGAAGTGGCCTCACCCGACGCAATAATAGTAATAAGCGAAAAGAGGATGAAAATGACCTCGAAAATGTCACCCAATGTCGTCCAAATGAAATCGATGTTGGTTTCAACACAACGGAAACAGTTTCGGTCAAGCTGACAAATGAATCAAGTCCACAAGAAACTGTTAAAAACAATAATAACAATTTGATCAATATAAACAATCAACGTAATCAACATCATCTTCATGCTGATTTATCATCATTGTCATCATCATCTTGCCCATCACCTCAATCATCTTGTACTGATAAAAGGAGGAGACGAGGAGTAGTAGGAGGAGGAAATGATAATCAAAGTCAACCTGATCAACTAATTACTGGTGATAATTTGCTGTTACCTTCAACTCATCATGATAATAATGCAAATCAATCAACTAATTGTGCTCAAGTTAATGAGCATCAACAGAAACCAATTGACGATCAACATGATAACCTTAATTCAAATACAATGACGATTGATTCAGATAATCACTTATCAACATCATCACTAGTCAATGAGGTAAGTTAAATGATAACAATTGAACAAGAAAAGAAGTGCAAGAAAAAAAAATCAATTTAATTTCTAACAATCATGATATTATTAAAGTTAATTGTCCTTAATCATTTCCGAAAGTAATAATGATAATAATGATTTAAATTGGTTTACCAAATGATAACATTGAATCGTTTCCATCATCATCATGAGCTTACATTTCATAGTAACTTCCGATTCTGTTTCGCCATCATCATGATATCAATTGAGATTAACAAGGTTGCTTATGATGATGATGATGATGATGATGAGACTTAGTAAATGATAAAGGGTCATTTAGATGATAAAAGATGATAAATGGATGATGATGATTTAGTTTGTTTTTGTTTTTAAGGTTCTGCGGATGAATGGAAATCGAGTTCAAATGTTACTCTCTTATGTTTATTGTTTATTGAAAGGTTCAGTTGATTTTGAGATGATGATGAAAATGAGGATGAGGATGAGGATGATGAAGACAGACAATAACATCTGATTTAGACAGTCAGAGGATGAGGATGATGATGAGACGGAAAAAGGATGAGGATGAAGATGAAGATGAAGATGAGGAATTGAAAAACAACCACAGACTCGATGATCAGAAAAGTTGTTGATTGTTTATCTTGATTGTCTCTGAAAATAATTGTGACAATCAATTTTAATTGTTTGTTGTCAACGTTAATTAACTGAGGTTTAAATGATGAATTTTTATTAATTTATTATTACAAGGCAAAGTTTAATTATTGATACGATCTTTTCTGTAATTAGTTAACTGCTCATTTTGTTAAGTTTGTCATTAGTTTGATGGTTTTTAATTGTTGATCTTAATTATTTTGTTTCTTGGTCGTTGATTATTTAAATTATAGTTGTTAAATTAACTACTTAAATTGTTTCGCTTTTTTGATTTAATTGTTGCTTTTTTATTTCCTCTTAAAAGTTTATCATATTATTATAATGCCGTTAGCATTTCCTGTGTGTTAATCATTTCTTAATTGTTACTCTTGATCAGATTTAAATTTTCAAACGAAAACACTTAAGGTGTTTTCATTTGATGATGATGATGATGATTAAAGTATTTAATTTAATTGTGATTAATTATAATCTTTTTTTGCCCATTTACGCCTTAATTTTATTTTACACATCGATTGATTGTTACAATTAAGTTTCTCCTCGATTGATTAATCAATAACTGTCATGAGTAGATAACAAAATATAATGAAAATTTATTCTTATGAAAGTTTATCAACTAATTTAGTCAGTTAATTGTAATCCATTAATTGTAAACTGATTAACTTTTGCTTTTTTGCTTCTTGATTAAGCTTAAATCTTTGTCAATTTGATGATAATCTACTAATTGTAACCAGGACAATTAGGTCAACATTATCACTTTTTTTGGATTATTTAATTTTTTTTTCGGCGGCCAAAAGTTAATCAAATTTAAAGCTTAACTTTTTGAAAGCGATCCAAAAGTAACTAGAATAAAAAATGATCACAACAATTTAAATTAACAATCAACAATTTAGTGAAGGCGTTTAAATGATAAATTACAATTTGAAACTGTTACTTTTTAATTGTAAACAATTAACCAGTTTTTTTAATTGGTATGGTCAAGGTTAACCAATAGTTTATAATTGGTGTTTGTTGAAACAACAAACTGCTTGACCATAAACAGAATTAGATTTAAATTGATTACAATTTATTTTAAAAAAAATCATTTTTCCTCATCAACCATCAATTATTGATTAATCTTAACCACAATTAACAAATGATAATAAGACCAACAATTAATCAAAAACAATTTAAACCAAAAATTAATAATAAACAACAAAAATTTATAAGAAAAAGTTTCTTTTGGTTAATATCTACCTACACTTTTGTTATCCTATCCCGTTAATACCTTAATTGTAAAAGTTAATTGTTACCATAATTACTGTTGATTTATGTATTTATAAACTCACAATAGAATTAATTATTATTCTTAATTGTTACAGGCTTATCGAAATGAATGTATTCAATTGCGTCAACGAGTTCGAGAATTGGAGCAACAGAATCGATTGTTAACTCTTCTTTTAGCGGAACAATTAGTAAATTCATCAACTAATTCAGTTGATAATCGAAGTAAATTGGACAAATTAATGGCAATAAATAGCTTGACAAATAATTTACCACAATTAATCAGGTAAATACAATCAATAAGCATAAGAAAACAAAACAGAATCACCAATAACAATTGAATACAAAGGAATCACAATTAACGTAAAAAAAATTCAACGATCAATTATTTGATTGTAGCAATTTAAAAGTTTCAATGGGTTTTTCAACTTAACCATGATTTTGACCTTTTTTTGATAGTTAGTAAATTGGAAAAAAATAGTAAGATTGGTTGAGGTTAATTAGTTAATTGAACTTAACCATTTAGATTGTTGGAATCAATTGTTAATTTCCTTTACCATTCAGTTACAATAATAATAGTTAAATGATTTTATTGATTTCTGGTTAATTTTATATTATGTTACCTTAAGTGTTTATTGTTACAATTAGAAGGTCTCTTTTGTGTGATCACAATTTACTAATCATTTATAACAATTTTACAATTTTTCAGTGAATATGAATCAACCTTATTGGATAATAATAGTAATCATGATGAAGTATCAATCATGAATTCATCTCCACCAGGTCAAGGTCATTTAATGAATGAATCTAAAGGAATCACATTAACTTGTGAGTCGGATTATTGTGGATCAATGGGAAATAATCATCCTGATCATCATTATCATCATCATATATTCAATAACAACAACAATCACCATGATGATGGTGATGAAACTGAACGTTCAGATAGATTGGTGAGCATGAGTAAAGATAACTCAATGCTTGGTTTTAACCTTACCCATGTAAATATTGATCGATGGAGGAAGATAGAAGAAGATAAATCGAAAACAAAAACAACAACAACAACACAATTAACATCACAACCTAATTTACCAATAACCAACCAGTTAACCAGTCATTCAATTTTACCTTTAACACCAATAAGTGAAACAATTAACACAATTAATTTAGAACCGTTATCGTCGAGTTCACTTTCCTCTGTTTCTTACCTTGATCATCAGAAAAAGTCATCGTACATCAACAACCTGATTGAAAACAATTCAACACTTTTCACCTCCACCTTATCCTCCTCTCCCACCACCTCCACCTTGACTACCACCACCACCATAACCTCATTGCCCTCTTCATCTGACCCCTTTACCACCACCACCATAACCCCCACCTTAACATGTACACCAGGTAGCACAGTCTCAACTTCAACACTTACAGCCTTGAACTCAACTCTGATTGGGTCACCTTCATCATCTCTATCATTATCACCACCACAATCACCTAAGAAATTAATTACATCGTCAATCCTTGATCCAAATTCTAGTCTATTTCAATCAAGTAACACTGTTAATTGTTCACCATCATTATCATCTTCAAATCAATTAGAGAAACGGATTCTTTTTATATTATCCTCGAATAATAATAATAATCATAACCATAAATATTTCAATTCCACCTTATCCTCCTCATTATCATCATCTTCATCTTCATCATCATCCTCATCAACTTCTTCTTCAGTTTCAACTGATAAGATTAACTGTGATAATCGTTTAATCAACAAACCAGGTAATTTAGCCCTTAGGACATTATCGGGTTCATCAAGTAAATCAATTGTTTCCCTTGAGAAAGATAGTCCAGCTTCAAGTGCAACCTCATTTGACTCAAATGGTGAACTTACCTCAAAAGATGAAGGCTATTCAACAATGTCCAGTGATGTCCAGTCTGATATTGGAAACAATAACAATGGTTCAATTGTTACAATCAATACTACAGCCAACTCTCAATCAACAACGATACCAAGCAAAAATGAATCAACAATCAATTCAATTTTGGACGATAAAGAATCAGTAACATCATCAACAACAACAACAACCAATGAGGATAATAAAACTAACCGATCATTTCTAATACTGACCTCATCACCACCACCATCACATTTAACACCCTCACGAACCATTAAACCTCCTCCTCCACCACCATCAGGTTCAGCAGCGGGTTCATCATTGTCAACTCTTCTTCACCTGAAACAACAACAACAATTAAAAGTTGAAACAATTGAGATTAAATCGGAACCAAAGAAAATGGGAGTTAACGGATCACCAACAAATTCAATTCCATTAACATTCATGTCAACAGTTAATCCAATTGTTGTTGGTTCAAGTCGATTAACAACTTTTAAATCATCTCATCAAAATGATTGTTTGGTTACATCATCACCATTAACAACAATCAACAATAATCGTAAAAACAATAAGATGGAATTAGTTTGTGAGAAAGATTCTGATTTACTGATTGCAGATACAATTAAACTTAATTGTAACAATAATATAACAACAACGACAGGTATTAAAAATCCTTCCCAATCAACAGTAACAACAATTAAAGGTGATGCTGATGATAAATCATCAAATTGGTTGCATAGTATCAACAATGATAACAAGGAAAGAGAGGAAAATGATTCTCAATCAGTTAATTATTGTAAAAATCAAATTGTTAACTGTGATTTCATTAGAAAGTCAAGAAAAAGTTTTAATGGTAAATTATCAGCTCATCGATACACTTTCCCTCCGGTGGTAACTCGACCTGTAGCCAATACCTTGGACGATATTGAGTGGACACCTTGTCTTATTTATCAGCCATCAAAACCACCAACTGACCATCAGGGTGACAATTTAATTACTGATAAAAATGACCGTTTCTCTAATTGTGAATCAAGTTTAATTACTACAGCTGAGAAATCAACTTCCGCTGATTTTGATGATGATGAATCAAGATGTCTAGTTAATAATCGTGAGGTAATCATTTATCAAGATAAAAGGAAGAGAAGTGGAAAAAATCATCATCATCATCACATGGGAAAAGTTGAAGATGATGTTAATCTTGATGGGAAAACTAATCAACTGAATCAAGTTAAATGCGATTCTGTTGATTGGAGGAGTAAAATTGGAAGACGGAAAAGTGCCATTTCCAAAGGATCAGATTGTGGTTCATTGATGATGAAAACAGTTAAAGATACTACAGCTGATGATGAAGATGAATATGATGATAGTGATGATGGTGATGAGGAAGAAGATGAAGATGAAGGAAAGAGGGAAAAAATGAAAAGAAATCATAAAATTGACCAAAAGAGGAAGATGAAAGTTTATCATAAGTTTCCACCGGCACCAGAGTCAAGTTCATCTTCCCATGGATCTCAATCGTTAAATCGTTGGCATTCCGATTCTCAGTTATATTCTGATTCCATGAAACAAGATAAACCACCGGTGGAAATGAGACAAGTAGATGTTAATTGTCGATCAAATTGTCGCTTTCCCCGTCGTCATCGTGATATAACCAATGTTTCTCATCCTTGTCAATCTTTCGCATCGACTTGTAAACGATCATCTGGTTATATTAGACGTCGCATTAAAAGGGAGGATCGAGCGCGAATTGATGAGTCCCATCGATGGTCAACACTTTCTACTTCTAGTTCTGCTCTATCTGATGGCCTGGAAGCGCCAATCTACTGTGAACGTCGTCGATATCGACCTCGACTTCCAATGACAATAACAACGACTCATATTGATTCAACTGGAACCGAAATTTACTCCCAAAGACGGAAACTGGAACAGGGAATTCAATTCATACAATGAAATACATTTCATCTGATGAAAATCACTCGGCGGATGATGAAGATAGTGCTGAGCGTTTTGTCTCCCGTTGGCTTCATAAAAGCGGAGGTGGACTTCGTTGGGACGATTCTGAGGTTACCTGGAAATTGAATGAATCTCTTGATTGGCCTGAGCCAATTGAATTAGAAAATGATAATTGTCTTTCTTCAACCTCATCACCGCCATCAATATCAACATCAGCAGATAAGCAACAAGAGGGCGATGGTGATGATGATGATGATGACAATCAAATTATCACACATTTAAATAATGATGATACGTTTGAAGAGATACCATTGATTGATGATGATTCAAGTGAATCAGAAAAAATAGAAATCACTTCAACAATTAACATTAATAATCTTAACGATAGAAATAGTTACAGTGTCTTAATCTCACCCTGTGTTGATGAAGTGGGTGAGGTAGATGTGAGTCACGAAGGAGGTGGGGAGGGTTACATATCCTCCGATCAAGCTTCGTCCGTACCCGATGATGGCCTAACACCGGAGACTCATTTCAATGGTGACTTTTACCGACTCTGTTCAGTTGGATCTCGAACAAGTTTACAACAACCTGATGATGAAATTAGTCTTCCACCCTCATCATCTGGAGCCTTATCATCACTTTCATCATCTTCATCACCTCCATTGACAGATGTCAAAGAGCAGGATGAAGATGAGGAAGATAATCAAGATGATGCTGTTAATTATGTTGATAATGAGACTAAAATTGTCTTAAAACAATTAACCAATTCTAATGATGATGAATTGTTGATAATAACAACGACAACCTCAACCAATAATAGTAATAATTACAACCATCAGATACAATCTTCTAAATCATTTGATTATAATCATGATGGAACATCATTAATTAACTCACAATCAACTAGTTCATCGGGTCAATTGTCAACGGTGGTGAAAAATGTTCACTCAGATGAAAATTTAACTTGTACACCCGATGAATTACAATCAACTGATTCTGTAAATGAAATGTCAATTTCTCCAATGATTATGATGATTAATTCATTAAAATCAATCCAGTGTCTTTCATCATCATCTCCTGATAAATCAGTAAAATCTGAACTAATTGATAAAAATACACCAACGTCAACAATTAACACGGGTTTAATTAAAGAAAGTCAATCACCAACTGATTTAAAGGAAATACCTGAAGAGAAACAATTAAATAAAGCAACTATTGAACAATCAGTTTACCTTAATGATGAACATGAAGTAATTAAGGATAATTGTCCAATCTACGAGGAAATCATTGAATCTACAACAATTAAACCTTCAACAACAACAATTAATTGTTATCCTAAACCAATCTTGATTAAATCATCATCAACTAATCAGACAAAATTATCACCAACAAGGATACCATTACCTAAACAAAGTAATTCATTAGATGCAATTAAAATTAACAACAATAAGGATGGATTTAAATTACGTTTTAATTCAACAACAGCAACAACAATTGATTCAATTACCAATAATAATGTTAACAATTTAATAAGCAAATCATTTATCAATCAACATCAAGTTAAAAGGTTAAACAATAATAAGATGATTAACTCTGAAGGATTAAAAGCAACTACATCAAGCTCATCGTCGTTAATCAATAAAAAAGTTGGAACTGAATTAAAAAGTTTCAATAAGATGATGATGGAGATTAAAGCTCGGATGGAAAAGAATAACAATCAAATTAATCATAATCGACTTTTTAATCGTAAATTAAATGAATCAATTCCAAGTATTGAAGAGTTTGAAAGGAGATTATCTGAAGATAAACAAATGGCTGATAAAATCCGCGAATTTTATTCAATTTTTGAACAATCAACATCACAATTAAACAGTAAAACCAATTTAACTACAATTCCATCATCAACAACAATCAATTCAATTACATCGACAATACCAACACCAATTAAAGGAGTTAAAAGTAACCGATCTCGATCAACCATTTCTGGTGATTTAATTAGAGGAAACAACAACAACAAATTAACAAACAACATTGAAGATATTAAATCAAAGTTAAATTATCCTAAATTGTTACGTTCCAAGGGCATCGGAGGAATGGGAAACAATTCAATCGGCTGTGGCGGAAGTGGACCAGGTATTGGCGGTAATAATAATCCCACCGGTGGTAATGATTCAAGTAAAACAATGAAGGAAGGTCATGAAACCTCATGGGTCCATGTAAGCGGATTCAATGTTGGAAAAGTTTCTGAAACTTATCATGAAAAACACCAACAATTACCACCACCACTATCAACATCAACATCTCCCTCGCCATTATCATCTGCTGTAATTACCTCAACAAGCGTTAATTGTAATAATCGTAATTTACTTAATTGTAGTAGTAAATTAAGTTCAGATTCTGGTTCATCTGAGGATGAATTCAACCTTAGTAACATTAAGAGTAACGGTGGTAAGAAAAGATCCTCTTTCCACCAGCGTCTTCTTGCCCTTCACAAATCTCGAAGACAGAAAAAAAGAGGTAAGAAATTAACTAATTGTTGCAATTAATTTAATTCTAATTGTAAAATTTGTTTTTCTTTTTTCTTTCGTAGCTTCTGATTGTTACATGGGAATGGGATTTCTGCCTAAAATTAGAGCCTCAATTGTTGATAGACTTGATTTTTATCATCGATTTGGGGACAAGGAACAAGAAGCCTTAACATCATTCAATTTTCTCAATGATCTTCCAATATCATCATCATCATCATCTTCTTCATCTTTATCATCATCAACCACCACCCACTCAATTAATAAATCATCAACTTCCACTTGCTTGATTCTATCAACTGATTGTAATTTTGTCCAAGAACAAAAATTGTTACTTCGCTGTTACCTTAATTCATTTCAACCATTAACTACTTCGTCATCCTCATCATCTGATTTATCATCATCTTACACACAACCACCACCTCCATTGGTATCTCACCCACCACCTTCATCATCTTCATCATCATCATTTAAATTATCACCTTACAAATGGCCTCAATCACCAATTAAATCAACATCATCTTCACCTCGATATCAACAATCAGTTGCAAACAATTATATTCTTAATCATGAATTAACCAAACGACCTGTTGGAGGAGTTAGTTAATTGTTCAACCATGAGAAAGATTAATTATCAAATTATCAATGATCAGTAATTATTTAATTAGAATAATAAAAAACAAAACTAAATCTTTTCAAGAGAAAACAATTAATTTTCAATTTGGTTAATAACTAATTTTCATCGTCATCATCATCTAATTATCACCAATGATTATTACTATTAAATTGATTTATTATCATTATTATTATTACTATTATTATTATTTACTAATTGTACATTTACAATTAAGCAAAGTTAATTGTATAATAATAACAAAATTAAATTATATTAATATTATTACAAATGAAAATCAACAAATTTGTGAACAAAAAAAAATGGTTAAGGTGACAATTTGATGACTAATTTAAATCTATTTATCTGATTGTAATTGTGAACTAAATTGCTACTCTCATTGTAATAGATTAACAGATTGTTAATTAATATTTTGTTAACAAAAAGATGAAACTAAATTGTGTATAATTGTGTCTGTTAATTGTAACAATCAACTTTAGGAGCGAACCCATGAAAGAAGCAGTTTAACCTTAATTATCAAAAGAAATTAAATCAACAATCAACTAATTATAAATATAAATGATGATTAAAACATATATATAAATGTATAAATAATACAAATGTACAATCAAATTAACTGTAATAATTAACACTCTGATTATTATTATATTACAATTAGACTCGAATCTCAATTTCATTGATTAGCCGTTCATCTAAATAATACAAACAGAATGAACAATTAACTGATTACAAAACAAAATCAATTGATTATCGCGTTAATTATAATTTAAACAGGTTCATTTAAATTGTTAGCTTTTAATTGTTGTATTTATAAATCAAGTACAATATTAAATTAGTCGCAAAGAAAATGATTAAACTTTCAGAGGACTAATTAGATTTAATTTGTTTACTAATCATTAAATTGATCAATTAAAGGGCAAGGATTATAATTTGTTTTTCCCATTGTGTAAAAATGTGATTTACTTGATTGAATCAAATTGTCGACTTAATTGTTAACCTTAATTAACTCACAGAGATGAACATAAGAAAATGTTCAACGAGTTGGTTGTTAATTAGTTTCGTTGATTTGTTTTTGCTCCAGTTTTTTTTTTGATTCAGACAATTGTAAATCATTTTTAAAATGTTGAATTAATTGTTGGTGATTAACAATGAGAAAATTTTGGCAGAGAAACAATTAAATGAGAGAAATCAATCATCAAGGTTACAATTTGCTGAGATTTTATCCTTTTGATTGTTTTACAAGATGAAGAGTTTAAAAATATTATATATTACATATGTAAATATATATCGTTTTAGTTTATAATTGTAATTAAATTGTCAATTAGTTGATTAGTTAACTATTTTTCTTATTATTATCAAATTGTGTTAAATCAAAAACAGAATTGAGCATTTCTCTTTGTCCTTAATTATGGGTTTATCTTTTTCCTTTCCTTTCATTGAATTTTAATCCAGTTTCGAGAATTTTTTTTCGACAAAGACAATCAATTGATTGTTCCATCTCCAATCAACTGGATTAGTTTGTCAACAATTGTTATTAATTGTTACTCTTTTGTTCAGTTCACCAGAATTCATTCTGGTTAGAGTTTGGTTGTTTTTCTTCCGCATTCTTTTTCTTTATTTTTTTTTCCTTTTCCTTCTGTATTATTATTTAAGGCAAGTCGATGATGATGATGATGATGGAACAGGAAGAGGAAATGATAAAGGTGAAGGTGGGAGTGAAAGGGTTACATTTAAGTCAATACAATGATGAGTTTGGATGATAAGGGAGACTAGCTTTTGTTTTGTTCCATGAGAAAACAATGTTAATATTGGAAGATGATGGTGATAACAATTGATCACAATGTAATCGAGAAACAATTAAGATAATTGTAAATCATCTTATTGTTAATCAAGAATAATCAAGATTATGGATTGAAGTTTATGGATTAATAACATTGTATCTAAATGAATGAATTTGTGACTCCATTTGAATTTTGATCAACAGAAAACTGAATGGTCACTATTGTGGTCATGGTTCGACAACTTGGTGACAATTAGGTAACAATTAAAGTTTCAATTGAATAGTTGGCTTTGTTTTTCGTGTCTCTTTCTTTTGATTTCCAGACATTTACTTTTTCTTCGTCTCGGTTTTGTATTTTTCGGATCGATTATTATGATTTAGGGTAATCGTGAATAAGGTTATTCCAATGATCAACTGCCATTGATCATAATTCACATGACATTTAATGATATCCAGTTTCATGTTGATTCTGAATAAATCTTCAGTTAAATTGCATTCTCATTTTGGTTGAACAATTAACGGATGGATGGATAAGATTTATTCATCTTGTGTGTGTAATTAAAGATGATTGACTTGACAATTTGATAATTTAGTTTCTCTTGTCCACTTTATGGATTAATTGTCTTTCTTTGATCTTCAAAGTCGTGGATTTATGATGATCACCAGTAAGGGTTAATGTCTTCAGAGATCCATGAGTCTCTCAGAGCTTCCAATGAGGTGAGACGAGCATGTTGATTGACAATCAGTAATTTAGAAATGAAATTTTTAGCCTCACTGGACACAGTTGACCAATATTGATGCAGAAATTCAAATGAACCTTTCAAGATGAGGTCAAAAAGTTCATCGTTATCATTGTTTTTACTAACAAACGGTGGATAACCACAGAGTAAAATATAAGCGATAACACCGACCGCCCAAACGTCCACCTTGAAATCGTAACCTGTTTCAGCTAAAATTTCGGGTGCCACATAAATCGGTGTACCACAGACCTCGTATAACTTTTGACCTGGAAGGATTTTAACGGCAAGTCCAAAGTCCGCTAATTTAATGAACATTTTACCATCTTTCTTGGATGAGACAAGTAAGTTTTCAGGCTTAATGTCACGATGACAGATATTCATTGAGTGCAGGTAAGCGAGAGCTTGGAGTAGATTGGTCACCATCCCTCGGGCCTCCTTTTCACTGTACCTGTAATTTGATCAACAATTAAAGATAATCATTAGAATCGTGATATTATCAATATTCATTAGGGAGATTAAAAACTCTTCAACGGGTTTTCCTTATTTTTCAGGTTCGATTCAAGAAAAACACAACTAATCGTAAGGAAATTGTTGTTTAATTGTCAAAATCGAAAAGTAATTGACTTTTTTTTGTTTCTCTTCGTAATGTAAGAGGCCTGAAAGAGTCGAGGTTAATGATTGATTGAAAATTGATCATTTAAGAATTTAATTTAATGACAATTTAAAATAATCAATCAAGGTGATGGAGAAATCAACAATTGCGAGAATGATTAAATTGTCATTGGATGATTAGTATTAGATGAAAGAAAGAAACTTGATTATTATTAGAAACAATGAGTTAATCATTTTCAAACTATGAAATCTAATTAAATGGTTATTGTTAATGATTAGAGGAAATGATAATAAATTAATAACCTTGATCATCATGATGATAATGATGATGGTTATTGTTGATATTATAAAAGTAATACTTTTTTTCTTGATTGTATTGGTATGAATATGAAGTTAATTGTTAGGATAGAGAAACGTTGATAATCAATATTAATAGTTTAAGGTTGATTAAAATGGTTAAGCTAAATTAGGAGGTTACGCTCCTACGCTTAATCATGATGATTATTATGATTATTGTGATAATTAAGCAAACCATTGATGATCAAGTTTCTGTTTGATGATTCAATGATTGTAAATTAAGTCAAATTTCAAGTATTTTGTTTTTTCATGGACATCATCATGGTTGTCATTATCAATAGATAAACAATTAAAAAAATTGAAATCATGATAATCAAGTTAATTAGGATGATTATGATTGAGAAGGGAAAATAAATTGGGTCAATTCAGAAGCCTTAATTTGTTGACATTTTGATTGGTTGAAGATGTTAATCAATGATGAGGATAATCAAGATGAAGATGAATTAAAATTATAAATACTGTTAAATGGTAACGATTATAATCATTTTTAAATATCAACTAATAACTAAAGTTAATTATGATTGATTTAGTTACGTAAATTACGTTTCATTAAATTACTGACCAGTTACCTGAATTAAGTTTCATGGTTAAGACTCTAAATTGTTAAGTTTTTTTTATATTTCTTGTTTTGATTGTCAACAATTAACAAGAAAAAAAAGTTTATCAAGTTAATTATTGTGATGAAATGAAGATGATGATAATCATTAGAAAGGTAAATTGATTAAGAAAAAATAAATTAGAACAGATTAATTGATTAATTGAGTAAATTAGAGTGAAAAAAAAGGTAAAGATCATAACAATTAACTATCAAGTATTAGATTTCCTCAATTAACAATGATTAATTTATAACCATGATACAAAGTATCAAATTAATTTAAATTGTCAGGATAGTAATTGTTTGATTTGTTACCATTGATGATAAAATCAATTGTGTAGATGATTAAACTGTTAATTAAATTAAACAATAAACGGTAAAAACATTAATGAAACAGTAACAATTAAAGGTCATATAAATCAATGAGAAACAAAAAAAGTGAAGGTGAATCAAATGAAACCTTGTTATCATCAATTAAGATAATAAATCAAACAATTATAAAGATTGATCATTTTCAAGTGATAATACAAATTGTTAGTTAATTGTTCATCTGAACAATTAACCAAAAAAGTAACTTGAACAACTCGATCAACAAAACAAAACAAAACAAAAACAAGCTCAAGTTAAAGTGATTGGGTGAATATTAATCATCAATCTCCTTAATTGATGAAAGGTGATACAATTAAATTAGCAAAGTGATTAACCAAACCTTCAATCAGTTAATTGTTCAATTATTTAACTGATACTTACATATTTTTAGAGGTAATTGCATCATATAAATCACCACCGGCTACCAATTCCATGACTAGATACATTTCATTGGGAAAATCATAATCTTCAATCAATTGTATGATAAATGGATGATTAATTTTCCTTAAAATTGCCACTTCCGATTTGGACACTTCGGACCCTCGACATTTACTCTTGTTAATTATTTTCATTGCATATTTAACGTTATTACATCGATTGGTACATTCGTGGACAACGGCGAAATTACCATCGCCAATTATATTACCCACTGAGTATTTACGATTAATTTCACGAGGAAATAATAAACTCAACGTGGATGAATAATGATTACTACTTGGTGAACAATCAAGATAATTGTTACTTGACGTAATCTTATTATTATTATTGTTGTTATTGTTATTATGGTGATTATTATTATTACTTGAGACAAGTTTAGCACAGTTAATTGTTGAATTAATTCGTCTGGGAAGTTGAGTTAATCCTTGAAGAATTGGTATTCTACTGAATTTAATTGAAGGTGTTGATGTTTTCCTCTTGGTGTTTTTATCATTATTTATATTATCACAATTATTGTTGTTGTTGTTGTGATGATTTGATTTGTGATGATGGTGATGATGATGATGATGCTTTTGATTAGTCCTGTTAGTTGATTTCAATGGATCCTGATAGACAATATTACCATCACTGGCTCGTAAGGTGTTGTTGTTGTTGTGGTTGTTGTTGTGGTTGTTTGTGTGTTTGCGGTTTGGTGATTGTTTAATTTTATCTTTGGAGGTTGAAGTTGATGATGATGATGATGTTTTATGTTTCGATGAATTTTGTGATTGACCATATGAGATGTTATTTTCACCTAGATAATTAATATTATTTGAACTAATTCCACCAATACTATTACGATTAGATGATGAGGTTGTTGTATTGGTTGAGGTATTTCGTCGAACTGGATAATCACGTTGATTGTTGTATTCATTTAGAGACACTCGAGAGGAACTCATTGGTATTAATGTTGAATTGTTGTTTAGATATTTTCGTTGGTAGGAAAATTGTTGATTTGAATAATTGTTGTTGTTGGTATTGGTCATTGTTGATGTTGTTGTTGATGAAACTGGATCATAAATATCAGGTGTAAATACATCATTTTCTAGACTTAAATCTCTTAGATTAACATTTTCCAGCCAAACTGATGAACTTGAACTGGATGAAAGTGATGATGATGAATCAATTTCTTGCGATGTTGATACAGTTTTGTTGTTGATAGATGTTGATGGTGATGAAATAATTGTATTTGATTGTCGTGAGATTGATTTTATTGGTGATGAAGTTGATGATGTTGACGTTATCGTCGGATCGTTAATATTATTGTATCGCCTGTTGTTGTTGGTTGCCAATGTTACTATTGTTGATGGTATTGTTGATGATGATGTTGATGCTGTTGTTGATAGGGAGACGTTACCTTTACCTAGGAGAAAACGTCCAAAGTGAATGTTGTTACACTCTTCCGGGTGAATATCAAAATCTTGATTGTTACGTTTATCACTTGCCGATACAATAAATATGTCTTGATTGCTGAAAAAATCTTTCAATTTGGTTACCTTTTTACCATTTAAGTGATAAACGCGTCTTATTGGGGTAAACAAGGTTTTACTTTTGGCTTGAATATCGGTGAGTAGTTGATCGTAGGAGTGAACTGATCGTTTGTTGAGTAACAATTTAATCACTTCTCGAGGTTTAGGACCATTAATAATTATATTAACCAATTTGGGTCGGATAAATTCATTTGTTGGCGACCCTGATGATTGTTGATTATGAGGATTAAATGGTGATGAAGCCATTGTTTTGATTCGTTGATCAGCAGCCGTACAAGAAGTTGATTTAGATAATTGGTTAAATCCTCCAATTCCTCCACCAGCAGGACAATCAAAACCTTGACTGATTGAACCATAATCCAAATCAATAAAGTTATCATTAGATGAACAAATATAAATATGATTATCTTTAAACTCGTCCAGTGATTCCAATTTGTTTCGAGATAATTTATCATCCATTGAATAAGAGTAAATATATTGAACTCCTTTAGGTAGATTAACGTCTTTAATTAATCTATTTAAATCTTCTAATAGAACATCAAAACAACGAATCCTTTCGGTACACAGACAATAACGAATCCCACGGAAAAATCGATTCCCATTGATCATAAATTTGAGACGTTTACCTTTTCTCTCAATACTTAATAACTCAATTCTTTTCGCTCGATTATTATTAGAAACGGAAGTTGATTCACTTTTAGAAATTGGTGTCAACTGATTATTTGAACTTGTTGAATGTTCCAATGAGGAATCTTCAGTCTCTCTATCAGCTTCAATCAAAGTTTTCATGGTTGTACAGGGGAGCTTTCTCTCTCTCTCTCTCTATCTCTCACTCACTCTATTTGAACAGGTTAGTATTTGAAGGTGATGATGATGATGATGACGAGATAAATACCAGCAATTGTTGCTAAGAATAAGCAATTGATGAGATTAATTAAAAGGCGAGATGAGAAAAGGCAATGTATTAATTATCCACTGATTTTAGCCACTTTACAGGAAGGAAAAAGTGAAATGGGATAAATAAGATTTCAAGTCTTAAGATGATGACGAAGCTAAAAAAGAGATGAGAAAATATTGGTGAAAATCACTGATTATCACTTGATTGAAATGTCAATTGATCTAATTTTATGGTTAAATACAATTGAGAACGATGTAGAAATTTAGAGAAGTGCACTGGATTGGTAATTTATATTGACACAAATAGACACACAGAAAGATGTTGTTGTTGTTGATGACGATGATAAAATATACACAGAGAGAGAGTGTGTGAGTTGGTGAAGTTGTTGGGTAGATTGATAAATCTGGTGGTTTGTCTTTGTTTTAACACAATTTGTTTATATTCACAGAATCAAATCAACGCACAATCCAATTGTACGGTTACCATTACCAAGGACAACATTCCTACACATATAAATATAAATACATTTATATATATATATGAATACCACACAGATTAAATGAGCTCCATAGATACGAGAGTTTATAAAATGAACCAAGAAAATAAAATAAACATCAACCTCCAATGTCTTTGGAAAGCTTTTCACTGGATTTTGTTAATTTCTTATTCTTTTTTTATCCTTTCAGATTTTCCATGATATTCACCACATGATGATTATTCCTTAATCTTTATCAACTCATCATATTTTATCTGGTTCCATGGTGGTTGTAATGTTCCCTTCACTTTAACGTTATCATAGTTTTCCATCAACACCATTTAGCTTTTTTCTTTTCTTTACTTTTGGTTATTTTTTTCTTCTTCTCTTCTCAATGTTTCTTTTACCGGTTTTTTCTCTTTCTTTTCCTTTAGTATTTAACAAGTTCCTCTGTAAATTGTTGTTGTTGTTTTCTCTCTTATAGAATCCAAAGACCGCCTAAAAAAGACCAAAGTCTTTGATCGAGTTGTTGGTGTGTATCCACCAAAGAACAGGAAAAAAAAAGGATGAGTGAGTTGGTTGGAGAAAAGAGTGTGTGAGTGTCTCTTTTCAGATGAATGTTTATTATCCACTTTCACTTAGAAAATTGGGAGAAGAAAATGATTAACTCTAAAAGAGAGAAAGAAAAAGAAAAAGAATAATCAGTTAATTAATTTCACGTTGAGAATTCAAACTGAGAATAGAATAGAGAAAAAGAAGAAAACAAAAAGTGATGAATAAAAAAAGGAAGATGATTAAGAGATGAACACATAATACAGAAAATACAACAAACAGGTTACCTGAAGATCTTAATGACCGGTAAATAGCATGGTAACAACATCCAAAAGCTGAAATATACAAATAGAGAAGAGAAAAAAATTGATTAGAGAAACAAATTAAACAGAATCAACAACAATTAAATAACAGTTATAATGTTACGTTGATAAGATTGTGGTGATAATAGATTAGTGATCATATGTTGATGTTAATAAACAGTAATAAAAGATCAAGAGGAAGAGAAGGAGAGAGAGAGAGAGAGAGAGTATGAAGATTATAACAGGAAATCAAAATGAGAAACAAGATTAAAGGTTAATTATTGAAGATCTTTAAGAACACTAATGATGTTGAGACTAATCTGTATTGTGAATTTGGAAACAACAACAATGAGAATACAAATATAATCAGACAGATGAGTTTATGTCTTTTCAAGAGAAAAGAACAGAAGAAAAGAGAGAGAGAGAACAAAAAATATTCTCTTTAGAAGGATAAGGACATCGCTCTCTTTTCTCTATCTTCTTCTTCTTCAGGCTTAAGCATGATGATGATGATGATCTTCACCATTTCTCTCTCTCTCTCTCCTTTATCATCAACAAATCCAAATGTTGATGATATTTTAATGGTTCCATATACAAATAAATCTCATCATGTTACTATAAACATGCAAGTAAAAGCTGGACACAATTAATTAAATTATTATTACACTCAGGTAGGTAGAAGAAGATGAAGATGATGAAGATGATGATGAGTCGTGTATCTTTTTCTTCATCATCAGTGTTGCTTGATGATGATGTTTGTAAGTTTGTTTTCGCATTGTTATTGTGACCCTTAGGGTCGGAAAAGAAAAAGAAAATAAAAGATATTCTTATATTTCCATTTTCTTTCAAACAATTTGATGGCCCAATTTTAGTAATAAACTCTCACCATCATAATCATCATCTTATTATCAACAATAAGAAAAAAGAGAAGATGATTCTCACTCTATAATTATATGATAATCAAATTGAAATGAATAAATTGTTCCAATAAAACACCATGAAAATCATGAATAACTTAGAGAGAGAGAGAGGAAACAATAATCTCAATGGTAACATCACATAGTAGAATCATGAAAACGGTAACACAACAGTTTGAGGTTTAAATTAACATTTTTTCATCTAAATGATGATGAAGATGATGAAAGAATAGAATTGTGATAAAAAAAAGTGAATCAACACCAACAGATTCTCAATTTAGATTCATCATAATTTGGCTAAAATCCACAAGAAGAGACAATCAGGTTAACACATACACCAAATGGAGAGAAGAAGAAAACAATTGATGTTGTTAATTTTGGTAGAAAAAGAAAATTGTATTCCTTTTTCTATATCAACAATTAATCTTCATACACTAATCATGTAGACACATTATCGGCTTAAAACCATAATAACAATTTAAGGTGATTTAACAGATTATAGAATCGGTTTGATTGGATTTCCTTTCTCTCTCGGATTGTTTTCCTCCATCAAATTGTGTTGATTGTATTTTGCTTCATGTCAATTTAATGATCTTGTGAACATCATAATCATCAACATGATCGTGTTACCGTTAGATTTACAGTACAATAACCAACACAATTTGAATAACAGGTAATCACAAATATAATAACTTATATTTAGCAAGAAATTCACAAATTAATCTTTACTATTACAATTAATTGAAATCCCGGCAGGTTAATCAAGGTTCCAGCTTTTGGGAATCTACTCTTGTATTAATATCACCATTTAGTTTAACATCAACATAAACATGAAAACAGAATTTGGGGAGAAATAAAAAACACGTTAATTAACTAACCATTTTTAAAGTGTTGATCGATGTTTAATTGATTGTGATAGAGAGGAAAAGGTGAAGATGATGAATTAAAGTGATGAAGATAAAAAAAGGTCATCCATTTGTGTTTTGCTTGTTACTGGTTTGTTGTTGTTTCTTGTTCAGGGTTATAAATATGAGGAGATATTTTTGTTTATTGTTTTGTTGATTCAGTTAATTGGTTGACTTTTAATCGTATTGGAGATTGATGATCATGTTAATCAATTTCCAGGATAATTAAGGTAAAGATGAGATTCACAATTACAAGAAGAAGAATATTATAAAAAGACTTTGAGGTAAATAAGAGAAAGAGAAAAAAATAGATGACATTTTTATCTTTCTTTCTACTCTCTTTTCTACATTATGAGAGATTCGGGAAGAAAAAGAAACAGCTCACTCGGTTTAGTCTCTTTTCTTTATCTTCTCTTTCTTTTTTTCTCTTTCTATTTTGTTTCTTCTTCTTCTTCTTCTTCTTCATGAGTTCACAATTCAAATGAATAGAGTTTCAAATACTCTTTTGGGATTGGTAATCAATCGTAACAATCGATGATTAATTGAGTTTTCTTATTATGAATAATTGTGTTTATTATTTTCTGATGAAAATGATGAAACATTTTGGTGTTAAATTGGGAAAGGAAAAAATTACATTTGTTTTTTTTTTGCTTTTTCGAGTTTGAATGTTGTTGTTGTTGTTGTGGTGGTGGTGACGATTTAAACAACGATACGAGGAGCGATTTGCATTGACATTAATTCTTGAAATAAAAGTTTACAAGCATAAGGTAGTCTGACTTGAGAGATTTGAGTTTTGTTGCGACAATTTTTACATTCGAATGTATTGTTACGGAGATTAGCGATACAGATTAGGCCACATAAGTTGCATACGTGAACTCGATATGGATCGGAAACCTCGAAAAGACGTTCTCTCAAAAATTGAGCTGCTCCATGAGCGATTTGACAATCACGTTCCATTTCACCGAAACGTAAACCTCCATCTCTTGCACGACCTTCCATCGGTTGTCGTACTAAAATTTGAACAGGACCTCGAGCTCGGGAATGAATCTTATCGTCTACCATGTGTTTAAGACGCTGATAATAAGTTGGTCCTAAGAAAATTTGAGCATTTACTTTACGACCAGTATAACCATTAAACATCACTTCGTAACCTCTTAAATGATATTATCATTATGATAACCATCCCAATATTCCCAAAGAGTAAAAACCAAGAGAGAGATGGAAAAACTATGAGGTAACATTCCTTTGGTGTCGCGAGATGGAGCCACTAATACAGTGGTCACACTTATCGCAATTTTTTTTTGAAAGCCGCCACCTAGTGTTTCGTAGTTATTTAGGTAAATCTCTCACAGTTGGTGTGCTAATTAGAGATGAGTAAAGGGTTAACATCAAGTCCCTTGTCTAATTAACACACTGATCTTGCGATAAGTTTGATGACCACTGTAGATTTGTGTTCTGCATTGACTGACATTGGCTCCATCTCGCGACAAACTGAGCGGTTAGTTCATTGCCTTACGGGCCTCCAAGTAACACTGAACTTAATGTATATATTCATAGTTCTTGATGTTAGAAAGATAATAACAAATTTTTCTTACATATTGATTAATCTGGTTTACTTAACTTAATTGTCAAATTGTTCAATGTGATTCCAAGTTCCAAGTCATATCTTCCTGGTCTTTCATGTATTTTAAACAAATTATGAAAAAACCAAAAAAGAAACACAATAAAAAGAAAAAACATAATTTGGATCCACATCTTTAATCAAATTACTTCGCTGAGTTATGAAACATGATAGAACATATCATCACTCCTTATTCTAACAAACATACATCAAAATTTGAAATTTATGATCCTCTTTGAAATATAATAAATATTCGACACTTAATGATTTATCTGCATGATGAAAATTTATATCAAAAGTTAAGATACACAAAATTGAACCACCAAATAAACCAGTTTTGAACATTTAACTTCGATTGAATGATCGAGCTCTGTATACGACATCCAACAAAATCTTCTTATTATCGTAATTATAAGATCCAATTCCGTGCACCACCTCAACCACGAGCTTCGAACACTTAAGAGTATCAGGTTGATGTTTACCACCACAATTCGAGCATTTCCTAGTTCCGGGTAAACATCCATTGTCATGTTTAGGATAACTACACCTTGGACACAAAAGTTGTTGAGAACATTCATTTAAATGCGTAATTTTCACTCTTTTATGACAAAATCCGCAATGATATAAACCAGTATAGGTGTAAAGCGATAAACCAAAGCCATTACAGTTAAAAGTCCCACCTAGTAAGAAAACAATAGTTTTCGGAAAGAAAACATTAAAATTTCATCAAAAAATAACATTAGCCACTGTTTAATAGCCAATAGTTTTTCTGTGCTGTCTCTTTCTCTCCACTCTTTGCATATTCCTAAGAGAACAAAACAAAACAAAAATTATAAAATCATCTCTTGATGGAAAATGGAGACAAAATAAAATCTACACTTACGGCAGGAAATTTTTGACATTTACTGTATCGTTGAAAGGAGCATCACCAATTTCCCTTTGTTGGCTGATACTTTTCCTTGGAGACATCCAATCAAGTGACCAATGGTCATACGAGATGGAATAGCGTGAGGATTGATAATAATATCTGGTGTAATACCTTCAAAGTGAAAGGCATGTCTTCTTGTCTGGAAAATATAATAAATTAGATTAGAATTGATTTTTTCCTCAAATTGATCAACATTAAATTGTTCGTTATTTTACCTGTAAGGAATACCAAGTTCTTTGTCCGTGACGAGAGGCAAATTTGTCACCAATTTGTGGTATTCTAACTGATCGTACTCTTATTTTACAAAATTTGTAACCATCATTGTTAATGATCATCACTTGATCAACAATACCGGTTTCACTATTACGAAGGAAAGTTGATGCATCTCTTTAACAAACTTTTGGTCGTTGCTCGAGTTCATCTTCGTTTTCAGGTAATAAACTGTTTTGCTGATAATAACATCGTCACCTGACACTCTGCTACCTGGAGCAATTATATGTTTACTAAATATATAATAAATAATAATATATATTATATCGGCCATCGCCACACACAGGGCCAATCCTTGATTGTATTCCTCAGGTATGAAAGATATTCAATGGACGATAATGAAATCCTTGCAAATGACCTTGAAAAACGTTCTTTCACCAATAACTTAAATGATCGTCATTTATATTGCAGGTCAATGTCGATGTGCTTTAATTACGAGGGTTTAGTTTTGAGATTCACGATCAACCAGGCAAGCAAATTATTCCTGATAATCAAGATGCTACTTAGAGAAATCACAACCAAATCAATTAATCTTTCCAGTGAGATTGGAAATCATCAATTATTATTATTAACTAAGGAAAAGATGTTAATGAAAAGCCAAGAATTACTAAATTGTCTTGGTAAACAATAAAATTAAAAAGATTGTAATTTGCTTCCGATTAACCCAATTTCATTTCTTTTTCCTAATATTTAAGTTAATCTCTCATCCATGATGACGATGATGATGATGAGCAATCTAATTACTCTGGAAAGAAATTTAATAATAAGATAATGTTTAATAATAGAGAAAAGTTTGTTGGCTTGATTGTTACGGTTAAATTTAATTCCTTTGAATAATTTGTTTGTTTAAATAATAATGACAAATGATGATCATGATGATTGAAATGACATGGATGAGATTATGATGAAAGAAACTTTTTTAGGACAATTCAGGTTAATTAAATTAATATCGGGAAGAGAAAACAATTGAGATTTGTTGATTGTTTCTATACATTGTTAGGATTTAATTGTTGATTCATTTCCTTGGTTTCATGATTGCAATTGGCTCCTTGATCTTACTACATTTGTATTTGAAACATTTACCAGGATTATCCTTCCCGTAAATTGCTGCTGATTTAAGAGTTTCCTTGAATTTGATGCTCACAAATTGATTACTCAAAATGTGACTTAAAATGCTGAATGAAATGATTAACAGGAAAAATGATTAGTTAATGAGAATTTTTTTTCTTTCTCGAAACAATTGAAACATTAACTTACATCGATGTTACCGAACGATCTAAGATCGGTGCTTCTCGGTTATTTGGGTCACTAAATTCGCACCCAAGTCGTTCGAGGCAATGGTCACTCGATGATAAAAGTCCATCACATTGTAAGTAATTCGCCATCGCTTGGTCTCTGTCCTTCTCGTTAAAATGAACCTTTTGAAGGAAATCAGCGACAATCTAATTGTAGGAGGAAGAGGAAACAGTTAAACGAATATTATTTCAATTGTAATTCTACTTTAACTCGTTTATTACCTTTAATTGTTGATTTGTATTTTCCATTTTACTCCAATCGTTATTGATTGCTGATGTTGTCTCATTGTCACTTTTTCCCTCTTTCATTTTGGTTATATTTTGTTTGGTTAAATCGATTAATGGAATTACATTTGGTTCCTCCATTAGAGTGAAATCACTTGTTGGAAGAGTTAAATTAAATTGTGATGATTGATCACGTTTTCGACGACGTTTTCTTCCTGCAGCGATTGTCGCTGTCACCGGGATAATCATCGGAGTGAACAGGTAACTTAACATTGGTGCTAAAACAAGGGGTAAAGTTGCTAAAAGTAGTCCACCGGGACCAAGTCCTGTTTTAACAAAGGTTAAATATGATAAGAAACAATAAGAATCATAGTAATAGGTGATCGTTCATGGGATGGGAAAAAGTTTCAAATGATTGATTGAATTACCTGTTCGTTGAGTACTTTTACTCCCAGTAATTGCTGGGGGTGCGATAAATGGCTGCTCTGAACTTGCGGCTGTGGCATGTAAGCTACTCGAGGAAGGAACTGGATTAGGTCCATAGAAATATTGACCACGAAACTCAACAATCTCTGGCCGATTAAGGTAACCATAGACGGCACTTTCTGTAGTTCGTCCAGGAGTTGATGCTGATGGATACATTGTTGAATGGCGATCACGAACTGGATAAAGAGAGAGAGAGAGAGAGAGAGAAACGATTTTAGTTAATCAGCCGATTTTTTATGTTTAAGAGTTACAATTAACACTCACAATGTTTCATCCGTTTAATTGAGCCCATTCTAGATGGTCCAGGGGCTCGACTATGGGTCACTGAATACGCAGCCACAGGGACGAAGACGCTTTTCTGTGGAGATTGACCTCGTCTCTTGCTATATCGTGATGGATATCGGTGCCAACGATTATCATCATAATCCTCAGCTGGGTCGATATAAGGTGATGTATCTTGCTGATCAGAATCGTGACTCGAATTGGCCAAGAAATCGTACATATCTGCCATTTCCCCGATTATTACAACTTTCTTCTTATTTCCCAGACTTCGACCTCCATTTACAATAATCTATTGAACGATAGATCAATAATTCAATATAAATAAAAACCAAATTGTTTCAAATCCACAAACAATTAATAATAATAAACTTACATTGATAAAATATTGCGAAAATGTAATGGACACAATTATGTAAATTTTGATTAACTTGAGATAAATTGGTTTGGTTGATTTTGCCATTACTTTATTGGCTAATTGTTGATAATAAAATTGATTTTAATCACTAAGAAAATGAATGGAAAACTATAGCAAAAAAAGATTAATTAATTCTTGTAATCACTAGACTTAAATATGATGATTAACATGATTTGTCGTTGTTGTTGTTGATGTAATATCATAGTGACAATTTGGTAACAATTAACACAGAAATTGAAACATAATCTTAACCTAACCTCTTACTGATTTGATTGTAATTTGATTGCAACTTGAAAAAAAAACACTAAAACCAGAAATAAATTGGTTCCAATTGAGTTGGATTGTCTCATTGATGGTTAACAATAAGTCAACGGGGGAAATTAACAATTTAATTCTGGTTTCTTCCATTATCCACCGTCATTGTGGTGTAGCACAATTAACCCGCCTCTCTCTCTTTCCGTTAATTTGGTCAATGGTTACAACTCAATTAATTTTCATTATCATCAAAGAATCTTAATTATTACATAACAATTAATATTATTCCGATCAACTCACCTTTTGTTATCTTCCATCACCAACAATGAGAGTAACAAGATTAACCTGATAATCAAAGTGAATCAAATACTAGTGATTAGAATTAATTTAATTTACTCTTCAATCAATGATATAATTTAGAAGAAAATTTGATAAACAATTAAATCCATATTCTGTTTACAAATTAACTATTCTAATAGATTAATTAAGATCCAATCAATTCCTAACCAAACAATTAGCCGAATCCATTTCAATTGTTACGATAACATTTAATCAATCGTAACACTCAAGATCAGTATTAATATCAATCCTTTTGAAGGTAAAAAAATCTTGATTGTTGATTTACAATTATCAAACACTCGTTGATTTAAATTTTTAACAATTTACCTTAATTGTGATAATTTAGGAAAAAAAGAGAATCAGAAAAAATTTCAATCTTTTTGTATCTTAACTTTTTTCTTGTCCTTTAAACGGTTCAGATGATTATGGTTACTTGATTCACGGACCATGAATATCATCATCATCTTCATCCCTTATCATCATTGTGTATCAGCCTCTCTCTCTCTCTCTCTCCTTGATTGTCATCATTATCATCATGACCAAGTTAACCATGTTAATCCATTCGCATTAATCCATGACCATCACAATGTTTTTTTTGCAACCAAAGATGAGAATCGTTTCTTTAAAATACTGAAAAACAATTAAGTTTAAAACTATTTTAACCTTTTCTTTTCATGACAATTATTGTACTAGAGATGATCTTGATTCTTACAATTAAACCTTCTACATCTAAATTGAGCTAATATTGCGAGAACAATTAAAAAGTGTATAATAGAAAAGTAGATTTATAATATATACAGAATATAAAGAAACGATAACATTTGAAATGATTTGTTTTTCTGCTTTCAAATTCATCAATAGGAGATGTGATGACGATAATACCCACAGAATTAATTGTCGATCTGGTTGATGATTTTTCTACCAAAATGATATTACATTTAAGTTTATCATTCACAATTATCAACATTATTTAGTGTGTGTATCATTACATATCAACTAAGACGACCTTTTTTTCCCACTTACCTTTTATCTCGTCGATTCCTATTGTTAAGGTCATCATGTTTACCGCTCACCTTTTACTGATCCTGCTGTTTTCCCGAAATCCTTCAGGCCTAACGGCTTCTCCTCCTCCTGGAATAACAGTATCTCTCTCTAATTGTGGACTCTTTTTAGATTAAGATTAAGATGATGATGATGATGAGAAAAAGAGAAAATAATTAAAACGAAACTGAGGAGAAAAAATTGTGACAATCTAAAAGGATGTAATCATATTCACCTCTTTTTTAATCAGAATTAAAGTCAATTGTTACGAAGGAGAAAAAAATGTTCAATCTAATTTTGTTTTCTTCTTCTATTTGTAAAGTAATTAACTTTAATCAACATTATCATCAGTATCATCATCTACTTTCAATCAATTCAATCAGTAAATTGTTCAATCAACTCTAATTAATCAACATCAATTTTCAACTTGTTTTCACATCATGTCAATTTTAACTCAATCATATTTACCTGATCAACTTATCAACATCGTTGCTTTTTGGAAACCTTTTAATTGTTAACAATTTAACTAAATTCTCGTGGTTCCAATGTGTTAATTATCAACTGGATTAACTTTGTAACCTTTTTAATTACAATTTTTGGGAGAAAATTTGTTTTTTTTTTCAATTCACTTTGTTGACTCTTTTCTGTTAATCCTCTTGATGGTTTTACTTATTATCGTCACTTGGGATTTAACCAATAACGATCTTAAATCTATTCTTTATTCTGGATTAACTGGATTGTAATTGTAGTTGATTAACTTTTCCAGGTATGGATTATGTTCTTCTACAATTAGGTAACCCTGGTCGTTACCAATTGTTTATTGCTTTTCTCCTTTGTTGCCTTCAAATACCAATTTCCTTCTCTGGTCACCTTTGGTCATTCTATATGGATGATGTTCCTCATCGTTGTTATATACCTTCAAATCAACGGAATGGTTCAAATGAGATTGATTGGATTCCACGAACAATTAATGAAAAAACGGGTTCAACCATTTTCTCTTCTTGTGAAATTTTCATCGATCCATTTGCCCATTGGAAAGGTAATAAAAAGTGTACCACTGGTTGGGAATATCGACCCAATGAAGGTCAACATAATCCAATCATCGAATGGGATTTAGTTTGTGATCGATCTTATCTGGTAACATTACTATTTTATACCTCCCTTGGATCATCAATCATCGGTGGACTAATTGTTGGACTAATTGCCGATCGATTTGAACGTAAATCATCACTTCTATTTTCGTTGTATTTATTTGTGGCAGTCGCTTTTTCAATGCACTTTGTTCAGGATATCATTTCGTTTGGTATCGCTTTTTGTTTACAAAACTTTTTCCTAATGGTAAGATTAGAACAATTAATTTGATCAAGGCAAAGACATTGAGTTCGCAACCACTTTTTAAATCATTCACGAAGTTTAATAATAATCAATGAGACATACAATTAACCCAGAGATATGATATTAAGTATTTTCCTCTAGTTTGTAAGTGATTTACTGTCTTAAAATGGTCAACTGATTAGTTATCAAAAGTTATCTTTACTTGATTGTCATTAGCTATTTCAAACTCAAAGTCTTTGACTGTTTAATGATAATAATTTGCTGAATTAATCGAATCAATTACATGAAAAATTTATCATTAGGGTATTCAAATTGCATCTTATGTCCTTCTTATGGAGATCATGCCTTCCCCGTATCAATTTCAAGCGTCCGTTTATTATGTGGGCTTTTCGATAGTCTCATCGATGATTGTCCCTCTAATTATGTGGCTCATTTCTTCATGGAGATACATACAATTAGCTATTTCTGCTCCAGGGGTTGTATTTTTTGCTCACCTATGGTAAGAAAATCCTTTGTTATTTGATCGCTTAATATTTTCCAATAGCGACGAGTATGAATTATGATTGTGAGTTTCATTTTCTCCACTTGTTTAATTGTTGATAGGATTTTACCTCGATCGCCGTTGTGGTTAATCTCTGAGGGTAAAATGACCGAAACCGAAAATCTTATGGAAAATCTTGGTAAACAAAATGGTAAATCAATGCCTCCAAGTTTTAGATTACATTTGCAAAATTTTCTTAATCTAATCAAAAGTTGCGATGGTTTAAGTGGAAAACGACACAATATTTGGTCACAATTTTCATCGCCATCATTACGTTGGTACCTATTGGCTCATTTTTACCTTTTCTTTGTCACTTATTTATCACTAAATGTCACCGATTCTCAGGTATTGAGATTACATCAAACTAAACACACTGATTACTTTTATCGAGGTCTAATGGATCTCGGTGCTCTTACAATAATCTATCATATATCAATGAGGTTGGTAGTTAATTGTTCATACAAATTGGCTTTAATTGTTGATTATTAACATTCGGTTCTTGCTTATTTTCAATCAACCAGAATTGGACCAAGACCAATGCAATCAATTATCTTCATTCTAAGTGGACTCTTGATGATGATTGCGATTTCCATTGAAGAGCTTTTTCCAATTAACAATGAACAAAATGGTAAATTAACAATTAAACGATTAAACATTTTACTAATAATTTTCTCTCTTCTTTTCACTAAATTGTTCTAATTAGGTTATAATTATCATATATTGTTGATTCCGTCAACTTTGGTTTCTGCAGCTCGAACCTTATTGATGACTTTACCCATTTTCATTTGGTATCATACAATTAAAACTTTACCAACGGGAATTAGGTAATAATTGATCTTGATCATTATATTTACGAAATTAGTTAAATGTTTAAATTAAAAAAAAAAAGTTGATTAAAAATGAAAATGATTCTTTTTCTATAAGAATTGGAAAAAAAATTAAGGTCAAAATATATCGATGATTATTGATCGATTGTGGTTAAATTAGAACCTTAATGTTGGTTATATCAACAATTATTAACCTTAATTATTACCTTAATTTACTTAATTAATCAAAATCATTTCATTTAATCATCGACATCATCAATTTACTAGAATTCAAATTTTCCCCATTGAGTTAACACAGAGACTCATCATTATCACCCAACTTTTTGCTTAATCTTTTGATTAGAATAATCAAACTTATATCAGTTTGAAGAGCACCAAAAATATGACCGGTCAATATTCAGAAACAATTAGTTAATTGTATTCACTCAGAGTAATTAACTGAAAACTCAATGTTTTCAGTTAATTTTCAACATAAACAAGTAATTCGCACACACCAACCAAATGTTGACCAAGATGTCAAAGGTTATACTTATATATATATTTAGAGAGCTCATGAGATGAACAATTGAATGGTACATGTTACATTTTTCTATCGTCAAAATTGACCGAGTAATGACCGATAATGTTTGGTCCATTTCCATTTCCCATAATTAACGTTTTTCGCTTATTGTAGCTAATCAACATTTCCCATGTAGACCAAACATTATAATTGGTTAAAGGTCATTAAGAAGAAGATAAAATTAAGCTCAATACTTACCCATAATCCTTTGGTCTCATACTGGCGCCTTAACCTTTAAACCTAAAACTTACTTTTCCTTTGTTGATCCTCCGTATGCTCCTAAGCTCTAATCTCATCCATATGCTCATCCAAATTGATCATCTCCTTTGGCGCTTCAATGCTGTTCACTTTCCTTTGTTAATGAAGCAAAGACAAACTCAAACCAACGGTCACTCAAATTGACCAATAAGGTTAATTTTTACCTTTTCTTTGTAAACGCCTTTCTCACTATTTAAACTCATTTCTTTATTAATAAATTAGTCCAGTTGATGATGTACAAGTAAATGTTTTACTTGATTTGACTCTCTATGTTTTCGTGTTTAATTTAAATCAAGTTTAAGTTGATCAATTGATCGACATATTTAGTTGATTTAATTTTGATTGTGATTAAGTTGGTGAAATCAACAGGTTATGGGCTCAGTCGCTTCTCTTAAATTGTGTTAATCTTTGCGACAAATTTTGTGCGTTTAATTTTTCTCTCTCTCATCATCTCATCAATTACCTTACCAACAATTAATTAATCAACAATTCAACAAAATCATCATGATGGATCATCAAGATATGATTACGATTAAATTATCAAGTGATAATTATTTACATTGGAAAACGTATATTCAGGCTGTTCTAGAGTCTAAAGGAGTTTGGGAAATAGCCAATGGCTCATCTTTGTGTCCACTTCCATTTACAGAGGAAGAAATTGAAACTGAATCAGCCGCATCAATCAACAGAAGAAATAAATCAATAAGTGATTGGAAAACAAGTGATGCTACAGCGCGAATGCTTCTCATGAATTCAATGGATAAGGAACATATTAGTTTGGTGATTAATTGTTCAACCTCCAGCGAAATATTCAACTACATTATCGACCACAGAGAAGAGAGGACAACAAATAACGAGTGGACAATTCGGCGTAAGTTGACTGACTTAAGATTTACCTCATCTCACACGGTTACAAGCTATTTTGCTGAATTAGAATCTGTAGTTAAACAAATGAGAGATTTAGGTTATAATGTTGATGACACTCAATTAATGATAAAAGTTCTTGATGACTTACCTCCTAGTTTTCGGTCGTTTCGTCAGATGCTAGAAATTTCCCTTATCTCTGGTATTAATATAAACTTGCGAAATTTGAAATCTCAATTATTAATAAATGAAAAGCAAGATGAGCGAGAGAAAAATAATAAACATGGTGATGCTTTAGTTTCGACTAATAATTTCAAAGAGAATCAGAGTAACAATGTGAGAAAGTGTTACGGTTGTGGAAGTGCTGATCATTTGCTACCTCAATGTCCTCAGAATAGGAACAGAAATTTTCAGAGAAACAACAAGTTCAACTCTTATAATAAGAGATCATTCCACAAGAACAAAAGGTTCAACAATAATCGAAATAGCAACAGAAATAATAACAATCGAGACAACAACAGCAACAACAGTAATAACAACCAAGAAAACAACCGAAATAATAACAACAACAATCAGTATCAAAGTAACAGAAACAGATCGAATCAAAATAATCGTAATCGTGATAATAATTCAAACAGATCGAATAATCAGAACAACAACAATAACAACAACAATAATAATAATGAAGAAAATTCTGATAATAATTATGTTTCTTTCACTGTCAATGAAAATGAATCAAGTTGTTCTCAATGGTTGTTAGATACAGGAGCAAGTTTTCACATGACAAGTAATATTGAGTATTTTACTCGTTTCCATGAATTAGATGAACCAATTTCATTAACTATCGGCGATGGTAAGAAAATACAAGCGATAGCTAAAGGTGACATTCTTGTTAATTGTTTCAATGGAAACAATTGGATTAACTGTGAACTGACCAATGTTCTCTATGTTCCTAAATTAGGAAATTTTAACTTATTCTCTTGGGGTCAAACAGTCACCAAAGGTTTTGGATTAAGATCCACCTCTAATTCAACTGAAATTTACGACGTTAATTCAGGTAAAACTGTCATGATTGCCAATAGATTTTCAAATACTTTTAAATTAATGATAAAACAAAGAGACAATAAAGATTCATTTTCATTGGTATCGAAAGCGACACTTACCGATTGGCATAAGCGACTTGCTCACATCAACGTTTACAAGATTATTCAAATGTCTCGAGATGGTATTTTACCTAAAATAAAAATCGATTATGAACCAAGTAAATTTCACTGCGAGGGTTGTATAAAAGGTAAAATGTGTCGAAAAACTTACAAGTCAGTGAAAGAGAGAGATGTTAAGACTGGAGAATCTATCCACTGTGACCTCCAGGGTCCAATGTCAGTTAGCTCATTGAACGGAAGTAAATATGCTCTTGTTATTAAAGACGAAAAAAGTTCTTTTCGCGCCATTTTCTTCCAGAAACAAAAATCAGAATCTTTTTCTAATCTCGATAAGTTTATTAGATACGCTGAAAAAACGACCGAAAACAAGATAAAGACCATCAGAAGTGATAATGGGAAAGAATTTATTGACATTAGAGTTAAAACTTTACTAGAAAATAAAGATATCGTTCATGAATTAACTGCACCTTATTCACCACAACAAAATGGTAGAATCGAGAGAGAGAACAGAACAATCACTGAATTAGCCAGGTCTATGATGCTCAATAGCAAATTGCCGAAGTTCCTTTGGGCTGAGGCGATGAGTACCGCTGTGTATGTGTTAAACTTAATTCCGAATAAGAGTCAACAAAATGTTAGCCCTCTTGAACTGTTCACGAAGAAAAAACCGAATTATACTCACCTTAAGACCTTTGGCTGTGTTTGTTATACCAAAATTCCTGATCACATGAGAAAGAAATGGGATCCAAAGGGAAAGAAAGTTATTTTCCTTGGTTACACCAATACCATCAATAATTATCGCATTTATGATCCATCAACAGGTAAAGTGTCCGTGAGCACTGAAATAAAGTTCAATGAAGAAGATTGTGATGGATCCAAGGTGATTGAAGAAGCTTTTGATGAAGACGAAGTTGATCTTGAATTACTATGTGGAGAAAATAAAAAACAAGATGATGATGATGATAATTTTGATGACAACTCCAGTGACACAACGGAAATAATAGACGATCCACCTGAATCAATTGATGATAATAATTTAATTAATCAAATTGCCTGTCAAGCAGTTATCACTAATCAAGAGCCTTTAACATATGAAGAGGCAATTACTTCTGACGATAATATTAATTGGATCAATGCTATGAAAGATGAAATGAAATCAATTGATGAAAATGATACTTACACTTTAACTGAGTTGCCAAAAGGTAAAAAATGTATTTCCTGTCGTTGGGTTTTTCGTATCAAGAGGAACACCGATGGTTCTATCGAAAGATATAAGGCCAGGTTGGTGGCCAAAGGCTTTTCTCAAAAGCCGGGAATTGATTATTTTGAAACTTTTTCCCCTGTTGCTCGTTATGATTCAATTAGAGCAATTTTATCCATTTGTGTTGCTCATCGAATGCACATTATGCAGTTCGACATCAAAACTGCTTTTCTTTATGGTGAACTTGATGAAGAAATTTATATGCAGCAACCACCAGGATTCGACGATGGTACCAATCGAGTTATGTTTCTAAAGAAGGGGCTCTATGGATTAAAACAGGCACCACGTCAATGGAATAAAAAGTTAACCAGTTTTCCAATCGATCAATTTTCAACAATCAGAAGCCGATAAGTGTATTTTCATGAATTTCCATGATGGATTAACTATTTGTGTGATATATGTAGATGATGGTTTGATTGTCAGCTCAAACCAACAACAATTATCATCTTTAATTGACAATTTAAAGAAAACGTTTCAAGTTAAAGTTCATTCCCCTCAAGTATTTGTAGGAATGGAAATTCATCAAAGTTACGATCGATCATCAATAACAATTAAACAATCATGTTTCATCAACGAGTTATTAAAAAGATTCAACATGAGTGAATGTAAATCAGTGGTAACACCAGGTGACTCGAATCTCAAGCTACAATCAACTAATCAACCACCCGATACAAATTTCCCTTACCAGGAAGCCGTTGGTGCTTTACTTTACCTCTCAATCATCAGTAGACCAGATATCACCTTCCAAGTAAATAAAGCAAGTCAATATAACTGTTGCTACAATGCTACTCATTGGCAAGCGGTCAAACGAATTTTTCGTTATCTTCGAGGTACAATCAACAATGGAATCACCTTCTCATCTACTCGTGACAATTTAAAATTAATTGGATATTGTGACGCCGATTATGCTGCCGACATCGATACAAGAAAATCGACCTCAGGTTTCGTGGTAACTTTAGGAGGTTCGCCAGTTTCTTGGGCTTCTCGCTTACAGAAATCAGTTGCTCAATCAACCACTGAGGCCGAATACGTTTCAATTGCAGACTGTGGAAAAGATATACTTTGGTACATACAACTACTTAAAGATTTAAAAGTTTCGATCGATTTTCCAGTTAAAATAATGTCCGATAATCAAGGAGCAATTAAATTGTCGAAAAATTCAGTTTTTCATAAACGAACAAAACATGTTGATGTTCGTTATCATTTCATCCGTGATCATCAAGAGAAAGGTACAATACAATTGGACTTCATTCCAACTCATGATCAACCGGCGGATATGCTTACAAAGTCGTTATGTTCACCGTCATTGCGAAAATGTTGCAACTTTTTAAACATTTATTGAGATCGAGCTTGGAGCAAGAGAGGGTGTTGGTTATATCAACAATTATTAACCTTAATTATTACCTTAATTTACTTAATTAATCAAAATCATTTCATTTAATCATCGACATCATCAATTTACTAGAAGTCAAATTTTCCCCATTGAGTTAACAGAGACTCATCATTATCACCCAACTTTTGCTTAATCTTTGATTAGAATAATCAAACTTATATCAGTTTGAAGAGCACCAAAATATGACCGGTCAATATTCAGAAACAATTAGTTAATTGTATTCACTAGAGTAATTAACTGAAAACTCAATGTTTTCAGTTAATTTTCAACATAAACAAGTAATTCGCACACACCAACCAAATGTTGACCAAGATGTCAAAGGTTATACTTATATATATATTTAGAGAGCTCATGAGATGAACAATTGAATGGTACATGTTACATTTTTCTATCGTCAAAATTGACCGAGTAATGACCGATAATGTTTGGTCCATTTCCATTTCCCATAATTAACGTTTTTCGCTTATTGTAGCTAATCAACATTTCCCATGTAGACCAAACATTATAATTGGTTAAAGGTCATTAAGAAGAAGATAAAATTAAGCTCAATACTTACCCATAATCCTTTGGTCTCTCATACTGGCGCCTTAACCTTTAAACCTAAAACTTACCTTTTCCTTTGTTGATCCTCCATGCTCCTAAGCTCTAATCTCATCCATATGCTCATCCAAATTGATCATCTCCTTTGGCTTCAATGCTGTTCACTTTCCTTTGTTAATGAAGCAAAGACAAACTCAAACCAACGGTCACTTCAAATTGACCAATAAGGTTAATTTTTACCTTTTCTTTGTAAACGCCTTTCTCACTATTTAAACTCATTTCTTTATTAATAAATTAGTCCAGTTGATGATGTACAAGTAAATGTTTTACTTGATTTGACTCTCTATGTTTTCGTGTTTAATTTAAATCAAGTTTAAGTTGATCAATTGATCGACATATTTAGTTGATTTAATTTTGATTGTGATTAAGTTGGTGAAATCAACACTTAATTAGAGAAATTCAATCATCCGATTAATTACAATTGACTTTTCTTTTCAACTAAAAAATGTTTCTTCTCTTCAATTGATTGTCACCTTTTTTCCCTCTCTAATTGTTGTCAACAATTAAAGGGCAATTGGATTCGCTTGTTGTTTTGCTTGGGGAGTTGTTGGACAAATGTCGGCTCCTAATCTTTTAGTACTTGTAAGTGATATGTCATTGGAATAGTTAGTTGATTAACTAATTACTCTCTCTCTCTCTCTCTCTCTCTCTCTCTCTCTCTCTTTGCATTATTAGGCTGAATTAATTGCTCCTTTTATCCCGATTGGTTTGTGTGGATCTTTGTCCATGATCGCCGGTGGTTTGTCGCTTCTTTTCCCTGATTTCTGGCGAAAACCGCTACCAAACACTTTGTCGGATGTTGAGAATCGTTCATCACCACAGACAACAATTAGTCGATCATCAATCAGTGATGGATTCCGACAAATTAAAAGTCTAAACTCACAATATATCAAATCACCTTGTGAAATTGATCTTTGTACATCAATGGATCCAAAGACAGAGGCGAAACTAATTCTTGCACAAAATTTGAATCCCGATCATCATCATCATCTTCATCATAATCATAAACAGCAACAATTACAATTTCAACACAATCAACAATATCATTTATCACAACAACAACAAATACAACAATTACCATTGACACAAAGTGATTGTTATTACGATGATGGATTAACAACAAATCACCTTACCTATGGAGGTATAATCGATGTAAATTATGATAACTCTTCAACAATTAACAGACCAATGATGCACCCTGACATTGATAGAATCAATTGTATTCGCGATTCAATTGTTCTCAGTGAAACCCAAGGGTCACAATTAACTGAACTTGATGATATGGTTGTTGATAATGGTAACTGGCATTTATTTTCACCTTCAGATAATCATTTGTATTTACCTTCATCAACCTCTGGACAATTAACTTCAAATCTTATTGGTCATAATCGTAATGGTATAGTTGAAACTAATCGCTCTTTTCGTGATTTACAAATTTTTTCAAACAATGGACAAACTAATCAACACCATTCTAATCACACCAATCAACAAAATAGATCAACAGTTGATGAAGATGAAAATTCTGCTGTCATTATAATTGAAAATAGTGTTGCTCAAGTTTCCGAGACAAAACTCTGATTTCTATCAGATAATTGAACTTTTAAAGTTTCGATTTTTTTTATATGTAAATGCAAGTACATCAAACAACTAAATAAATAATGCAAATTAATCAACATGATTCTAATCACTATAATTGAAAATCGTGTTCAGTGAATTTTCACTCTCATCTTGCGAGCGTTGATTACTCCAGGTTTCATTCTTAAGGTCATTCTGGTCAGTTTGGTTTCATTGTAGACCCGAAGATAAAATTGGCCGTTCGATAAAGTGAAATCTTTTCTTTAGCCTCAGGGTGAAAGATAGTTCGCGATTCAATCAGACAATAAGCCATAAGATGAGCGGTAATAATTTAAATCTCGAAAAGTTACTTTAATCATTACTTTAAGCAGTAGGATAGAAAACAATAAAATAACCAATTAAAAAATAAAAGATTTACATGAACAATTTAAAATAATAGGATCTATTAGTTAGAAATTGATTCTAACCAAAGTTGATAAACGAAAATATTTTTTATCATAATTTGTGTTACTATTGATCAATTGTATTTACAGTAAATGACCAATTAACTGTGGTTGGTTAAAGTTATCGTACGGATTAACCTCGACAAGATTAGTTGTTTTTATGTTGTCGGGTGAAATTCTCGGTGATAATTCATGATATTCATGAGAATCAGATGTATCCTGTTGATTATTGATCGGTAGAGTGGAGATTGATATTTGTGGTACTCGTTGTCGAACTCGAGTTCGAACATCCAAAGAAGCGTAATGGTTTGATTCTGTTTCTGGTGGTATTAAATTGGTTGTTGAGATTCGGGAAGAAAAAGAAACAGCTCACTCGGTTTAGTCTCTTTTCTTTATCTTCTCTTTCTTTTTTTCTCTTTCTATTTTGTTTCTTCTTCTTTTCTTCTTCTTCATGAGATCACAATTCAAATGAATAGAGTTTCAAATACTCTTTTGGGATTGGTAATCAATCGTAACAATCGATGATTAATTGAGTTTTCTTATTATGAATAATTGTGTTTATTATTTTCTGATGAAAATGATGAAACATTTTGGTGTTAAATTGGGAAAGGAAAAAATTACATTTGTTTTTTTTTGCTTTTTCGAGTTTGAATGTTGTTGTTGTTGTTGTTGTGGTGGTGACAATTTAAACAACGATACGAGGAGCGATTTGCATTGACATTAATTCTTGGAATAAAAGTTTACAAGCATAAGGTAGTCTGACTTGAGAGATTTGAGTTTTGTTGCGACAATTTTTACATTCGAATGTATTGTTACGGAGATTAGCGATACAGATTAGGCCACATAAGTTGCATACGTGAACTCGATATGGATCGGAAACCTCGAAAAGACGTTCTCTCAAAAATTGAGCTGCTCCATGAGCGATTTGACAATCACGTTCCATTTCACCGAAACGTAAACCTCCATCTCTTGCACGACCTTCCATCGGTTGTCGTACTAAAATTTGAACAGGACCTCGAGCTCGGGAATGAATCTTATCGTCTACCATGTGTTTAAGACGCTGATAATAAGTTGGTCCTAAGAAAATTTGAGCATTTACTTTACGACCAGTATAACCATTAAACATCACTTCGTAACCTCTTAAATGATAACCATATTCCTAAGAGAACAAAACAAAAATTATAAAATCATCTCTTGATGGAAAATGGAGACGAAATAAAATCTACACTTACGGCAAGAAGCTCTGAAATTTTTTGGACATTTACTGTATCGTTGAAAGGAGTTGCATCACCAATTTCCCCTTTGTTGGCTGATACTTTTCCTTGGAGACATTCAATCAAGTGACCAATGGTCATACGAGATGGAATAGCGTGAGGATTGATAATAATATCTGGTGTAATACCTTCACAAGTGAAAGGCATGTCTTCTTGCCTGGAAAATAAATAATAAATTAGATTAGAATTGATTTTTTTTCTCAAATTGATCAACATTAAATTGTTCGTTATTTTTACCTGTAAGGAATACCACAAGTTCCCTTTTGTCCGTGACGAGAGGCAAATTTGTCACCAATTTGTGGTATTCTAACTGATCGTACTCTTATTTTACAAAATTTGTAACCATCGTTGTTAATTGTGATCATCACTTGATCAACAATACCGGTTTCACTATTACGAAGGAAAGTTGATGCATCTCTTTTAACAAACTTTTTGGTCGTTGCTTCGAGTTCATCTTCGTTTTCAGGTAATAAAACTGTTTTGCCGATGATAACATCGTCACCTGACACTCTGCTACCTGGGGCAATTATACCATCATCTTCAAGTTTATCATAAATTGCATTACGCATATTTTGACATGTATCACGACTTGGCCTTTCAAATTGTTCTTCTTGATCACCAAGTCTTTTTAACTCGGCATCTTTGTAAGATCGATAGAAAACAGATCTAAAGAAACCACGATCGATGGCTGATGAATTTAAAATAACGGAATCTTCTTGATTGTATCCAGTGTAGGACATGATGGCGACAATTGAATTAATTCCAGCAGGTAATTCTCTGAAACGTAAATACTCCATGGATCTAGTGGTGACCAATGGTTTTTGTGGATAATAAAGTACATGGGCTAAAGTGTCCATACGAACATGAAAATTGGTAATATAAACACCCATGGCTTGTTTACCCATAGCAGATTGATAAGTGTTACGAGGTGATTGGTTGTGATCGGGAAAGGGAATGATGGAAGCACAAACACCAAGAATCATGGACGGATGAATTTCACAATGGGTATAAGTTGAACAATAGGCCATTTCAATGTCTTGTAAATCATCGGGTGTCATGGCAATCATGACGGTTTCCTCTTCTGATGTGTCAATATATTCAACGACACCACTTCCAACCAGATCACCCCAACTGTAATTATTGTATTCTCTTTCTTTTAACATGTCAATGTGACTCTTTTTGAGTAAAAGTTTCTGATTTTCGACAATCAGTAAAGGTCGACAAATTCGACCCGCGTCGGTAAAAATTCTAATCTCTCTGTCACGAATATCACGAACCATAGATACTTCTGATACAACGATGTCCATTTGACGACGAAGTTTCCTGAGAGTTGCCATAAGTAGATCGGGTTCACGATGAATTCCAACCCAACAACCATTTACAAAGATTTTCGTTGCATCAGCAATAGTTGAAGGAGCAGTTTCTTCAAGATTTTCCATACTCCATTCCTCCAAGAATTCAAGAATTGGAGATGGATTTGAACCAACGGAAATGTAAGCCATAAGAGCTAAATTTTTGACTAAACCGACAGCATGACCTTCGGGAGTTTCAGCGGGACAAATCATACCCCATAAAGTGTTGTGAAGTTGACGAGGTTTAGCTAATTTACCATCACGACCAATTGGTGAATTGACACGACGAAGATGGGATAAAGTTGAAGCGTAGGTTAATCTGTTAAGTACTTGTGAAACACCGGCACGAGCTTGATGAGCTTTCTTTTGATCACCCCAATTACCGGTAGCCAGGGAGTATCTTAATCCATCAGAAATTATTCTTGTTTTAATCGCAAGATCAAGATTAAAATCTTTTCCACTGTCGATGAATTTCTGAGCATACATTCGTACTTCTTTTGTTAAATTTCTGAAAAGTCCACGGAAAAGGTAAGCCATCAATGGACCAGCTAAATCAAGCCTTTTATTACCATAATGATCTCTGTCATCTAGTTCACGACGACCCAAAGCCGCAACCAAAAGTCGATGTACCATATAACCAAGATAATAAGCTTTCTTTGTCTCACAATAATCACTTATACCAACATGAGGTAACATTTCTTTCTGTAAAATTTCTTTGGCATATTTGATTCTTTTCTCTTTGGTAACACCAGGTCTTGCACCTCTAACACCGATGAAATTGAGAGCAACATTTTGCTCTTGCACAACGAAAGCTTCGTCTAGTGAAGGTTTAACCATTTCCATGATTTCGGGATCTTCAAAATCGTAAACAATATGTTCTAAAATATCTCGATCAGCGACAAAACCAAGAGCACGGAAAACAATCATAATTGGAATCTCTTGTTTGATGTAGGGAATAATGGCAATGATTCGTTGTCCAATAGCGGTTTTTTTAGTTCCATGACTTCCTCTGGAAAGCATATTAACCCAAAGTGTACTTGTTGGTCGAGATGAGTGTTCAATACAAGAACGACATTCAGCTTTATAGGCATATTTTGAGTCTTTCATACTAAAAACATATACAGAATTAGTTGCCATCTTTTCCTGGGCAATTAAAACCTTTTCAGATCCATTGATGATGAAATATCCACCAGGATCAAGTGGACATTCATTTAGTTCAGTTAAATCACGATCAGTTAAACCATACAAGTAGCAAGATTTTGATCGTAACATGACTGGAATTTTACCAATAAATGTTTTCTGATGTTGAGTTTCAACTGGTTCCTGACCTTCCTTGATAACTGTTTTGGTGACATCAACATAAAGAGGAGCAGCATAAGTTAAATTACGTAGTCTTGCTTCATTAGGTAACATAGGAGCTGGTGCACCATCTTTTTCCCAATGAGTAGGTTTGGATAAGTAAAGTTGCTCAAATTTCAACACATATCTTGGAGGATTTTCAACTTCACCAGAAGCATGTTGAGCTTCAGCCTGTAGACATAAAAGAAAATAACACATTTAATCAAAGAAAATAACACAGCAACAAAAAAAAATCAATAAACGTCAAGAAAAATACCTGTAATTCAATGAGAGCTGAATCTTCAACAATCTTCTGCACCGACATATCAATAAACTCATCGAAAGAGTCCAATTGTTGTCTAACCAAACCTTTCTCATCGAAATATGAACTAATCACAACCCAACAAGCTTCTTGCCATAAATCTGGTGCGATTTCGGCATTATCCCCTTCATCAAACATATCACCCTCATCATCCATAATGATGAATTTGCCGGTTTAACACCAGACACACACAAACACAAATAAGAATAGAAAAAAAAAATTAAAACCAACAACACCAGCAAATAAAATCACCTCCTAAAGACACAACAAACCATAGAAGAAAATAAAATAACAATAATCCAATACCAGGACACTAAGAAGATTATGTTAATAACAATTTAAGAATAAAAAATGAAACAGAAACAATTAATTAATCATCTAAATCAATGAGAAAGAGAAAAGTAAACAATCAAATGCAAGATTGGAAAAAGACTCACACCAAGTGAAAAAAAAAGCTCCACATTCTTACCGCCATTTTTGAAATTCTATCGAAATGATCGCAAGTATCCGATAGAATATCGACTGTTTTCGAGTCCGAACCTCAGATTCGGATCTTAGTATAAAAAGAAAAAAGGAAAACAATAAGGTCAATAGATGGCAGTTCTCGTGTGGTGATTCAAGTGCTTAATGTTGTGACAAATGTTTGTGTTATTTTGATTTTATTTTCTCTCTTTCTATCTTCTCAGGTTATAATATAATATAATTCTCTCTTGTTATTACATTCGCCATCTCCATTGGTATTTAAAACGCGAAACAAATTGTAATAGTAATAGATTTAAATTATTAGTTTAAAAATTGAAAATTTTCTACTATTGGAAACAAAGAGAAAATAAATTCTATTCTAAATTTCTAAATTATGGCTTGTCTTATAACATTGAAAAAAGATTTAAGACGTTTAGAGACCATTTTTCCTAAAGATCATGAACGATTTCAGTTAATGAACGCCACAGTCGATGAATTAACATGTACATTTATTGGCAGAAATGGTAAAAAATATGAGATTCACGCAAATTTTACGGTAAGCCTTTCATTTTATTTCTAATTTTTCCCTTTGTCTTCATCATTTTCTCTTGCTTTTTTTCTTTCTCCTTTCTATCTTTCTCTCTCTCTCTCTCTCTCTCTCTCTCTCTCTCTCTCTCTGTTGTATGTGTGTCTTTTTTTTATATTTCTTTCATTTTTTTTCTTCACCTTTTCCTCTGTCCACTTGTGCTTCTCCTTCTTCACCTTTTTCTCTTTACATCAAGTGTGTTGTCCTTTTGACTTTTTTGTCCACATTAAACGTAGTCTATATTGGAAAATAGCACTTGATTTTAAAGTACAATATTCCAAGATTTAATATTTTAAAGTCTCTCTCTCTCTTTCCTTTCTTTCTTTTCTCTGTGAGTGTGTATTTTGTTTCCTTTTGCTTCTGCTACTCCTCTTTCTTTCCTTTCCTTTCTTTCCTCTTATTTCACAATCTTGCTCTTTTTTTGATTTTATTTTCTTCTCTATCTCTATCTTACTTTGCTTCCCTCTTTCCTCTTTCTCACTCTCTCTTTCTCTCTTTCTCTCTTTCTTTCATCTCTCTTTAATCCTCTCTATTTTCTCTGTTTTTCCACTTCTCTCTGTATCTTTTTTGTTGTTATTCCCCTTGTGCATCTCTTGTCCATTTTTTTCTTATATAAATTTCATTTCACGGCCTTATCATCTTATTTCTTTCTTTCTCTTTCTCTTTCTTTTATTCTCTCTTACTTTTTATTCTCTTTCTCTAATCCTACTTTTTTTTCTTTCTTTTCTCTCTTTGTTCTGTTCTACAGGAAACCTATCCAGAGGCACCACCAGTTTGGTTCTCCGAGGTTGAAGACGAAAGTATCAGTAATATCGTACAATATTTGAGCAACACAAATGGTGTTGAAAATTACGTATGTGTTATCATATTTTTAATTCGATGTGTTCAATGTTGTTATCTGTGTGTGAATGTTGCGTATTTTTGTTCTTAATCTTCATCAATGGACTTTCACTTAGTAATTGATTTTTTCTTCTCTCCTTCAATCTTCTTCTTCTTCTTCTCTATATTCTTTTGGTTTCGTTTTCTTTAACTCCCGCTTTATCCCCGCCAATCTATAGATTCTACAACAGGTAAAAGTTCTCGTTCGTGAATTATGCAAAGATCACAATCTTCCAGAACCAACCGAACTGGGTCAACTTTGTGATGTGTCAACACCATTGATTAACGGTGCTTTACAATGTTCAAATTCACGTTCTTCTTTTGCCACCGAGAATAGTGGTGATTCGGGTTATATTAATGATAATGATGAAGTAAATCAGGCAAATGTCAATAATCATCCATCCTCTGATACTGAGGAAGATTCAGATATGGAAGATGAAGATTTACCAATAGAAATGGAAGAAGATGCCAGCAATGCAGATAAGTCAAAAGATGACGGGTTAAGCCATGAACACACAGCAACACTTGAAAGACTCAAGCAAAATCAACGGGAAGGCTATTTGAGAGGTGCAGTTAGTGGATCTGTACAAGCATCCGATAGATTAATGAAAGAATTGAGAGAAGTTTATCGATCAGAAAGCTTTAAGAAAGGTGTATTTTGTGTTGAATTGATCAACGATTCCCTTTACGAGTGGAATGTCAAATTATTTATTGTAGATCCAGATAGTCCTTTGCATAATGATCTGAGAATATTGAAAGAAAAAGAGGGAAAAGATCACATTTTATTGAACATTTTATTCAAGGAAACTTATCCTTTCGAACCACCATTTGTTCGTGTTGTTCATCCCATGATTCAAGGTGGTTATGTGCTTTGCGGTGGAGCGATTTGTATGGAACTACTAACGAAACAGGTAACACTTGATCAATTAACTCTTTATTTCTTCATTTCAAAAGAATTTCCTCTTTTTTCTTTTATATTCCAACATCTTATATACTCACCTCTTTTTTCTTTTCTTTTCTTTTCTTCTCTCTCTCTCTCTCTCTCTCTCTCTTTCTCTTCTTAACCTTCACCACCAAATTTTCGGGCCTCCACAGGGATGGAGCAGTGCGTACACAGTTGAAGCTATTATTTTACAAATAGCTGCTACCTTAGTTAAGGGCAAAGCTCGTATTCAATTCCATGGAAATAAGGTATTCAAGGTTCCTCTTTCTACTTTAATCATCAAATGAGCAACGCAGTTAATTTATTCATAGTTTGACATTAACATTGAGTGTATTCAACATTGTTGCTACTCTTTTGATTCTCATTTAGATTCTCACTTGTATCTCTTCTGTAATTTTTTATGTCTCTCTTTTGTCTAACGAATCTCTTTTTTCTCTCTCCTCTCTCTCTTGCATCATTCACACCACTCCCTCTTCACTGCCTCTTTCTCTCCTTCTACTATTGTTGATCCCTCAGGGCCAATATAGTCTCGCTCGGGCACAACAAACTTACAGATCTCTTGTACAAATACACGAGAAAAATGGTAAAGTATCTCTGATTGATTGGTAACAAATTTAACCATTCAAATTAATGGATGATCATGATGATGATGATGCCATTGATTTAAATTAAAATTCTATTCTAATAACTTTCTTCTTTTTTCTTTTTTCTCTGTAGGTTGGTTCACACCTCCAAAAGAAGATGGTTAACCTTTATCGTTTGTTTATCACTAAAAAAACTGAAAAAACACCAATAACAATTTACTCGATTATCATTTGAAGACATTAGATTAACAAGTAATCAACAATTACTCAGTATTACAGTGAGAACGGATTTCTATCTTGTTTAATCTTGATTTTGTAATAATCTACCTCTCTCTCTCTCTCTCTCTCGCTCTTTTTCTCTCTCTCTCTTTCTCTTCGATCACAAACTCTACACACGAAAGCAACAAAAAAATCTATTCTTTCTTTTCTTTCGACTTAAATATGTTCCATTAATTTTGTTTGTTATCAAACAAGATAAAAATAAACAAATGTTTTCACTGTGATCATATTTTTAATTGTTTATTTGTGTAACTCTTTATTTTCTCAATTAATTTACAGGTACGTTTCGTCTCGAGTTTTTCGTACGTTCGAATATTATTTCAACTCTTCTCAACTATTTACCGTTAATTTGTTATTATCTTCTTTCTATCAACAGGTTTTAAATTGTGAAAAATCAAATTTGATTTATTTTTCGCTTCTTCCTCAATCAAACTATTGGATTTACAAAGAAGATGCCAAACAAAAACAACCAAAAATGCTGAATTTTTATCTTTTAATTAGCTGATTCTTGTTTTGTTTCCTTTACCATCATCGTCTAAATTAACAATTAACCAGGAATGTAATTAGTGGATTTACATGGAGTGTTGGTCACCTTAATTTTTTGTTTTCCTTCTTCTTTGCAATCAAATTAATCATTTTTGATTTGCTCTGTTAATCAACCTGCTTCCTTACTCTTCATCGACATTCATTACCTAAAATCTTACATCATTTCTAATTTACCATCATTTTAAGGATTAATTGTTTCAACATTATTTACAATAGGACAAACTAACAAATTAACTTTTATCTTTTAATCCTTTTTTGATAAAGAAGAACAAAAAAAAACAATTAATGATTCAACTTGAAACAATTAACTTTAAAAGGATAAACAATTGAAGAAGAGCAAAAAATGAACTAATTTACATAAAATCTACTTCGAAATGATGACCCTCATTCTAAATCCATTGGTTAATTGCAACATGATTCTCATCATTATCTTTTCTATTTAAGACCATAATATTCATACGAGAAAAAGAAACAATTAATAAATAGACTAAACAATTAATTCTAATCGAACAAAATTTGGCTATTTCCAATTGTTTATTATTATTCTCTTGAAATGTTCTCTTCTAAACAGAGACCAGAAAGATTGAGGAAAATGTTCACTTCTCAATATAATTAATCTTTCGTTTATCAAACTAAATTACTTGAAAATTTAATCGAAATCAATCGACAATTAAAACGAATCATATTTATCAAACCCAGAGGTCAATGCATTAAACATTAAACTTCAAGCTGCCCTGAAGGTCCATTCGGACTCTGAACTAAGCGTTCAGTTTACAAAATAAAAAAAAATTCTTTGTTGTTTTGTAAAATTTTAAATTTAATATCATTTTAAAGTCAATAGCAATTTAAATTCAGTTGATTTTTAAGTTCAAATTTGATTAGAGTTGAAAATAGGTGCCGTTTATTTGAGATGAAGGAGAAATTAGTTCCAAAGATAGTTTGACTCATTAGAATTGATCCTTGTGATGAGATGAACAATAATAACACAACATTTAATTTTAAATTCACAGGTAAAGTTAATTAAATCAAAATTCATGAGGAGCGAAAAAAGTTAAACTTTTCCAAAAAAATCATCGATTTTAGTTAGTATTTCAGACGACAGGTGTCGCTGTTTTTTTCTAAATCAATGATGAGATCGGAATGAAAAACGTGCTCTTAATTAAATCAGTTTAATTGTTAAAATTATCAATATTAATTACAAAATTGTGACTAAATTGTGTTAACTAAACATCAAGGAAACCACAGAACATAAAAAAGGTAAAGTAAAAGTAAAAGAAATAATAATAACAAATAAAAAAGAGAACAGGCTATGATAGCCATAAAGAGAACGTTAAAAAGAGAATATTCAAATATTCTAAAATGAAAAATAATAGAAAAGAAATTTAATTCTATTCTTAAATTTATATAGAAAACAATGGAAATTGATTTGGCCAAGAAATTACAGAGAAAGATTATGAATAAGTTCCCATCAAGGAGTGATTGGAACATAACGATAAAGGCGATGAAGATAGCGGATATGATGGAGATTGCATCGAAAGGATATCCAATATTGCTGAATCAACAGTTGATAAATGATGCAAAGATTAATAATACAACATGCAACAAAATAAAGTTTGTGTTGTCATATTTGTTGGACAAACAAGAATCTCTTCCTCTTAATCAGATAGAGAAAAACTTTCTTCAAAGTGTTGACAAAGAAATATTGAAAAATGCTTCAGTTTTGGAAATGATGCATTCGTCGCTATCCAATCAATCTATAATATCGTACTCTGGAAAATCTGATGCATCTTCTAAAGTATCTTTGAAAGAGATTAAAAACAATCCATCGACATCCAAGATTAATATTAATATGGAAGATGAGTCAATGAGTGAACTTAACAAAGCATCTACATCAACACAAGCAGCAGATAAACCACAGTTTCCATTGGCAACGAATAAAGATAAACCGCCATCTCCAATGGCAACAACTGAGACAGTAGATCAACCTCGTCTAATGACAATAATTGAAAAAGCGCCACCTAGGAATGAAAAAAGAAAAACGGGAAGCTCAAAGATTGGAGAAAATATTAATAATAATATTGAAATGGATGATGACAATATTATTAATAATATTGAAATGGATGGAGATAATATTAATAACAATATGGAAATGGATGGAGATAATTTCGTACCTTTTTGGATAGAAGAATCTCAATTTGAAATGGACTCGGTGTCTCAAGTTGGAAAAGGAAAAAATATCAAAAGAAAATTTGGAGAAGTTGATTTATACAAAGAATCAATAAAAGTGAGACTGGGAAATGATCGAAGAGTAAAAAAGGTATTTCACAACATCATTGAAAAGCCAATACCTGATTCATGGAAACCATGGTCGAATATTCTAATGGAACCAATTTTTCTTGCGACGAACAAAGAAAAAGATACTGATCTCTTATACAGAATGATATCAAGATCACTAAAAGATAAATCACTTGAGCCTTTTGCTGCGAGAATCATCAAGAGCAAAGATGCAGTGAGAGTTATATGCTCTGATATGCATGACATCAAAGATGCGAAAGAAAAATTAAGCAAATGGTATCCGGATATTATCATCAGAGATCCTGGAGTATTCGATCCAAAAATAAGAATATCATTTGTTCCAAGGAAAATTGAAAACAAAGATGAGGCGATAGAAATCACGAAATTAATATTGATACAAAATGGTTGCGGTGGCAAAGGTAAATGGACATTGGAAAACTACTTTGTGTCAAATAAAAATTGGTCAGATCTGATAATATCAGTATCACCAAGAATTCGTGATTACATTCAAGAAAGAAGAGGTCAATTATTCTTTGAGCTCAAACCGTTGAGAGTAGTTGACTACTTTCATATTAATATTTGTATTCGCTGCTTTTCGTATTCTCATTCATCAAAAAGATGTAACAATCAAATCACCTGTCGATGGTGCTCAGCACAACATGAATCAGCAAATTGTGGAGTTCGAATTCATCCTGATAAATATAAATGCTTTGTCTGCAAAGATAAAGAGGATAATAATCACACTCCGTTAGACTGGTTATGCCCGGAATACCAAAGAAGATTACGATTCGCGATACAAAGAATCAATTATAATTATGAGTGGATCATTAGGATTTAAATGGTTTATTAACAATAAGCTTAAAGCTTAGATAACCTCTTCAAGAGGAAATTTTTCTTCTTTTTTATTTTCTTTTAATATTTAAAAAACAACGAATTTTAGACTCTTCAAGAGTTTATTAACATTCTAACTAACAATTATTAATGAAACTTTTCTTCTGATTAATGATACTAACATCTATCTTTTCTCTCTATTATTGACACTAATATTATTCTCTCTCATTAACAAAACATGATATTGTATGAATTATAAAATGATACAATGTATGATCTAATCAATAACAACATTATTATTATCATTAACCTCGTTAATATTAATATTCGGAATGGATGAAGATTTGAATTTTCCGATATATTTAACCTTTAGATGAAAAAGTGGATTGGCGAAATCAACAATCTTGGGGATAATGGTCAACGGACTATTGGTGGGTAAATGATCAATAAAATCACCAACACTCTTGCACTGGGATAAAGTATAATGTTGAATTACCATCAAATCAACTTCGTCATCATCAGGAATATTAATGGTTCGTTTTAAGTGTCGAATTAAATCATCGGGCTTCTGATCTCGAAAGGTGAGAACATCGGGAATAGCTTTCGGACCACGGACATTAAGAAAAACAGCCTCATCTTTAGATAAATCACCGTAAAGAAGAATATTATTATTGGTAAAGGTTAATCCATTGAGGGAAGTGAACATCAGGTTACGGGTATTATTCAACATCTTTGAAAAAGGAATCTCAACACATGGACGATTATTAATATTATTAGTGATTCGAGTCTCGATTCGTGGAGTGAATGAATTTTGAATAACGGTTAATGCAGTTGATCGAGAACATGAGGACTGATGATTAACGTAATTGTCAATTTTCATGACAGAGGTACACTTTGGACATCGAATTCGAATTTGTGAATACATGGATCTTTCAAATTTACCCAAATATCGAAAATACGGATCTCGAAAGTCATGGGAACAGCTTCGATCAGGACATCTAGTCTCCTCCTTCTGGTACCGCTCATTGAAGCGAAAATTATTAATATTGAATGAATAAGGGTAACAGCAATTTCCACAATAAACTTTGGTACAAAAAACTCGACGGTTACCACCATCGTGAATACGTGGATCGAGAGCGAGATTAGAACACAAATAACATTTAAAACTTTCCCAGAAATCGGGACCTTGGACTAACTTAGAAGGAACAATCATGATTCACAATTTAAGAAAATTATTAATAATATTGATAATATTTATAATAAGATCGATCGCGTCGAAAAATAATATGAAAATGAAAATAATAACAAGTAAGTACCTTTTATAAGATTCAAATTTAGCGACTTTTTCTTTAGAGTCATGAAGCCATGGAAACCGGTTAATTCTGGACTCAATGAGTAATCATGCTTTCAATAATTCACTGGAATGTTCATAAAAGCCATGAAAAAATGGAGACAATCTTCAAGAAGCTTTTTAAAACCAATACAATAATATCGGTTAATGAACTGAGTGAATCCTGGTTATCGGAAAAAATTAGTGAAAATTGTACCAATGACAACCTGGATGGAAACTTCATTTGTGTTGGTAATGGGAAGATCTTTGTGAACAACAAAACCATGATAATTGTGCCAAAGGAAATTGCCTGTAAAAATATTAATATTCACGTTGATTCAGTGGTTGGAGTGGAGATATTCATAGATAATAGAAAATATCTAATAATGAGTGTATATGGACCACTAAAAACTTCGATAGACAAAGTTAAACGATTTTGGTGTAATATCAAAGATATTATGGAGATAAATACATGTCCAATAATATTAAATGGTGACATGAATTTCGAACATCGACTGTGGTCACCAAGGAGAGAGAAATGGAGTGATATTGAAATATCAAACAGGTTGAGATCGACTCATTCTCCTGAGGAAAAGAACTTCACCTTTACAGCAAATGAAAAGAGAAGTTATATTGATTGTCAACTGATAACGAGTTCGATTATACTGGTGGATGCTAAAATAACAAGAATGGCGACAAATGATCATCTGAAATTGGAAATAATAATAATATTGATGGGTGGAGAAGTGATTCAATCAAAAAGAATTATACAATTCAAACCAAAATTAATAGAAATACATCCAATGAATAAGACAGAAATTGGAGGCAAGGAATCAGCGGTGGTAAAGAATATCAGAAAAATAATAAACTATCCAGAAGGTAAAGGTAAATGGATAGACAAAAGTTTCTCATCAACATCAAAGTCTTATAAGAGATTTGCAAAAAATCATTCAACAGCAAAGAAAAAACTCTCTAAAGCCAATTTTTCGAAAGGAGATACAATCAAAGAACTAAACAAACAAAAGAAGTTATGGAATATAATAAAGATAATTCACGATAATGGTAAATTGATGGTAATGGAAAACATTAAGCAAGAATATGAACAATCAGTAAATTCATATTTGAAAGATTTTTCGACCAACAAACCGAAGTTCAGTGATAAGGATTTCTGTTACGTGAAAGGTAAATGGAGAGAAGACATTTGGGAAATGGTGATAAAAGATATTAATAATATTAAATCATCTCTATCGGCTGATAACTACACGAAGCGAAAGTGGATAGAATTTGTTACGATCAACAATAACAATATCAAGGAGGTATTGAAATTTATAATAGAAATTTCCTATGTACCGGAAATGATGAGAATCCTTGGTGGTGGTTTCGTCCCCAAAGCAAATAGTAATAGAGTAAGAATGATAAAGACCCCGAATTATCTGCTAAAGATGCTGGATAAATATCTATCACTACAAATTCACGAGATATTGGAAGAAATAATAATGGCGGACTCGCAATTCGCTTACATCATCAATAAGTCAACTTTTGACTTGATTGCTCATCTGGTTTTCAGATATAATTGGGAAAACCTACAAATAATACAAATGGACATGAGTGTGGCCTTTGATGAAGTGGCAGTGGGAGAAGCAATCGTGAGAATAAGTGAAATTGATGAATCTCTTGCAGCGATAATTAAGTCAATTGTTTGCAAAAGATACATAAAAATAAGACACAAAGGTAGATATTATTTCAAGATGGAAACGGATGGTACACCTCAAGGGACAGCGTGTGGTCCTCTATTATTTATAATAGCATTGGATTCGAAAATAAGAAAACTGAGAGAAAGGAAAACGATGGTATATTCATTTGCCGATGATATGATCGTAACCAACAATAAGGATCAAGATGAAGTGGTGATTAAAAATGAGGTGGCGGAGACACTTAAGGAAATTAATCTAAGGATTAATATGGAAAAAAGTTTTGTCTTCTCGTCCAAATTTTGGGGTCTAAAATTACTTGGATACAGATTCTTTATTCCGTTCAGATTCACGAAACTAAAGAGTTGGAGAGATGAATTAATGGATAAGATTATGAACTCGTTCAAATTTTCGAAGAAAAATCTAATATCACTTCCGTTACAACTGAAAAAACTCATCATTAATAATATTATTTTTCCGAAAGCAAATCTTGTTGGGATATGGATGTTTATATATGACAAAGAAGTCTTTATGAAAACATTTCATGCTTTCGATTCGATATTATCAATGATGGAAATTGAAACAATATCAGCATCAATGGTAATGATTTTCTATGGAATAACTCATTTTATGGAGCAATTATGGATGAACTGTTACGAATGGACAACGAGAAAAGGACTTTCTATGGCCAAGGATTTTGAATGGCAAGAGAAATATGAACTGATTGAATGGATATCAATATCAAAGAAAAAGGAGATATTACAAAGGAAGATTGAAAATCTGTTAGAAATAATAATAACAGAGAAGAGAGAATCGAAACTGATAATATTAGTGAAGAACGAGATGTTTGAAATAACAAATGGATCACAATGGGAGCAATTCATATTAATAATATTCTCACAATTAGAACTAGTAAAAACCAGAGGAACGAATGGATTAATAGTAATTCCAGAAAAAGTGGATCTTACGTGGGAATCGAGATCAAACTACAAAAATGATATTTTTGGTCTAATGTCGCAATACTTGGGACTAAACTGGCGATGGTGCTATGGAAGATATGAGAAAGCAAAGGACCTGATGGATAATAATAATATTAATAGTTCTGAACCGAATTGGACATCCAGGACGCAATTCAAGAGGCAAATGACACAAAAAATTAGTAAAAGGATGAGTGAATGGCTAAAGGAGGAAGGAGATGTAATAGAGATCATGTTTGACAGAAAAAAGAAAGACTTTAACTATGAATTCAACAAAGCAGGACATTATGGTAAATTACTGAAATTTTTCACCAAAAAGCGATTGAGAATGACAAGGATAATCTGCTGTGATGAATGGAAAGATCATCATCCATATTGCTGTCGAAAAGTACTGGAAGAAATAACAACAGAAATGGAATGGCCATGGGATGACGGTTTTAATTATATTAATAATAATAATGTTGAAATCTACTTGCAATGTGTTATACTAATAGATCAAACATCAAAAAACATGTATGACTCTAATCTATTTCTATTGTAACTCCCGCTAATCCTTTTCCCTAATCCGGTAGTCGTCACCGGTTGCAGTGAGTCTGAACTCACTGAGTCTCTTACGAGATTGCTGTTGAAGCTAATAAAATCGGAAAGACTTTGTTGTTGTTTCTCATTCAAAGGATTAGCTTTTAAAGGTTGGACTTTAATTGTGATTCTTAATTTATTTTCAATTGTCTAATTTGATTATTTTATTTTAAGTGAACCTTTAATATGTTTTTCTAATGGTTAATCAACTAGCAATCGAATGTGTTTACTCCATTCAGGGAATATTTGATTTACACCGTTCAATGTTCATTGGTTGATATTTGGTTAATTCTTTTCTATTATGAATTTTATTCTTTTTTATGTTTTTTTTTCTTGAGAGAATAATTTTCTTTGATTAATCTTTTCTAATGATTTATTCTTTTCTACGTAATGTGTATCGTTCTTTTTTGCTAATTGTGTAATCATAATTTTTCTTCAAACTGTTGCTTCTTTGCATCTCTATTGTGTGTGTGTTTCTCTCTCTCTCTCTCTCTCTCTCTGGGTGTTTTGTCTTTTCACTTTATGAGGAAGAATAGGATTGTAGGGAAGGGCAATGATCTTTTTGCCTTGTCTATTACTTGCTCATCTTTTGGTTACTTTGAGTACAACATTTGGGTTTATTCAATCATCATCGTCACCAACAATAAAATCATCATCTAGTATCAAGGTCCATCCAATTGAAGAGTTTACTTCATACTCAATTATTGAGCCAATATTTTACAATCTTTCTGGTGTCCAGTTATCAAACGATTTGTTCAAGGTAATCATAATAATCCTCCAACCAGATAACCCCTTTTTTCCTGCTTTTTTTTTCCTTCTCTCCAACATCACCAAGCAACAAGTAACAAAAATCTTATCCATTCTGTTATTTAGATGGACTTGTTTCTGTATTAAGGTTAACCAGTCTCTTTTTTCATTCTATTCCCTCTAATAATGATGAACCCTTCTTGGAATTCATTGCCCTGACCACTTTAGTTATTCACTTAATATTTCATCATTTCTCATTAATTTAAATATCTACTACTCTTTTTCATGTTGAGTAATTTTCTGATTACCTTAATCTAATTTTAATAATTCTTTTTCTTTTTCTCTTGTAGTCATTACCTTGCTCTGAGTTCCATCGATTATCGTTTACATTACATAATATTACCTTCACTTTAGATTTGAAAGAAAATGTTCATCTAATTCCTGATAACTATTTTGAGTCAATTCATCTTAATGGTTCACCAGTTATTCATCAGAAACATCAATTAAAGGTAAGGGTTTGTTGTTGGAGTTGATTTTTTTTTCTCTTACTAATCATATTATGTATTACGATATATTAATAGAGTAATTCATTTTTATTGTTACTGATTTTCCTTTCTCCTTCATGATTTCCACTCTCTTCTCACCGTCCAACCATCAATTCTCCCTCCTTATCCTCATCTTTCCTTGTTTTTTTTTCCATCAATTTGATTCACCTTTTACTTATCATCATGGTTGTCATATAATTCGTTCTCATCATTTTTCTCTCTTTTTTTTATTCTCTTCCTTTTCCTCCAGCCATCATCTCACTGTCATTTCCATGGTTCTCTATCCGGTGATCCTGATTCTTTTTCCGCCCTCAGTATTTTCAACGGGACACTTTCTGGGATCATTTCCTCTACCAACGAAACTTATCACATTCATCATGATAGATCGTCTTTGAAGCATCTTCTTTTCCTTTCGAGCCATTATAAAAATGCCAATAATTTCAAATGTGGTAAATTAACTCTACTGTCCATTCAACCTTAATCCCTCCATTTACCTTCTCTCTCTCTCTCCATCATTATTGCAATCATCTTGATAATTATTTCCTTCAATTTATATCCATTTATCCGTTTACTCTTTTCACCTTTTTTTTTCATCTTATTCTTTTCTTATTCTCAATAATCAATTGATTTCATGTAATTTTCTCTCTCTTCTTCCTACCAATTTTTCCTTTAACAGGAGTGGAAGATACAACAACCGATAAAATTAACCAACAATTACATTTGCACCGACCAAAAAGGTCAACTGATCGTAAAATACCTTATCGAAGTAATTCAAAAACTCGATACGTAGAACTCGTTCTTGTCAATGATCATAAAGAGGTAAATTGTTTACTACTTAAGAATATGATTGTTTCTGTCAATCAATTTTCTCATCTTCTCTTAATTGTTTATCAATTTTTTTATTCACAGTTTTTACAATGTGGTAGCGATAAAGAGACTGTGATTGAGAAAAGCAAACAAATCGCTAATATAGTCAATGCGGTAAGTATTATTATAGATTTGTTTTTCAAAAGACCATTAACTTAATTACTATTGAACAATTAACGATTGTTTTCTTTTCAATTAACTTTTCCCTCTTTTCTTTTTTTTGCTTCTTTTCTATTGATTAACTTTACTCTATTTACTCGTCTGTCAATTGTCATACTTATAATTATCACCATTCAGCTTTATAATCAACTTAACATATTCGTTGCTCTTGTTGGTGTTATAATCTGGTCTGATTTTGATGAAATTACTCTTTCGTCCAATGGTGATACAACTTTAACCAATTTTCTTCGATATCGGAAAGAACGTTTAGTTCCAAAACACCCTAACGATAATGCTCAACTCATCACTGGGACTGCGTTCGATGCCGGAGTTGTCGGTAAAGCACTGAAAGGACCAATTTGCACCTATGAATTTTCTGGAGGAGTAAATACCGATCATAGCGAATTGATCAGTCTTGTTGCCACCACTGTTGCCCATGAATTGGGTCATAATTTTGGCATGGAACATGATACAAGCGAATGTGAATGTAAAAATGCCGAAAAGTGTATAATGTCTCATTCGTCGGGCCCTTACAGTCCTAAAAAGTGGTCCTCATGTTCAATCAAGTATCTTAATGATGCATTTTCCCGTGGAATGGATTTTTGCCTTAAAAATGAGCCAAGGCAAATAATTGGTCCAGTTTGTGGAAATGGATTCACTGAGGAAGGTGAAGAGTGTGATTGTGGCCTGAAGGATTTTTGTGATAACCCTTGTTGTGACCCTTCAACTTGTAAATTACAAAAAGGAGCCAAATGTGCAATCGGCTCTTGTTGCGATTTGAAAACTTGCACCATAATAGAAGCTAAAAAGCAACAAATCTGTCGACCTGCAAACGGTGAATGTGATTTCACAGAATATTGTGATGGAAATTCTCAACTTTGTCCTGAAGATCGATATGTTCAAGATGGTACCGAATGTGGGTCAGAAGAAGCCTTTTGTCTTAATGGTACCTGTTCATCTTATAATTCACAATGTAAACTTCTTTGGGGTGAATCGGGGATCGTTTCATCTTCTGAATGTTTCGATCAAAATAGATTCGGTAAACCAAGTGGAAACTGTGGATTCAATCGCATCAATAAAACATACATACCATGTAATGAGTCTGATAATCTTTGTGGAATGTTACATTGTACCCATACCAATGAGCGTCTCGAATTTGGCATGTACTCGGCTGCCATTTTACACAAAACATTTATCACTCACGGAGAGGGTGAAAGTAAGACTGTACTTGCCTGTCATTCCGCTGTAATTGACCTCGGTCTGGACACCGTTGATCCTGGTCTTGTGCCTAACGGAGCAAAGTGTGGTGATGCCAAAATGTGCCTTAATCAACGATGTATTGGTGTTGATAAGATACGTCGACAAACCGTCAGTTGTCCCAATGATTGTTCAGGGAATGGTTTATGTGATAATAAGGGTGTTTGTCATTGTATGGACGGGTTTGGAGAGCCTGATTGTGAACAACCATTACCTAAATGGTATCATCTCACTTTGGCGATGTACATTATCTTCCTCTGTATCATCCCTCTCACAGCATTTGCTGCATTTATCGCCTACTATTTTCACTCCAACATTAAAACTTGGTGGATTCTTCGTGCTCGAAAGGCAAACATTAAATCTCGAGCTAAACAATCATCCATCTCTAAAGTTCAACATTTACCTCCCACATGGATCTCAAATCGCTTAAAATATCTGGTCCTTTGACTATCGATTCAAATTCCCAGGTCGTAACCACAACAACACCATTGAACACTACATCAACACTAACCACTTCATCTAATCCATCGCCATTAGCCAATGGCAATGGTAATATCCCTTGGGCTAAAACAGTAGCCCCTCCACGGCCTGGTTCTAATGCCGTTAAGCCTTCACGTACATCTAACACTATTCACATCACACCACCTCGACCATCGGTACCACCTCCATCGTCGCGAGTTAATAACATTGCTCCAGCTCGACCAGCTCCACCACCACCTCCCCAATCATCATCATCATCAACCATTGGTACTAAAACTTCAAATACTTTAACCCGTCCAAATGGTGGTAATTTATCTCGATCTACAAGTCTACGATCATCCCGAGCCAACCTTGAAAGACCAAAACATCCTCCACCCAAACCTCCTCCAATAGATCAAAATGAAGACAATTCATCATCTGACTCATCATCTGATCCTCCTCCCAATAAGAATGACCTCCAACGTCCACTAATGGACAATCGTGATACTTCAGATAGACCAACAGCTTCACCCACACCCTCAATAGGACAAGCAAGTTTCGCAGCTCGATTAGCTGCACTTCAAGCCAGTTTCAATGCTTCTCATAAATCATCCTCATCACCTCGCTCATCACCTGCACCACAATTACCACCAAAACCATCATCAACAACAACCAATCCTAAACCTCCTTCATCAAGATCAACACTAGAAACAGTGAAAGGATCATCAGGAGTACAAAAAACTGGGATTAACGAGAAAAACACCAGATGATGAAGACGGGGAGGCATATGAGAGATTCAACTAGTCATGCAAAAGTAAAGAAAAGGATTCAAAATAAAAAATTATATCAACACACACAAATAAAAAATATTAATATAAATGTTAATATAATATAAATATAATTTAATTATCTAAATATCTACATATTAATAGAAATCATCATAAAAAGCGCTTTTTATATTGATACATCACCTTCATCACCAAAACCACCTCAACATTATCATCATCGTAGTCATCCTTTTCTTCATCATCAAATTCAGCTTACGATCTGATACAATCCAAAGCTTGTCATCATCAATTTAATTCTTGGAGTGATTTTGATCACCAAACTCATGAACTTCACCTAAAAAAAACAACGCATCGATGCATATTATTAATATAAAGTTTATATTCATCATATGATTACCATCATCATCATCACCAACATCCTTTATTTACCACCCGAACCCTGATCAACACCCAAATGTATAAAGTGAACGCTGTCAATGTCACGGTTCCTCAATTCTGATTATGGTTAAATCGTTTTGAATGGTTGACCAACAATTAAATCAACAACCAAGTCAAATGAACACACACAAAAACAAATCTAATCTAATCTGATATTTAGGTAGCTTTAATCAATATAATCCCTGTTAGGTGAAATTAAGCAAATCTAGTTGACTCCTTTTCTAATCAAACCTTGACAACAACCTAATTGTTTGCATCGATTGACAATTTATGATCTGAATGATTAGCCAGCAAACAACAATGGTTGACTTTTTGCCCTCCAAAACTGATCTGCCTTTACGAGAAACAATTAGCCAATCAGCTGATTGCCTTGCAAATTAAATTGACGTAAAAAAACTGACATAATAATATATTCAATTCATCAGTTTAATTGCTTCCACTGTAAACAATTAATATCTATACAATTGCTACCGCCAAATGTTTAATTAAATATTGGAAAATATTTTCTAAACTCCAAAAAATAAATCACTTTATTTTCAAAATCACCAAATAATATCAACATTCATGTTCTCGGTAGTAATTAATACTTTACTGAATTAGTTTAGAATTGTAGTTTGTAATTGATTAATCAAAGCTCAAAATATAATGATGTTGGTAATTTATGAATTAATTTTATTTATTAATCGTTTATGATTGAGGTTCGTAATAGAAACAATCAATAATCAATATAAATTGACTTTGGATTAATTTTTCAATATCAAACTTTAGATCTCAAGTCTTTCGTTTGATGTATCACGTTAATTTCTCTTGATTAGATCAACATAGTTAATCATAATTAATCAACAGTAGCAAATTGTCTTTATTTTTAATTGTCAACTATTGATCTCTGATATCGTATAATATTGATACACTTATATATCATAATAATAAGTGAACATTAAAGTTGAATACAATGATAAAAATTCACCTGCTTTTAATAATTAATCAAGTTGAACAATTAATTAATAATTCACCGAAAAATGAACGATTTTTACATTGATTGAATATGAACAAATTAAATATAAATCAGTAAATATTAAAATCAATAAATCCATAGTTAATTAGCACCTTGTTACCAAGTCAATTGGTTCGCCTCGATTTTGATCTGAAATAATTAATATAATTAACGATAATATTGAACTAAAGGATAATACAAATGTACTTACAATTGTATCTTTAATAGGATTGATGGGCCCAAATGAACAGGGAATAAGTTTCTTGAAAGCTTTTGATATTTGATTTGAATGGTCAGTAAGTTGACCATAAACTGAGATTCCAAACCAGAGGCCTAAGGTGCTGCTCACATAAATTAGATACTCAATAAGAGTATTTTGAGGAAATGCTCGGGAAATTGTGTCCATGTCAATCGGTGCTATCAAATAGATGAACATTTTCCCTTGATATTTACTACTCAACACATTCTCAGCGTGTTCATCTGCTTCTGAGTAAATGATTGTCGATTCACATTCGGGTTGTTTAATTAATGCTGAACATTCATCGAAACACTTTTTCAATTTGTGTGTATCACCAAACTTAACCTGAGATTGGTGTTCATTGAATGGAATTGTTGATTGACTGTGAATTATTTGATTATCTATTTGAAGAGATCGTCGATTGATACAATCCAAGAGAAACACAGATTCATCATAATGCCTACACGATGTTTCATAAGGCCATGGTAACGAATAGCTTAATAGACGTCGAAACTTGATCACTACGACTTTGAACATTTTAGATTGTGGATCAATCATATTATAGTTATAAGGATAATTGGCCAAAGAACTGTTTGCTTTTGAGAGACGAAGCTTAAAAGCAGTTGGAATTCTCAGAGAAACTCGTAGTAGGTGATAATCACCATGTCCACTTTTCGGAATCTTCATAACAATTGGATTTGAATTCTGACGACAAGAGATTCTCATGTGAACGAAAACTTGATTATGATATCGAGCCACTTCACAAAATCCTTCCTTAAGTAAATCCATGTTCAAGAAAAAGTTATCAATAGCAATAATCATGTTCCTTGGATCTATAGTTAATTGTTGGATGTCACCAATAGTCAAAATGGGCATTATTTTACCGGATGATAAATTTGGCAATTGATTTAAAGATGAACAATAATTGCTGAATTTATGAATAGAGTTGATGTTTTCATTCAGATCTAAATCAACGAGATCTTTACAGATTTTTACCATTTCTTTTGGGTATCTCATGTAAACTGCACTCATGTTCAGCAGATTAACTATCGGTATTTGTATATCGATGTCGGGAATTTCAATCTCCTTCGGATATTCAAAGGTAATCTCAGTTCGTACCTTGAATTGAAAAAATTCATAACTCACTGTCACTAATTGGTAAATACAACCAACGAAACAAAATGAAAAAAACACAATCTTTTTATTTGCTGTCATTTCAATCAACTGAGTAGGACATCATTCATCCTCCAGGATAGTTAATCTAATGAATAAAGTTCAACATGATATTGATATTGTTTTTTGGTGAGTTCATTGGTATTGTTAGAAAGCTATTGCGATAATAGATTTCCAATCATCAATATGATGATGATTTACTATTGATTATTGAATAAGTTGTAATAAACTATTGATGGTTTCAGTTCGTATTCGTTTTGATTGCACATAAGCCTTTAATAGCCACTCACTGGGAACAACCATTAACTAAATGGTCTCATCACTTTGACGATGTAAGTTATCTTCCTCTGTATCATCCCTCTCACAGCATTTGCTGCATTTACGGCCTACTAATTCCCAGGTCGAAACCACAACAACACCATTGAAGATTAAATCAACACTAACCACTTCGTCCAATTTATCAAATCATCATCATCAGCCATTGGTAATGAAACTGCAAATACTTTAACCCGTCCAAATGGTGGTAATTTATCTCGATCTAATCAAACCTTGACAACAACCTAATTGTTTGCATCGATTGACAATTTATGATCTGAATGATTAGCCAGCAAACAACAATGGTTGACTTTTTGCCCTCCAAAACTGATCTGCCTTTACGAGAAACAATTAGCCAATCAGCTGATTGCCTTGCAAATTAAATTGACGTAAAAAAACTGACATAATAATATATTCAATTCATCAGTTTAATTGCTTCCACTGTAAACAATTAATATCTATACAAATGCTACCGCTAAATGGATTAATTTAATATTGGAAAAATATTTCTAAATTCAAAAAAATAATTGGATTTATTTGTCAATGTAACATCATATTGGAAAAAAATTCATGTAATCAAATAAGAAAAAAGAGGAGGGGAGGAAGAAGGGAAAAAAGTTAAGTGTCCAAGTCGCGACTGTTGATTCCTCGCACAGGATCAGGCATTTGGTGGACATGTACAAACTCCTCATCAACAGGTACCCCAAGTGGGGACAAAAAAATATATTGTTTTCCTTGTTTCATCTTTGCATTTTCTACCAGAATTTGCATAGCAGTGGACCGAGTAACAACATCCATGAAGACATCAACTTCATCGAGTATTCGGAAAGGTGAATTACATGATTCCCATAGAGCGATTAGAAAAGCAACTGTTCCGTATGACCTTTCACCTCCTGAAAGACTTCGGGTATCTTTGTAAACATTTGAATTAACCATAACTTTAGGATTAATTTTAATTTCCAATGTTTTTGCTTTCTTTTGAGCTCCATCAATGACACAATCGTCATGAATTATATCAAGAGTACCGGAAAAGTTAAGTTGTTCAAGAGCTATTTTGAACACTTGACAAGCTTTCTCAGTGATTTGTTTTCGTAATCGGCGATACTTATCAAGTCGCATTCGAGTTGAGGCTCCAAACTCTTCAAGAAGCTCTTCGAAAGTTTTCACTTGATCCAAAACACGTTCATGAGCTTCAATTCGGTCATTATATTGTTTAACAATCTTATCTCGATCACCAATTTCTCTTTCTTGTTCTAAAAAGAAAAGATAAAATTTTATCACAAAGATTAGAAGAGGAAACAATGATAAACAATCAAGATGAACTTGTTATTTGTTAATTACTAACCTTCCATGAATTTTTTTATATCAGCAATTTCTCTTTTCACTTCATTTGGAGATCTGGATGTTCTTATCTCTTTATCTGACTTTTTCAAAGCTTTTTGTCTCATGTTTTGTACATTTTTCTCGAGCTCATTTTCAGCCTTTTGTAATTCCTTAACTTCACTGTTTAAATTGGTTAAATTGTCTCTGAAACGAGTAAGATTACGATCAACACTGGTAAGTGAATCTTCCAAAGATTTCATCTTTTCTTTCAATGGTCGTTCTTCATGGCACAAACGAGTCTTTTCTTCTTGTAGAGTTGAAAGTTTTCCGTTGATTTCTTCAATGGATGTTTTGATTTCATTGTAATTTTCGATTAGTTCGGTGAGTTTTTCCATTTTAATCTTCTTAATTGATCGAACGGTATCAAGTTCTTCCTCGAAAACAGATATTTCGACTGGTGTTGGTTCTTCAGTGTTTTTCCATTCTTCAAGTTCTCGAGCGATTTCATTAATTCGATCATTCATCTTTCTTATTTTGGAAGTAGTCTCTTCTAGGTCAGTTTTATTTTCTCGGAGATTTTGTTCCAATGGTTGCAGTTCTTTTGTCTTTGTTTCCCATTTGTTGTTCAATTCATATACTTCGGCCTCCAGTGAATTGATATAAGCAGTAATATCTCTGGTCAAGTATTTTGGCTGATTGTAGTTTGGTGCATAAGATTTGAAAAACTGATTCCTTTTGATTGGGTACATGTTGGTTCCAAATTTGGTGTAAGCTTGATTACAATTGAAAGGTAATTTATCTTCATTTGTCATTATATCGAGAGCTTCTTGTTCATTGGCAACATAAACTATCGATTCAATATTTGATCTGTCAATTAAAACATTGGCAACTGGTGGATGATCAATGTCGAGAAGTTCCAAGATGGACTTGTATCTATCACTACGAATACAATTAGAGGAGACATCATGTAGTCGGGTGAACTTTCTTGTAATTATCATGGGTGGTCTCATATTACTCGGAATTGTCTTGAATAGTTGGGAAAGGGTAACAGCATCATCTTGATTATCACAACAAAAAGCATTGACCAGTCCCTTTATACAAGATTCAACAGCCAAGGCAGCACTTGGATCTTTGAGTTTAATTAAATGACCGATTGGACCTAAAGGTTTTTTGATAAATTTCCCATCACGAGCAGCGATGTCAATTAGTTTCAACAAATGGGGCATATGAGCACCAAATCGTAACAATTGATTATCTGCACTGGAATTAGCTTGCATGATACTTTGTTTCTTTTTGCTGATTGAAGATTTAATCGTATCTATTTCATTTCTACATCCAAAGATTTTCTTCTCCATCTCAGAAATAGAACCAATTAATTGCTCTTTATGTAATTTACGAGTTCTGATTTCAGCTTTTAACTGTTGATCTTCTTCCTCTAATTTAGCTATTTGTTCAGCTTTGACTTGTCTTTCTCTTTCCACTTTATCCAAGTCACTGCAAAAGTAAAGAGAAAAGAAAAATTTGTAAGCTTGGATTAACTTAATTGTGATGTAAATTACTTACCCGAATTGTCTCTTTAATTCATTGATCTTTCTTTCAAGATGCTTCTCATCTTTACTCTTATCTTCAATCTCGTTTTTTATCTTGGTACATTCAACGGATAGGCCAGTCTTTTTCTCTTTAAGCTCGTTTATGATCTTTACTTTTTCTTCAATTTTTCCTTTGAATTCGATAACTTTGGCTCCAGTGTTGTCCAGTTCAACTTGAGTTTCCTCTTTATCTTTTGTGTATTTTTCATATTTCTTTTCCAATTTATCAATGGTAACTTGAGCATCTTCAATTTTTCTATGATGATTTTCGACTTCGTTTTTAAGCACATCAAATTCATTCTCCTTTTCTTTTACCAATGCCCAAAGCAGTTCGTCATCAAGTGAGGAAAGTTTGTTATTCTGGTCATCTAATTTCTCTAAGAGAGCAACTTTTTTCTTTAATTCATCAAGTTCGCACGCAACATCTTTTAAAACTTTCTTTTTCTTGTCTAATTCAATTTCGGTTAAAGATGTTTTCTCAGCGGCGTAAGCGTAATCACTCAAAATGTCTTCCAACTGGGTAGCTTTCATGAAAAAATTGTACTTGTCTTTGGGATTTTTAGAGTTGAGAAAATTTCTGCTCACTTCTTGGTTCAAAACCACAATAGGATTATCAATTTGAATGTTGAAATGTTTAACAATACTGTCAAGTTCACACTTTTTGTTGGTAATTAGTTTACCGTTTTTACTTTTGAGTGAATAGACTGAAGAGCCATCTAATTTGAGAAGTCGCTCTATCCAAATAGTGTCACCATATTCTTCGTATTTAAAACTTGAACTTTTATCGATGCCATTGAAATTGTTGAGTTTAATAACGATTTTGGCTCTTGTTTCGCCAGTTTTGATAAAAGATTTTAAACTTTGTCCACGACTAGTGTGATGAGATCTACCACCGAGAGCAAGAACGATTGCAGTTAATATAGCACTTTTACCACCTAGTTGTCACAAGATCAATCCAATTGGAAGAATAAAAAACAGAAGGTAAGTGAAAAAGAAAAGATTGTAAGAAATGAGTAATAGTTGAGAAAAGTCATTAAAAATGTGAATCAACTTACTTCCATTACGACCGACAACGAAATTAATTCTTGGACCAAAGTCGATAGCAAAATGGCCATGGCACATAAAGTTGACTAATTTAAGAGATTTAACAACACCACATTCAATGAAATTTGAATTGTCTTGAGTGTTAAGAAAACCAGTCTCAGCGATTGGACTTATATCCATATCAAGTGAATCGTCTGAATGATGAGCATCAGCATGAAGAGGTTGAGAATCATCATCATCCTCATCAAAATCAATATTCTCTTTGGAATCATTTGACAAGCTTGGTGATCGATCACGACGTTTTCTCTTGTTACTCGACATCATTAACGAATCAAAATCGTATTCGTCCAAGAGAAATTAAAAACTAAATCTCTCAGAAAAAACAGAAAACAAAAATTACTGAACAACAAAACAGAAGAGAAAAAAAAATTATAGATAAATAAAGAGATGAAGAAAAATGGTGAAGCCTTTCAAATGAGATACGATGAAACCAAGATAATATAAACACCAATTTAATTGACCGGAGATGAGTGAGAAACAGAAATTAAAAATCGAAATAAAAATAATTAAGTAATAATAATTAACAAATGGAAATAGAAAAAGTTTAAACAATAATGAGATGATAATTTACGTAATGGAAAAACAAAAAACTCCAACCCGGGAAAGAGAAGAGAAGAAAAGGGATTCGATATGTTTGGATCAAGATCCGGATTCGAAAAGAACCGATAACCGCGAAGTTCAATGTTCTCTTCTAATTGGATAATAAGTGTAACCCTTTAGTCATTTGATTCTCTTGTTGTCGTCACTTTGTTTTCTTAATTGTTTATTCTAATTAACTTCAATAATCTAAATTCTCACAGATGGAGAATCTAATTAGTGAGCTAATTGTTCAAATTTCAGTGTAAACATAATTGGCGCTTTTTAATGATTTTCCTTTTCCAATGAAACATTGGAAATGAACTCAGCTGATTATTATCATGTTTTTCGTATAAATTGTTTCCATTTTTTTTAATTCTTTGCTTCCATTATCTTTTGGTTTAAATTGTTTAGATTAATTTATTGAATTTCTGAAATATATCGGTAACGTTAATTTTTGGTCTATCAGCAAAATCATCGTCATCTTTAAAATGATGAAATCGTTTACTATTGTTACGTTTTGGTTATGATTTTTGAGGTAAATCAAATTGTTATTGGAAATGTTGGTTAATTGTTTTTTTTTTGGTTAATCAGTTGATGTTTATTTAATATCTTTTTACTAGACTATTTTCTGGGTTTAATTATGTCGTCTCTCATTCGCTCGGGTTTACATGTTCGTCATTTTTGTAACATGTTAAATCAGAATAATAAATCTTCTGATTCTAAATACGTTCGACCAGTTAAAGGTTTACGTAAGTTAATCACCGATTATTTAACTAAATTTGTCGGCTCTTATGAAGATATTTTATCAAAACGATTTCCGAAAGCATTTAAAGTCTACCAAGTGTTCACTGTTGGTAAGTAAACATTTTAATTGATTATTTGTAGACTTTTTTCTTCATTTAAATTGTTTTCTTTAATTTTGTTGTTTTCTTTTTTTGATTTTTCTTTATGATCAGGAACTCGCTCTCTTTACACTGATATTATTGAATATCTGAGAATTTCTCGTGAATTATCCTATGGCCGTGATGTCCACTCATTGTCCTACCAGGAATTAATTGTTTACTATCAAACACCAAAAGATTTACTCAAAGTTGCCCCAACCTTATTGGTCTCTGCCGCTCCATTTGCCAATTATGTTGTTTTCCCGTTAGCCTTATATTTCCCGAAACATTTACTTTCTCAGCAATTTTGGGACAATGAGATTAAATTTAATTACCAATTAGAGAAAACAACGAAACGTTTAAAACACAATCGGCCCATCTTTCGACAATTACAGTTTAAACTAAACTCAATTCCCAAACAATTACCTGATTCTACTGATGGTTTGGATCTTAGAGAACAATGTAAATTAATTTTCGACAAAATTGGAAGTGGAACTCATCCAACTGTTGAAGAGATACTTAATGTTGCCCCTGTATTCAACCAGGAACCCTATGGATTATCTCATTTACCCACAATCCATTTAGTTAGTAATCATTATTATGTTACAATATTTAATTGTCTCGATAAAGTCTAATTGTTTACATTGATTTCAGATTCATCTTTGTAAAATGCACGGAATTGCATCTTACCCAAGGAAAATCCCAAGACTCGTTAATTATGGTAGATATATTCACGAATTAGATCTTGCAATTTTAAGGATGGGAGGACCAACTCAATTACCTTTCCATGATCTTAAACATGTAATTAGTCATTTAATCACAACAATCAATCGATTTCATCTTAATTTTTTTTTCCACTTGTAATTTAAATCTTTAGGCTTCATACATGAGAGGATTAAACCCATTTGGATGTAAGCCCGAAGAGTTAATTGGATGGCTTGATAAGTGGCTACTGATTTCTAAAACTCTCAACGGTAAATGAAACCATTCAATAGTAACTCATTCAATCAACTAATCAGTAAATTTAATTGCTCTTCCATTCATAATAGGAACTAGTCTTTCACTGTTACTTCATTGTCCAATATTTCTAGGATACAATCAACCAAGTAATTGGAAACTCATCTACAAATAATCAAATTTGTTTACTTTAAACTGACAACTAGTCAAATGTTTTCGCCTTTTTCTGTAAAACTAAATTATCCTAATCAAAGTGACGATTGATTAAAATTAGTTACAATCGATTGTAAATAATTCAAATGAAAAACTATAAATGAAATCAGCTGTTAGATTGCCATTGGTAACAACAAGTTAAGGGAAAAGAAGGTGAAAACAAAAGGTTGATTTGATTGTTGTTTCTCTCTTTCTTTAATTTCCTGTAATCAAAAAGATGTCCTTCAAATCCAGTTATCCATCAGTGGAAAAAGTTGCCGATCAAAGTGTCCATCCAATTGTGGAAAAATGTGAAACCTTCATCAACGAACAATTAAAAAATGATTTAAAGATTATCCATTTAAGACAAGAAAATATCCACGTGCAATTGAACAACTTTCAAGATCTTAAATCATTTATTCTTGAATTAACTAATAATTCATTTGGTTGTTCATCTATAAAGACACAAATAGACATTGGTAACAATTTCTACATGAGATGTACCATGTAAGTATTTAGAATTAACTATGATAACAATTACAATTTAATTCTGTTTCTCTGTTTTCTCTTCCCTCTCATAGACCCAACACTGAGAAGATCACGATTTTCATTGGACTTGGATTCTATTTGGAACTTTCCTTACAAGAGGCTTTAAATTTCATCGATAAAAGATCAATTTTCCTTAATTCTTGTATCGATAAATTATCGGATCAAGGGCGTAAAGTGAAGGCTCATATTAAGGTGATTCTTGATACTCTCAGTTATATCCAAGAAATTGGAGATTCTGGTGAAAAGCGAGACTGTTAACCCAATTGGATAGAGAAGGAAATTATTATGTCTCAACAATTAGAATTACCATGTTTACCTGAGTGTATTAATCTTGTTATCGGTGTTACCGGAAGTGTGGCCGCAATTAAAATTCCAATTCTGTTAGAGGCGATAAAAGACTTACCATTGAATATTATCATTGTTGGAACTCAACATTCATTTCATTTCTTCAATATTTCCGAGTTGAAAGTTAAACATGAAAAGGTGAAAATATTTACCGATGAATCTGAATGGACTTCATGGAGACAAATGACCGATCCTGTTTTACACATTGAACTAAGAAAATGGGCTGACATTTTGTTAATCGCTCCTCTTGATGCTAACACTTTAGCTAAAATATCATCCGGTATTTGTGACAATTTACTTACCTGTGTGGTCCGAGCATGGGACTTGAAGAAACCTTTTCTATTCTGTCCCTCCATGAACACTCATATGTGGGAACATCCAGTTACCTCTGAGGCCATTGATAAATTACTTTCCTGGGGATTCACATTGATTCCCGTTGTCGCCAAGAAATTGGCCTGTGGGGACATTGGACCTGGAGGAATGGCAGAAGTAGATACAATCGTGATGGAGATTAAATCAAGAATGGAACTAATAAAAAAAATCTAAGCCTTAATTCATTTTTCAGCCATTGATCAATCATATTGATGAATAATTATTTCTCAAAACAAAATCAACAATTTCCAAGGTTAATTAAAGGATATTAATAGCAGAACTTTGAACAAGTATTAATTACACATTGTACTCCAAGAAAAAGATATTAGACAATCAATGAAATACAATTAAATAGTTTTTCTCATTATGATAAATCAAAGAGTAACAAATTGGATTTTATCAAATTGAGAGCAACAATTAAGGGATTTTAAATTGTTAAATTGCATTTATCTTCAATCGATTTACAAACGTCCAAGAAAATTTCCTCAGGTAAACGTTCACCTGAAATCACGACCAGTTTATCCTTGTAATGGTTAAGAATTGGGCCAGAGTGTTGATGAAATGTTGCTAATCGTTTCTTAATTGTTTCCTCATTGTCGTCAACTCGACCTGAGGTCTCACCTCGTTTCAATAATCTTTGGACCATTGTATCATCGGATACTTCGAAGTAAATAACGAAAGTACATTTACTAACTTGCTCTTCGAATTTAATTGCTTGGTCAACCTAATCAACGAAGAAAATAATCAATCAATCATTCAATTAATCCACTGATTAACTCTTACCTCTCTTGGAAAACCATCAATCAAATATCCTCGACTCGAATTATCATTTTTCGTAAAGGCATCTTTAAGTAATTGAAAAACCTCTTCCGACGGAACGAGTTGGCCTGATTCCATGATCGAACCTAACTTTTTACCTCGTTCAGAGCCCGATTTAACCTCAGCTCGAAGTAGATCACCAGTGGATAAATGAGTAAATCCATATCTAGTTAAAGTGATTAGATGATTAGTTGATTGTAAATAAATGGCGATTTCACTCAACTCACTTGGAGACAATTTTTTCACATTGAGTTCCTTTTCCGCTTCCTGGTCCACCGATGATGAAAATAACTGGTTTACATTTAGACTTTGATTTCCAGTATTGATTAAACCAAGGAATCAAATTAAAAACATCACAACTCATTTTATCAGTGAACTGAATTAATCTTAATCTTCTTGTAATCCAACTTCAACTACTTTATAAATTGTAACTGTAACAACAATCTGAAAACAAGTCAAATCTAATTGTTGAATTGTGAAAACAATTGTCGTTAAGTTTAACAACAATGTCACAGGAAATTGTGATTATAATTTAATTCAATCAATAATTAAACTTAATCATTTCCAGTTCAATATTAATAATTTCCGATTCAATTGAACCATATAACCGGTAATTAACTAAATCAACTAATCCACAAAAGTGACAATTAAGTAAATTCAAATATAAGAAATTGAAACAATCTAAAGTAATCAATTTATTGAGACAACAATGAGCTGACAATTAACAAATCAGAATAAAAATAAATGATAATACAATATGAGTAACGATAATATAGTTAATAGTTGCAAATCTATTGAAATAATCAACAATTAAAAGTTAAGACAATAAACAATTAACATTGTATTCAGATGACTAGTAAATCTGAAATATTTAAGTATTGATAACAATTAGACTAATTAACTATTCATTTTTTTTTGTACTGAGCAAATGTGATTAGGCATTGAAAATGTTGGTGTGTTAGTATAATATAATTTAGAGCAATTAAATTAAGGAAAAAGGATCAATTCCAAATTGATTGACGATCAGAATTGATTAGTGACATTTATCATCGATTGATTTACAAACGTCCAAGAAAATTTCCTCAGGTAAACGTTCACCTGGAATCTTGACCAGTTTATCCTTGTAATGGTCAAGAATTGGGTCAGAGTGTTGATGAAATGTTGCTAATCGTTTCTTAATTGTTTCCTCATTGTCATCAACTCGACCTGAGGTCTCACCTCGTTTCAATAATCTCTGGACCATCGTATCATCAGACACATCGAAGTAAATAACGAAAGTACATTTACTAACTTGCTCTTCGAATTTAATTGCTTGGTCAACCTAATCAACGAAGAAAATAATCAATCAATCAATCAATCAATCAATCGATTAATTAGCTGAATAGTTCTCACCTCTCGAGGATAACCATCAATGAGAAATCCTTTGCTCGAACCTTCATTTTTCGTAATCGCATCTTTGAGTAATCCAAGAACCTCTTCCAACGGAACAAGTTGACCTGATTCCATGATAGTGTTTAACCTTTTACCTCGTTCAGAGCCCGATTTAACCTCATCTCGAAGTAGATCACCAGTGGATAAATGAGTGAATCCATACCTTCAAATTGAGATGGAATCAGAGATAATCAGTAAATCGTAAGGAAATTACAATCAACTCACTTGGAGACAATTTTTTCACATTGAGTTCCTTTTCCGCAACCCGGTCCACCGATTACAAAGATAACTGGTTTATTTGTCATTCTAGCGATTTATTGATTGTACTTTTCACCCAAATGAACAATTTAATTTACTTGAATGATATGAATCTTGATTAGTCTCTTCGTTGTTGATTCTTCAATGAAGATTCACTCGCAAGGATCAATTATATTTATGGTGTAGGTTGAGACGATCTATTAATAAACTCATTGAGTCTGATCCAGGGGTTGAAGAAGGTTAAATGAAATTGTTTAACTGAATTAGAATTGAATTTATCTCTTACAATTAAATACTATCAGACAATCTCTGTCTTTTTATCTTTCGCTTTTTACTATTAACAATTGGTAAACAAAATCGTAGATTTTGTCTCTCATTCTGACTGCTGCCATCTAAAGATTAAATCGAGTAGTCGAACATAAAATTATCGAATCGACTGTAACTTTTTCTGTTCGAAACAAATTCTCTGTTATTATTAATAGAATAATTTCAAAGAAAACTAATCGAAAATCCTCATTCATCAACTGATTCATTTGTTTGGAATTCGTTAATTTTATCTCGTTCGTTAATCAATTTAAATATTTTCTTTTCGATTCTTGTGTTGATTGAGAAAATCGGAAATTCTAATCAAGAGAAATGAAGGAAGTTATTTTTTTTTTCTTTCTTTTCGGTGTTACAATATTCTGATTATTCTGAAAATCGATTCGAAAAAATTCGAACCAATTTTTCATAAGATAATCAATCTCTCAGCTCTATTGTTTGCTAATCATTCTGATTAATCAAATGTATCACAACAATCAATGATTATTATTCATCTCAATCAGCTTATTTTTGATCGTTTATTATTCAACTAATCAAGATTTTCATTGATTTTTACCTTTATTAATTCACCTTCATGGTTACTCATAATTTTAGAAAAGGATTGAGAATCAATTGAACGGAAAATAATAATCAGTTAATCATCTTAGAAGATAAAATTTCATCATAATTAATGATTAAGAGAACTAGTTAACCAATTTTCCAATTAGATGAGAAAAAATTACCAGTTCATGTTTCAAAGATTAACTCAATTTATTAGAATTGAGAATTTGAAGCAAATTGTTGAAATTCTCACTCGATAATAATTAACTTAATCATCTATTGGAAATCAATTTGATTAAATTTTTTCAAATTTCGCTCAATATTTACCACTAACTCCATCTATTGGTGTTGATTAGTATTGATTATAATCAAAGTTTTTAATTAAATTTTGAAATGAATCAATTAAAATCAACAATTAATTCAATTTTCAATCGATAATCCAACAAATTCACATTAACTACAAAGTAAATAGTGAATTTTATGTTTAATTACCAGGATATATTGAGTTTGATAGGATATGAAACGATTGAAAAACAAGTTGATCAACTTGTTTACTCATTTATTTTGTCTTATTGACAATCAATTAACTATCAATCAAATTGATTTGAATTTCTTTTTACCTGTTGTGTAATTGAGTTGATAAATTCTGATAAATTCTAAATGATTTTATCAAAATTGATGACAAGAATTTCGAAAAATTAGATAACTACTGATCAGGAAAATCTCTGAATCGTTAATGACTTTTATCTTTTACAATTAAAAATTTTTCTCATTTCTAATAGTTAGAAATCTAATCAGTCTGGTTGAGTTCATTTATTCATCATATTTTTCCTGGTTCTCTGAATAGTTTGACTTTTATAATGAGTCTTTTTCACAATCGATAACCTACATTTCAGCTCATGTGTCTTCCTTATTGTTGATCATGATTAAGGTTTCGATTAATATTGTTGTTGTTGTTTACTTCGTTGTTTGTTTCTAATCATTAGCTGATTATCTTCACTTCTTGGATTTTCAATACAAATTACAATTCTGTTACAATTCTTGTTCAATGTAACCGAGAATAAAAGCTTATGGTAGTAAAACAATCAAAGTTATAAAACGTTTCTCGTTTTAGTTGAAAAATTGGTTCAAAAATAATAACAATGTAAAAGTAAATACATTTATAACTGATAATACATCAATCAGGATTTCTTGATTTTCTTTTCCAATAATAGAAGAGGAAAAGATGACCATTTAAAACTGGACAACTGCTTTGACAATAGGACAGAGAAAAAAAAGACTGTCGTGTTCGTTAGTTGTTGATTATATAAATTCGTCTTGGAAATTGATTATATGTATGATGATTTATGGTGAATCTTTGGAATGGTGGTAATGGTGAACATAATAATGGTGGTTCTCAGAAAATGTTAAATTTTCTTAAATTATTGTTGGATGATGAATGGAGATTAAATAAATTAATACAAATGGACGATGATCTTTGTTGTTAATTTGGTAAAACATAATCACTGAGCATCAGGTTATTGAAGATTAAGGTGGTGGGGAAAAATGGTTATTAAAATAATTTACAAGATCATGATAATGAGTAAATTAATACTCATTACAAGGAGTGTTGACCAATTTGTGACACACCTCAACCTTTTCTGACCATTCAATTTCATCCCATCTCCGACAAATACTGAAAAATAAAATCAAAAAAGAACCAGAGATAAAATTAGTTATCAATCACTTAGCAATAACAATCAAATGGTCAAGAGAATGAAAATTTGACCAATGTAACAATTAAACTTACTCAATATTTGGGTATCGGTTTTTAAGACATTCCTCATAAGTACAGATTCGTTTAATTGTAACTCCATTATCTTCACAAGGTTCACCACTTCCGAGCTTATTTGTCCTCACAGAATTTAAACTGGAATAAGCATCTCGTTTGTTTAAACTTCTAAGCATTGAGGCTCCTTCACAATTAAGAAAAACTAGAAAATCAAAAATGGCGAAAGGAAAAAGAAAATTATTAATAAGGTTAAAGAGAAAAGAACAAAAAAAAGACAAAGACAAAAAGAGAGGGAAAAAAGGGTAAAGATGAAAGAAGAGAAATTAATTTACATACTTTGTGATATTAACAATAAGATGACAACCGTTGATTTAATTGTTAATCCGTTGATTGTGGAGACCATTTTAACGATTATATTGATTAATTGTTGAAAAAGAGAATTGATAACAAAAGGTAATTACAGTTAATTAATTTATCTGTTGGTTTTTGGTGATGACACAAAATGAAAAGTAAGTCAACTAATCAGAAACAATTGACTTGACCAATGAGAAAACTGTTAATAGAATTTGAAAAAAGTTCTTTTTGTAGAATTTTTTTTTCTCTCTTTCAATTATACAAATGTTCAAGTGTTATTTAAGAAAATCTCTTGTTTCCTTAATGTGATTTGTTTCAACTATTTATATAATTGTGAGAGTAGATTATCAAAATGATCGCGAGTGAGCAAGAATTATAAGACAGAGATTAGAAGAGAGATGAAGATGAAGATGAGAGAGAAAGAGAGAGAGAGAGAGAAGACAAAGAAGATGAAAACATCGGCTTCTTAGTGAATATCATGATTGTGACAACAACAAGAGGACCCCAAACATGGAGGAAGTGAGATGGAGGTGGTTAAATCGTCGGAGGAGGAGGAAAATCAACCATCAGTCCAAAGATGAACGGAAATTTTCACTCACCTTCCAGGTAAATGGTCATTTTCAATTCTTTATAATCATTTCTCTCTCCAATATTAATAGTTTTACTTCTTGGTATAAACACTGACGTCTTAATCCATCGTTTTATCTACTCACCTAATCACCATGAAATCATTTTTCTCATCACAAATTAACCTTGATACAATTGGATTTTTCCTTAATCAGATTAATGTTTCCATATTACCCAATGAAAATTGCTAACAACTATTGATGGTTTGATTCAAAAACAACAATCTTGATATGATATTTTCCTCCATCAAATTGATTACGATAATTGTTGACGAAATTTCAAACTTTACACCAGAAAGATCAGATAAATCGCTAATCTCTCTTTCTCTCTCGCACTTAGATTACAAGAGATAATCCACCATTACTATTAATTAACTCTTCTCATTAGTTTTCAGTGTAAAGTTGTTGATCTTATTCCTTGTGCTCTGTTGTTTGGTTTGAATTTTTTTCTAATCACTTTCAATCTTCCAGTCTCATAATAAGTTTTCATCCCTTAATTGTTGCTACGCAATTTCCTCTTATTATTAATCATATTAAGAGACACATCTTATATTATTTGATTAAGAAAAAAAAATTCTAAATTTAGCTGAGAGACAATGGAAAACAAACTTGTCAAATTAACTGATCATTTAATTTACTTGTTGATTATTTGGTTGACAAATTCCCAATCACATGTACAATGTATGATTTATGTTAATTGTTATTGTTGTTTTTCTCGTAATTTACTAATTGTTAGTCTACCTTTTTTTGTAAAGATTATCAACTAGTCAAAGATTAATCATTACTTTAATCATGACAATCAGCGCAAAAAAACGTCTTATTTGCATTTAGATTTTGCAAATTGCGATTCTCTTGATTGATAATTAATTCTGCAAAGGTAATCATGTATTCGTACATCACAATTAAATGTTGATTGAAATTAAATGACATTTAATTCTGTTAACGTTTCAATTATTGCTATTCTACTGTTAATCAATCATAAATTATGTTTGTTGTTTTAATTTGATTGTGAAATTTTCTTGTTTTTTTCAGTTAATTTGATCATCTAAAGATAATCAACATTTATGGCAATGAAATGTAAACAATTAAACATTTGATTAGAAGCAACATCGACCGTGAATATATTTGTATTAACCAGTACTGCGACTTTTGGACTTTGGAAGTATCAACAGTTAATTGTTCACTAATTGTGATCGTGATTGGAAATGATGGTATCACAATTAAAATGATTTGAAACGTGATCATCTTGAAATCAGAAAAGAAAGAGAAATAAGAAAGACGATGATTAATCCTTGGGATCCACTGTAGTTAAATCAACGATAATCAACTGGATTAAGAAATCGAAAAGACAAAGATATCATTCATATTATCTAATAGAATTGATTTGATAATAACAGCTTAATTTCGTCATTTAATAGCTAATTAAATTTTCTGATTAACCAAGCGGACGAAAAATAAAATTAAATGTTAATTTCAAATCATTAGATTGATTTGATTGACAATTAATTGATATTATATTGACTTTTTATACCTGTTTGCTTGTTTGTAGTCAGTTAATTAGCTATTGAATTAGTTAATTGTATAACAATATAACTGAATTAAGTGTAACTATTGATATTTTGTCTTAATACAATCAATATCAATACTTTGATTTGTGTAATTACTTGTAATTCATTGATTAATCTTTACTATACCTGTAATCAATTAACTGATTAATTCTTTGTCTAACCAATCAAATTAATTACTGACCTTAATATAACTATTTACAGTTAAACCTTTTATTTTATTACAATATAATTAACTGATTAACTCAAGTTATCAAATCCAATGACAAGGAAACCCCTTTGCAATTAACATCAATGAAAGACGAGTAAACAATTAACTCATAATCAAAAGAAAAATATGACATATGGTATTTAGGTTATCAATGTTAAAACAATTAACAAAAAATAGGAAATGATCAACTTATCATTAATTAATCAATTAATTACAATTAAAGTAAAAAAGTGAAAGGTAAATACAATAAATAATAATATTATTATTATTATTCAATTACAAGGGAAATTGTGATAATTTAGATTGTCTAAGAGCTGATATAAGAGTAATTCTAATTTAGAATATGATAAATATTCATTGGATAGAAATTAATTAATCTAGTTAATCATAAATAACAACAATTTAATCTTAATCAGATCAAAATAGAGTAAAAAAGCTCCATCTATTGAGGAAAAAAAGAGAATCACGAAAAAAAGCTGAGAAAGGAAAGTCACGTATTTTTTTGCTCCTGTGTTTTTTATTCCTTTACCTTTGTTTTCATCTTAATCAAGTTTTAATTCTTTAAAAAAGTGATTATTTAGTGTTATACGGTCAGTTTGATACCTCATCCGTTATTCTGTGACAATGGAAAGTCCAATTACCGACAGTTTACCCAATCCTCTGAAAAAATTAAGTATGTACTCTCATACTAACACTTACTGAGTCTAGTTATATTGGAAAATACTTTTTCTGATTTAAAATGAAATGATTTAAAACGAAATGATTTAAAATGAAATGATTTAAAATGAAATGATTTAAAATGACCATATTTAAACACAAACACTTACCTCAAAATTATTACCTTACATTTATGTGAATTATGATTAAACATGTTTCTCTTATCAATTTACAGGAGATGCCAGAATCTCTAATAAGAATAAATTCAAAGTGGTATATGATTATTTTAAACTACATAATCACACGAATATTAACCCTCAAATAGTTGGCACTGAAATTGAGGCTTTTCCTGTCATCAAATATCTACAACTTTTGGTTAAAGATGTCACCTTTTCGAAAACAATTCCTGAACCGGAGCTTCTTGATATTATACATTTCACTGATCGACTAATTTCCATTAACAAAGCCACTGAGAATGAAACTGCTGAATCAACCATCAAAGTTCAGGATCTTTCAAATAATCAAATCAAGAATCTTTTGAGTGTCCAATTCGAAAATAAGAAATCTAGGCCTGATACATGGTATGATGTCTCTCATCTCACTGTATTTCAGACCATCATCGTGCGAATACCAGGATTAAAGAATAAGAGTGAAAGGAAAATTGGTGAATTGACTACTGAACAAGTTGAAATTGCTCTGGAAAATGCTGAAGATGAATCTCTATCTGCTGAAGAAGTGGTACCAGGATATGATTCAGCCAAAATTAAATTCTCATCAATAGTTGAAAGATCTCGAGTGTACAACTATCTCAAGAAAACGAAACCTGAATGGGAAGTGGTAATTCCCCCTATACATGATCCAAAAGTTAAGATTCTTGGTGTCAAATTCAACATTGAAATGAAAGATGAATGGATCAGTCGACTCTTCATTAGAAATAAATGGAAGAAGTGCTGGAAGGCTGAAATTAGACACTTCTATCGAAATGCCAACTTATACGACATCATTCTGGAAGTTGATCCTGCTCTCCGTGAAGCCATCGAGGATAAAAATGGTCAAATCTCTGTTGGCTATAAACGAGCTCCTGCCGTCGATTTCTTCGATATTAAGCAATGTAGGAAATGTACCAAATTCGGTCATCTCGCTAATAGATGCACTCAGATGAGTATTTGCCCTCTTTGTGGTGAAACAAACCATAAACAAGAAACTTGCCCTGTAAGTGAACAGAAGCAGAATTGGAGATGCCCAAATTGTAAGAAGATCGGTGAAAATGCTTGGGATCTTAAATGTGAAAGATTTCAGGAGAAGCTTCTTCATGAACTTGAGCGGGTTAATTATCAATACAAGCTGATAATGGCCTAAGTGATGAATATTGACATCGTTTGAACTCTTAAAGATCGAACCTTCCAGCTAATTTACTTGCTTCTCAATTTTAAGAATACTTAATTGATAAAAATTAACGACCTCTCAATTACTTTAACTATTTTCAACTTAAACAGTAACATGATAATTAATCTTCATTTACTTTTCCTCTAAATCTTATAATCTTTAAATCACTTTGACCATTTCTCTCACTTAACTTGCCCTTGTCTCTTAATTAACCCTTCTGAAATCTTAAACTAACTTAAAAACTAATCCTTTCCTTAATCTTCAAATATATAATTAGTGGCTTCTTCTCTATTAACAATAATTAACACAAATGATAAAATTTGAGCTTCATTGTATCAACATTAACACAATTAACTTAAATTAATTCAACCAGCCTCATCATCAGGGTAAAATGTTACACTCATTATCAGTTAGTTTAACACTTTAATGTCACTAATTCAATTCTCACACTAACACATCAAAGCACAAACTTTAATTGATAACAATTAACTCGGCAAGTAGATAATAGATTGACTCAGGAAACAAAACCCCACATTAACTGACAAACTCTTACTCTCATTTAGTTTAAGCAAAATGAACGTGATGTCTAACATCAAAATCTACCGAGAACTTCAAGCTCAACGATTGGGATGGGTGAAAAATCCTCCCATGATTGAAAAGAAATATTCAGTGTTAATAAGTGGTATTAATCGGAACACTAGTGAAAAAATAATTTTACTACTAACCAATAGTATTATAAATTCATCGTCTCGTGTTTCCTATTATAAAGTTAGAAACTGTTCCTTAGAAATTGGCTTCGACTCGGAGGATGTTAAGAAAAACGCCATCGCCCTGTTAAGAAAAAACTTCCCCTGGGTCATCATAAATATTTACAAACCTTCACCCGCTCGCATGTACTTCATTGTGAAAGGTCTGGCCTCGACTACCTTAAACCTCATTCTCAATAACTTGATCACCTCTAATAACTTCATCAGTGACTCGTCAACATTTGTGTCCGACCTTCAAGCACTTGGTGATAGTGAACAGAAAATAATCTTGAACATAAGTAAAGAGAATCGTGATATTATTCTTGATAATGATGGATTTGTGAAATTCAACGGAAAAATTTTCCAAATCTTTGACTTAATAAACATCAATCTTTGCTCCTGTCTTGAATTTGGACACTCTCCTGATCCCAATTGTGCCAATGGTAATAGATGTTTAACTTGCTCATCACATCATCAAGGACTATGTACATTACCTGCTAAATGCTTCTTCTGTGGTAATGACCACCCGACCAATTGTATTGTCTGCCCCATTACTCGTTATCGACTAATCAAAGCCGCTAGAAACAATGACATTGAATATGAATGGCTGCTCTTCCCTTATTACATTGAAATATGTTAATGCCAGAAAGAATTATAAACTAACAACAGAGATGATTGATCAAACAATCAAAGCAAAAAACTGTGCCCTTGTTCTCGTTGAAGCTAATCGACGAGCCTCGATTCGATTCTGTCGAAATCAGATCATAATTAATGATCAAACCATTCTTGTTACATCAACCAACATCAACATAATTGCCTCCAACACTGAGGTAAAAAACTGTATCTTCTCAGCTATTCAATATAAAAACAAGCAACTAATAATAGGCGGATCTTATATCTCCCATGACGATTTGAAACAAAATATTCTGAACTTCATTGGTATGTGCTCGGTTTTCATTGGCTACCCCCTTATTGTTGTTATGGACTCAAATTGTGAATCTCTCCTATGGTCAATCAGGAAACGAAATAATATCGGTAATGATCTTGAAAGCTTCATTGAAAACTCTTCTCTCCTTGTTCTGAACAAACCCAGAATAGATAATTACTCATTCTCAGGTCATTTAGGACAGTCATGGATAGATATTATACTCGCAAATTTCAAGGGGTGTCAACTAGTTGAGGGGGATATAGTTACAGACCACAGATTATACACAATCAGATTCAACCTGCAGGAGAAATTCATTACTAATGATAAGTTCACTCACAAATTTATCAATAACAGAAATAGAATCAAATTTGCGTCAACACAAGATTTTAGAACCTTTTTCCTCAAATTCGCTGAGTTTCAAGATAAAGGGCACAGATTCATTCGGTTCAAATCAGGAACAAACAATCACAGAATTAAGCGAATTAGAAACCAAATTCAAAGACTAAAAAGGAGAAAAGCTGATAGACAGATCATTAGAGAACTTGAGGAAAAGTGTCTTCGGATTAGAATTGGTAGGAAATTAGGCATTAACAGATATTTGTACAAAATCAGGAACAACAGCACTGAAATGTGGAAATTTATTAAAAAGCTATCAGACAAAAAGAATGAAACTTCAGCGTTTACCTCAGTTAAAACAATTAACCCTGATTTAGACACTTACAAGATTAGAAAACCTGATCAGACAACTGAAATAGGGTGGGGGTCTTGTCTCAGTAATGAGGAGAGAATGAGGCTTGTGAATTTCTCATTCAACAAAAGATCTGGTAATGCTGATAATTTCACTCACAAACTCTGGTTAAAATTTTGGAAAGTCAATAAAAATGAGATAATTAAAGCTGTTGATTCGTCTTTTCAATATGGTATTATACCTGCAAGCGTCAAAATTTTCGGTGCTCACTACATCCCGAAACCTGATGGAAAATTGAGACTTATTAAGATTTCTAATTACCTTTTAAAACTATATGATAAAACACTTACTCGCAGAATCAAGAACATCTTACCTGACTTACTTATACCATACACACAATTTGCATACCATGGTAAACTTGGTGTCGACGATCTACATGTAATGCTGAGAAAACATCTTGAAAATGGTATAATTGTTTCAATCGACGCCACGAAAGCCTTCGACAACATCTGTATTGAGACCATACAACAAGAACTTCTTAGATTCGTTGATCATGGTACTTTATCCATGGTCAAATCATTTCATACCAATCGAACCCTCAGATTTGTTCGTGACAAAAAGTTCTTCTACAGAAATGATGATAAAGGTACTGCCGCTGGATCGTCGCTTGGCCCATTACTATTCATTGTTGGACTCAACGCAGCAATAAGAAACCTCACCAGAAAGAAGGTCAAAGTTGCCTCGTTCGCTGATGACATCTTCATCTTAACTGATGAAAACAATCATGAAAAAGATCTGAATGAGGTCCAAATTGAACTGAACAAGATCAATCTAAAGCTTAATCCCAACAAAACAAAGCTCATCAAACATCCTGAAACATCCAATATTCAACTCACAGGGAAATACGTCAGCTACTCAATTAATGAGAACAATCTCAGCAAACTAATTAATCAGTTTAATCCAAAGATTTCATCACAACTAAAACTGATAAATAAGTTACCTGTTCATTACACGAGACTCATCTTAACAGCTCATACCAACTCGATGCTGTTCAATCTTGGCCCTCATGCCCTGTATAAGAATAAGAACTATCTGAGTCTAATTTTAAATCTTCAAAGGATAGTAAATGTTAGACTAAAAGGTTTTCTCAACACAAGTAAATATGCATCTAATTGGGCGCCTCTGTACGTTTATCGGATCGGAAACCCTGTAAAAACTTGGCTTAAGAACCAAATTGATGCAATCATTAGAATGGCTGGAGAAATTGAAGACTGGCCTATCTTGGAAATGTTCAAAATAAAACTAACCTTCTCTCAACCCTCGTCCTTTAATTGTGAAAAATTCTGGTCTAGAAAATCAACGTTCTCATCACTTCCAAAAGCTAGCATCAAGGTAAAGGGTAATATCTTCGCCCTGGATGAAGAGGAAATAATTTACCAAGTTACTGAAACCACCAATACCAAAACCATTCTGTTAGCCCTTTTTATAATGATAACAAAACACAAAAACCAAAGGGTTCATTACATTTTACCTGAAAACATTATAAAGTACCCCAACTCGACCTCAACAAAGATTATTATCAAAATGCTGGAAGCACACAGTGGCCTCTACACTTGGAATGACGACGAATTAGACAAACGAATCCCTATCAACCCGATCAAAACAATAATCATCAAAAACAGAATCACTACCCCAGCTGATGTAAACACACACATAATTCAACAAATTGAGGATAAAATTACCCTTGGTAGAACACCCTCCCTGTACTCAACTTTCTTTCCACAGCCTCTGGAAAAGACATTTCACTACTATCATGGAATCTCTATACCCGAACTGAACAATCTTTGCTGCAAAATCATTAACTGTATCAGAACGATCGAAACGCGGAAAAACAAAAAAACGAGAATTTGGACACACTACTTATCTGATTGTAAAAGCACTCAACTCTACTGGTTAGACTCATGGGATTTAACTGACAAAAACAACATTAAAATCAAAATCTCTAATCTCAAACAAATTTATGTAATTCTTAACAACAAAACTGAACGATTAGTTCAGCGTCCGCAAGGACCCTCAGAATGATCTGAGGCTTAATGTATGAAGCATTAGCCCATTTGGCGTATCAATAAAAAAAGTAAAAGTGAAGAAAAAGTTAATTCAAATTGCTAAAAATAATCAATTTTCAATTGTTCCAATTAAAATTATGAATAAATCAAAATTTCTTTTCGAAAGCAACAATTAAAAGTAACAATTTCTATAAGAATAATGTTCAGAAAAATATTGTAATCATTTGGAAAGAGTAACAATAAATGATAAGAATTCTCGAGAAATTGATGATTACGATTGCGAGAAGAAGATTAAGAAAATTGATAATTCTTAATATCTAATGGATTGTGAGATGAAGATAAGAAGATGGATGATAAAAGAAAAGAGAAAGTAGAAAACAATGAAAATCAAAGTATCTAAAAAAGGAAATGATTCAATATAACGGTTAATAGTTTCGAAGAGACTTTTCGATTACCATGGGAACCGAAAAGAGCAAAACATTGGACCAACCGAAAGAAAGAGTTGATTTTGATTCTCTTTCATAAACTAACCTTTTTTCCATCAAGTTACACAATTAAAGTGAAAGGTTATTCCAAGAATTAATTGTAACTCTAATTGTAACAATCTAACCGAAAAAAGATCCAACAGTAAATCAACTGGACCCACGAAAAAGACAAACTTATTTTCTCAATTTTAAATTGTTCCTTCAATATTTTTCTCTGTAATTTTAATCATCTATTTGTGTGTTGATTAACTGATTACCTGGTTAATTGTTACGAAATGTGTGATCAATTTTGTTATGTGATTATGTTATCAATGTTTATGTTTTTCTTATGGTGAAAGGTTAACATTGGCAACATGGTTAAAGTTAATCCTCCCTATGGTTTATTTTGATTGTTAAACAAATTAAGCCGATTGGTGATGATTTGATTTCTGTTAATCCACTGGATTTATTGATATTTATCATTAGATAATTTTGTGTCATAATTTGTTTCCCTCTCATCATCTCCATCCTCATCATCTTTTGCTGTCAATCGTCGTGGTGGTAAAACAATGACTGCCATTGACAATTATCCTGATTCTTCATCAGATAAAGATCATCAGGTTAAATCATCACCCACTGAAAGTGTCACTGAATCGTCCCCTGATCTACCCATGGATCTGAAATCTCCAGGATCAGCCAATGAATTTGACAATATCAATGTTGTTGTCCGGTAAGTTGTTGATTCCTAAATTACTTTTCCACTTGATTTAATTGTCACATGATTACAGTTTCACTTTTTCCTGAATTCATCATCATCATGAGAGATGAATGTTGAAAAATCCCTCTTACTTTTCCTCTCTCTCTCTCTCTCTTTCTGGTCACGTCTTGATTACATGATCGATAATTTTTCAAGATCATGGTTAGTAAATTGCCGCTGATTAGCTAGTAAAACAATCAAGACAGTGAAAATTGATGATGATCATCATGATGATGTTATTAATCATCTGAATTAACTGTTCATGTTATTCACTGATGACCAACTTGATGGTTACATGAATGAATGAATCAACAATGAACATTGATGTGAATTAAATTCCATCATCAACAATTAACTTTTTCCCCTCATTCCAAATCTTAAGACTTCTAGATTAATTTCTAGCAATCAATAGACATGATTAGGAAAATTTTCACCAATAATCAGAACAACAATTAACTACAGTAGATTACATGTTCTCCATTGATATTAACCCTTTGTTAATATCAAACGAAATTATTGATTTACATTAATCGACTTTTTTTTATTCTTATTTCTTTTTTTGTCAATCCAACATGAAATCCATTTAAAATATATCATGAACTTATATTCTGTTGATTTAATGCTAATCAGCAGTTAATTGTTGTTCAAATATCTGACAATCAACACTGAAAAATTGACAAACTGATCATCAATTTTATTAATTTTAAGAGAAGACGATTTCAACTATTCAGCTCATTGATTTACTAATCCAATCAACTCTAATTGTTTATCACCTTAGTGACTTTTTAATTGTTATCCCTGAATTATTCATGTAAAATTAATTAGCCTACTAACCTTTTAATTGTTGCTGTTGAAAATCAAGGTTTTATTTTTAATCAACTGTCATCAATTTATATTAAGCCACAATTTTTTTTTCTAAATCAATGATTGATACGATTTCTTAATGATTAATCAATATTAAACAATGATAATCAAATAATAATAGAAATAGTTAATCAATTGTAACAACCCATCATCATATACAATTAATAGATTGAAATTATTTTGAATGTCACCAATCAAGAGCTAATATTGTTTACTATTATTAATCAACCTTGATCTCTTAATTGTTGCCATTGTTAAATTAATCATAATCAGGTATGAATCTGCCTTTTAACCAGGGAAGATAACAATCAATTTCTTAATCAATTAATTGTATTGAATAAAAAAAACTTCATGAAAATAAAAACAATTAACAATATGATCAACTCTTAATTTACATAAATAACTGTAAATGGGTCAATTGTGGTGTTAACTTGTGGTCAGTTTTAATGGTGACCATTGGCTTTTATTTAATCACTTTGATTGTTGACGATTTGATTGTTTGATTTTCGTTGATCGTGTTTTGTTTTATCCCTTTCTGTTTATTTAATGTACAACAATTTATAAATTGTTTCCCTTGTGTCCAACTATTAGTGAGAAAACAATTGTCTATAAAAATAAACTACTAATCATGATTAATATATTTACTTATTATGATTGGTCAACCTGAATGGATTGGTCAACAATACAATCATTTATATCAACGGTCATTGATCTTGTTTATCAATCAAATTGTAACTTTTTTTTCATTGTATTGATTTAATGGTTATCGTAGTAATCAAAATAATATACACATTAATCAGAGTAATTCTGTTCTTAATTGTTACTCTGTAATTAATTTCTGACAAACAATGAGCTGCTAATTGTCATCTTAACAATTTGTTGATCAATTTTCTGTTAAATTGTTTCAATGTTTAATTGCGTGATCAGTATTGGTAAATAACAATGACAGTCAATCATATTTAGTTAATTGTTTGTTTCATTGGGAAAACTTAATCATCTTTGTAATTTTGATCAGTTGAAAGGCTAATTTTAACTCAGTTTGTTAATCATCATCATTATTATTAATGAGATATTGTAAACTATATGTTTTATTATCAATAGTTGATTAAGTTCATTGTGATAACAATTAATAAATTGGCAGAAATTCAATAAAAAAAACTATAAGATGATTAATAAAATTCAATTGGTGATTAATATCATTTATACCTTACACAATTATCTTAATCAGTTATTCAAGAGTTAATTTATACATGTTGGTAATTAGTTAATAGTTAATCATCAATTTAATTGGTTAATTAACAAAATCATCATGATTAATTATTTTGTTAAATTGTGCACGAAATGTACAAGAGACTTAGTAATTATTTTCTAATTGTTTTGGTTGATTAACATTCATTTTCTTGGACTAATTAACTTGATTAACTTTATTCTGGTTTAATTATGATTGTTATTATATACTAATCACAATTAAGACAAATTATCAGTTTGTTATTTGCTGATTGTACAATGAAAATTATTGCAAATCTCATAAAGTTTACTCGTGACAATTTAATTTTAATCAATTGAAAGTGAAATGAAATCATTAAGTGATCACTTATCGCCAACATGATTAGTGATTTATGTCCAATTGTGATTAACTAATTGTTTCCCTTTAATTGTAACAGTGTTCGCCCTATTCAAGGTAATCGGATTACGGAAAAAAATCGCGACACTTCATTGTTTCCCGCCGCGGGGCAAATTCAGGTAAATTGATGATTTAATTGTAATAGAAATTAATTATTCTAAATCACTTGTAGCTTAATATTATCATGAAAAAAAAGTCTCTCCTTCAACAATCAATAAACTGGATTAGTTAGCGAATCAGATTTAATTGGTTTCTACATTTTCAACATTTCCTTTCACTTATTATTAAGATAATGATTTATTGATTGTTGAGAATCAAATTGATAATTGTGTCTGAATTAAACTTATTTTTCTTTAATCACTGATTTGATAATTAGTCAAGTACTAGATTGTTGGTTATCCATGTTGTGTTTAGTTAATTATCTTGAGAAAAGTAAGAAAATAACAATTTCCTAATTATTTGATTTAGATAATTGATTTGGTGTTGTGATAATAATTTGATTACTATTTATACACACACACAAATATATAAATGATTAGTTTAATTTGTTGTATATGCAGATTAGTTGATTAATCAATTGTTACATGTCCATCCATTGATTACAATCAAGAGAAACTATGTCATCATCTGATTGTTACATTTACGATAATTTAACAAAAGTGATTAGCAATTTAATCAACAATCATTTGTTGTATTATTTAGTCTGTTAATCGTTAATTGTAATTGATTGATTGAAATAAGAGCTAATTGTGAAACGAGTGATGGAATATTTCAGGATTAATTGTCTTAATTAAGTTGATCATAATGTTAATCACCATGAATCAATATCATGATAACCTTCAAAATTGAAATTCAAGTTCAATGGTGAAACAACGTAACAATTTGTATTCCAAACCAATTGAGTTAATTGTGTTGACAATTTATTATAATTTATAAATACACACACATTTATGTACAAGTACGGATTATTCCGATCATCAACAATTAATTACGATAATTTGGAGTGGATTACAAGCAATCAACTGATTGTGAAGAAAAGTTTAATTCCTTAGCTAATTGTTTATATAATAAAATCTCATCTCAAAACCTATAATTTAACAATTAACCGTAAATCTATAAATTAACAAATCACCTTGGAGTTTATTGAGAATTTGTAATTTACTAATTGTTACTCTTTTTTTCGAACAACAATTAAGGTAAATGATCCAATTTCGAATACAACTCGATCGTTCACCTTTAACGTTGTCTTCGAACCCGAAGCGACTCAAGAAGAGATTTTTGAACATTCGGGAGTTAAACGATTGATCGATATGGCATTAGAAGGGTAATTAAACTTTCTAATTAAACTGGTCAACAATTAATTTTAATTGTTCTCATTTCACTCAATCAGATTCGCCTGTACAATATTTGCCTATGGACAAACTGGTTCAGGAAAAACTTTTACTCTCTGTGGTAATTATTATGAGGTAAGAAAAGTTAATAGTTTTTCATGATTTCCTTTCAAATTGATTGATTGTTAATCATATTAATCAATGTGATTTAATGGTCAAGGTTTATAACCATCGCTCTCATTTACTTTATTCACAATCAACTGGACACAATGAAAAGTAATCACAAATAATAAGATTGTCAAGGTTGATTAGCAAGAAAATAGTAAATCAACAATCAAAAAGAGTAATTTATTAATCACTGTAGCTTCATCTTCATCTTGATTTCTATTGATTTCAATTAATAGATTTCCAATAATAACAACAATTAACTCTGACACCTTTTCCTTCATTTACTAATTTAGTTTGTAAATCTTGTGAATAACTAATCATTTACAATCAACTGATTCACAATTAAGGTCAAATATTGATGGTTTTCACAAAATTAGGTTGAGGTTACAAATCGTAACTTTAATCAACAATCAACAACCAACAATCTATGGGATTTAACCACAATTATCTAATTGCTTTTTCTTTAATTAGGATTTTAATGATGAGAATAAAAAAATGCGGAGAGAAAAAAATTCTTGGGATTATCCAATTAAGCTTCGCTTATCTATTCGAGCAGATTAAGTTGAAAAAAGATCGAGGAGTTTATTATGTCGTAACTGCTTCTTACCTGGAAGTTTACAATGAACAGGTAAGTTGGACAATTAACTAATCACTGGTAACAATTAAATCATTTTCTTCCCCTGCACAGACAATTAAATTTACGACGATATTGAACATTAACTGGATTTGCATGTTATCCTTGAAACTATTGATGATTAACTTTCTATTTCGGTTTATTTAATTGTTTGCGATCATTTTTAAATTATCATTAATATTATATCGATATTAGAATTGATTGTTTAACATTACACTCATTATGTTGATTGTTATTGAAAATTTTCAAGGTTCCAACTCAAATATTATTAATAGTGACACAATTAAGACTCCAATAATCAAATTAGATTGTTATGTTCATGTTAATTTGATTAATCGTTAACTATTGGAGTAAATTGTTTGATAAATTGATCATCTTATTGAATTTAGTTTTATTATCAGTCTTTTTTTTCATTGATTTTCAATCACAATTGATAAAAATAACAATTGTTAAATTGATTGTCCAACAATTAACTTTTTTTGCTAAATAAAAATGTAACACTTTGAGCATATTAATCAACTCATTTAATCAGAACAATCAAGTTAATCAATATTGAGGAAATTATCATTAGTGTAAAACAATTCATAGATTTTGATATTTCCACAACAATTAGATTAATTGTTTTTCGTCACTTGATTTGTTTAAAATTTAATTGTTGCTGTTGTTTCTGATGTCCATTTTTCACCAAATATTTATTAACTTTAATCACGCAATTTAATTGTTTATCAATGGAAATAAATTTAATCCCAATCAGAACTTGGAATTGAAACTTTTCTACTTTTTTTTATCAGATTTAATCATGACCTAAATTAGATTTCATGGATTTTGTTAATCATTATGCTGATCATGATTAACTTTAATATTCAAATACTGATGATATTAAATTGTTACTGAATTAGAATCAGGGTGAAAGGTAAATTAATGTTAATTTAATAGTTGACAAATCTAGGTTAATACATTGAATACTCAGCTAATTGGATCACCAATTAATTATTTAACTTCATCATAATTAACTTCAACTGTTAATCGTTAATCCAAATTAACTTCAATCATTGTGTATGAAAAAAATACTTCAACCATTAAAAATTAACAATTAACATTGAATCTGAAGACAGTTTTACAAAACTAAACTTGAATCAATTAATCAAACAATTTGCTTACAATTAACAATTGATCAAATTAACTAAATTAACAACTCGAGATCAAAACTCAGCTAATTTTTTCAATCAATTCAATTTCCAGCAAAATAAACACAATGGATTTGTGAAAATGCCCTAGAATTTGTTTCTCAATCACAATCAACTGGTAAAGTTAATTAAAAATGCTAATCAATAAGTTGAACATTCAAATATATTGATTAATTAATTTTCTTTGATTTTAAAATCCAAGTTACTGCTGCCATCTAGCGGAAAGAAACTGATTTAAACTCGATTGTTAATCTGATTGGTTAAAGTGAATTAAACTAATTAACGTTTTCTAACTGATTATAATTAAGGTTCTAGATTTATTAAACCCTTCGACGAAAAGTTTGAATGTCCGATGGTCAAAGGATAGAGGATTTTATGCAGAAAATTTATTTAAAGTTGAATGTGAAGATATCGGTGATCTGGAAGGTGTTTTAGAAGAAGGTAAGTTAATTGTTAATTTAGAAGAGAAATTAAAGTGAACAATCAATTAAATTTCATGATAAGTTTAGATGAAACCAATTAACGATGTAACTAAATTTAATGACTGAGACTCTATTTGGAAAACGATAATAACGTGTAACAAGATATTTATTGTGAACAATTTAACAACAAATATTACATATCAGCAATTTAGTTAATGATTTAACAGTTAATTGTTTTGATAACAAGTTGTTAGTGTTCAATTTTTATCGATGGTGAAGAAATTAACATTGACAATTAAGATTTAAACCTTTTTCCGGGTTCCAAGTAATTTATCATTACCATAACAATTACCGAGCTTCCTATTTTTGTGACAATTACAAATTTAATTTACCTTAATGAAGGGATGATAAGATAATCATCATTAACTATATGATGATGATGATGATTAAAACATGAGAAAACTTGTAATTACAGAATCATTTTAATGGTAATTATTTTAGTAACTCTCAGGTAACTTGGTGGAAATGAATTTGAATATCTAATCATCAATAGACAAGAATTAATAACTTGATTGTTAACTGATTTTATCGTTTGCCTCTAGGGACCAAAAATCGTCAGGTTAGGTCACATATGATGAACGAAAAATCGAGTCGAAGCCATTCCTTGTTGACCATTTCTTTGGCCTCCGAAACTCAAGATCCCGAAGACCCTCAGGGTTACATCCGTCGAGAAGGTCGACTTTGTCTGGTTGATCTAGCGGGTTCTGAGAAAACGAAACGGACCCAAAGTAGGGGGGACACACTGGTCGAAGCAAATAACATCAATAGGTCACTTTTGGTCCTTGTAATTGTATCTCGGCCTTAGCATCACCTAAACGCCGAGCTGGACACATACCTTACAGGTAACGATGAGGTGACATTGAAACGTTTCAATGAATTGAATCAAAATGATTCATGATTATCATAAATTGATGGGAAAATTTCATTATGATGGTCAATTAAGATAAACAAGTTATTATTTGATTGTTGGTTAAATTGATTGGATAGATGAGAAAGGCTAACAAATTAGATTGACAAAATCACATGCAATTAAAAATAATTAGATAATCAGATTAGTTAACAATCAATTCACTGAACCGGTGAGTGATTTGTTAATTGTTAAGTACAGTCGATCTCTTTTGCTTGAGACTCTCGAAGCAAATTTTGAGACGGACAAGCAAATGAATGAGACATTTTTTTACCCGCTAAGAAAAGTCATAAAATGTTTTATTACTTTCGCAAAATTTGAGACAAAGAAAAGAAATGAATGAGACAGACAAGTAAATGAGTGAGACATTTTAGCAAATGAATTAGTTTTCAATTTCTTCCTCTTCTAAACATTTAGAAATATACTTTTGCATATTTTTGTAATAGTTTTTGCAATCGTTTTCATCGATAACATCGGAAGCTAATTTCAGGCCATCAAACACTTCATCGCCATTTTTAGGGTTGAGTTTCTTTACATAATATTTCAACTGATTGAAAGATTGATTCTGAGAAACGGAGAACAATTATTGAGATTACATCAACTATCGTCAAGCAGAATTTTATTTGTAAAAGTACAATGATCGGTAGTTCATCGCAGCACAAACAGAGAAATTTTTACCACGAACAGCTTTGACTCGAAGATTCGATTTTTTACCAATTTTCGAGTATCCGTAATTGAGTCTCGCATGAATTTGAATACCTGTTTCATCGATGAAGAATAATTTATCACGATCACTATCCATACGAATAAATCGTCGAGCATATTCCAGTCTTGCTGTTATTTGTTGTTGAGAATTTCTTCTCTCAGGAACAATCGATATCCGTTTAAATGAATAGTGTAAACCTTGAATATACCGATGTACAGTCGATGAATGAACGTTTACACCGAACTCGTCATGAATTTTATCCCTTAGTTCATCCGATGTAAGTTGACAATTAACATCTAACCAATCCTTCACTGTATCAATAATTTGCTGATTAAGTTTCTTTTTTCGATGAGCTTTAGGCTTTGCATAAACTTTTGATTCCTTGAATCGTTGAACAATTGTATGAATTGTACTAGGATTAACACCATAATCACTTATTTCAATTGAACTTTTACCTTGTTCACTAGCAGAAACGATTAACTTTTCACATCAACATTTATTTTCACCATTTTAATACCAATAACCAACTAACTATTAGGAAGTAATATCCGATACTTTCAGCTTTGTTTCTAGGCTATGCCGATCAACAGAATGTGAAAGATAGAACTTTTCCATAGCCAGCCACGAAGTGGTCTCGTCGGAAAGTGGCATTTAGATGCATTTTTCAGCTTTTCCGCAACGAGTTCCATTTTGATTCGACAACCAGAGGGCATTCAGCTGCGTATTGATCATTAGTTTTGAATTTTGATTGTCTTGAAGTGAGTCCATTAAATTCCTGATGTCGAAATTAGTATTAAAGACAAAAATTCATTTCAAATAGCTGGTCTGGAATCAGCGCCTATTGTTTTATTCAGTAGCTAATTGACCTTATGGTAAACTTGTTAAACGACTAACGATGAGGATAAAATCGGCCTAAATACTAATTTCGGCATCGGGAATTTAATAGGACTCAATTTCAAGACAATCAAAAAAGGTCAAAAATTTCATGTGAATGTCAACGGGATAAGTACGCACCTTTGAATGCCAATTACTCCTGAACGAAAAGTCAGATCAAAAAGATGATTAGCTCAGTTTGTTCGATAATTTTAGAACTTTCAAATCGCCGGAAAAGATTTCTTGAAAAAAGTTTTGCATCTAAATGTACCACTTTTCCGACTTTGAGAGGCCACTGCTCGGTAACGGCTTTATGGAAAAGTTCCAAATCAGGTCACAACAAAACTTTCACATTTTCTCTGTTGAATCGCGAAGAAAAAAATCTGACCTAATAAATAGCCTAGAAATGTAAGCGTCAAAGTCCGGATATCGGTTGTTACGCCCTGTATAAACACAGAGAAAAATTATCAACAAGTGTCTCATCAAGCGCTAAACCGTCTCCGCTCATTTGGGTTAACTGTCTCAAATTTTAAAGGCCATAAAAGTTTACGACTTAGCGTAGGCGGTAAAAAAAATGTCTCATTCATTTGCTTGTCCGTCTCAAAATTTGCTTCGAGAGTCTCAAGCAAAAGAGATCGACTGTACAAAAGTTCAGTAGCCTTTGATTTATTCATCTACTTGATTAACATTGATTAAATGTCAACAATTTTAAATTGTCTACAATTTATAATTGATTTAATTAACATCCTAATCAAAAGTAATCTAATTTAATTTAAAGAGAGATACTAAATCAACAAATTGTATTAGTTTTAGGTTATTGAATTTCAAGTTTTTAATCAACGAAATTAATTTCCGATTACAATTAGTTTACTTAACTAGTGATAATATAATCAGAGGGTTTAATTGATTAGGATTATGAAGTAATCCAATAAATGGTCAATGATATTGAAATCAATTAATTTCTTGTGTTAATCAAATGTGGACAATGAACTAAAAATTAATCAATATGCTATCGAACCAGTTAATTGCTAACTAATAAATCAATCAATAAACGAAAGTGTCAAGCAAAAGTTGATTCATGTTAACGGATTAAATCAATAATTAACCTTACTCAGTTTTCTGTTACTCTAATGAGATTAAAAAATTGGACAATCAACTTAATCATGATGATAATCATCAGCATTGATACATCATAATCAATACTTTATTGTTAAAAAAAAAAGTATTGACAATGAACTATTGACATTTAAGAATTGATTTAGTAAACAATTAATCAATTATTTCTTATAAAACTGAGCTGATTGATTAGAATGATAATTAAATTTCATCATCGCATATTATGATTACAGGGATAGTACATTAACTAAATTACTGGCTGATAGTTTGTCTGGAAGTGGGATGACATTAATGGTAAGAACTTCCTATCAGCTACTAATTAGACAATTAGCTTAATTGTGGATAATTTTTTTGTCTCAATTTCAAGGTGGCTTGTGTTTCCTCATCACCCGAAGACTCCTCGGAAACAATTAACACCCTTCGATACGCAGCTCGAGCTAAAAAGGTGAAAACTAATCCGATTGTCCGAATGGATCCTCGAGAATTGTTGATATTAAGCTTGAAACGAGAAGTGCGACTCTTGAGGATGGAAAATATTTACCTGAGGCAACAGGTAAATATCAATTTCTTTCTTGATTTATATGTTGTTACAATTAAGATTCTGCAAACAATTTGAAGGAAAATATAATAGTTTGTTATTATAATTGCGAAAATGGTTTCATCTCAATGGTCATTTCCATTGGTCAGTTGATGAAAACTTGATGCTTATTGTTTATCATTATTATCATGATAATTGTTGGCTAAGGGTCAATACATTTAATGGTAAACCAGTTTATCTTTTCCTAATCAATTTTTATAACAAAAAAGTGATTAAAACAATTAAATTGTTAAGGTTAATCAACTACATGTTGTATATGAGATACATGATCACGCAATAAATTGTTAGCTACAATTTTCCCATATGATTTAGCAGCACAATCAGCCAATTGTAGTTGTTTAATTATAATCAATTTAATCTGATCAACTTAATTACCTAAAGGGTAAAGGGTTGATAAATTTTGAACAATTGAACTAATCTGATGATGAACAAAGTTTTCATTGTATCTTTTTTGTTGTATATTAATATTTTTTTGATTAACCATCACTTCAATCAACAATTTAATTGAAATAATAATTTAATGATAATAATGTTGAAACAATTTGTATTCTGTTAATTTAACCTTAGGGCAAATTAAAAAGGTTCATGACTTTCATTATGATTGTTAAGATAATCATATTGTCCCCTTTTCCCTGTGGATTTAATTATCCTCAGCTAACAATTGTTACAATCAAATTGAAAGGGTATTCTCACTGTGAATACAATTAATTTTGATTGTAATCAACTGCAATATCTGTAAATGCTTGCAAATGTCTATGTGTATATGTGAATATATCTGAGATATGTAATGTCAAATGGTAATGATAATATTACATAGATGCAGATTGACAGAGGTCAAGGTCACCTGAGGAAAAGGGATAAGCCACCGAGTCCATTGAAGGGTATTGCGGTGATCGGGAATATGGTCAAGAATCAGCTGAAAAAGACTCGATTCAAATGGAGGAAGAAATTGATTGAGAATTGAAGTGAAAAGCCCTTGCTGACCATTAAAAGTGACCAAGAGTGAAAACATATTGACAGAGAAACAAAATCAAATGAGAAAATATTTTACCTTCATTTTGATTAATCGAATCAACAATTTGATCATCCATCTTATTGACGTTAATTATATATTACAAGGAATCATCATTATCAATTTCACTTCCTCTTCCTCCTCTCTCTCTCTCTCTTTTTTCTCACTCCCACTCTCCCACTCTGAGATAATTTTGCTGATTTTACTCTTAATCAATTCTCACAATCAAGTTAATCACTTACACTTTCATTCATTTGGTTGGATGAAATTCAAGAAGGAAAAAAAAAAGTTCACTCATATTCACATTCTTGAATCTCCCATGATGGTGATGATGATCAGAATATTAGTTTAAACCTTAGTTAACTTAATTATCATTATTATCATCATGATGAGCGTAGGAAGATGTTACAATTTACAAATGATAAATATTTTTATTAATTAATTTTTGCTTCTAATTTGAACATTTTCACCAAATTTACTTTTACTATACAGAGATTATTTTTGTTCATGACTGTCTGACAATCAAATTTAATCATTATTGATTATTATTTAAGATGAGATATTAAATTGTTACAATTCCTACGCAATTTAAACTCAAATACAATCAAATTAAAGTTAATTCCAACCTGAAACAAAGCAAATGATTAACTAAATTACTTGACAATGATAACAAGTAAAAATTGTCATTATTATTGGAATGACAATTTACTAAATTGTATTAATTGCTTCACTATGTTACTATTAGTTGATTGTTAACCAACAAGGTTATAATTAACACTTTCACCTAATCACAATTTAGGTCAAAATTGAAAACCTTGGTGTTATTTTCTGGGTTACAGACTGAATCTATTCACTCAGAATCTTCATCATCTTCATCACCATGATGATGATGAGAAAACAGGAAAAATTGATCAATCAGATTTACGCACATAAATTGTTGACAATTAATCAATAATCCAAAGACAATCAGTTTAATTACTATTGTTAAATTAGCTTTAAACTATTACCTCAATGTGAAGTGTTATTTTTTTAATTGTTAACTCATTACGATAGCTTATTTTAATTACTAATTTATTTTGATTGTTTTGCTTTTCTATTCAATTAATCAAAATTAATTGTTCATCGAGCTTATTTAATTGTGATAATATTAATTGTTAAACTCAAAAATAAATAGTTATTTATGTTAGCACAATTAATTAAGCTCAACCATAGAGTTAAAATGTTTTATTTTAATTGTTATTGTCCGAGAAAAAAAATTTAACTAATACAATTAACTTAATTATGAAAGGATAATCAATGTTTGCACAATTTGTTCAATTGAATTATTAATACTTTTAATTGTTACCCTTGATTGTAATTACTAGAAAACATTTGAATCCCTATTAATCTGATGAACAATTTAAATGAATAAACTAAAATGATTTGTAACAATTAACTAACTGATTGCATCACCTTTTGATTGTACTGGACAACATTGATTGTTAATCATTTCAGATTTAATTGTTATTAGCATCTTTTTGCTCATGATAATAATAAACAATTAACAATCAACAATGAATCTAAAAATATGATTACAATTAAATTGATGAAAACCCAAAAACTGGTTTTAAATTTAACCCGAAATTAAATGAATCCTAAATATAAAAAAATCAAACAAAGAGTTAAAATTACTATTAACAATTAAGAGAGAGAGAGAGAGAGAGAGAGTTTGTTAATTGTTGTTAATCAAATTTTCAAACTCTTTCATTAAATGAGCATCAATTTAATGCTCATGTTATTTATATAATTAATCAAACAATTACCATGTTAAATCATGATCCAAACTCGTTTCTTTGTTATTGTTTCCCAATTTGATGGATCTTAATTATAACAATTATAAATTGCTCTCTACCTTTGAGGCCAACAATTAAAGTTAATTAATCTATTGTTTATTGAATTGTTTTTTCCATCATCACAATTTAGTTAAATATTGGAAGTGGATTCATCCTTCCCTCTAATGGTGATAGACCAACTTCAAATGATTCAATTAATTCACAGGTTGGTGAGGTGATAATTAATCAAATCAATGGAGCTGTTAATCATGGTGATAATCAGATTGATTGTCAATCCGATGTAAACATTAACAATAATAATAATAATCCTAATGGTAATGATATTAATTCAAATGATGATCATCAGGTGGATGTTAATTATTCAATGTTAACTGAGAAACCACCGAGTAATCAAATTGTCAATGATGAAATTATTAATTGTGATGGTAATCATATTGTTACTGATTCAGGTAAATTGGTGATTAAGGACAATCTATTACACAAATATATGCAACAAAATGAAGGATTGAGAGCTGAAAATGCTCAATTACATCAACAAAGGGAGAGATTAATTCATGATCATGAATTAGTTTGTCGTGAAAATGATAGATTAAGGAAAAGATTATCAATTCCAAGTCAAAATGGTGATCAATTAATTACAATTAACGGTGAATCGAATGGTAATAATGATAATTTCCAAGATAATGGAATAATAATTAATGGTGATGACGATGAAACCATCAATGAGCAACAACAACAAGGAGGTGAAAATGAAGATGAATATAATAACAATCATAATACCAACGGATTAACAAATGGATTAGCTAATAAAGGGATTAACAAAAAGAACAGCAATAATTTAAGACGAGAAGAGGAAAGAAGACCTTCACTGGTTGCGATCAATGGTAATTCCGAGGAAAGGACAATTAGTAATAGATTTAAATTCAATGATAGATCAGGAAATGGTAAACTAATCAACGGAATAAACAATGATAACGGTAATAATCATAATCTAGTAAAAGGAAATGTTAATGAGAAACAATCTAATGAGTTTGGCCTGGAGGTGAGAGGCACTTCGGCAGCGACCAAGACGAGGTTCAGGAGGAAGTGAAATCAAAATGGATCACCTTTTATACTCATCTTTTTACCTGTAATTGAAAAGGAGATGAACAGATAATTATGACAATCAGTCTGAATGATAAAAAAAGGGTTCAAGATGAGAAAGTAAATGTGGCAAAAGTGAATGAGTGTAAGAGTAACGGAAGATGATAAGGAACTGGTTCCATGATAATGATGATGATGGCAAAGATGCTTAAGGAAGTGGAGATGACACAGTAAAAGAAAGAGTGGAAGAGAGAGAGAGAGAGAGAAGATCAAAAGGAAAAGGATTTTGTTATCATCTAATTGGGAGAAAGTGGATTTAGATTAAATTGTCAATCGTTGAGATGATTAAATTTTCGATTGTTACTCATTGTGTATTCATTTCCAATCATTGAACATTTTTTTTTGTAATCAATAGTTTCATTTGATTCTTGTCTCATTGTAAATAAAATCATATTCATTTGAATTTCATGTCAAGAAACTTTATCATCAGTTGATTTTTGTAAATACAGTCACACCTCTCTAATCGCCCCCTCTATTATGTCACAAATTCTTTAATTTCACAATTTAATTTTCGATTGAGATAGAATATAGTTATAATATGTCACATAATAATCACTATTTCAATTTGTGAGATTCATGTAATTGTGTTTTGTCAATGAAATGAGCTAATTGGCTTAAATTATGGAATCATGAAATTGCATCATTTTTGAGAGTATCAAAGATTATTATTACAGAAAGAGAAAAGTTATCAACAAGAGATAATGAAGATTGATCAATTCAGTGTTGTAAATAAGATTATAGTAAATACAAAAACATTGATTTTCATCTAATTGAATTAATAGATTTCCATAAAGTCACAATTTCCCAAATTTCACAAGTTTTTTGGGTCCGGTGGGGGTGAAATTAGAGAGGTGTGACTGTATTTACTAATCATATTAATAATAAACGAGATTAATTATGTAACTGATTAATTTTGTGAAATGTTATTGTTTTTTGTTTGTTGGAATAAAAAAAGAGAGACTTTTTTTGTTCGATTTCAAATTCATTTTGGTTTTTTTTGTTGTTTAGTATGAGATAGACACATGATTTAACTAATTGTTTTCAATTAAATGTTTAATTGTTTTTGAGTTTTTTTGTTTATTGATTTCATCTCAAACCTACAGGAAATAATCGGGAGTCCTCCTTGTGACATGTGGCTCTCCTCTTCTGGGAGCAGGATCAAATTGCAAGAAGGAATACTTGAGGTTATCATCAAGCTCCATTATGGCTGCCTGATTACCGCAACGATAACAATAGTTGGGAGCGGAGAAAATGGTTACTACATTCCTATCGTGGCACCAATTGTAACCTTCCATAACTAGCTGATGAGCTCGAGATACAAGGGTTAATCCATTGGTATGGTTAAATGTTTCACTAATATCCTGTCCAAAGGTGTAACCAGCTCCACGGGGTGAGATGCCCCATCCACCTCGGTCATCGGGGTCACTCCAGAGGAGATCACACATGGGTCCTTCGTGAGGTACTTCTTGTAAACGGTCAAGGGCTCGAATATGGTCCAATGTGTCTATGGATGGAGATAATCCACCGTGTAAACAGAATATCAGACCATCAACTATAAAAGAGTAAAATCAAGGATAAGAAAAAAGAGAAGCGGTTAATTACTGTCACCAACGATTTTTAGATTAAGTAAAAAAAAAGAATAATAATAATAAAGAGATTGACGTAAAATGATTAACATCATATCGTTCAAGGCCTTGGAAAGGTGAAGGGGTTTTACTTGATTTGTTTAATTAATCATATTAATATGACTAAATATCAATGAATCTCTCTTACAATTGATGATATCGTCTTAAATAATCTAATGTCATAAAACATAACAGTTTTACATTTAAGAAAATAATTTGGTAATCGTAATTATGAGAGAAATTATTACGATTAGATTGTTTAGGTTTTTTTTGAAGGATAAGCAGTTTACTCACTAGCCAAACACTCATTGTCTTTACTGTAATCATCTCATTTCATCTTGAAAGGAGAGAGAGAGAGAGAAAAAAAGAGATGAGCTGTTTAATGTAGTAAATTGCTAAGGGAATCAAATTGAACAAGATGAATGGCCTTGAGAATATGATGGAATACAAGTAAGAAAGAGTAGAAAGAGAAAGAGAAAGAGAGAGAGAGAGAGAAAATAAGAAAAATGCCATACCTAATGCGGTTAAAGGTAAGTAGTCGAAAAGGTCGGTAAAATACTTCCAAACATTAGCATTACCATATTTACGTAAACATTCATCGTAAAAACCATATACTTGGGTGATTTGTCGTGACTCATGGTTACCTCTTAAAATGGTTATCCTTTCTTTATAACGGACTTTAAGACACACTAACAATGATACAGTTTCTACGGAGTAGTAACCACGATCGACATAATCACCCATAAATAAATAATTAGTATCAGGAGATTTACCTGAAAAGAAAATAAGAAAAATAAAAATTAATGATTATAATAAAAAAAGCAAGAAAAGGTTTTAGAGAAAGAGAAAGAGAGAGAGAGAGAGAGATTAGCAAAAATCATCTTTCATTTTCAATGTTTCCCTTGTTGAATTACCCATATAATTCAACAAAATCATTTTCTGTATCATTTGTGTGATCCCTCAATTCAATTAGACACTATAAGCTTTTTTTACTGTCATTACAAAATGACTTTCAATCATCAAATAGTGATGATAAGGTAGTGCTTTTAAACGGCAACACAGGAAATCATTGTTTCTCTTTCCTCAGGAAAAGAAGAAGAACCAATCAACCAAAATTGCATTGAAAAAGGAGTAAAAATACATGAAAATAGGTAGTATAATATTCACACAGGTGAAACAGAAAATGGAAAGAGATGAATAATGGATTTAATCAAAAGGAGGGTATATAAATGTATATGAAAAGGGAAGAAAGAAATAAAGGAAAAGAAAGGAAAAGATGAAGAAAGGGCAACACATAAGGAGAAGTGAAAAAAAAAGATTAGGTAGAAAAAGAAGAGAAAAAAGAAAGAGAAAAAGAGAGAGGGAAAGAGAAAATAAAAAGAGAAGGAGAGGTTAACAGCGAAGTAAAAATTACCTCCTATCTTAAATAGCTCTTGTAAATCATGGAATTGGCCATGAACATCACCACAAACTGTAACCGGGCATTTAACCTCTTGTACATTACTTTCCCTTGATAGGATCTCTTTGGCTTTTTCACACAATAATTTAACTTGATTCTCAGTTAATTGTTTACATTCCATAAGACTTTCAATATAATTATCCAACTCCTTTAATGAAGGCTCCTTTTTGGTATTGGTAACCTCATTGTTTAATGAACCACTGTTTTCCGTCATTGTGTTCAATTTGTTTATTAATTTTGCTTTTAATTTGAGATTGTTTGTTGATTAACTAACACTCACAAAACAAAACACAAAGGTAACAAAATGTTGAAAATTAGATGATTATTATTTGAATAAGAAATTCAAATCAAATTAAATAAAAATCAACTACAAAACATTAAAATTTCAACTAAATCTCAGTGGAAACAAATATCAAGTAACCGCCCTGAAACTTGGTGGCAGCACTTTTGTTCTCTTCTCTCATTGGTTCCATTCTAAGTGTGACAAATAGCTTTTTCTCACACTTATCTGCATTCGTCTAAAATAATTTGATAGAAATTTCTTTTTGTTAATTGTGATTAATGTTAGAGAGTTAATTTTTTGATAACAATCATTTGATTATCGGTAATTTTTTTCATATGATACTGATCTTCTTGAGCTTTTCTTATTATCAAATTTGATTTAATTTCTTTTCGTTGTCAAGTGCTGCCCTCTTATGTACAGCATTCTTACTATTTGTCTTTTTCTTAATTAACTTTTTCTCGAGCTGTTCAATATTTAATATTAATTAAAAGTGAATTATAAACAATTCGGTTGAGTTTTAGTGATTGATTAATTGATCGAAATTAAAGATTACTTGTCCTATGACACCATTTTCGTTGAAATAGATGCATGAATTGAAACAATATCGACAAAAGTAAGATTCACCTCGAACAATTAATTTTTGAATCTAACTATTAATCAACAATTAAACTTGCTACAGATTCATTTCAAGAGGTAAACAATCTTGTATTTAAACAATCAACTGACCATACACTTAAATTTCATATAATCAACAAGTAAACTCAAAAATATTGTCACAATTTCCGTGGCCTCAGGGCAAACAAAGTTAATTGTGTTTAATGTATGAAACATTCAACTGATTGTGATGATACAATGAAGATGTCTCAATGAAATGAAATTGAAATTAATTAAATTGTACAAAATTTTATCCAAGTCGTTTAATTTGTTCCGATACTTGTCTTGATCAACATTACAATTGTTAACTATTAACAGATTGATAATTTTTAATCATAAATATTTTTCTCACTAATCAATACTTACAGTTGAGACAATCAGATCTAAATTGAGTTTAATTTAACAATTAGTTAAGAGAAACAGTTTCAAATTATCAGAGTAATATTTTGATGATCAATTTTACAATCAAGAAATAAAGTTGACTCAAAACTTATAAAAATAAAGACAAACAATCAAGTAATCAACTAATTGTGGATCCTATTAATCCTAACTCATAAACAATTAACTTACTAATGTTTTGTAACTTTTATTGAGTAAAATCAATCATTAGGATTAAGGTAATTAAGTGAAAGGAAATTTAATTGTACCTAGTTAAAGTCTCATTGGTAATATTATTACATCGATAATGGTAATTAATTAATACAATTAAATCAATTGAAATGTTTCAATAGTTAATTTGATTTGGGCAGATTTAATTTTCTAACTTGACGTATTAATGTTGCAATTTGTTTAATTGTTAATAATTAACGTCACGTAATGAAAAAGTTTCTCCAATGTTGTACAATTAACAATTTAATCAGTTAATTGGTATCTAATTATTAAAGGGAAATGTTTATTAACTAAATCATTGATTCAAAGAAATAGGAATCATATTTTTCAATGACAATTAGTTAATTGTAATGGTCTGATTTAAAGTTAGATCACCATTTACACATGTTAATTGTTCAATTGTTAATCAATAACAATCGGAAATGATCATGAAAAACACATTCCCATGATACAAAGTTAATTAATCTAATAATCTTAATCATAACCATTTATATTAATAAATTGATTAGCTAAACAACAACAACAATCAGGAAAAAAAAGGGGAAAATTATTTCAACAATTAACAAAATATCATCAACAGGGGAAATGATTTATTGAAGGTTAATTGATTGTTAGAATAGTTGATTTATAATTAAATCTAATCAAGATTATCTTGACCATTATTATCAATTGAATCAGCATGGAAGCAATTAAATGAAAATGTTTTCATTAATTGTATTGATAAAAATGGACTTTTTAAAAAAATTTATCGAGAAAATTTCAACAACAATTAACACCCATTCAGAAAATGAATAAATTAATTAATTGGTTAATCTCATGTTTTAATTTCCCCTTACATTGAGCAATCGTTGAGATGAACAATTAACTGAGTGTTATTAAGAAAAATCAATTAATTAAGAACTTAATTCATCAGATAGATCAGAATTTGGATAATCAGTTATTCAACAATTTAATTAAGGAAAACAATTGAATTTCCACTAATTTGATTGTTTACAATTACGAGTAGGATTTTTTTTCTCGTAATCTGATCATTTGGTTTAAATTAACATCAACAATTAATCTCGATCAGGGGAAAATTAACTGATAAATGAAATTCTGTTAATTGAGTAATCGATTGATCCAAGGCCCTAAATTGATTGTTACCAATAACTAATTGATAATAAAATTGATTCTTTTTTTCAACAATTAACAAAAGTTAACCAATTAAAAAGGTAAAAATTTTCTCCTAGCCTAATTTGGTAAATTGATAATATACCAATTGTTAATTGTTACAATTAGCATGAGAAATGATTATTGTTTTGACAGATTAAATTTTATTTAATTACTCTAGAGGGTAAATTAAAGTATCACAGTTTTACATGAATGAAATTTTTTTTCAAAGTTGATGACAATTTAAATAATTTTGTTGAACAATTATGATTATTACAATTATGATATTGAATGAAATTATCAATCTGAGAGAGAGAGAGAGTTTGGGAGGGGAAATGGTGAAGTTGAATTGTGGTGAGTTCAGTCCAGGGTGGATTCAGATTCTGGTACCTCAGGGTGTAAAGGGATCATGTCACATTTACATAGATCACCGCCTTCGTTGTGGCTGCAAAGAAAAACGCACAATTGATTCCGCCAAACCAAACCCTCTTCACTGTTAGCGATGAATCTGTTAATTGCTGATGAGGTGATTGTTTTGGTTGATGAAGCAGGTTTTGATTGGGTTGAAGTTATCAACAGGGTTAAGATGGTTAAGGTTAGAAGAGCAATTTGAATGGCAAATGTTGATGCTTTCATTTTTGTCGTTGTTGTTGTTGTTGTGGTGGTGGTGATTGATTGATTGTTGGGGTTACGGTGGTGACTGATTAATGATAATTTCACAAATGACAGATTAGAAAAAAAATCAACAAATTAACCAAATGAGAAAAGGGATTGGGTTAAATTAATCAAATATTGTATCACTGAAGCAAAGAAAGTAAAATCTATTATTATAAATGTTGATATAGAAAACGAAAACAATTGAAAGTGATTATTATTAAATCAACAGGTAACTTTTTGATTTCACAAGTAAAGTGAGTGTAGTTGAAGACAATAATTAAATTTATATCTTTTAATTGTGAGATATAATTATCACTAATTTTTTGTTTATAGAGAGAGAGAGAGAAAGACAAGAAGAAAGTAAAAGCTTGTTTGTTTGTTGAAACAGTGAAGATGAAACTGTTGATGATGAACAATTTATAAACTGTTAGTTAATCAATGGATCAGATCAGGGACATTGACTCTCCCTCTCATCATATCACTAATGAAGATAAATTAATTGTCTCTCTTTCTCTCTCTCACTTAACTCCCGAATAATTATATTAATCAAAATTAAAGAGAGAGAGAGAGAGAAAGATAATGGAGGGTTTGTCTTCTTGTTGTTGATATTTGGAGGCCTTTGTGGTGAAGAGAAAGATAATTAACTAATCACTTATTGTTCACTATTTAATTAACTGAAAGGGGAGGAAGATTAAAGGTGTAGAAGAAGAGAATAAATTAACAATAATTAGTAAATTAAAGAAGATGAAGATTAATTAGCTGATTAGATTTTGAGAGAGAATAATAAATGAGCGCCAATAGTTTGGTAGAGAAGCGGAAAAGTAGACAGAGAAAAAAGAAAGAGAAAAGAAAATTTGATTTTCTTTTCTTTTTTGAAAGAAAATATCAACTGTTAGAATCGCTTTTTTCTGGATTAATGTGAAATCGTTTGTTAATCAATTAACATCAACAATGAGAAAACAAGATTTGATTTAATCAAGATACAAATTAAATGTGTGGTGTGTCTGTTTACTAAATTGATTGAATATCTATTGTCTTGATTGTTACCAAATTAATTTAATTCTCTTTGTGTTAATCAATTTCATCAAAAGGTAAATAATTTTTTTCTTTTTTATTCATTTTCCTTTTCCTCTCTCTCTCTCTCTTTGGTGATTATTTGTGTTTCTCATCTCTCTCTTCATCTCTTTCTTTTCTCTATCATCTTCTGATATCATCCTGGTTGTTTGTATGGATTATCTATCAATTAGTAATCTATCATCATCATCATCATCTCGTATAAAAGGTAAGTTTTGTTTTCTATTCTTTTCTATTTTACCCTTTCATTTTTTTTCCACCATCTTTATAGTGAATATGTTCTGGACTTTTTGTTCAATTTTCTCTTCTTTATCCTTCTCCCTCTTCTCTTATGGCAACAATTGAACTCTTGATTGACTGTTGAGAATTAATTGATTGCTAATGTTGATCCATGTTCCATTATTTAATCGTTTAGTTGCAATTAATTAAGCAGATTCATATTTACGTCATAATCTTTCATGTACCGGAAGATTAATCTCTGTGTATTCATGAAGATATTGATGATTATACCTATCAAACAATCATCATCAATTATGGTAATTTAATTGACTTTAATGACGATAAATTTGACCTTTCTCACCTTCCATTATTAATAAAACAATTATTCCAGTTATTGTTTTCTTTGTTTTAATTGTTGTAATTGATTAATTGACAATCATTACGTAAATAAATAGAGACACGTTATGCTTTAGTCTTCAATCAATTTACAATGATCAGTTAATTAAACTTTAATTGATTGATCGGTTTTCTTATTAATTCATAGCCAACAGTAATCAGGTTATTTGTACAATTCAATTCAATTGTTGAAACATTGTAACCATTAGCATGTTTTGTTCATGTTCAGCTGATTCTTGATTAATGCTTGATGATAATTTATCATGTTTTTATTAATATTTAGTTTTGGCTACGATTTCTTATTGTTCCTGCCACAATTAACTATTGTTATTAATTGTTATTAGTCCTGATCATTTAGATCTTGGATTGAATTATTTTTTTCATCAGTCGGAATTTTCATCTTTTGTTTCAATTAGATGAATGATTAAAATCTATTAATCTCTTTCTGATTATTTCCGTTTGATTCCTTTCAATTCAACTGAATTTATCGATAAACAATGGATTGTTATTCAAGATAATCATCAGATTATTGTACTATTATGCTCATTTTTTTCTCGTAAACAAGTACAATTAACTCTTTTCTTTTTCTCCATTAATAATTTTCCATTGATTTCTATTAATTGTTATTTTTAATACTTTTCCGTCGCAATAACTTGTTGATTACTTTCGACTTTTATTGTTTAATTGTCATTTTCTGATCAAAGAGATTCAAGATAATCATAATTTTAACCTATGTTTATCCTTTCTCTTTGTTTTATTTGTCAGCCATTTAAATCATAATAACATGGGACAGTAATTAAGGCACGTTCACAAATATTGGATGTTGTATATGGTTAAAGCAATCAAAACTATCGAGGTAAACAATCAACACTGTCACAAACTATTTAACTATTTGCCGATTCGATAAAATTAACATTATTAACTTTCTTTGATTGCTTACCTATGATTAGTATTTTGGCACTGAAAGTAATCAGTTAAATCAACTTCTTCTCGGTAAGTGATAATATTAAAGGGTAAAATTGAAAGGTAATCTAAATTAACTGATAATTATTTAACATACCTGGCCCATTAAGCTGTCTAACTACAATCACACTCACCTGAACTGGAACCATTGGCAATATATGTAAATAATACTACCAATCATATTGAGTTAATCGGACGATAAATCAATTAAAAGATTGAATAAATAGATAGTTGTAATTATGGAGCACGAGAAAAGTTTTCTGAAGTTTAAATCATTCAATTTACTGTATCTTACTCTTCAATTGTGGATTCTAATGGTTTGGACAGATCTTTTAATACTTGGTAAACCAGCGAACGACAATCTATTAATTGGTCAGAAAGGAGTATCACTTTTATCATCATCATCCTCAGCTTCAAGACGATTTGGTCCACAATTTTGGGGACAATCAGAGAAACATATTCAACTATGTGAACATATTTGCTCAAATGGTCCTAATGAAGGTCAAAAATATTGTAACTGTTCACCTGAACCTTCAATAACTATCAACAATGAAGATAATCAAAATAAGCAGCAATTACTTCAACCACAACAAGACCAACAGCAACAATCATATCAAACTCCTTATCAACAATTGCACCTACAGGTTAATCAACATTCATCAAGTGAACAGAAAAAGACAATACAAATACCTGGAGTTAACTATTTAGGTGCTCATGAAGCTACACAAATCTGTGATTATCTTTGCTCAGAGAATACAAATGAAGCAGTTAAATATTGTGATTGTCAAAATCATAACAATATTACTCCTGTTAATAACAATGCTCATATTGATAATCAAATTAATGTTAATAATTTAGGTAATTTTGCCAATCCTCCGGTCAATCAAGTTATGGCCTCAAGCGAGCAAGTAACTTCTGAACAACAACAAAATTATCATCAACAACAACCACAAATAACACTAGCTGATTACCTGAGATTGGATCCATCAGCTGAGAGACAATTATGTTCATACCTTTGCTCTGAGAAATTAAAACTGGAAAACAATGAATATTGTAATTGTAAAACGAAAAAAGTTAATCAACAGCCTGGTAAAATAATGAACAACAATCAACACTCAATGAAATCTCAATTGATCAGTGAACTTGGTAAACCCAATTTATCATCTAATCCATTGGCGATTAAGAATATACTTGATGCTGCAGTTGATTCTAATCATCGGAAAGAATTGTGTTCATATGTTTGTGCCTTGGAACCAAATGAAGCTTCAAACAATCAATGTAATTGCAATCAGAATATTAACAATCAAAAAGAGTCGAGTAAATCACCAAGAACCAGATTCCATCTTAATCCATGGAGATCAATTAAAAAGTGGTTCGGTTAATTTACTTTTAAACCACTTTTACCTCTTTAAAAATCAATCTACTTACACAGTTAATTTTCAACAATTAGTAACTAATTTTCCTCACCATAAATGGATAAAAAAGTATTTAATTATAATTCAATCAACAATCAAAGTTCCTTCCAAATCGTGTCATCGTCATCATCATTATCAAAGTTTCAATGATTATCTTCATGTTGATTGCTTTTTGATACAATTATATTTTTGTTAATCAAATATTTTGAACTAATTATAAAAATTGAAATTGTTTTATCCAATTGATTAACCATCTTTCTAATCATTAACCTTCCAATCAATGAATCATTTAATTAGTGCAATAATGAGTTTGTAAAGTTGATCAAAAACTTAAAAAGTAACGAGTTAATTATACAATTAAATTAAGACTTTCGCTTATTGATTAAGCTTCAATGAACAATTAATGATCAACTGATTGTACATTAACTATTATTTTCATGCTCGGTCTACAATTAAGTAAATAAATTGTTAATTGTTTGATTTATTGAGTTTATTAACATCACTTAAATAACAAAAATCGTTACAATCTTTTTTGAATATTAAATCAATGAGACCAACAATCAATAGTAACAATTTAATTGTAAGAGATTATCTCTTGGTTAATTGATAATAGCAGATAATTAATTGATTGTCTCTAGAGGGAATCAGTTCTCACCGGTGTAACCAAGTTAATTACTAATTGATAACAATCAAGACAATTGTTGAACCCAATTAGAGGAAGAAAGAAAGAAAAATTAATTAACTCTCAAAAAAAAGATATTAATCAATTAGTTAATCACCAAGTTACAAATTTAAGTTTTCCGATTGATTTTTAATTAAGCATTTTATTAGTTTACTCGGAGTTGATTAACTTTTAATCACTTTCATCAACTATTAAGGAACTAATTGACTATTACTAAATCATTGAGTTGGTTTTAATCGGTGTTAATTAAGATAATGAAACAATCATAATGAGTTGATTGTGTTTTCACTTCCAAGGTAAATCAACAATTAAGCTAATTATTGATTGATCGTAATCCTTGTAATCGATTATGTTTGTTATTAAGGAAACAAAAACAATTGATTAAATCAAAATTAAGTTACGACATGAAGTTAATTGTAATAAGACGGATGATTAACAATAATTAATTGTCTATTGTTAACTAACCTTGAAAAGAGAAAGTGTTTACTTGATTGTTACTTTTTCTTTATTCTCATTTGTTTTGATTAGTTTTAATTATTAGAATCAATTTCGTTGATTGAATTTATTACAAAGTTTTCATTTCTTCAAAAAACAATCGATATGAGAAAAAAATTTTCGATCAATTTTCTTTTCGTTTTTGTTAATTATGTGATTGAGAGGAATTTGGAAAATGATGATTTGAGGTGAGACAATGTTGTTAATAGATGATTAATATGATTTACAATTGTGGAAATCTTTCAGCAATTAATATAAGATGATTTTCTATTAGTAGAAAATAAAACAAAAACTTTAGTTTCAATTGAATGTGAATCATATCAAATCCCTGGATCGATCAGTGATTTTCAATGAGCACATTTAGTTAATTAGCGATTAATTTTTAGCGAAAATCGATAGCAAAAGGAAAATATTAATTTGTGATTTGATCGTTTAAATTGCTCCTTCATTGGTCACTCTTTTTTTGAAAGTTCTTGAAATCGTAACCAAGACGCTCGTTTAACAGCATCTTTATATGATTCACCAACGCCGGTGGTTGTTGTTTTCATACCGATTCCAACTCCGGACGCTCGTCTTTCCACTTCGATGATCGAAGTTGCTTTTTCTTTTGATCTTCCAAGACCTTCCCCTTCACTCCAGCCCATTGCTTTCAACATTTTACTACCAATTCCAGTGACAGTTTTAGGCTCGACAAATGGAGGAGACGAAGGTTCAACGATTGAGCTTATTTCAGGTACTATTTCCGGTATGTTGGGTTGTCCATATTTTTTTCGTCTTTCCTTGGCTCGATCTCGATAAGCAGACTAATTAAGTAGATGAAAATGAATCAATTAAATATCAATGGTTAAAATTCAATCGGTAATCAATAACTTACATCTCCCGAAGATGAACCAGGTTCACCATGTTGATTTTCAAGTGATCTACTTTCACCAAGTTTGATTAAATTGTTCTGTTTGATTTGAAAGAGACAAGAAAAATTAAAACTCTACAATTTGTTTCTCAATGAAAATGATTACCTTGTGAAGGTCAGAGGCTTGTTGATGTTTCAATAGTTGTTCTTTACTATTGAATTGCCTTTTACACAGTAAACATAAAAGTCTCTCCAGATCAATTAATTTATATTCTTGAGCTTGAATCATTGTTGAAGAATCTGTTTGATTTGGTGATCGAGATGATGAATCTTCTGATTCAGGTTTTTCTGGAACTTTATCTTCATTTCGGTGTTCAGGTGAATCAATTGTTTGATCATATTCAATACGACGTTTTTTTGTATGTTCCTCGTGTGAAACATAATCATTAGTCTTACAACTGTTAATCATGGATTGGGAATGTGTTGATGTTGGAACTGGAATTTCTGTTTCTTCACAATTAAAGGCAATTGATGTTGGTTGATTCAGAAATTTTGAACTTTCTTTTTTCTGGTTCAATGTTTTAGCCCATTTTTCCATGTCTTTAGCTATTTTTTTGGCAATCGTTACTTTATCTTGTTTGCCAAACTTTGAGTCTTGTGTTTCTTTTGATTTATCTTGATTATCATTTAAAATCTCTCGATTTTTACCATTAGCTTCAATAGGTGTTTGATCATTAGGTTGACCATGAGCTGTTGATGATGTTGATGATGAGGAAACTTTATTATCAACTGGTAAATAGGTTGAATGTTTCCCATCCCAAAATAAATAAGATTGTGTGGTTGGATTATAATAATAGTGAGAATTAGCATCATAATAAAGTCCAGTGGCTGCATCATAATAGTAACCAGATTTTTCCTCATATTGGTATGTTGAAGTATCAGGAGGTGGGTATTTAGGGTATAATACACCGTTAACGGAAACAGTTCCTAGACTGAAAGGGTTTTGTTCAATTGAGTCAATTTTTGCTTGAGTAGTTTTTACATGTTGATTAGCACCAAATGATTTGGAACTAGAATTTGAGATTGTTGACTCATGGAAATTTGATTCACCAGTAATCATGGTATTAACAGGTTGTTGTTCCGATTGATTAGTCCATTGAGCTGCTGCTAATGCGACACTGGCAACATTTGATACTCTTGGTATAATGTTTGATGACACGTTCCTCTTGGCGTAACATACATTCAAAGGGTAACCATCGACAATGAAACCTGAAGTTGAAGAGCACAATAAATTGAAAAGCTGAGAGGCTTCTAAGGTTGTATGTAATTCAACAAAACAAATGCAACGAGTTGAACCGGAAATAGGATCTCGGGGTATACGGATACTCTTAATAGGTAAAGCCGTCACTTGTTCAAGGGCGGTCAGTATTTTCTCCTCGGTTGTATGTGAGGCAAGATCTCTCAAAATTAGACCTAATAAAGAAAAGAAGTGAATTTAAAGAGCAAGAAAAGAATATAAGTAAAATTTTGAATCAAGGACCAGCAAAAAGAGACAGAGACAGAGACAGACAGAGAAATGAAAGGTATGAAATTTAAATAGGAAGAAGAAAGAAGAGAAAAAAGAAAAGAAAAGAAAATATCGATTAGTATTTATATTCTATGAGATAATAAAAGTTATTGATTCGATTGTTCAACTTACAGTTTGTTGGATTAAGACTGATCTCGTCACCTACTTCGATTGCCGCTGCAGACTCCTCCCGAGGAGTTCCACACTTAAAGCATTGTTCTCTTCTTTTAAAATTATTTACACCACACTTGACAAGATAAAATGAAGGGATTTAAAAAATGAGCACAGATCATGACCACACATGAGACGATATATTAATAAATTAATTCTAATGGCATTTTAAGGTTCACCTTATAACAACTCCAGTCCCATTTTTGGATAGAATTCCTGTCAGATCCATACCCATCTTTGGCATTATTTTCATATGAAAGGTTGTTGTCTTCATCGACGTTATTGTAGCCCTTTTGGTTTGCCAATCCAATCGGTAAGAGGTATTTTCACATGTGTGTATGGATGCAAGGATGATCGAAGGATGTTTTTGTATTTGTGGGTGTAAAAAGAAAAAAAAAGAAAATAAAAGGAAGAAGAAGGAGGAGGAAAAGAGAAGAGAGAGAAGTTCACAAAGATATGAGTAGATGTAATCCAAATATTAAGTTGATTGAAAACTTGTCCATTGATGAAACATCACAATGCGCTGGCAAATTCCAGTCATTTTTGTTTCTTACGTGATTTCTTTTATAACGACCACTTGATGATCCTTTGTCTCTTTCTCTGTACCTATCTCGGTCTCTATCATCGTAGCTTCTATCTCTTTCTTTATCACGGCTTTTTTCTCTATCACCACGACCACGGTCTCTGGATCGATCATAATCTCTATCTCGAGATGAATCTCGTTCACGAAATCTTTCTCTTTCACGGTAATCACGATCACCTCGCTCCCAATTATCTCTATTCTCCCATTCACGGTCTCGTTCACGAGGTGCACCAAAACCACCTCGATCTTTTCTATCGTCTCTATCTCTTTCACGTGATTTGTACCTAAAACTCTGAAAAAAAAATCAAACAAAAACAAAAATCATCAACACAATAAAACCAACAAATAAACAAAACGATCAAAATGGGTTAATAAAAACCAACAACTACAACAAAAAAAGACTCACCATTATGTGGATAATTTAATTTTAAACAGTATTGATCAAAATGGTAAACAATTAAACATTTTACAATTAAAATGGAAATAAACAAAAACCAAATCAACAAGAATTTCCATCAACACAAAAGCGAATTTATTGAGAGCACCTTAGTGCAATGAGTTAACATTTTTACTACAGTGTATTTGCTGTAGCTCCTCCAGTGGAGGAAAGTTGTTCCAGACAACTTCAGGGTGGGGGGTTTGAGTTTAGGGTCAGAGTAAGGCTGATAACAGTGTTGGTGATGTATTTTAGTTTTTCAAGTTTGATATTGTCGTGATGGTCTCCAGTGATATAAAAATTGTTGTGGTGGTGATCAATCGTTTTGCTACAATCACAGATAATATGTTCAAACGTTCGTGGTTGTTTTTGTTTCTTGATTCTCGTTGAGTTATACATTTTTATCGCTTTGTAAAGTTTGAAGTATGTTGATCTGATTATGGCGTTTTTGAATGAAAGTTTACATAAATTGGGATAAGGTATAATAAGGTTGATTAGGTTATTTTCTTTATAATAGTCATTGGTGATAATTTTTCTGATGTATCTTTGTATCTGTTTTTCCAGGTTGTTCCATGAGATGTACGGTTGGGTAATTCTAATTGCTTCTTGATCTGTTTCGGTCGGCTTATCCATTTCAAGTGATGTCCACATGATTCTTTGATCGGGGGTGTGAATGATGTTCGATATTTCTATCATTGCTTGGCTCTTCTCGAATTTGCTGATATGGTTGGGTATGTTGATGATGTATCTTCCTCGTTTGAGTTTAACTATGAGATAAATTGCATTGAGAATTAGATCATGATAACATAAATTTTCAACTAGTTCAAATTTTTGAGTTTTTTCTTCATCAGATATGATGATGATGTTATTTCCATAGGTGAAGAAATTAACTAATGGGAATAAGATGTTATTAATTTTTGTTGTTTTTCTTATTATTAGTTTTTTGGTGGGTCTGTTGAAGCAGCTTAGTATTGGCCAGTCATTTTCGTACGCGTTGTTTTGTATTAAGGATTTGATTATGTCATTTAACCAAATTTCAACCGGATTAACTATTTTATTTGTCATCAGGGGAGTCCAGTTACTCATTATCACTTCATATTTGTACGTTTGATGGAGGATTGAGTTGGTTACTGACTGGACTTTCGATACAAGTTCTTCATGTTGGTAATTTCTATGGAAGTTAATGGGTCCCAATTTATATAATAAGCTCGGTGCAATTGAGTTAATCAGGATGTTTTGTAATTTTACGGGTAGGTATTTAACCATGTTGTCTGTGGTGATTTTATTTAGGTTACTTTTGATAAGTGTTTTGATTTTGATGATTGATAATGTTGGAAAGAGAGATTTCCCCGTTATCATTTTCTCTGATTTATCGTTTATAATTTGGGTTTTTTTATTGTTAATCTTTAAATCTGCTGTGTTCATGAATTTTTTTATTTCTTCGATATTCTTTTCTATTTCTTCTTCTCTACAGACTATCGTGAGATCGTCAGCGAATGCATAACTTTCAATTTTCTGTTCATACATTTTTCTAATTATGGTGTCAAGTCCAATGATAAAGTTCAGCGGTCCATTACTCGTTCCCTGCGCTATTCCTCTATTCTCAATTCCGAATATGAACTTGTTACCATCAAAGAAGGATAACCATCTACATGCTAGTAACTGTCTCATCATGTCTACTGTTCCTTCATCAATTAGGGTGGCTAGTCGTTTCAGTATTAGTTCATTGTTGATATTGTCAAATGCTTTTTCAACATCTAGGGCTACAAGGGTGTTTCCTTCTCTGATTTTTTCTGACAATATGATGTGGAGGTTTGTGTTGTTGATGTTTTTTCTGTTCGAGAACTGAGTATCTGCTAATAGAAAGTCTTCTAATCTTGTTTGTATTCTCTGAGTTAGTATTTTGTCAAATATTTTCATGAAGAAGCAGGCGATTCTTAGTGGTCTAAATCTACCATCAGGTTTAGGAATTAATGTTACACCAAACATTTTGAATGGTTGGGGTATGTAGGCTATTGTAAAACAGTGGGCAATGAATTCGGAGAGAAACGATTTGTTGGTCTTCCAAAATTTGTTCCACTGTTTTATTGTGAATGGATCAGCTGTACCTGACGTTTTTCTGAACTTTATTTTCTCTAAAAGGTTAATTTCATCGACTGTGAGGGGGCAACTTCGAGTTGGTGTTGTCTGATTGAAGAAGGGGTTGGAAAAGGTGAAGCTCGAGAGAAAAGGATCCTCATCACTTCGATTCTCGACGATTGATTTCAGTGTTTTTCTTTTGGTGAAGAGTCTCTTCAATTGTAACCAAATGTCTTTAGAATTTTTGATCTTTTTTAAATATGCAAATAATTTTTCCTCGCTCTGATCTCTCATTTCTTTTTCTCTTCTTCTTATCTCTCTGACGATCTCAAGATTGTCACTTTCTCTTATTCTCTTTCTTAGTCTATTGATTTTTCTATTTGTTATGTGTTTTAGTGTTTTTGAAATTCTGAACCTTTTAGGAAAGTTAATTAGTTTTTTAGCTAAATTGTCAATTTCTGAGGGGAGGCTTGGGATTGTATTTAACTGTCTAGGGATACGATAATCAGAGATAAGATACTTAGGTGGTGGTTTCTTTTCCTTGTAGAAGTTGGTTTGGAGTTTTATCGATATTTTAAATTCCATGTGGTCAAAGGTGATTCCCATGTAGCTCAACTCGACTCCTTGTACATTAGATGCTATAATATCGTTCCATCCTTTGACTCCATTAACTCGACTCACATAGGTATAGTTGTTGGGAGTGGGTTTATTAATGACTTGTAAATTCAGTTTCTCAAGCATTTCTGCAATGGCTTTACCTCTGTTGATTACGCTCGTTATTTTGTACGACCATTTTTCGTGGTGGCAATTGATGTCTCCCATTAGTATCATGGGTAGAGTATCGAATGGGTTAATGAGTTCGTTTAATTTGTTAACATGTAAGATTGTATCATCTACTGTTCTTATGTAAATACCGAATATCAATAATTGTTCACCCATTTTGTTTTCAACTAGTACACCAGTCATATTTGTGGTTTCGTTCGTAGCTAATTTGATTTTAAGATCTTTTGATGCGATGATTGTGACCTGATCATTGTTAATGAAGTTATTGTTGAAGTTGAGGTTGAATGAAGTTCGTCTATTTGTTTCTACAAGTACAGTGATTGTTTTGTGGGAGGAACGGGCTTTTTGTATCATTTTTTCTGTTAACTGAATGTTTTTTGCTACATTGTTGTAGATGATGTTAATCTCTGACATTATTATAAACTATGAACGCAGGCGGAAGTAAAACAGTGTCGTATTGGTAATGAGCGTTGTTTGTTAATCGTCGAAGTTCTTGTTCAATTTTTGGGCACTTAAGGTCGTTAAATCGATGATTGGATTGTGGTCCACAGTTTATACACCTTGTATCGGCCTGACAATTGTGATGTGAGATTCTGTAACAGTTTAGGCACCTATGACTCGATGTACAGTATTCAACTTCATGGTAAATGCTGCCACACCTTGTACAGAAAATGAAGCCAATATCATCCCAAAATTGCACAAATTTGTTTGTTATCTTGATTTTGTTGTCTCTGTTGATAAGTATATCACGGTTGGTACCAGATAATTTAACTTTCACGATGGTAAACTCAGCAATTTTTTTGATGGAGACCACTTCCGTTTCAGTGTCCGATTGTAACGAGTTTTCAAAAATGATGTGACGAGTGAGCGATTTATTATTCACTTTTTCAAATTTAATTCTTGTTGAGAATTTAATTCTTATTTCTTTAGCTTTAACACTTGAAATTTTCCACTTTGGGCTAAATCGACTTACACTTTCTCTGAATTCACAACAGAAATTAAAACTTTTGAAGTAGATTATTATATGTTTGGGTTTTTTCACGATAAAGGAGATTTTTTCTTTGTGATTAATGAAATTATTATGAATATGATCGATGTAATTTTGATGATATGATTTACTTGGTATCGAAATTTTAACAAAATAGTCATTCTTATGATTAAGTTTTACAAGATTGTTGTAATGATTCATTATTATGGGATAAACAGAGAGTTTTCTTGAAGGGATTAGTGGTGGTAAATGAGTGAGAGGTTTTGTGAGGATTGAGAGTTCAGAAGAGAGAGAGGGTATAATCTGTTTTCTTAATTGGTTTTAATTGTTTGTTTAACTTGGTAATTGTTTGTTTAACTTGGTAATTTAAATGTTTATCGTGAGAAACTTATTTTGAGATTTTAATTGAAATGGTTAATTGTTACATATCATCTTACTCTAACTTAGGGTTAATGGTTAATCGATTAACTTGTTGACTATAATGTGTTAATGTTCAACTCGTTAATCTTAAACTGCAGTAGTTTGTACCCTAATTCATTATCCAAGTATACTTAAAGTTTCTTTTTTCAATCTCAGCTTTCAATCTTGATTGGTAAACTTGACAATCAACATCCCAAGCACAATGACCGAATTTTAAACAGTTCGGGCATCGCCACTTAGATGGTTGATCGATTATCGGGCACCCTTGATTAAGGTGAACTTCACCATCATATGGGCATTTGGTTATTTTGTTACATCTCGTGGTTGTATGACCATACATGGTACATTTACGACAAAGATTTATGTTAAAATAATCTTTAACATGTACCATTTGGAGACCTACGAACATTTCACCAAATCTACTCTGAATTAATTCTCTCAATGATGGACAGACCTCGATGAAAAGATTTCTCAACTGTCCTATTCCCTTAGTGTGATGAAGTATTTTCATTTCAAAACGTCTTTTCTCCCTGTTCAATCTATTTTTTATAAAGAATCTCTCAATCCAGTTGTTGGCATCTCTCGCATCGAACTTAACATTTTGTATAAGTATTTGAGGATTAACAATACATGGTATTTCACTTATCCATTGAGGTTGTTTGGTTTGTAGATAATTATATAATTGTGTTCTGTCAGGAACTTCTAAGCATTTGATTTTGGCTACTTCTCTGCCTGGTTCAATGCTGACAATACGACCAATATCATCCTCGGTGTTTTCCAGATATTCTTTAACTATTCGTGTTGTTTGTTGGCCAATTGTTTCATCTTTCTTGTTTTTAATATTTTCGATTCTAACCAAGATTGTCGGTCTTATTTCCATGTGGTCAACTTTGTACCAAGTTTTAGGATACGATTTTGTTTGGTTGTATTCGAGGCTAAGAGTTGTTCTCAGTTGTTGGTTCGACATTTGATCTAGTTTAATCTCTCTAGGAACTGCTAATATTTTTATCTGTTCGTCTTCTTTATGCTTCTTTAGGATGGTTAAGAAGTAATCAATTCTTTTGATTGTCTCTTGTGAAGCTTGTGAAGCCCATTCACTATCTTTTACCATGATATCAATGAAGCGTATAATTGGTAGACCATCGAGTTTAATTAATAATTCTTGTTTGTTTTTTTCCTCTAGTGGAAATTGAAGGTGGTCGATGAATTCATTCAGTGTTTTAATTGCTTCCTTTTTTGGTGTTTTGAAATCATTCTAATAGTGGTATAATAAGAGTTGAAAGTAAGTTATTTTAAGTATGTAATTTAAAGTACCTATATAGTGAGTGGTTTCTAAGATTTGTATGAGGATAATGTAAGTTAAGCTTACCAGTATTTGAAGTGGTTCCGTTTCTGGAGTTTTCTGGGCCATTTCGCTGTTCGAGGTGTCAAAACGTTCGCCGAGTTTAGCACAACACGTTAATATATGTTACTTATAAATAATTAAGGTGAGAAAGGTGTTTTTTACGATAAATCACAGAGCTTAAAAAAGAGACGTTTTTTCATCAGAATCTATAATTCTACAGGTGGTCCATCTGTCGGGAGAAAATGTAAGTTTGTTGTAGAAAATGTGATTTCAAATTTTTCCATTTTTTTGCTCCATATGATTAATAGATTTTGTTATTCTCTTGGTGATTTAAGTTTAATTGTTCTTCTTTTTTATTAATTGTCTTGATTAGTATTTTTAAAAATGTTACAAATTACTCGACAAGCGAGTGAGATGAAAGATCTCACAAAGGTTGATAGAATTGGTGTTCATTCTCATATTCGTGGTCTTGGTTTGGATGAATTTCTTCAACCGAAAAAGGTTTGTTTTCTTATCCATGTGGTTCGGTATTAGTTTTTTTTTATTTTGTATTTAATTTCTAATTTCTGGTTTGTTCTTTTCTTCCTATATATATATCTTTTTTGATTATTCTGTTAGATCTCGGAAGGTATGGTTGGTCAAATGAATGCTAGACGAGCTGCTGGTTTGATTATGCAAATGATTAAAGAGAGTAAAATCTGCGGGCGAGCAGTTTTAATTGCCGGTGAACCAGGTACCGGTAAAACAGCAATTGCCACTGCTTTATTTAAATCATTGGGTCGAAAAACACCTTTCACCATTATCTCTGGATCGGAAATTTTCAGTTTAGAGATAAGTAAGTCTGAGGCTTTAATGCAAGCTTTCAGACGATCGATTGCTGTTAAAATAAAAGAGGAAACCGAGATAATTGAAGGTGAAGTTGTTGAAATTGTTATCGATCGACCAAGCACTGGATCTGGTAATAAAACTGGTAAATTAACAATGAAAACTACCGATATGGAAACAATTTATGATCTTGGCCAGAAGATGATTGATTGTTTAACTAAGGAGAAAATTGGAGCTGGAGATGTTATCATTATTGATAAATCTTCTGGTAAAATTACCAAAATTGGAAGGAGTTTTACTCGAGCTCGAGATTATGATGCTATGGGTCCTCAAACGAAATTTGTTCAATGTCCAAGTGGTGAATTACAGAAGAGGAAAGAAGTTACTCATACGGTTTCTCTCCATGAGATTGATGTAATCAACAGTCGAACTCAAGGATTTTTAGCCTTATTCTCAGGCGATACTGGAGAGATTAAACCTGAAGTTCGTCAACAAATAAACGAAAAAGTCAGTGAATGGAGAGAAGAAGGAAAAGCAGAAATTGTTCCTGGAGTTTTATTCATTGACGAAGTTCACATGTTGGATATCGAATGTTTTTCTTTTCTAAATCGAGCCCTTGAATCTCCATTAGCTCCAATTTTAATAGTTGCCAGTAATCGAGGAATTACAACAATTAGAGGAACTAATTATGCTTCACCTCACGGAATTCCATTGGATCTTCTTGATAGAATGACCATAATATCAACTGTCCCTTACTCAGAAGATGAAATCTCTTACATTCTCAAAATTCGATGTGAAGAAGAAGACGTTAAATTAACGGAAGAAGCTTTGATTCTTCTCGCTCGTATCGGAGCCGAGACAAGTCTTCGATATGCGATGCAGTTAATTACCACTGCGAACGTAGTCCATTTAAAGAGTAAAACCAAAGAAGAAGCCGTTGGTAAAGAAGAGCTGAAAAAAGTTTATTCCATGTTCCTAGACGAAGGTCGATCAAGTGAATTCTTGGAACAATATCAAGAACAATTTCTTTTCCATCAACCAAACAACACTGATGTCGAAATGAAAGCTTAACAGTTAAAACGATTCTCCACTTAACCAACTCCAACAAATAACAATCAATTTCCTCTATTTTCATTAAATATCCTTAACAAAACAAATTGTATTCCTCACAATTAATGTTAATACAATTATAAACATTAAAACACTTTTATCAAACATTCACTCACTCAGATAATCAAACAATCCAAAAATTATTCCACTCACACTAACCTGTGGATTCTGATGAAAATCAAGGAATCAAAAGTATCCGAAGTTGTGATTGTTGAAAAAGTTAATCGATTGACTTTAATTTTCTTTATAAAGTTTATTATATTTAATACTTTAATTACATTTTACTAATTGTCGGGATTCACTGTTGGCAAAATTTTGTCACCAAAAAGCGTTTCGAAAACTTTACGAACCGTTAATTCAGTTGATGAAGTTGGAAACATCAATGAATTCCAAAGTTGATTAGCTAATTGAGAGATTTCATCGTCTAATTGTCCCGTTCCCGTGATGTAGTCCCAAAGTAACTCGAAGTATAAACGGAACCCACAAAAAGAGGGATAACCAGCGGCAAAATCTTCTTGGCACTTTCTAATTATTGCAACTTCGGCAATCGCATTAACATCGTCCCAAGGAACTCCACATTGATTTAGATCATCAGTTGGATCTTGAATGAATAGTAAACAATTACAAGTGTAATTAAATGTAACTAGAAAAAGAAATAAAAAAACTAGAAAGTCCATTTTGAAGATCATGAAATCGTTGGAAAAGTTAACTGTCAACTGATTAGAATACAATCAAATTAGAAGTAAATTCAATATCAAGTTAATCGCAATTAACAATTCTCAGCTCGATGCGGGTTAACTTTCATTAGAATAACTAATCAAAGTTAATTAGTTAAGAGAGTATTTTTTGGGTTTAATTAATTCTTTATTTAAATATATATTTGATGTTTTGTATCAATGAACGTTATTGATTAGATAATTTTGAGAATAAAAAAAAACATGGATTCGATTATGGCGTAGATTTGATTAAATTCATCTTGTTAGTGGTGTAAATTATTGATTGATTTTCTCCTCTCGAAGTCTATAAAATAATATGTATGCATTTTCAGTTGTCACTTCTTCTTTGTTCATATCTCGGACTCGAGAGTCATCGAAACATCTCCAACCTGTTGGAATTGAGAACAAAAAAAAATGAGTTAGAACTTTTTTTTTCGATTCATTCAAAGTTTCCGATATTTTGGAAAATTGTTCATTCTTCTTACCATATTCACGATTCTTGAAACGGGTTCGAGCATAAGCAGTATAATGACCACCGAACATGCCACCATGATGATTGATGGTCGCATAAAGATCATAGATTGGTCTTTGTTGTCCAACTTGAGGAGAATCGGGACAACAAAATTCAGTCATGTCCAAATTTTCCTGAGGAAATTGAATAAATTTGTTTATCTTTTCTTTGTAATATGGATTTTTAAACATGAAACGTTTCAATTGGATTATTAATATTGGAGGTAAACGCCAAAGAGTTAATTGTTTGGTTGCCTCTCGATGCTCTTTACATGATGGACAAAACCAGGCTTCGTTTGCCGATAAAATTTCTGGTTCGATGAATAAACTTAGACACTCTTGGAGAGTATGCTCACGACATTCAGATGCTATTCGTTGAGCTTCAAGTATATCGTAGTTATGATCTAATTGATCTTTTGATTCAATTAAAAATGAACCTTCACCCTGATTATTACCCCGGTCATTTGATTTCCATTCCATTGAGAGGAAATATTTTGACTCAAGATCTTTTATAATTGAATCTTCTGATTCATCTTCCGATTCTGTGATTATATTATCATCAGATATTCTGGTAAAACACCGGCCATGGTGATATCGTAAACGAAATTTGGCTTTTACTTGATTTGAGGTTAAATTTTGTTGAACTAAAGTAGCTGTGACTGGACTTGAGGTTGTTGAAGATGAACTTGAAGATGGGGTGATAGATGAAGTGGATGTTGATGTTGTTGAAGTTGCTGTTGCTGTTGAGGTAGATGAGGAAGAAGAATTGGGAAAAGATGAACTACTTGCAGTTGAAGATGAAGAACAAGAGTTTTCAGAGGTGTCACTATAAACTCCACTGTCACTGTCCTTATTTTCTGGACATTCATCGATAGAATCACTTCGATAGGATGGAGAGTAAACATCCACAGAGAATCGTGAATAATCAGAAACCAATTGATTTAAATTTTTGTATGTACATTGAGACTGAGGGATGGAAATGATGAAAGGACAACCAACAGGCTCAGGGCGATAGAAACAAATTTCCTTATGTTTAATCCAATTTGCCTTTTGACATTCTCTGTAGAAAAGAGTGAAAATGATTTTCATCACATTAGTTAAATTAATCAAATCTAAAGATTCAAATTAACTTACTGATCACAATAACCGGCTCGATAACATTTGGTGCATCTTTTCAATTCCTTTTCAAGTGAAACTTTATTACAATTAGAACAAGCTTTTAGATAAGGTGGATTTGAAAGTAACTGCAACGAACGGAAAATAAATACATTTGTTATTAAAGTTGAAAGAGCAAATCTTGAGTATATTTACCTGTTGGACAGCAAATTCATAAACTTCTTCACCGACATCTTGAGAGCTCAAGGTTTCAAATCTATGGTTTGTCAGAGAAACGGGAAAAGAAATTAGAATCAGGATTTCGATGAAGATGAAAAAAGTACTTACATTAGTAACATTTCAATATTGTTTAATGTTGGAATTGTTTCATTGGGTTTCAATATGTTCAGAATCATTCCATTGCGGGTGAGAAGAGGTCTAAGGTTACTTGATGAAATTGAAGTGATAATGGATAAAGAGTGAAGTAAATTTCGTATCTCTGAATCTTGAGGTAATTTAACTAAATAACGAATTGGTTTCTTGGCGGTATCTCGAGGGAAAAAGAATACACTATGAATGATTTGATTTTTTGGCATAGGCAAAGGTAGAACAAGAAAAGGGTCAAAGGTGATGGAAACATTGGCACGAGAAGGACAAACAGGGCAAAGAACTTTCGATCTAAATTGACCATGGAAAAGATCAACAATCACAGAATCATTTCTCATTCGATATTTATACCAAGCTTCATCTGCTATTTCAGCATCAGGTCGGTGTTTTTCTTCATCATTTGTACCATTCATGTCAACATTTCCTTTATGTCGAACCCTATTGATATCTTCATGAAGAGCATCAACTAGAAATGACATATACTCTTGAGCATCATGCTGAGCAAATCCAGAAAATTGAGAAAGTTTATCACTAAGTAATGATTTAAGTTTCGATGGTGAATAAGAGGGATGAGCGCCTGACCAGAGATGTTTCATTAAGACAGCAAATGAAATGGCGAGTTGACCACCGGTACCGAAGATATTTTTCTGATTTAAATCATCTTTAAAATGACTTTCCATGAAATAGTCTCGTAATTCTTGGGTATTGGATAAACATTGGAGAACAGCGTTCATGAAACAAGTATTACCAAGATTATCTAAACCAGTGTAACCCACTTCGCCAACCGAGAAACTGCTAAGAGCTGAAAACTTTGAGGCGAAACTCCTCTTCTCTTCCGGTGGTGGGAGTGGTATAGATGCTTTGTAATTATCTCCTCCGCTAGAAGATAGATAAAGAATGTTGATTAGAAAATAATGAGAAAATTTAAGAGAAAATCAAAAGAATAAAATATTTACAGATTAGAATAATTTGTTTCGTTTGAGACAATATCACCTTCCATTGGAGTAGCGGGTATCCAAACATTAGTTGGTGCGAGTGGTAATCGAGCTAAATCAATTTCTTGAAGTTGATCCTTTAAAATTTTAGGTTTAGATTCTTCAATTGTATCCCATTTAAATGGTTTCTTCTTCTTCAATTTAAGTTCAAGTTTATAAGCCGATTTGTTGTAGGTACATTGTTCAGGGACAATCTCCTTTTTCAGGTTAACTGTCCAATCGAAAACAGTTTCTGGTGAACAATCAGCAAATTCAGGAGATATTAACCGAGGATTACTATAGTTGAAAGAAAAGAATTTCAAATTGAGAAAATGTTTACATAAATAGAATAGAAATATTAATAATTACTTAGTTTGAAACACGATGTTGACAGTAGACTCTTCAAAAGTCACCTTGTAAGAACCATCCACAATTTCCTTGATGTAAACAATTAGAGTGATCGTGTGTTCATCCTAATCAATAGAAGACAAGAAAGATATTAGAAATTAGTGAACAAACAATAGGTTGTTTACCCAATGGGTGTAAAAGTGAATAAAAAATAGAGAGAGAGAGAGAGAAATAGGAAGAGAGGGTAACAAACAGTGAGAGAAAAAGTGACATACCCTTTCATAGCTTTCGTATTTAACTTGATCCGTTTCGAGATGATGATTAACTGACATGATATTACGATTACCTGAAATGTTAAAGAAGAAGGAAAATCAAGATGAAATAGAAGAAAAAAAGAAAAAAAAGACGATAAAGGAGGACAAGTTAATCTACAAAAGTTTACAAGCGAAAACAACCCAAGACCTTTCAACACATGAAAAGAACTTCAAAGCGCAAGTTTCAATTTGTACGTTAAAAGAAGTGAATGTAAATTATCAGGATATTCACTGAGACAATCAATTCAAATTCATTAAAAGAATTCGAATTGGTAAACTCTAAAGTTCGGAAGTACAAACCATTCACACAGAAATTGGACAATTCAATTTACTTGGCTGTAGAATAGAATAGGAAAACAGTCATAACATTCTAGTAATAATTGTACTGGTGTGGCTTAGATGGAACTTTAAATTTCCAACCAATGAACCTTGAGAAAGTAAATACAAAATTAACTATTAATTTAACTAAATCACATGGTAAATTATTGGAAATCAATCACAGTAACAATCAATAAGAACACTTTTAGGATGTTGGTGTTGATAACTGCTAGAAATTTTCATGAGTAAATAATTCACTTCAATACAAATTGGAAATAAAATCAATGTTAAGACTCTAATCCTTAATCACAAGGATTTTTCTGTAGGAAATCTAATAATCAACCAAATATTCAGATTCTTTTGAGCTAACTGTTATCAACATCAATACCAACAGCATCATCACCATAGAAGTGTTATTATTAATTGTAACGGTTATTGATCTTCAATAGTTTAAGTGATTTTTTGATTTAGTGTAATTAATAGTTGACTCACCAAGATTATTGTTGATTGTATCTCATTGCTTGGTAATGTTATTAAATCAAATTTCCATCTAAGCTAAACCAGCACATTCATAACTAGGATCTTACCGAAATTGGGACAAATCCAATGACCATGCAAGTGAGAAAAATATAGAAACGAAATTTGTTAATCTAATGAAATGAAACAACAAATGGACAATTTGTCAGGAAAAGGTAACACAGATTAAGAGCAAGTAGATCACATAAAATCCATGGTTAAAATTAATTAAAAGGAAAAGTGTCAATCAGATTAAACAAATTGTTTTATGTTCAATCAAAATGCTGAGAGAAAATGAAAAGATCCAAACAAACGATTCCAAGGATCAGATATTTTCGATTATATCGATTAATCGAAAAACTGAATTTCTTTTTTCGTTCAACTTATTCTGAAAATTTGTTCATTTGTCGACAGTTTCAAATGGATCGTAATGAATAACTTGAACTGCTTGTTCGGACAGTGTTTGTTCAATATGTTTGGATACTTGTTCGGTGGTCAGTTATGCCGATGGATGTTTACACAAATTCTGTGGCCGTTGTATCTTTGAATGGGCTCAACGAAGTCAACTCTGTCCCATTTGTCGGACTTTTTTCGCCAATATTATAACTAATGTGACTTCTGACACCGACTATGAGGTTATTCCTCTCGAAGATCGTCGAGTTCCAGTGTCAAATTTTATTCGAAACTCTTGGTGGAACAATAATTCTTACCCTTCTAATAGAAATATTTTCGCTGTCCGTCAATTTAATCAACGATCTTCACAACACCAACAATATCATCAACCACCACAATTAACTTCATCGTCTAGTAACCCACCTTCTCGGGCAATTAGTCAACAACATCAACATCAACATCAACAGCAGCAACAACAAGGAAATGAAGGATATCAGGCGATTAGCCGATTAGAAGAACCGGACATTGGTAACCTTCAGATCGATAATCCGAGACCTCGACGAATTGTCTGGTCATCTAATCGGTATTCAAATCGTCAGTTTAATCGACAACAACCCCAACCAACATCATCTCATCATGAAAATGTAGTCGCGTTGAGACAAATCATTTCTCCCGCATTCCGAACAGATTATCACAATAGAGGTCACAATCAACCTTTAACTAGTCCTCGACACTCATTTAATCCACGACCATTTAGACCTTTGGTTGGTGTGCGACAAGAAAACCAACAAAATCATCAACATCCATCACAATCATCCAATCTATGACCAAGTAAAATCTTAAATTAAGATATACAAATTAGTCCACATTCAACGATATAAAGAGCACACCAATGAACCAAATCAACGGAGTTTTCATAACAAACCAAAGCTTAACTCTTACTTAAAATTTACAACAATTTGATTTTCTTTTTCTTGTCAGAACTATGATTAATTGTCAATAATTCCACATGCTAATTATAAAAAAAACTGTCAAAATGATAAAACCGGATGAGAAAAAATCGATTGGATTGAAGAATCAGCTGACATGTGATCAATTAACAATCAATCTAAATGGACTTTGATTATGAAATTAAACTTCGTGAAAACTTTTTTCTTGGTCTTACTTTGACTTCTAATAACATTTAGTTTATTGTGAAATTAAATTGATTGTTTACTTACAATAAAATGGACAGATAAAAGAGAGAGAGGTCAGGGAAAGAGGAAAAGAAGCAAATGAAGAAAAAAAAATTAGAATAGAATCAAAATGGGAAGGAGAAAAAAAGAAGACAAAAATTAGATGAATGTGATTGTAAAAGTAAATCAATTGTTGTTGATTTAAAGATTCCGAGTGTTGCTTGTGAGTGTGTGAGTGCTGTTGTGATTGAAATGAAAGTGAATTATGTTTTAGTTGCAGAAATTAAGACATTTAAGAAGCATGAGTGTCTTTGTAAATAATTGTTGTCGATGGTTGTTGATGATTGGGTGATGTTGATGACGATTCAATTATTCATAATAATCATGTAAAGACAATTAGCTGTTGAATTTTAGAAGTTGTAGTATTAATTGTAATTAGTTAGTAGTTAATAGTAATAGTTGTAGTAGAGTAGGAATGCGAATGGAAGAAGAAGAAATTTAATTTCTTTCTTCCTTTTTTTTTTGTTAATTTTCTCTAATTGTTGTAAGCTGCATCTTCGCTTGCTGTTAGATTGTGTTAATCCAAATAACGACTCATTAAATTGGACAAATTGTTGTCATTTTCCTTTTTGTTTTCCTTTGTTTTGTTTTTCATCTCCTTCTCTTGTCAACTAATGTTGACAAGTTTCGTTAAAATAAAATCCTATGTATCTGGACCACTATGGTTTGCTTGTTGTTGTTGTTGGGGTGGTGGTGGAGGCGGTGGAGGTGGTGGAGAAACGATAAAACCATTTTGTTCCCTTTCGTACTCTAATACTTCCTGGTATATAAGTTCCTTCCATTGGTCAACAGTATGTTCCCTTTCATCAATATGGTGATCATAAGGTGCCGGTGCTGGTGCTTCCACTTCACTGGCATCCCACCAAACTTTAATATAATCATGAGCAAGAGCTTCATCAACGGAAATCCGTCTCTCTTGGTCAACAACCAACATTTTTGAAAGTAGATCACGAGCCTCGGCAGCAGTTAATTTTGTGTGTTCCGTTGAATCGGTGGGAAATAACATATCAGGAAATAGTCTTTCAAACTTATATCCATCGTATCTTGGCCTATTTTCAACGTAACTACGAACGGTTGGCTGTAATCTTTGCATAAATTCTGGTGAAGGCGTACCAAGTTGCTCAATAATTTTGTTCCATTGGTCTATATGATCGGTACCAGGAAATAAAACTGTACCACGAATCATTTCACCCATGATACAGCCAACAGACCAAAGGTCAACATTGTCAGTATAACCCATTCCTAAGATAACTTCAGGCGCTCGATAGTAACGGGTAACAACATAAGGTGTCATGGCAAAATTGGTACCCGCTGTTCGGGCAAGACCAAAGTCCAAAATTTTAAGGGTACAGTCACTTTTAACGACTATGTTGGATGGCTTTAAGTCCTGACAAACAAACAAAAAACAAGAAAGAAAAAGGAAATTACAAAGATAATTAGATAAGATTATCACAAGGAACAAACAAACAAAGTAAACAAAACGGTTTCACTTAATGTTAAACTTCAACATGGAAATTGATCAATTGTTTCAATGGACAATGAGACACTTTTAATCAACTAACCCTGTGGATTATCCCAGCCGAATGAAGATGTTTGATTCCACAAAGCATCTGATAAAGTAGATAAGACATTCTTTCATGATCGAGATCCATTTGGATGACCTGACACAAATTCGCATCCATCAATTCCATAACTAAATAAACATCTTGAAACTCCTCTAAACTCCTTTGTGGTGTAAAGGCATTCAATAAACCTATTATATTCTTATGATTAACTAATCTCATCAATTTAAATTCTCGATATGCTCTCTTTGCATGGGTAGTATTCTGAAAGGGTCGGGATAGTTTCTTGATGGCCACATTTTGTCCTCCTTCCGTGTCATATGCTGAACTGTTGGAATGAAATAAGAAAGAAAATAAAAGTAAATTAGTAAATTATTATATAATAAATTCTGGTAAATTCCTGTTCAATACAAGTTAAGATTGAAAAGGTTTCAGCGTAATGATAATGATAAGAAAATACTATTAACTATCAATGGAAATCATATAATAACAACAATCAAGAGGAAAAGATATTAAATGTTTTGTTTTGTTTTTTTTTTGCTTCTCGCAAGAAAATAAATGAAAAATATTTCTAATTATTGGTAATTTAAATGATGATTAAATTGTTGTGTGATAATTTCCATCAATTTATCTGTTTACTAGAAGATATTATTTAGTATGAAAAATAACAACAAGGAAAATCGGGTTAATAAAAAATTCATTTCCAATGGTAAATTTATACAAACGGACGAGATGGAAAATCGATCAACTAATAATAATAATAACGAAAATGTTTAAGTAAAGAAATGAAGATGATGATGACCACCATTAATTGGAAATGATTAGCCAATTATTGTGGCAGTTAAAAAGGTCATCGCAAGGTGTTAATTACTTTGAGGGATAAATAAGACGATGAGAAAATTAGACTCACCAGACGATTCCTTGAGCTCCTGAACCAATTGGCTTGAGATTTTGATACCGTCTCAATATTGTGAATTTAGTTTCACCCACTTCAACTGTATAAAACATAGATTGACCCTTGAACTGGACGTTGTTGACCCGATCGGTGTTGGCTGATGATGACATTATCCTCTTGGTTAATCCATTGGTAAACAATATTACCAAATATTGTTTACGTTATGTAATTACAATTCTCAATATGATTGGAAAGCGAGAGAGTGAGAGAGACAGAGAAAGATAGAGCAGAGAGAGAGAGAGAGAGAGAGCAAAGAGAGAGAGAGAGAAAGAGAGAGAGAATAAGATGCAAAAAAGGTTAGCTTAGTTACTAAAAAAGTGAGACTTTGATGACTTTGATGGAGAATTATATTGATGATGAAGATGAAGAAAAAAGAAAGAGAAGAAAAAGATTATGATGATGATGTTAATAGAGATGTTGAAGGTTGGAAGATGAGAGAGAGAGAAAGGAAAATAGAGAAAGAGAGAAAGAGAGAGATTTTCAATTTCCAATAGTCTTTTTGTTCACTTGTAGGTTTTTCTGTATCAAATGTTGTTGTTTGTGGTCAGATGATGATGGAGACGATTAGTGGAGATTAACCTTAGGATGATGAACAATTTAGAAGAAAATAAATTAACTAATTTATCGTTTGTTTATTTTATCACAATTAAAGGGAAGCTGAAAAAAGGGATGGAAAGAAAGACAACTGAAAAAAAGAGTAAACTCAGGATTTGTTTTCTCTTCTCTCTCATTTGCTCACTCGATTTACTTTCTTTTTCTCTTTCTTTATCTTCCATCTTTTTTTTCTGCTAATGTTGATTGTCTATGTACAGGCGCGATCATCATCTCAACAAATATGAATGAATGATCAGGTTGGTAGAAAAAAAAAGGAGAAGAGAAATTTAATCATTCACAGTAAATTGTTTGTACATTAATTTTTTGCTTTCTTTTCTCATATTTTCGTTAATTCTTACATTGGTATCTTAAATTGTGGTTCCAGGTAAATAATTAAATACAATCGATGGTAAATATATAATTAGGGAGACACAATTGTCAACAGTCCAAAAAACATGCACATAGAAACACGATTAATTTAACGAGAGGATTTGTTGTTGTTGGTGTTGGTTCGTGATAACAATTAGTAGATTGAGAGTTTTGATTAATACAATTACGCTGCTTCTGATGGTTTTAATTGACGTTGATAGTTACATGCTTGTCGCACTGACATTGCCTATGGAAAAGGGAAAAAAAATGATAACATTGAATTAGAAAATTTTTACAATTGTTGATTCGACTTACCCAATAATCAAGTAAAGTGGTCATTGAGTAAATTGAGTTTAAATTACTAAGAGCACCGGTAAAGGTTCGTTTGATGTCGATTAGAAATGGGGCTGCGTTATATTCCTCATCATCGATTGTTACTAATGGTGGTTCATTGGGATAATCGTCGGGAACCATTAATGAAATTGGAGGAACACAAGGTAAATCTTCATCATCTATTGTGGATTAAGATTAAGATATTATTGATTACTATTCGGTAAGAGATTAGAAGAGGGGAAAGTTGTAAGTACGTTTACCTAATCGACATATTAAATAGATTTTCTTTGATCCAGGATGATGATTAGGGTGAAGTTGAACTTTGAATTTCGATTCCAATCGAGCCACTTCGCCTTGAATAGTATGTGGAATCTCTTCGTAGACAGTGTAAGGTAATTTAGGAGAATTTGGTCTTGGAACTCTGGTAAGGAGAGAAAATTAGCAGAGATTTGGTTAATTTTCTATTGAGAATTAGTTTAATTGTTTGATAATTACTTTTGTGTACCGTTAGATAGAGAGCAAACTGCTCGAGAAAATGTCCTATGAAGAGAGTGATTGAAAAATGGTTTCTTTATATTGTTAAGTAAGGCGTCGATCAAGGGTTGACCAATGTTCTGATCGGATGTCATTTGTGAGCCTCCTTGTTGACCGATAAACTTTTGTTGTTGTTGTTGTTGTTGATGATGATGGTGATTCATGGACATTTGTTGATTTGATGCTTGTCCACCAAAGTCCATTTTCTCTAACAACGATTCACATTTGGCTAATACTTCCATGGGAACACGATTTGCAGCATCGGAGATAATTGCTAGTAAATTTTTTATCTTAACTGGATCTTTTTTCTTGTCATTTTCTTCTCTATCTAATCGAGCACGAAGTGGACCAATGAATCTTTGCAATTTGTTCAGTTTCTCTTGATAAGCTTGATCATCGTTGACCATTTGACGGTGAGCTGGACTAGTTTGTTGAATCATTTGAGGTGTATTTAATTGTCCTGGTGATGGGACTGAAGGTAAAGAAGGTATTGAACCAGGTCCTCCTCTTTGCATCATACCAACAGACATTGGTGATGGCATAATACCTTGAGATGGACTCGGTACGAATTGAGATTGAGTTGGAGTCATTGTCACATGCATTTGATTTGAAGGTGGACCTTGGTGCATTTGGTGCATTTGTTGGGGAATAGGACCTTGATCAACCATCATGTTACCTTGAGCCATTTGAGGGCTTTGCTGAAAGTGTTGAATTTGAGGTTGTTGTTGTTGTTGTTGTTGTTGCTGCTGCTGCTGTTGATTGATTGGTTGTTGTAATGGTCGATGCTGAACAGATTGAGTTTGATAAAATTGAGTATCTGTAGCTGGTTGCATTTGGGCTTGAATTGTCATGTTAGGTGGTGCATGTCTAACTCGCTGCATTTGCATCATTGTTGGTCTACCAGGCATTTGACTTTGTTGAACCAACATTTGATTTACTTGCATTCGATTTTGTTGTAAGCCCATACGATGTTGATGTTGTAAATGTTGTTGTTGCTGTTGTTGTTGTTGTTGTTGCTGTTGTTGTTGATGATGATGGACCATTTGAGGACCACCGGCTGATATTGTGGTCATTTGAATTTGAGGTGACTGAGTGGTCCCCATAGCTTGAATCTGAATACCTCCCTGGTTTGTATTGATTTGCTGCATTTGCATTTGTTGCATGGGTTGAATTTGTTGAATTGATTGTATTGGTTGAGTTGTCACTTGAATTTGATTACCTCCATGTCCACCTGATAGAGCGATGTTTGCTGGAGTAACTGTGACACCAATCATATTATTTTGATCATGCATGTTACTATTGATTGGAATTGTTTTAATCAAGGTCGTTTGGTTATCAGAAGCAGGGAAACTAGCAAGGTTTTGTAAAGCACTCATAGGATCTTGGGTAGTTGTCGATACAGTTGGTACCATATCTTGACTAACTGTCATTGACGCTTGTTGAGCTTGTTGAGCTTGTTGTTGCCGAGATTTATCCTTGAAGGCCCTAAAAAAGATCGACCAAATTAGATCAGATGGAAAGGAACAAAAAAGATCAATTTCTACAAATACAATTACTTACGCTATTACTTTACAGGCATTTTTAATATAATCATCTCTGTTCTTGGAATTGTTATAAATTGTCACCTCAAGAGCATTAACATCACGATTTGCTGTAGGGAAGGTTTTAAATGTGTCTTCCAATTTATTTCGCACTTGTTGACGGAACTGAGGAGTTCTCCAGTTTTCATCCACATTCATCTTCAGAATGATAATAAAACAAACAGAATAGAAAAATATAACAAAAAAGAAACACCAATTAAAAGGCAAAAATTAGAATCAATTAAATGCCAATGAAGTTAAAAACCACCAACACTTTGAGTCATTCAGTCGAATTCAAGCTCAGCCCAATTTATCAGCTCGTCAGTTTTTCTCTGTCTAACTTACTGTCTACGTGAGAAAAAATAAATGATACATTTTCGCTCCACTAGATGGCTCTTTTTTCGAACACTTTTTTATTCGAAAAGTTTGGTAATCAAACTTTGACTGTGAATGTTTTTTATTGTTCCCAACGATTTTATTATAATTTGTTTTGCGAATTGATTAATGTGATAAAATATAATTTCTTTGTATAGATCTGAGGTTAAAATAGTTTGTACTCAGATTGAAGTCTCGCAATAATCCAAATAATCAAATTGAGTCAACTATAGTTTCATCAATTGTTGATCAAAATAAATTGAGTAATTTATCAATTATAATTCAATAACAGGTTAATTGTGCTTGCTGATCCCATTTGGATTGTGATGTTATCTGGTTCATTTTTAACACTCTGTTGTGGTTGGATGTGTTGATGATGAACAATTGGTGGACCACCGGTTGATATGGTAGTTAATTTGATTTGAGGTGATTGAGCAGTTCCCATGGTTTGAATTTGAATACTAACCTGGTTGGGATTAAGTTGCTGCATTTGTTGAACTCCTTCAATTGGCTCTGTTTTCACTCGTATTTGATTATCTCCATGAACACCAGCTAAAGTCAAGTTTTCATCTCCAAGATTAGCTGACATTGTCGCTTGTTGAGCTTGTTGCCGAGATTTATCCTTGAAGGCCCTAAAAAAGATCGACCAAATTAGATCAAGTGAAGAGGAACAAAAGGTCAATTTCTACAAATACAATTACTTACGCTATTACTTTACAGGCATTTCTAATATAATCATCTCTGTACTTGGAATTGTTGAAAATTGTCGCCTCAAGTTGATTAAAATCACGATTTGATTCTGATGATTGAAAGGATTTAAATGTGTCTTCCAATTTCTTTCGCACTTGTTGACGGAACTGAGGAGATCTCCAGCTTTCATCCACATTCATCTTCAGAATGATAATAAAACAAACAAATAAATAAAACCAATTAAAACTATGCAAAGTTGATAATTTTGATTAGATATTTACGACGAAGTTAATTAAAGGCCAACAAGAATCTAATTCATTCAGATTAAGGCTCAAGAGCTTTTCCTTTGTCTAATTAACTGTCAAGAGAAACCAAATAGTATATTTTCCAACTACCAGATGGAGTTTTATGCAATCACATGTTTTCTAAAATTTTTTGTATTATAAACAAAAGATTCAAACGGTCTTTTAATCCTTTTCATCCTTTTGTAATTTTTTAATTGTTTGCCATTTGTTGGAGTTTCTTGAACCGTTTTCAAGATCAAAATGGCCTCGGCTAGAAAGGCGATTAAAAAGTGTTACTATGAAGTGCTTGGTATTGAACAAGAAGCAACTGATGAGATTATCCGTAAGAATTATAAATTATTGGCTCTCAAATATCATCCCGATAAAAATATGGATAATCCAGCTGAGGCAACTGAAATTTTCCGCTCTATCCAAGAAGCATATGAAGTTCTAGTTAATCCACAGGAGAGAGCTTGGTATGATAAACATCGGAGTGCAATATTAGCTGGTATGGATAAGGATAAAATTTCTGATTCTTGTTTTGATGTTTATCCTTATTTCACAACTTCCTGTTATTCGGGTTATGGTGATTCACCGAAATCATTTTATTCGGTTTACAAAGGTGTAATTGAAGAGATAATCAAAGAGGATAGACCTTATTTCACTGATGATGATGAATCTCCTCCCTTTTTCGGTGATGCATCGACACCTTATGAAAATGTTCACAGATTCTACAGCTACTGGGAAAGCTATTCAACTCCTCGAACATTTGATCATCTAGACGAATATGATACATTAAGAGCACCAAATCGAAGAGTAATCAGATTAATGGAAAAGGAGAATAAAAAACTTCGAGATGCCGCTAAAAAGAAACGCAATGATGAAATTAGGGTAAATACCAATGAATGTTTTCCTTCAGCTGATTTTATCATTATTACTTTTTTTCTTTTTATTTTCTAGGCTTTGATTGCCTTCATAAAACGGCGAGATAAACGTGTCGATGATCACAAGAAATTGGTAGAGATCAAATTGGAAGAGAAGAGGAAAAAATCAGCTGAACATAGAAAAAAACAATTACAAGATAGATGGAAAGAGGCTGAAGCCTACAAAGAATCTGATCTATTTTCAGTGGCCGATTTAGAAGAAGAATTAAAAAATATTGAAGAAAATTGTCAAGAAAATGATGACAAAAAAAGGAAAAAGAATAAAAATAAATCCAAACGAAAAGATCAACAAGTTGGTGATGGTGTCAGAATTTCCCCCGACAATCAAGAAGCAGCGAATGTCGATCCTGGTGCAATTAATGATTCTAATGGTGGCGAAGAAAAAATTGATAAAGATACAAATGAAGATAATTCTGATTATGAAGACCTAGAAAATAGTGATTTATATTGTATGGCTTGCGAGAAATTATTTAAATCAGTTAAATCATTTGCAAATCATGAAAACTCCAAAAAGCACAAAATGAACGTAATTCATTTGAAAACATTGTTAGAGGCCGAAGATGAATTGGCTCGAGAAGATGAAGATGATGCCGGTTGATTAATATAATTTAAGAATAAAATTTATCAATTATTATTATTAACAAACCAACACATTTATCAACAGAACCTTTCATCACAATCAGTTTAATCAAACTACCAATCAAACTTTTGCCTCTCATGTTAATTATGTGAATGAAATTATATCTTCATTAATAGATAACGAGTGATAAATAATGAGTAGAGTTAATTACTAGTTGAGATAATTTAACAACTATTTAAAGGAATGATCGTTAAGTGGTTATCTATTATCTATTCAGTTTAATTGTAGTTAAATGCTTGTTTACCTGATGTTAATTGTTTATTATCAATGATTCTATATAAATTGATTAATAGAGTTGTTAATATCTGATTCCAAACCATTCTGTTACAATCAACGTGATAATCACAATCCTGCTTCATTCAATTTGATTACAATTAGTTTTTCATCAACCACTAAATTGTTGCGATCAATTTATTCAACAATCAAATTTTTTTCAATTAATTCTGAGGTTTTTAATATTATATTCGAGCTGAAGTCTCGCAATTTACAAATTAATCAAATTGGTTCAACTGAATTTTCATCAGTTGTTAAGTAAGGTCATTTGGGTCGTTTAACAATTGAAATTCACAATCAACAAAAAATCAACTTGATCATATTGTTAAGATCGACGATTGGATAGAGATGATTACCTTTGGCAATTATGGATCCATTGGATTAACAATTAGAATCATTTTCTCTCAAATTGGTCTATTTGGTTTCTTCTGGTTAACATGTTATGGAATCGCACCCGAATCATCATCGCCTTGGAATGGATTAGTTTTTGGATTTCTGGCCATTTTTCTGACCGCTTACATCGCTGGTCAGTTATGTAGTCTGGTTCGTGTTCCTCCCTTGGTGGGTATGCTAATTGCTGGAATTTGTTTATCCAATTTAACCTCAATCACTTTGGATCCTTTGGTCTCATCATTTGCTCGTAATTTGGCTCTGGCCGTTATCTTGCTTCGAGCCGGTGTTTCCCTTGACCCTTTGGCACTTCGTAAATTGTCGCTGGTCTGTTTAAGATTAGCGTTTACTCCATGTATTGTGGAAGCGTTGATTCTGGCGGTGGGAACTTATTTACTTCTTCATTTACCCTTCTTGTGGTGTATGGTTCTTGGTTTCGTTTGCGTCGCCACTTCCCCGGCGGTTATCGTACCCTCCATGATAAGCATTCAAGATGAAGGGTATGGCACCGATAAAGGGATTCCCACTCTGATCATGGGGGGATCATCGGTGGACGATGTCATGGCAATCACTGGATTCGAGATTTTCTTAAGTTTAGTAACATCTTCGTCCTCTTCAATACTCTCAACGCTTGCTGGTCCAGCAGAAGCGATCGGAGGATTGATCTTGGGCACAGGATTAGGACTCTTGTTTTGGATTCTTCCACCTTCCATTTCAAATCCTGATGATATTGAAAATAAATCATTCTATGGACGGATTAGATTTTTTTTCCTTCTTCTAACTGGAATCAGTTTCATCTTCACGACTAAAGTTTTAGGCTGTGAATCGATGGGCCCCCTTGGAACCTTATCAATGGCCTTTGTTGCCGCTCTTCGTTGGCGATCAGAAGGTTATATTGACGATATAACAATTAATTTACGAGATATTTGGTTCTTTGCTGAAATCTTTTTATTTAGTCTAATTGGTTACGAAGTCAAATTTTCTTCTCTACAATCAAATACCGTTCTATGGTCATTAGTTTGTCTCTTCATTGGTATGATATCAAGAACCATTGTTTCATTTGGTGTTGTTCTTGGAGCAGGATTAACAATTAAAGAACGATTTTTCATCGCAATGGCCTGGCTGCCCAAAGGAACAGTTCAAGCGGCAATCGGTTCGATCCCATTGGAATTGGCTCGAGCTAAACAAGACGAGACCCAAATTCAATATGGACTAACAATATTAACTTTTGCGGTGCTTTCGATAATTATATCGGCTCCTTTAGGTGCTTATTTGATTTCGTTTTTTGGTCCAAAACTTTTGGTCAAATCGTCAAATGATCAACAAGCAAATATTGATCAAGATTCAATACAAATTGAAAATTTAAACAAAAACAATCATATTTGATCATGATAGAAATAAGTTCCGACTAAATATTAGTTAAACAATTAGAGATCACTAAACAATATCGATTCAATAAACAATCAAAGAAACTTAATTAGTTCAATAGAAATAAAAAAAATTTTCGTTTCTTATTTGATTTACTATCGGAACTTTGAATGATCACAATCAACTTGTTGATTGGTTAATCTCTCTATAAATTAAACTCAAATCATGTAATTGTTCAGTTAAAGTTTAGTTGATCAAAATTTCTCTTATTTGAAATTCGCGCTTTTCTTTGATTGTTTACTTTTTCTCACCTGTTTTTCAATTCTGAATCAGAATTTCTGATTAATAAATGTTTTCTGTTTCCTAGTTTCGGATTGATGTTATTGAGTGCCTTTCAATTTAAATGATTATTTAATTATGTCAAATTCTAGTGGATCATCTAATTGTTTGCAATGTGTTGAATTGAGAGGAAAATTAGTTAAACTTGAAGAGACTTTGGCCTTCGTTGAGGGTAAAACTCGGGACTGTGTTAGAGCTTATAAAACGGTTCTTAACGAGAAGAATTTAATTGTTCAGAATTTTGAGCAATCGAAAGAACTTTTCGCAAAAAGAGTCGAAGAAGAGGAAAAAAGACTCGCGACCCTTGAAGATAGTCTCAGTGAATTAAGTTCGATCTGTGGTAAATACGAAGCTGAAAATATTAGAAAACAAAATCTGATCGATAATCTTAATCAACGATGCGATGAATTGAGTCAACAGTTGGCTGTGAATAAATCAACAATCATTAGTGATGATGAAAGCTCTTCATGTGATCAATTTGGATTAGATTTAAATTATCATCAAAGAGATAAAGTGATTCCCAAGCTAATCAACAAGTTTACCCAAACAATTAGTGAGATAAAAGAGGATAAAGATGAAGAATTGCAAATGTAAGTGTTTACGTTTATATTTTTTCTTTTTTATTTATTCTGATTGTTTTTCTTTGTTTTTTTCTTCTCTCAGACAATCAGCTAATTGCGACGCAGAGACACAAACAAGTCCAGAACTTGTGAACATCAATAGTCAGAGTGGTAATAATAAACAACGGAAGACAGAATGTGCAATAGTCTTACCCACTCATCGAGAAGTCGAAGTGGAAAAATCAACAACAAACGTTGACAGTAATCGAGGTTCTCATGGTTCCAGGGGAAGTGAATCGGAAACTGTTTTCACGGACACTGAATTCGCTCTGAATGATTCGGAATCTCAGCCTTTCGAGAGTGTGCGGCCTTCACTCAATTCTATGGTTAATCAAGAAATTCCAAGTAACTCAGTTTCTCTATTCTATGTGAATGAACTCGCTCGTAAAGAGATTGAACTTGTCGAGACTCGACTAACGGCTCGAGAAAACGAATGTGCTTTACGAGAGCTTCGTTGGAAATATAATGTTGATACTTTCAAGTAAGTTGATTGTTGACATTTTCCAATGATTTGGTTAATCATTTGAACTCATCTCTCTTTTATTCTGTTGTTTATTCAGATTACAAAGTAAATTGACTCGATTGGAACAACAACTTGAGCAAATTCAAAGCGACGATACAACTAAACCCAATTTAACTTATATTCGTAATGTTCTGGTTCGATTTTTGAAAACAAAAGACAAAAAGCAAAAAACTTGCATGATGAATGCTCTACTTACTGTTCTGGGTGTTGATCAGAAGGAGGTCAAGATGTGATTAGTTTGTGAGAATTGTATAAATTTAATTAACCAATTGGTATCAGTAAATCAATCGTTGTTGTTTTATTAATGTATTTTCAGTTTCTATGATTTTCTGTGATTTTCTGTTTAAAATTGTTCATAGTTTAAAGTGATTGTTACAAAGGTGATTAGTGATTAGAAAAAAAGAGGTGTGAATTAAATATAATAATAATTAAGGCAAATTCGGTGTTAAATTTTAAAATTGTTACAATGAGAGAGAAAATTATCTTCTCCATTGTCTTTCATTAGGTCGGGATGATAATCTTTTGCAGGCTGTTTGTTGGTGATGATGATGGTGGTGATGGTGTTGAGGATGAGGATGAGGATGAGGACCAGAGTGTGGGTGAGAATGAAGATGATGATGATGTGAATGATGAGGTTGAGTTTGATGAGAATTGTGAGAATGGACACTAGAATTATAATGATAATGATGAGGGTGAGGGTGAGAGTGCGAGTGAGAGTGAGGGTGAGGGTGTGAATGTGGTTGAGGATAAGAATGTGAATGTGAATGATGAGGTTGCTGATAATTAACATTTAACTGATTGGATGATTGTGATGAATGTTGATGATTTTGTTGGGGTTGATTATGATTTTGATTTTGATTTTGATTTTGTTGGTTTTCTTGTCGCACACCAACCAAAGGTCTAAATGGTCGTGGATTAAATGAGTGTCGAGGACTAGTTAAAGGTTGATTGTGACCTCTATTGTGATAATCTGTTCGGAATGCGGGAGAAATGATTTGTCTCAACGCGACTACATTTTCATGATGAGATGATGTTGGTTGGGGTTGTTGTCGATTAAACTGACGATTTGAATACCGATTAGATGACCAGACAATTCGTCGAGGTCTCGGATTATCGATCTGAAGGTTACCAATGTCCGGTTCTTCTAATCGGCTAATCGCCTGATATCCTTCATTTCCTTGTTGTTGCTGCTGATGTTGATGTTGATGTTGTTGACTAATTGCCCGAGAAGGTGGGTTACTAGACGATGAAGTTAATTGTGGTGGTTGATGATATTGTTGGTGTTGTGAAGATCGTTGATTAAATTGACGGACAGCGAAAATATTTCTATTAGAAGGGTAAGAATTATTGTTCCACCAAGAGTTTCGAATAAAATTTGACACTGGAACTCGACGATCTTCGAGAGGAATAACCTCATAGTCGGTGTCAGAAGTCACATTAGTTATAATATTGGCGAAAAAAGTCCGACAAATGGGACAGAGTTGACTTCGTTGAGCCCATTCAAAGATACAACGGCCACAGAATTTGTGTAAACATCCATCGGCATAACTGACCACCGAACAAGTATCCAAACATATTGAACAAACACTGTCCGAACAAGCAGTAGAAGAAGTCGACATATTTTAGAAGAAGTCGTTGTGACTCGATAAGGATAAGTGTTAATAAGAATTAGTGAAATGTTTAATTTATCCTTCATTTAAACATTGAAATTTCATTGGTTACACTTGTTGCTATGGTTAACGGGTTGATTGAAAGGGGAAAGAGACGATGATGAGAGGGAGCAATCCATTTCTTCAAGAATACTTTTGATTCCATGTTGCTCGAATCGGAAAGAAATTTCAATCGCCATGATTATAATTCCAACAACCAGTATTAAAAGTGAACAAATTGTGACCATTAAAGGTGAAGAAATATAATCGTGATACAAATTAACCATAAACAGGCCAATTACGAGAGTGAGAGCGAATAAAATTAAGGAATAAGTTAATTTGAGCTTAGATTTTTCGTTCTCATTAATGTAACTTCGCATGAGCTTCGAAGCTTTTTCGAGATTTGTACCACCAAGTTGTGGACATTTAACGGAATCTGTGAATCCACTTGAAGAATCTGTTGTGTCGAAACTTCCTCTTTTCATCATGTTACTTGTTCCTGAATGATCACCACTTTCTTTGACTTTACGTTGATTAGACAATTGTTGTTGTTGATCGACCTTTTTGGTTTTAAATCGCACGGCCACCGGTTGATGATCACTAAAGGAAAGTCCAGTTTTCGGATCTTTGGATTGACATTGAAGCTTTTCAGCAGTACAATTAAAGCTTAAATCAGGTACAGTTGAATTAAGATAAGTTATTGTGGACAATTGACTTTTTTGACTGTTTCTATCATTGACCATTTTGTATAAGATAAAGTCAATTTGTTTCCCTTGCTTTAATTGTTGCTTATGCCGAGAATTGTTATCATCTTTACTTTGATTACTACACAAAGTATCAGTGAAACTGTTCTCAACATTACCACAGGTAATTAGATCATTTATATGATTAAAGCCATTTGATCCAGGATGACAAATATTATTCAGTCCAGTGATTGACTTTAATAGTTGAAAGGGAAACTCCTCTGGACTAGTATTTAAATCACCAGCGAGAAGGAATAGTTCACATTTACCAGCATTAGAAACTAAATCTTCCGTCATATTAATGAATTTAGCCAATTGATAGGATTGACAAATTCTGTGGATTGAATATTGATCAGAAATATCTTCATCATCGGAATACTGAGCATGCATATGGGTACAGAAAAGGTGAATTCTCAAATCATTTAGATCCACCCTAATGTAACCAGTACCTTTACCGGTGAACCAGTCACCATGCCAGGGACGAAAAGGTGATCCATTAACGGTAAATGGCATGAAAGATATATGAGTTGGACTCCATTTTGAAAGAATAGCCAAACCACTGGTTCCAATTATACTTTTAGTAGGGAAAAGGTGAGCAAATTTATAAATGGATGAGGTTTTTTGTCTAATCAGCTCATAATCTGATTTAACCCAAAGCTCTTGAAGGAAAACAATGTCATACTTTTGTTCACTCAAATAATCAGCAATAGATTGAATTCGTTGTAATCGATGTTTAGAGAAGAAAAGAAGTCCCCAACAATTTAAGGTAATTGCACTAATTGATAATTCATTTGTTTCATCTTCAATCTCACTTTCATGGTCAATTGTATCCATTGTTTTTACTCAACAAGAGAAAAGGCCCAAAGGAGAATCAAGCAAATAGAAATTCAGTTAAACTTGTAAATATAGATAACAAACATTAACAACTAGAAAAAGAGTAAAATGAGCAAAAATAATTAACAGATAAACAAAAAATAGAAAAATAATTAAATTAAATGAGCTTTTTAATCGAGTTGTTTATAGAATTTGTTTTGATGGAAAAATTCATTGGCCTTATGGTGGAGATCCAATGCCATCTATTGGTTTGATGAATAAAATGTAAATCGTGTAACTTTTATGTGAACCAAATTGACTCAGCGAATTTATTTAATTGTTGACACATTTGTCGATTTATCTATGAAACGATGAGACAATTACAAACATTTTTACATTTGATTAAGTGGAAAATTTTACCATCTCTCTCTTGATCTTTCTCTTGATCGTTGTCGTGACCTTTCTCGTGATCTATATCTTGATCTGTCCCGATCTCGAGAACGGCTTCTTGATCGACTTCTATAACGTTCTCGAGATGATCTTCTTTTATGGCCATTGTGCCGTGAGTCCCCTCGTTCATTTGGTGTTCGTCTTTCTTTGTATCGCATCTCGCCTGGAGCTTTGATTATAGAGAGAAAAAGAGTGTACTTCTTCAATTTCTTTCAACCAATTTTTTCTTTAGGTTTCTTTATAGCAACTTTGGCCTTTCATTTGATTTGATTTGATTTGTAATCACCAAAACCATCATCTTTAACTACCTGTGGATGACTTACTCTTTCGATCTCCTTGTGCAAATTCAACGGCCAATTCACGTCCATGAAAGGTCAAATGTTGAAGATCTCGTACAGCATCCTTAGCATCTCGAAGACTTTCATATTGAACATAAGCAAAGCCCCTTGGCTTCCTATTATAATAGTCAACTGGTATATAGACATCAGCTATTTTACCATATTTACCAAAAATATTCTTTAAATCAGTTGATCTAAAATGACAAAATTCAAATCAGCGAAACAAAAAGAAAACGAGTCAAAAATCCGCAGTTAGAAAAAAAACAGGAGAATAAACAGTAAAAAAAAGCTTCAAGTCAAAGAGAAAAGAAGACGAAACAAGGAGAAAAAAGAATAGAAAACAAAAAAATTCTCTACAAACAACACATGCTGTTTGTTGGAAGTTTGAAAACAAAATACACTCACCTGATATCTTCAGAAAGATTTTTAATGAACAGAGATTTATTGGCTATTCTATCACTTCCACTTCTTGGCATGATGAGAAAGTTGTACGAATAAACTAATTAATCAGCCAACCTGTTGATTAATATCCTTTGACACTCAACATTTAAAATGATTTAAACTCTTTGGCTTTTTTTTTGAGACATTTACCGTTCTAACATTTATTCCGTTAGGTGTCACCACTTTTTCTCGTTGACTTTTAAACCATTTAAAGCGCATCATTTAAATGGATTCAAAGTTAAATCTCTTTGAATTGTTACAATTAGAGAGAAATATTTTTAATTCTTGTAAGAATTACTTTCATTTCTGTTGGTCACACAAGTTAAATTAGTTAAATTGGAGGTAATCATATGATTCGAATTTGCCAAAAGAGCCTAAAAATTGACAGAAAAATGAGACAATTAAACAAAGATTATGTAATTTTAATCATCGATTGATAATATTTACCTTAATTGAAGTCGTCCAGCAATTTGTGCAATTAAAGGATGAGCATCAGAATTACAGTTACTTAATTCTGGCTTTTGGTCGTGAATTATTTGGATCTAATTAAACATATTGTCCTCTGAACAAATTAATATAAAGATTCAGTTGATTTGCTCACTTAGCATGAGGACAAATTTTGAACCATTTTGATACAATTATGTTTACTATTAATTGTTAATAAAAAAACATTCATACGAGCCTGTTACATATAAACAAAAACAAACAAAAAATAGTCATTTGGTTCACTTAATTAAGACGATTCAATAACTAATCGCTCGTGTTTTTAAACTATCATAAAAAATAAAATTGATTAGATGTTGGCGATTCGAGATGGTCAAGCTTAGGATGAATTGAAATTTTGATCTCTTTAAATTGTGTCAATGTTTTAATCCTCATAAGAATTACTTTTAGCTAAATAATTCTCATAATTTTTGAATAAATATCTTTGTTTTTCTCTTGAATCATTACAATGTCCAATATTTGACGATTGACATTTTTTCCGCTTTTTTGGTTTAGATTTTGATGGTTTGCAGATCGCTAATGAAGATGAAGATGATGATGATTCTGTTGGTGATGTTGGAATTGTTGATTGGGTTGAATCGGATGGTGGTTTCATTGATTTGGGTTGATTTTTTGAAAGAAGACAAGGCCAAAAATAGAGAGAAACAATTAATCCAACTAATGTCCTGTAATTTGAGTCCCAAACATGTTGACTAGTATCATAATTGTAATCAGCTAATTGTTGCTTCAATCCTGCTCTCATGTTTAGTAAAACTTGATAAGATTGAGTTGTTATGATGTTTGGTGGGAAAATTGGTGGACAATGATTAAGCTTTTCGGTGTTCACTCCGATCACTTGTTTTCGCAAGACAGAAGATATAACTTTGGATAGTAAATGAGGTTCATCGGGTAATTTACCGTCGAAATAATCAGTTAGAATATTTTCCAGAACATCGAATAACATTGTTTGTTGAGCAACTCGAGCTACGAAAAAAAGAGAGAAGAAAAAACAATAATTAATTATATCAATCGATTATGTAAAATTATTCGTTTCAATGGAGAAGGAAATTTGTTTTCTTTACCAATTTTCTTTGTTGGTTTACTAATTTTTCCCATTAAAGAGTAAAGACTAAATTGTTGAATAAGTTGTTGTTCGATTCTTTCTTCGGTTTCGGGTTTCTTTTTTCGACCACCAACTCCAGGTCGGCTTAGTTTCGCTCGGTAGGTGCCATCGTTTACTGCGATTTCAAGCTGCTTTTTACCCTCTCGAAGGAAATCATCAAGTGATTGTCCTTCTTCTAGAACAAATTCAAGATTAGGAGGGGGTTTTCCATAAGGTCTATTTCGAGGAACCAAATCTCTTAGATCTTTAGAAGTTTCTATCGTTTTAGTGACTCTGTGTTTCTCAATTGTATCATATCTTGCGGCGATTTGGCGAGGATTTCGTTTAGTTAGATGAGCCATCACATCGACCCAGCGGAAATTTTCCTTCGGAGCTTTGCTAACTAATTTTAAATCTTCGAAAAAAGTCCAATTACCTAATTTACGATCTTTAATTCCCAATCTAAGCATGTATCTTTCTCGGCATTGCATATTACTCCGTCCAGGGATATATTCAGCAACTGATTTCCACTTGTGAACTCCACATTTTCTAACGGCAGCCAATAAAACTTTATCTTCCAATTCAGTCCATTTAGCACCTCGACGTAAAATTTGACTCTTATTATAATAATTTTTTATCTGTGGCAATGAACGTGAACCCATGAAATATCGGACTTGAGTCCAGGGAATATGATCACCGACAGATAATTTGTCAATCAGGTAATAAAGTAACTTTGATTCCTCTTTAGTAAAACGTCCGGAAGATATAATTGTCTCACTTAATTTTGATTGGTATCTTTGGCAACATTGCCAGGCTACTCTTTTGGTTCCCAAATTTTTAGCAATCTTATCCCAATCATAGTGAAACCTTTGAGCCAAACTTTTTAAATCTTCATCTTCCTTTTGTGACCATTTATCATGATTAATCTCAGGATGTTCAAAGTTTGTCCATCTAATTTCACAGTCAAATTCATCATAAAGTGATGGACAATTTTGAGCAACTTCAAGCCAATCAATATCCTCACTGTGTTCCCTTGAAGGTATATTTGAAACACTACGGACCAATTCAATCTGATCATCAAGAGTTTTCATCTTATCAGTCTTTTCGTCAATAATATCTTGACTTGCTTCTTGTGATTTCAATTTCTATACCAAAAAAAAGAAAGAAAATCAATTACTCATTTGAAAACCAATTTCCACATTGTTTACCAATACTTACATTAATTTCTGCGAGTAAATTATTCTTTTGAATTGTAAGAGGTTCCAACTCCTTTTTGTCAACACAGTTTTGAACGGATGAAGTTAAATACAATTTATCTGAATCTTTCCAAGGTTTTTTGTATCGAAGGTAAAAAGGATTAATACAACCAGTTGCTTTACGACTTTTAGTATCATCATTATCATCGGCAGCATAGTCTCGTCTATCACGAAAATAAGGAGCCAAAAATTTAAGTAATGAATTAGGATAAATATGATCATTCGCTAGAGCTTGACTCTCCAGTAATTCCTGTTGCATCATTAGATTAGCTTGAAGTTTCTCTTCCAGATTATTTTTGAAATCGATCAATGATTCGAGATATTTTTCATTGAGTTTAACACAACCAGCAATTGACTTTGGTAAGCTATCGATGTCGGTAAATTGAGTATCATCTCTATCATAAATGTCTATATTTTCTTCGTCTTGATGATAATTTGGACAGATAGCGATTGATTGGTCAACGGGTTTACTAATTTCGATAAAATTATCATCAACAGCATCACTTTCAACAGCAACTCTGTCCATAAGATGGTAATCACATGCATCGGAATCAATTTCATTATTACCCTCGATGTAATCGAGAGGCACAAGATCAAAGGGATAATCATCGTCTAAAGGTAAACTAATTATCTCACCATCGTACATAATTAATTGATTTTGTTGATAGAAAAACAAAACAAAACAAAAATTTAGAAAAACAGTAAAAAAAATGTTCACTTGAATTCCTCAAGCGCCAATGAGAAAATCATAACATTGGGGATCCGATATTCTAAAAAGATACAATCAGATATGAAGGAACAATTTTTGAATTCGAAATCAGTTGATTTAGTTAATTGCAGTTGGAAAAATTTCTTAAAAATTAGATGGAAATGTTTACAGTTTACATTGGAATATTTTGTTAAGAATTTATTCCAATTATTCTGATTAGAATGTAAATTGAGATCGATGACATTATTAGTTTTCTGATCATCTGGTTGATAATAAATTAGATTCGCAATCAAGGATTTTGTGGAGATGATAATTAAATGATTAAGATGATTGTTTATTGTAATTGACAATAGATTGTTTTGATATTTTTGTGTTATATTTTAAGGCATTTTTACCTTGCGTCTTAAATAGTTAATAGCTGATGATCTGGAGGGAATATTGAGTTTTTTTATACAATTAATCAGTTTCATTTTCTGATTGAATGTGATTAATAGGATAGTTAGGTTTAGGTTGTCTCTTTTTTTGATGGTTATTATATATAATTGGTTAATTACATGGAGATATGAGACATTATTATTATGCTTTTGTCTTCAAGTTAAATTGTATTCAAAAAAAAAACAACGAGGGAATCAAGAGTTGAAGGTATTGATGATATGATAATTAGTCTTTAGTTTTAAATGTTAACTGTGCTTTCGTTGACTTGATTTGCTGATATTAAAAGTTGTATGATTGACTTTGGTTGTAAGTTATTAACCCTTGGATAAGCTTTGAATCGTTAATGTGGGAATCATAATTTGATGATGATGATTAAGTTAATTGGTTAAGCTCGTTGTCTCAATCCCAATCGGATTTAAGGTTTTCGTCATCTCCATATATTTACAAGTGAAAATGTTCAACCCTATTGGTAATGTGTTAATTATTGGTTGATGATGAGCAATATTTAGTTATGATGAAACATCAAATTTACCGATGATGTACAAAAGGAAAATTAAAAAGATGAAGCTGTAATTAAATCCACGTTGTTATCGTTGTAATTTAACCAAGGAACGAGTGATAATGATTAGTGGCAGATATTTAACTCGTTAATTTTTCATCATCCAATGATTGAATTTCCAAGATTATCAGGATTTCATTTCCTATCGTTAATGTTTCTGGCTTTTTTTCTTAAAGGAAAACGATTGAATTGCTTTTCCTCCAGGCTAATTGTAATGAGAACAATAATAATGGTGAAAGCAGGATAGTTTAACCCACTGAATAGTAATCATATTGGTACACCTGATCGCCAGGGTGATGGGTTTAAAATCAATCGGATAAAATGAAGTCGAGTTGAGATTAGTTATCATTTTGTTGGTCAGATAAAATTGTTTCGCTTTGATTTCGTTTACAAGCTTCGTCATAGGAAGGAGGTGGTTCGTCTAAGCAGCTTAATTCATAGGATTGTCGGGAAGATACTTCATCATGACGCAATGAAATTCGAGTTGAATCTCCTCCATTTCTCATATTATCTTCATTCAGATTCGCTCCAATTTCAGCCAATCTTAGTCCGATGCTTGAATCTTGGCACAGGTTGGAATCATCAGTTGGCTTCTCGTTGCAAACACAATGGTAAAGAAAAGCCAAACAACAAGGAATACTAATGAATAGGGCGATGAGTAACATGATTATCCATAAGGCTGCCGAAGATAACATTGTGTAAAAAGCATTGAAACTCGATAATTGTTGAGCTGAGATGTGCAGACATTTCATCATGTAAGGATCATAAGTATAATTAGTAACACAATTACACTGATTTGAATCACAGAAAGAATAATTATCCGAGTAAATACATTCCTGGTCAGTTAAACATTTATCTCCATGAGATTTGTTACGTTTACATTGATGTGGGCCAACAATTACTGGAGTTTCAGGTCTACATCTACAGATATGATTATCATCACAGTAAATGTGAATATTTAAAGGCCAACAAATGCCCAGGATGTTACAAGGTTGACCAACATGACCTGAGGTTAAATTAACCTTAACGGTGAGAAGGAAAAAAGAAAACCAAATGGAAACAAAGATGGCACAAGATGAAGAGGGAATTAAACTAAACGAAGAAAATAAATTAAACATAATTTCTAAAGGAACCTGAAGTATCGCTCATTATAACCGGAAGAACATTGAAGAAAATTAATCAAAATTAAAAAGAAAAGAAAAGAAAAACAAATCAAAACAAAAATTATAAAAAAGAAAAAAAATTCACTTGAATTCCTCAAGCGCCAATGAGAAAATCATAACATTGGAGATCCGATATTCTAAAAAGATACAATCAGATATGAAGGAACAATTTTTGAATTCGAAATCAGTTGATTTAGTTAATTACAATTAAATGGAAATGTTTCAGATTTAAACAACAGAATATTCTGGTTAATTTATGCTGAAAATATATTCTGATTAGAGTGTAAAATGAAATCAATTGGAAAACTTGGTTAACTTTGTTTCGAAATTAAAAAGACAAAACTTTTAGATTTAAATGATTTCGATTGTTGGTTAATTTTAATTGTTCAAATTGGAATTGGAATTGGAAATTACATTAAAAATGTTTAATTAGAAAGATTTAATAAATGTAAGGAAAGAATTTGATGAAAAGTGTTTTAATTAGAAAGTAAAATGTCTTGGAAAATTTGGATTAATGAATTTGGTTCGAATTTTGATTTTTCGTTTTCGATTTTCTTTCGTTCTAACAACTTGTATCTAATCTTAAAACTCTCAATTTTTCTTGTTCTATAAAAATACAGGCTGATTCATTCATTCCACCACAATAATGAGAAGATGAGAAAACGGTGATCACCTTTCCACCCATATGGAACCGATAACCCGCCGGGATAACCTCATGAGCTCTGATAATGTGAGTTAATCCATTGGCCTGAAGAAACTTGTTGACCGCTTCTTCGTTGAAATAATAAGCTGTACCTCGTTTGGTGTTGGGTAGAAAACCTTGTAAACCGTTGAACGAAGTAGATCCCGATTGTAACCTTAACATGTCCGCATATTCATCATACTCATTACCCGAAACTGGATCATTCCAAAGTATTTCCCATGCAGCGGGTGATTGAGACTCGGGCTCGGGCAATGGAGTGGGTATGGCTTGAAGATCGTCGATTTTGGTTAACGAAGTTGGTATTCCACCATGAGCACAGAAAATTGATTCATCGATAACTGCACAAATCGGCATAACATCGAAGACCCGGTTAATTGCATCCCAAATTGTACTTCCCAAATTTTTACCGAATTTGTCCAAACACTCTCGTTGAAAGGTGAACACCGCTTGAATTGATCGTAGTTCATGATTACCTCGAAGAAGCCAGAACTTTTCAGGGGATAACAGTTTACACGAGAATAGGTAAAGAATACATTCTAGACCATATTCACCTCGATCGACAAAATCTCCCAGGAACAAATAACTCGCTGGAACACAATTAGGAGCTTTTCTCCACAAGATTCGTTCATAAATCATCATGTCTCTAAAATTACCATGAGTGTCACCGAGAACGTAAACTGGACTACTGATCTTGATACATCTCGCCTCTCTTTTGAAGGTACTTTCAATGTCCGAGCAAAGTTTGATAATCGCATTGGCCAAGGCCGTTCGATCACAGGTAACCCAATAATTTCCAGCCTTTGATTTTTCACCAGGTTTTCGCCGAGTTCCAAAGGTCCGTTTAAAGTTACCCAAATTGGCCACTTCAGAGTAATCACGAAGCCATTCAATCATTCGATTGGCCACATTTTCGACACTGAAAGCGACTAATGACATCGCTCGACGATCCTTTGGAGTTTGAACAACTTCCTCTGGTAACACTTCCATTGGTTCAACGATATTTCCCTCGGGTGCAACTCGAGCTGAATGAACGGCGATAGTGTAACGTTTGTTTCTACAATTAGAACACGAACCTTTGGTTCGTTTACTGACTTTGACCTCATGTTCACCCGAATTACCACCTGATGGTGTTGGAATATGAGTCAATGATTCGTAACAACGTTTAGTACCAATGGTTGTTAAAATTGGAAACGGAGATCGAAACAATGAAGATGAACCTCGAAATGACATTGTACCAATAGCTCGTAACAATTGGGTATCAGAGACAACGGGTGAAGGGTCATTCAAGTTAATACCAAGTGCCTGGTAGTTTTTAACCAACTCTTTCTCAACGGAATCATCGTCATGAGGCTTATTTTTCAATCTCAAAATATCGTAGGTCATTCGAGCCATTTCAATGTTGTCCAATACCGAATCGTTATTAATATCATAGTAACGGAAAATGTAACCACATCGTAGCTCACCAGGATGACCACCATGGTGGGTTTGTTTGTCCATGGCGGCGAGGCCAAGTAGAAACTCATGGAAAGACAAGTAAGACATATGATTGAAGCCAAAGGCTCGGTAAACATTTTCCAGGTCAGTATCGTTCGGTGGCCAACCAATTCGTGACATGTAATCAACAAATGAAGGGAAAACCATGTACTGTGATGGATAACAGTGTTGAATGAATTCGGAGTAAAGTCGACTGATATCTCGTTCCATGAAATTTGCCGATTTCAACATTTCATCTTGAAAAGTTTTCGCTGTCTCTCTGGGCAAATATCTCATAGCGTCTCGCAAAGTGTACTCAGTGTAAGCACCTTTTTCAATAGCGTTATGTAAAAAGGCCTCACCGAAAACACAAGGCTCTGGACCCCAAAGATCAGTGACATTTTGATTGATAACATCGTCGGCTGAATGCCAGCTTAAAGTTTTGTTTGTTTGGCAACAATTACCTTTATCTTCATGAGTTAATTGTGATAGGAAAGTAACTCGAGTAACGAATTGGCAAAAGTATGGAACCTGAAGTCGGAAAATGTGAATCAATTCAGGCTGAGAAAATGAAAGATACGATTTAGGTCCAGATCCGGTTGAAAGTACTTGCTTTAATCTGGAAACACAAGCGGCATACCAGCCCTCTGACGGCTTTAGGGCCACATAGGGAAGCCACATTCCTTTTCCTTCACCGATACGAGTAAGGCCAAAATTGTTGTGCCTTGGACAGTAAATTACGGTCGCACAACAATCAAATAAATTAGGTCCAAAAGGGGTCGGTGCTTCGGCTCGTTCTAATGATTGAATTCGTCGCATCATTTTACTGGCGGAAGTTCCGAGCGAAGATGTTGATTCAAGTGATGGCGATCTTTTCGAAATCCTAAAGCTTTAGCTCGATCTTTGGCATTCCGAACATTTTTTCCTGGTTTGGGCATAATTAACACAATTAAGAATCAATTTAACTTAAAACCAATTAAAACAATTGATCGATTGTTAAATGGTCTTCAATTAAAACTAAATCATCCATTGAAGTTGAAGAAAACACCATGTACCAGAATTTTGAATAGAATTGAATTAATTTTGATTAAAATGAACAAATTAGTTGGAGGACAAAATTAAACACAATAATCAAATTGATAAGTTAATTGTTACAATTTCATTAGAACAACAATTAGTAAATTTAAGGATATAAAGAAAATTAGCTATTATAAGATTCGATAGTTAATTAAACTTTTCAACAATTAGTTGAATGTAATTTTTTTCCTACAAATTATTAATTGTCAGTTTGTAAGCAAAAAATGATTAAACAATCAACATTAAGATTGCTTTTCTTAAGCCAATCAATTTATTAATCATGGCATTGATGTTTTACATTATTTACAATTTGTTCAATTTGTTGGGAGTAAAATTATCACAATTAGCGATTTTTTTCCTTCATTCGAGTATCTTGTCAATACAATTCCAATTGTATCTCATGATAATACACTAATTACAATGAGAGTTTTTGATTACTTTGATTAATCAATTTGTAGTAAAGTTAATGAAGTAACTTTGGGGTAACAATTGATGATAATTAAATTGATTAGGTTCGATATCCGATAGTAAATAATGTTCCATGGAAATTGCTGCCAATTCTTTGATAAACTCTTCGAAAATTATACAAGCTTGAATGATACGAACATTTTCTGACGATTTAGTTGATCCATCGATACCTTCATCCTCTTCAATCAAGTATTTCTTGTTAATGAATCTATTTAAAAATAAGAAGAAAACAAGACAATTAACCAAATTTCGTCGAAAAGACAATTAGTTAAACACTCACTTGTATCCATTGTCCAGAGACTCTAATGATGGACATTCTTCAAGTTTAGAGTTACTTGTTACCCAAGGAAGAAATGATTTTAAGCTTCTTCTTTTTTTCACTGAAAGTAACAGAGAAACAAACAATTAGAAGGTAATTGATTAATTGCCATGGAAAATAAATAATTACCTTTTTTGTCTGCATTTGACTTGATTGAGAATGAAGTTTCTGATTCTTCACTAACAGCTGATCCAGATCTTTTAACAGGTAAAGTTAATGAGGATAAATTTTGTTTCTCTTTCAAATACAATTCATTGAAATTATCAATCTTTCTTGACATATCTTCTAATTGTTTTTTCAGGTTAATCAGGATGGAAAATAAACTTCGAACATTTTTGTGCAATTTAAGGTCACAATTAAGGAATAATGATTTCAAATGATATTCTGGAAAAGTTGCCAGACGACTGATTATCCCGGTAAGTTGTAGATTTACGTAATAATCGTTGAAAGGTAATTGTGATAAACGAGAGAGTAAATTTGAAAGAAAAGGTCCAATCATTTCGGCTTCGCTATTGTGACTAGGTTCGTTTGTCGATGTTGGTGAAGAGGTTGAGGAAGAGGTTGTTGTTGTTGTTGTTGATATTGTTGGTGTTTGTATATTTTCACAGGTCATATCGGTCAGGCCAGATAACTTTGAACAGTCCAGGTTAAAATTGGAGGACGAACTGGTTGTTAAAAATATTCCAGAATCAGATGGAGGTGAAATCATTTGATTATCGTTTGAACCATTCATGTTTTTTGACTCGTATTTAATTAACCATGGTGATGTTTTCACTTTACAATCAAGTATTGCAGAGTGAGCCTCATCTAGGTAATTAAAACAGCTCTCAAAGAAATTGTTGTCAGCGTTAATTGCTGAGCAATTTACTGGGGTAACTGTTGAAGTCACATTGTAATCATATGAGGAATAAGTTGATGATGATGTAGATCGTGATGGTGATGGAGATAAATGATCCAAGTTCAATGAATTATGAAATGATCTTAATGGTATTTGTTGTTGTTGTTGATGATGATGATGATGTTGATTAAATGTTGGCACAAGGGTGAAAAACTTTTTTGCAGAATACAGAAATTGTTCAGAGACATCAGATTCCATTCCATGATCATGTTTATTATCAAAGATAATTTTACAATCGATTAGATATCTAAAGGGAAAACGGATACATAAATGATAATAAATTAGTGTCACAGGAAAACAATTTAAATTACCGGAAAATAAGTAAGTAAATCTAAATAAAAACAAACCTTAATAACAATTCAAGGATAACATCTTCACAATCAAGGTCTATGATGGTCCTAATCAATACCAAAGTGATTAAGCTTAACTAGAAAAGATATAATAACAACAAAAGGAAGGACAATAAGACAAAGAAAAAACAAATTTAAAATTAGTTGACCATTGAAAGAATTGAATAAAATGACCAACCTTGGTTGTCGCTTGAATCCGAGCAATCAGAGTATTGAGTATCCGTTGGTCGTCAAATTTTTCAATACAAATGAATTTAAGAAATATCTTCAAAAGTTGAGGCTCAGTCACTCGGCGTAAACACAATTCAAGGTAAGAAGTGGTTGTAATGATTTGCTGAATAGTGTCCTGTGAAAACAATCAACAATTAACAAACAAACAAAATATAAACATTAGTTAAAATTCAATGACCAAAGGTAAATAAAAGGCAAACAAAATATAAAACAAGGAAATTGAAATAATATATAAAAGGTATTGCAAAAATATACAGAGGATTTAGATGTAAAAAAGAGGATAATTAGCTGAGGCATGCAGTGGCAAAAAAATAATTAAGATAATTAATTAAAAAGGGAAGACAAACCGAGTGCTTTGTTGAGTTTTCCAGTATATCAAGAGGTATATTCATTTCCTGTAAAAAGTTATGTATATAAAAGTTATAAGCTGGGAAACCTAAGATTGTTTGATTATTACAATTGATTTGATTGTTTATCATTTGTAAAATGATTAAATGTTTGCACTGAAAGCCAAGCTAATTAGATGAGTAAGAAATTTGCAATTTTCTTAACCACATGATTGATTTTTTGTTTGTTTTTTTTCTCATCTTCATGATATTTAATCCTAAATGAACATTGATAATCCATAATCTGGATCCATAATTTATCCCAACTTACCTCATGTAAAGCGGGTCCAATAACGGGAACCAGAAAACCTTGATAAATTAGGTTAATCATTTGTTTCTTAATCAATGGATGGGAAACTTTAACCACAAAATTACAAAAATCTAATGAACTTAGGAAATTTTGTAATTCGGGTTTATCGGCGATATCTTGTTCGGTGATTTGTAAACGATCGTCTAATGTTATTAATTTTCGAGGTAACGAGGAGTAAAGTCCACTTAATATCGTCGCCATAACTGGACCTAGATTACTGTCATTGGCTATGTATTGACTGAGTGATTCGTTTGTTTGAGAGATTGGCATAATTTGGAGAAGTCCGTTACGTGCCTGTTGACCGATGGCACCTTCACGATGGACAAATGAAATGAGTAAAGAGAATCTAAAGGATGAAAATAAAATCAAATTAACATCTAAATTGTTGATTGTTTTCGTCAATATGATGATTACTTACACCAAAAATCGCGATTCAATTTCTTTCCGCTCAGAAAAATATTTTGATTTATAATCAGAATTTTTAAATTCATCATTGTGCTCGTTATTGTTTCTATTTTCATGATCACCATTATCGTTGAAAAATAATTGTAAAAGTTGATTGTCACGTCCAATACATTGACAAATCGTATTGAGCAGGGAAACGAGTCGTTTTTCAACGTCCAAGGGACAAGTTTTACTACAACGGGATAAAAGTTGATGTAATATCTTAATTACAGAGGATTGGAAGATGCAATTATCCTTATTGTATCTGCTTAAAAGAAGGTCAAAAGATTTGAGTTGTTCAATTTTCATGATATTGGTGAACTCTCCGATATCACAGCTCCAATTGAATATTTGATCTAAAATATTTTCCATTAAAAAGTAATCTATGTATTTAAAACAAGAAAAGAAAACAATTAGTATGTGTAAATATATTATTCCAATGGTAATATTATTCACCTAATAGTGTGGTTGATGATGATGATGAAGATGACAAGGATGATGGTGATGGAGAGGGTGAGCAAGATAAATCCATGGATTTTGAGTGTTGGGAGGAACTTGTATCATTAATTAATTTGGTGTTACTTGTGTTGGTAAAATTTTTGGCTTCCTGAAGGAGCAAGGCAATCATTTGATCAATATTATTCACAACACTGGTTATATCATCGGTGGTGATTACTTTGGATTTTGGCACTTGAGGGTTGAATCCATTGGATGTAATTGTTTTCTGGGTCATGATGACTGATGTTTGATACCAATGATTTTTAAATGTCGCCAACATAACTGATGGATCAAGGTGCTTTATGGTATAATCACAATTATCAATTAAACTGTGATCATTAATTGATCGTTGGTGATTGTTATTGGTATGTTGTGATGAGGGTAATGAGTAAAATTGTGAATTATGTGGTTCAGGTTGATTGTTGATTCCAAATTTACGTCCTTCGTATTGTTGATCAACTGTTGATGGAGTTAATCTGTTGTTCTGATTTGATCTTCTATTCCGCCAATTGTTCATCTTGTTGTTCAATTAAATTCTGTCTACGATTCTGAATGGGAATAGAAAGAAATGTAAATACAATCAATGAATAGGAGAACAAAAAAAAATCGAATCAATTTTAGTGAAAACTGGTTTCGATTATCATATTGATTAATCATAAGATTTTAATGATCAGCAAGAAATGGTTATGACAATCATATCAAGCACAATGAGAAAAAAGTAACAATTTGATGAGCATACACACAAATCAACAATTAGATAATAGTGAGAGTTGGAAAATTACAATTGAAACCATGATTAGAGTGATTTGTCAATAATCATAAGCATAAAGTTAACAGAAATTAATTGATTGAGTTAATTAAAAGCCTCAAGGCTTTTTCCCTTAAATGTTATCAATTAAAAAGCTGACCCAAATTCAGTGAGTGTGGACAAATATATAATAGACAATTTAATGATTTAATAGTAATTATGAAAGTGATTTGATTTTTTTCTCATTTCCTGAACTAATCAAATTGTTTCATTAAATGTAATTTATCATTCATGATAATAATAAATTAACATTATCAGAACAAGACAATTAAGGATGAAGATGAAGGTTTTTTTTTGTTAACCATACAAAATGATGAGCATTCACCATGGAAGTTAATTGTTGATCATTTGGTAAGAAAACAAAAACCAACAACAATTTAAATTACATGGATCTACATTTATTACTGTTAATATTTATTGGATTTGATTTATGATTTGGTGGACATTTAAATTGTTAAGTTAATAAGAGTAAAAAACGGAAAAGGATAAACCATCTGATCATGACAATAAATCATTGAGAATATAATTATAAATGATATCATTGTTATATTGATAGAAATCAATTTAATGGTAGTTAGTATTTAATATAATTGTGTATCTAATGCATATTGCTATTAGTTGATTCAGCTTCCATTAGATTGATATACTTGATCAATTGAATTGAATACAAGTTAAATGATGGAGAGAGAAATTAACTTTAAGTTAACTTTAATGATGATTAGAACAATTAATGAAAATTATAATCAACTGAAGGTTATCATAATTAATCCTACACTTTATTATTATTGTTATTGTGAGTGTTTTAATTTCACAATTAGCTAATAATGTGATTTGCTTTTGACGTTAAATTGTTTGATGAAATTAGGATTCTTTCATTGATTGTCATTAATTTAAAGTCAAGGATGTTAATCATTATTCATATGGTTAGTCATTAATTATCGTTTCTTCATTTATCCCATTGTTGGTAATCTAATGTGATTTAAGATAATTATCGAGAATGTTATTTATGGAAATGTTTGATTGTGGTGAACACAAAAAATTAAACAAATCATATGAATCATTGATGATGATTGTCACTTTAACTAATGTAAAACATAATCTGATCATCAATTGATTCAATATAATTTACTCTTAATTTTCAATGTTTAATCTGTTGTTAGATAGTAACTATTAATATTTATTTTTTTCGATGGGACTTTTGACCTGCAATTGAAGTTGCCAACAATTAACAACCACAATTGTTGCTTATTAAATAAACACATTGATAGTTTTTGAATGTTTTCCATCATCATCTTCCTATTTATCATTAAATCTCTTGTTAAGCAATAAAAGAAAAGCAATTGAAAGATTATGACAGATGAGAAAATGAAAAAGTGTGGAAACAATTTATGTATAATATGTTAAAAGCAATAATTATCCATCATGATGGTTAACACTTACCTAAAGTTTAATAATGATGGTAAAAAAGCAGTCAACTTGTTAATGATGATGATGATGATGCTGTTGTCAGAGGCATGTTAATTAAAAGTAGAAAATGTAAATATTATCCTTTTGTTTGTGATGAATGATTGAATATGAGACTCATTGAAAAAATGGTAAACGCAGTGAATGAAATAGGGTGTTGATCATTTTTTTCCGTTGAACAAAAACCATAAAACAAAACGAAAAGCAAAACTGAAGGTGGATTTTAAGGTGACATCAGAGTGAGTCCAATTCTATACACCAAATAACTAGAATTTAGAAAATAAAAGAGAGAGAGAAAGAAAGAAATTCAAAGTTAGATAAGTAAATACAAGAATTTTCAACCCTTAGGTGATAAATGTGAGAGAAACAAGTTTACATGATCGATATAGTAAAAGAAAATGATACAAACAGAATCTAAATAATTCGGTAATGTAAATAAATCAGTAGAAGAGGATTAAAACCAGTTGATTAACAATCGATGAGAAATAATTAATTTAGAAAAATGGAGATTAAAATAAATTAGATTAACATCAAAATTGGAGGGACAGAAAATGTAAACAAAAGGTAAACACAATCTCTTTCAATGGAGGACATTCAGTAAAAGGAAAAAGCAAAAACAGTAGTTGATTAAACATCATTATAACAAAAGAACTTACGTAATTTCATTTAATCCATTGATTAGAAGCAGATTGTTACAGAATTAATCAGAATGAGTAATATAAAAAATAACCACCGACACAAATGATAAAAAGCAACAATTAAAAGCAAAAATTTTTTTCCTCTTCAATTCAGCTCAATGAAATTTAGAAAATGGGATTTGACTGCCACCTGTTGACCGATATTCTTACTAAAGAGCATTTGTTTTTCTATTAACAAAAATTGAAACAATTTCTAATTATTTGATCAACTTAAGATTAGATTAATTAGTCTCCTGGTGATTTTTTAATTGTTCATTTACTTTGGAGATACAATTTCAATGATTAACAAGTAATTAATAATAACTAATTATTATCTTGAGGTTTTCATCTTGTTCCTTTGGTTACTGTTACTAAGGCAACAAGAGTAACTATTTTTGGTGAAAGTGTTTCAATATTTTGATTTAATTATTTATTGTGATTTGTGTTTGTGTTTGTTTTTGTTACAATTTAATTAGCATATATAAATGATTTAATTAGATTTCTTATTAAGTATTTGTGTTATAATTAAAGTGCAAAATGTCAGATGAAATTGATGATGATTTAGAGGAAAAGGTAAGGTTGTTTTTCTTTGTTGTTATTTTCTATTCTCTTTTTTAATTTGGTTTCTTCTTTCTAATTGTTTACAATTTAGGTTGGTTTTTGGAAACGATTTGCTGGTCAACCGTGTGTTAGACAAACGTATTTATATTCATTTACTGGTGGATTAATTGTTGGCTCTCTCAATTTCATGTTCACCAGTAAGTCCAATCAATATTTGTAATATTTAATTTGGAAAACAATTTTCATTCTCATTGAAATTCAGCTTTGTTTTCTCAATTGTTAACTATTTCAATTGATGACAATTTGACTTTAATTTTTTGATTTCTTTTCTGTTTCAGGTAATGTTAATCTCTCACAAATACGAGGTATTAGTACATTTGCTGGAACAATGGGAATCTATTGGGTCTTTTGTCGTTACAATTATTTCAAAGAGCAGAAAGAACTCAAGAAAATATCAGAGACGATCGCTGAAAGAGCTTTAACTCTCGGTGTTAATCCGAATGATCCAATTATCCCTGAAGAATTCAAAAGATGATTTATCGTAGTTCAATGGCTCGCTAATGATTAGAAATTTTTCTCATCAAAAGAAATGATTAATAACAGTACAATCTAAAGTTCTAAAGGATTAACAAAATGACTCCGATTTAGTCGATCACACAATTGATGGATCTTCCAAAAGTAAAGGTTATCATCAATAAAATCAATTGTCAGAAATGATCAGTTATTTGAGGCACTGATTTAGTTATATATTATATATATATAGAGTTTAAATCATTTGTCATACATGAAAAGAGGTTTTTGTTGTAAAACAGAAAAGGATTGATTGGAATTACAAAATGATTTAGTTGTACACAATACAATTGTTTTCTTTGTATAATACAATTAATTTTGGTAGCGGATAAAAAGAGTGTCCAAAGATCAGAGTGTAAACTTGTTTTCTAAATTGTAATTGAAGTAAATGATGATAATTGTATATCAGAACAATAAGCTTTAAACACTAAACTTATCCACTTGAAGGTCATGTGTCAGATTATTGTGTTGATAGTAAAATATTTCCAAGCAATCAAATGAAACGAAAAAAAAGAAGAAAAATTTCAATTGGATTAAGGATAATTGTTGGAATAGGAAAAAAAAAGTTGATAAATCAATAGGTTAATATTAACTCCAATATGAATACAAATAGTATAATATAATCAGATGTACTAGAATCACAGTTTGATTTGCTTGATTTAATTGAGATCCACATTGCAAGTAATCAATTTTATTGTCATTATCTGATATTAATTTGGTTTTGATGAAATCTCTACAAATTGTATTCTGAAATAGAGCAATGAAAATTAAACGATTTAGTTAGTTTATTTCTCAATTCAATTCAATTACTTACAGGACATAATTCATCGCATGGTGGACAAATTATAATTCCCATATGAAGCCAACCATTGACCAGTCTTTGAATTTTAATTTCTTGGTCTTTATAGTCACAAACATAAGTTAAATTTGCTATTTCCAAGTGTATTTTACCATTGAAACATTCGTACTAAGATTTGATCGAGGAAAAGAAAAGAGAATACAATTAGTAACACTGAATCGAATAATTTTACAGGTAATTTCGACTTACCTGATAACAACCGGAACCCCAATGTTGCCATTGGCGACTTTGTGAGCAGGCACGTTCTTCCCATTTCTCTTTATGATTAAAACACCTCGAATTTGGTCCATAAAATTCAAGAGCGAAATTTTTATCGACTGGTGGACTGTTCTCGATAAATTGACACTGAGAACCTCGGACGACAACATCCTTTGATTTCCATGTAAACTCTTGAATATATGGACAGTAATCAGCTAAACTAACCGAGCCACCATACTTGGCGAGTAAAGTTTTATTTGATCCAACTCCTTTAATGGAATCAAAATTTTGATACAACACAGGTAAATAATCATCGTATCTTATTAAATTGCACAAAGCCACAGCATCTCGAGCATCGGTACACTCAGTTTCCAATGGTTCCTCTTTGACCTTCTCACAAAATGGATGAATACTTTTGCCTTCACGACGTTTCTTATCAATCCATTCCTTGCAACTTTTCATTGCAAAATCACAACCAAGATTTTTACCCCATTCTAATGGTTGAGCCAGCGAGTAATTAGGTTTATACCATCTAAAGAGAAAGTGTAAAATTGAGGACAATTAACCAACTATATTAATCGATTATATCAAGGAAAATTAATCTTACCCGGTGTCTTCCATGAAAGCTAAAGTAATACGAGAGTAAACTGGACTTTGAGTATGAGTTCCAGTCATGGCTTCATTCTGATGGTAAAAGAATTGAAATAATTATAGTGATTAGAAAAATAAACAATCGGATAAATCACATTAACAATAAAGAATTAAATAATTTCGATATAATCAGGAAGTATTATAATATCTAACCTCAAAAACCCGTTTCTCCCAATGAGTCAAAATGGTTCCATCTTCGCCTTGATCTTCAAGCTCAGCACCTTCCAATTCAGAACAATTGAAGTGTTTTCTAACTTCCTCCTGGTACAAACAATAGACAATACAAACAAAAAGAGAGATACAATTAATAATAGGTCATAAATATGAAGGGCAATTAATTGATTTTCACTACATTTAAATTGGGCAAAACTTTTAAACTAACCACAACTCTCGGTGTGACAACCATATGAGTTTCTTTATGCAAATAACCTGCACTGACCAACCATCGGTTTCGTTTAACTTTACGAACCACTTTTTCACTCCACTCGGGTACACTGAGCTCTTTGTTTACCCCATGTCGTCCATTTTTACCCTTTGGTGTCAATGGGATACCATCTTTGTCACGGAAATATGCATAAAGAGAAATGGAGAAACCAAGAGCATGAAGAATCTCATGTTTAACGGTTGACAGAAGAGTATCCAAATCTTGAGGTTTAGTTGAAATGGACCGAGGACAAAGATTGGCATGTCCAGCTATTGGTCTGTAAAGGTCAACAAGTAACATTCAATGTTAGAAGAAGAGAAAAAAAAATCAAAATATTATTCTCAAGTAAATAATATAAGGGAACAATTGATGGAGGTAAAAAAAGGTGTGAAAATTAACTGAATGGTTGGTTAGTGAAAATAATAACAATAACAATAGTTTCTTTGCTCTCTTGTCTTAATTACCTTTCAGTTTGAGATTCTTGTTGGCAATGAGCAGCATAAGCAACGGTTGCTCCTTTTTGACATCGATCTGTTTGCATGGCTGATATGTAGAAGACAAAATCTGCATCTTTGACGCCAGCATCTTTTGAGCGTTTACCAGTATCATGACAGTTCTCAAAAGCTTTGTTACAGATCCTACAAATCTAGAGAATGTAAGAAGATGGAAAGAGAAAATTAGAGCAAATTAATTGGAAATAATAATGATCTATAAGAATAGAGAGACTAATTAGACATGATTCGTACATCTAAATGCTCCTCTGGAACTACAACTTCACCACAGGTCGTCTTTGGTTCACATTTTTCTATACAATGTTGATGTTTTGGATTCTTTGGAGGAAATAGGACTTCATGATTGGGACACTTCCTGTTCAATGATCAATCAATAATAAGAGATAAACAGAGAAAAGGAAATCATTTGAAGGTTTTATATATAAATGTCGTTTTCAAATGTCAATTTGATTGTCATCTAGACGATTAATTTCAATTGAATTAATTTTGATATCAACCTGCTGATTATAATTGGACTTCCTAATGGAGTGACTTGTAAAGCTTTTTGCCAATAATCCAAGGCTTGTGGTAAAATAGTATTCTAAATGAGAGAAGATGAGGAAGACAAAAAGAAGAGAAGAAAAAAAAATTAATTAAACAAAACAATCAAATCAACATTAACATTATAATTACATCAACAAACAAATTCAATTAAGAACGAGTTTGTTAATTGTAATAGTTTGGACGACAAATTTTCCACCTACATTGATTATATTAAATTTATCTTTTGGTAAATCAAATACAGATGAATCATAGTGAACCTTAATTCGTAAATTACTGTTACCATTAATTGCTCGCTGTTTTCGATGTGAATGTTCAGAATGAAGATGAACAAACCCAACCTAAAGTGAATGGAAAAGGCAAAAGAAAAAGAAAAGAAAATAATCAAATTTAATTATCGTGTAAATTATTCGTGCCTATTGATTAAACATTTGGTATGGTTGATTAAAGTTCTATCAACCGAATGAAAGAAATAATAAAAAAAGTGAAAATAAGCACAAGTAATTAAATTTAAAGTTAAACAATCTAATACAAGGTTGACAGCTCGAGGTAAACAGAATGTGAAAAAAAGGGATTGCTATTAATTGGTTGGTAGTTAAAGAGTTAATTGGTTGAGGGTTTAAGTGGTTAGAAATATTGATTAGCTTTTTTTTTGTCGCAACTAATGAAAACACTAATTACAAACCTCTTCTATTTTTGGTGGTATATGGTTGCATATATGTCCAGTGACAATGGAAAATTGAGATTGCCCAATGGTCAGAAAAATAATTAACACTATTAAAATATTAGAGTCATGATTCATTTTAAAATATAAAATGCAATTTGTTTGTTCACAATTGAAAAACACCAGAGAAAATGATTGAAGAGAAACATAAGAGAATAAAAAAAAATATATATAAATCACTAGAGAATAGAGAAAGGAAACAAGTGATTAAACACCACAGCCAACCAACCAACCAATAGACAATTAATTTGAGATGATATTTAATAATTGTAACATGGATGATGAAGATAATAAATCATGAATCAATCAATTTCCAGATGTAAACACAATCACAATCACATAGGGAAACAAAAATGAAGACAACAAAAAAGTGAAAATGTTTAACAGATGAGAAGACAAATTTTGTTGATTGTTTCTTTTATCTTTTAGGTAAAAAGATGAACTTGATGTTGATTAACACAAATTAACTAATCAACTGATTGATGGAAATAAATATTCATTCAGCAAAAGACAATCAGTTAATCTTGTTCATTGAAACTGTTCAGTTAATTGTCAGATTTTAGTCTCAACCTTTTTTTAGAAAAAAAATTTTTTCCAAAAAAGTGGCTCCATCTTTCGGTTATCCGATTAGTAGTAGAAGTGATCGTTTTATAAGTAATCATACCATGGTCAGAGCTTAGATAATTGTTCCGATAATTAAATGATTAAGTTTCTTGTTTATAAAATTTATTTGTAATTCTCCAATAATTATCGGAACAATGCAGTTAACATCTAATCATTTGATTTTATTGTGTAGTCTATTAATCTTAAATTATCTTTCAATTTAATCAAGTCTTGTGAAAAACACTCATTCTGGAACTGTCAAGGTGTCAAAGGTCCTAAGCCAACCTTTTTCATTAGAAAATACTCTCGAAAACCTTGTACATCCATTTAGCAAAATAATACGATAATTGTTTCAGAAAACGTGGAAAAGTTTGTGGGTAAGTTGAAAGTTTAGTTTATATTGTATTTTAAATATAACTCTCCAAATAAAATTTATTTAGACTTGAAACGATAATTGATATCAACTATTGAGTTGATAATGAAAATTTTTCGACCCCTCGAGATCCATCAGGTATCACACCGACTACTCGAGGTTGAATAGGTACAGTAATCGTTTTGGGTACAACATAATGAGGCTCGGTGATCTTTTGGATACTTTTCGATTGATTATCAACTGCAACGGGTCGATCGATACTCTTATTTCCTCCATCACGAAGAGTCAATCGATTTAGCCGAGAAAGTCTATCAGAGGTGACCTTTTTCCGTAAGGCAACATAATTCGAATCGCCATTCTAGTTGCAATTAAAAAAAAACAATTAATCTAAAGATCCTTGATCACTTTTGATTATATTACAATTGTAAAATAAAGACATACCTTCATTTTCAATGTGCTGTCCGTCGATATGCTTGACCCATCACTTTGTAGTCGTTTTTTATCTTCATCTATTTCTGGAATTGAAAATATGAAAATCATCATACAATTGAATAATATTATTCGATTTCAGATCAACTTTCCCTACCTCGAAAGTAATCTTGATAGTTTTGAATTATATCGATGCCGAAAAATTGAGCCGTTAGATCAGGATATTTAATGTCAATAATGTAAACAAAACTCCCCAATAGCAAGCAAAATAATCCTAATTGTTGATGAAAAAAAAGTCCATTATATACAGATAATTGCAATATTATTTATCGATAAACATCAAATGATTATCGAAATTCAATTTTTTCATATATTAAAAATAATATATACTTTTTTAGTTTAGCAGTGTAACGAGATTTAACTCAGTTGATTATCTCAATCTGCTAACTGACCCTAATGATTTTTAAATAATAATAATTACCATTGGTTAGATTTATCCAATAAGCCCATGAAAAGTCAGGGTGTAAGAACTGCACTCTACCACCACTCGGTGATTGAAATGGAATCTCCAATGGAACTGGATTATTATGTAAAGCCCAAATCATATTGGTTGTAATTAGAGATAATCCAGTAAGCATCATCATTAAGGAACCATATTCAATAACGATACAGAAAAGGCAACTTGATAATAACCAACAGCCAAGAGAAAACCTACTTATTATTGATGGATTGATTAAAAAACTTTCCATAACAATCTCTTTCTCAAATCAATTTGATTGACCAACTGACCATAAAAAGTGTGACAATACCATGAAGCCTGTTGATAGAAGTGTGTAAACCTAAACTCTTCCCCATCTATTGTGAAATAATCAAGTACCCAAAGAAATGGAATCGGAAGTCCATTGGAAGCTGATAATCGATATTGGTACTTGAGATGACCAATCTCTAAGATTAGGATAAGAAAATATTGTCAACCCAAATCAAAACCATTTAATAGTTGCACTTATTTACCTTCTGAAAGTTTTGGTTTATCAGCTGATGATGAAACCCAATTCCATTGAAATTGTTCATTATAATCAAAATTAATCATGTCCAGAGGGGTTCTACCTGTTGATTTGGATACATCCAAGTCTTTCAGGGTTATATTGAATCCGAAAAGGCCAATATGTAGACCAACTTCGGCAACGATTTTCATTGGTGATGAAAACCTCAACCTAACCAGGGTATTGATTGAATCAGATTCCCAATAAGGTGAATGATAACATACTACAGACATGATAGATAATATAACAAGAATTTATAGTAATTCCTTTTGAAAATCAGATAAAAGTTACTCACCGATAATTATTAATGGAACGGTAAGAAAAACGGTAATTCGGCATATGTAAAACCATCTCTAAAATAGGAAAAGTACATATTTATTTAATCGTTGGTGGTGTAAATGATCAGCTAATTACCTCTCTTCCTGGATAACCTGGTGAAATGATTAGAAAAATTAACCAAAGACAAAAATATACAATCAAAATCTTAGTTAAAAAATAGTCGATGTTTGGAAAAGTTAATCTATTTGAGTAACTTGTTGGATAACCTTCATCACGAAATAAAGTTAAGAAACTTTTATTTCCAATTGAATCAAATGACTCCATGTTATTATTAACTAACTATTGAACAATTTAATCTTAATTTACAATGATGTAAAACATTATTGAATTAATTATTTACCTGCAAATTAGCTTTCACATTCAAACGGAAATGTAAATTATCACCAACGAAAAAAGTTTTCCGATATTAATTTCAACCCAATTAACGGAAATGTAAAATTTTCTCATTTTCTGTTGTTAATCACGGAAACGGAAATATGAATTCACTCAGATAATTTCTGCATTAAATTGATTATATCTTCAACATTTAATTCAATTTTTGTCTCATTGAAAACAATCTAATCAGAAATAAAATTTACCGGTAAAAGGCAACTCTAGCTACCTATGTGTCTACAAGATACCGCTGCTAGTTACGTGATTTGGTTTTTTATTGTAATTTGAAAAGTAATTAAATTTAAAGTTAAACAATCTAATACAAGGTTGACAGCTCGAGGTAAACAGAATGTGAAAAAAAGGGATTGCTATTAATTGGTTGGTAGTTAAAGAGTTAATTGGTTGAGGGTTTAAGTGGTTAGAAATATTGATTAGCTTTTTTTTTGTTGCAACTAATGAAAACACTAATTACAAACCTCTTCTATTTTTGGTGGTATATGGTTGCATATATGTCCAGTGACAATGGAAAATTGAGATTGCCCAATGGTCAGAAAAATAATTAACACTATTAAAATATTAGAGTCATGATTCATTTTAAAATATAAAATGCAATTTGTTTGTTCACAATTGAAAAACACCAGAGAAAATGATTGAAGAGAAACATAAGAGAATAAAAAAATATATATAAATCACTAGAGAATAGAGAGGAAACAAGTGATTAAACACCATAACCAACCAACCAATAGACAATTAATTTGAGATGATATTTAATAATTGTAACATGGATGATGAAGATAATAAATCATGAATCAATCAATTTCCAGATGTAAACACAATCACAATCACATAGGGAAACAAAAATGAAGACAACAAAAAAGTGAAAATGTTTAACAGATGAGAAGACAAATTTTGTTGATTGTTTCTTTTATCTTTTAGGTAAAAAGATGAACTTGATGTTGATTAACACAAATTAACTAATCAACTGATTGATGGAAATAAATATTCATTCAGCAAAAGACAATCAGTTAATCTTGTTCATTGAAACTGTTCAGTTAATTGTCAGATTTTAGTCTCAACCTTTTTTTAGAAAAAAAATTTTTTCCAAAAAAGTGGCTCCATCTTTCGGTTATCCGATTAGTAGTAGAACTGATCATCTGTTGTTATCGTTGAGAAATTTTTAAGGTTCCAAAAACTCAAAATTAACCCTGAAAATTTACAAATATATTGAAAATCTAGTGAAAATTGAATATATCTTACGACGAGCAACATTTTGATATCAAAAAAATGTCCAACAACCAAACAGTAAGTATTACATGACTCGATATACTTGACACGCTTTCAACGACCACGTTTTCTGAGATAAGATCCACTAAGACAAACATTCTCAACTAAAATAATTTCTATTTTTACAAAATTTCCCACAGAATTTTATATTCCCGTGTTTCCCTACTCCATCAGTGGAGCTTAAACAACAATATGATCGGCTCAAGATCCAGATAGACAACCTATTTGAAAATGGCCAATTTAGTGCTCAGAGACTAACGGTGTATCTGAACACAGGATCTATGGAAGAGATTGAATTAAACACGAAATTGCTTTTACAACTGATTGAGAAACCCGTAGACGAGGAAGGCAAATCAATTAATAAAAAACAAGTAGACTGGTTGAAGAAAATTGCTACTGCATTCAAGAAATCGTTAACCATTCGTCAATCCAAGTTCTCCAACAGAACCGCTACCGCCGAATCCGCTATCGCGCCTGTTGAAGAGGAGGAAGACGAAGTTCAACCGCAAATTGAAACAATCAACCAGAAAAAAAGAAAAGAAGCTGATAATAATGATGATGAAATACGAAACAAGATGATACACGTGGAACGGGAAAACACGGCAAAAGCACAAAATCTGATCCACGAAACATTTGAAATACCCAGTAACTGGTGGAAATGGTCGGCAAATGCCCGAATCTTTAAACTTAAAGTCGTGGGTCAGAAAGAAGAGCGCTCAGTTAACCGTCTCACGGATATAATTTCGTCGATGGAAGTTGACTATCAGTTCAAGATTACGGCATGGCGAGCATTTACTCTAATAATGGTAAATCGAGAGAATGAGAGATCTGATCTCTTTCGAAAACTTAAAGAAGCAAACATTGAAGCTTCAATTGTGCCATGGAAACGACCTCAAGTCAAGGTCAATTTCCTACGACCACCAATAAACCAGAGTTGGGAACACCACATTAATAGAATTATGAACATCAATGGATTTCGCGACCCAAAGCAATTTAAATTGGTTCATTACTATGAGATGGGACTTAATAGCGACAAGTGGGGAGCTATTCTTGAAGTCTCGCCGGCCATAAGATCCCTAATAGAAACGAAACTACATGGTAAACTATCTTCAGGAACTAACTATCACAACGTGGTTGACAACTTTCCAATAATGGCTTGTAAATTATGCCATCGTATTGGTCATACGAAGAAAAATTGTCGCAACCAACTAAAATGCATCAAATGCTCCAAGCAACACCTGCCTTCAGTATGCCCAGAGAAAGATTTCCTATGTCCCACATGTGGGAAAAAAGGTCACCAGGCATATAGCAAGGAGTGCAAAATGTACTGTGCTGAACTACAACTCGTCATGTCGGATTATGACTACTCATATAATTACATCATGATGTAAAATAGGTTAACCCAATCTGGCTTCACCTGACCATGAACAACAAAACAAAATCAAAGATAAACAGCTAACCCAATCTGGCTTCACTGCCTAAGATGTAAACCTTAAGATTGAAAATTCCAATAAACAATAAAACGATTATGCTTCAAATCAAAGAATCCCAAACTTTATTATTCACTAAGAGAAGGGTTAGAATTAGGTAAACAATTGTATTCAGACAACTGATAGAAGAGGAGAGAACCTTCCGTATACCTCAAGAACAGCTCAGGTAAAGGCTCATAGAAGTTACCATTATTAACCTCTTGGTACCCTTGGTTAGTCTTAATATTAACACAAGTATGCCAGTCATCATTGACATACCAATCTTCACGATTTCTAAATCTAAATCCAAGCGAATTACCACTCAGATCTTGGTAGGTCATGAAAACACTACTGAAAGCTAGTCGAGTATACAGTCGCTTCTCTCCCTTGAAATCAATTAACATCTGCTCCTCCGGTTCCAAAACGAAATCATTATCTTCCATAATTGACCCTCTGAGACTGATAGCCAGAAATTCAGGAAGTCGATCAATATCAAATGACTCTATCATTTTATAGCCACTACCACAAACGGCTCCGTCGACAATGTTGTTACATGTTACCTTTATACAATCTCGCCAATACTGTGCCTTGGTTAATATATCAGAAATAGAGACTGGGCTAAGAGCACGACAAGATTCATTAGGTAATTCCAATAAAGGAAAACTATAATGAAAATCAAAACGATGATTAGGACAATGTTTGCAGACAAACTTTCCATGAACGGAATAGGTGAACTTAGGTCGCAAAGAAGGAAAATCATTGGAGAGTTTTCGAATGAGATCAAAATAAACCAAACTCTCCATCCCACCGGGAGTCTCATAATCTCGGCTACAAAATTCACTCAGATGTCGTAAAAGAACCATTTGATGATCGTCAAGATCGAGATCGAATAAAGGTTTACGCTTAACAGGAGTGGTCAATCGACGATCAGGATAAAGTTTCTTTTCGAGATGAGGCGGAAAATTATGTATTTGAAACTCTTCCCGAGTTGAAGCCTTGATAACATCACGCAAAAAATTAAAAAGCACAACAGTCCACAAATACTTCGGCTCATTACGATCAATCATGTTTTCTGGTTTCCGGGGATTTGGGACCTTTCCAGTTCCAATTCTACTTGCGGCTTCTAGATAGCACCTAAATAGACTGGTAACAAACAGATGCGAATGGAACAACGGCAACAGAGCGGAATTCAAAAAGCAATGCCCACGCCAATTCGGTAGGGCCATCAAAACGCGAGGCTATGGGGAAAGAGAAGAAAATGAAACGCTAGTCCAATCCGATTTCACGTCATTAACTTACCATTAATATTTGAGGATCCTTATCGACTAAAGAAGACATGAGATTATGGCAACACATATCGTAAGCTTTCCGGAAACGCTGATGAACACCGAATCCAGTAAACAATACATCATAAGAAGAAATTTGCACCTTCACGATAAAATATTGAACATCGTTGAATGAATAAGAAGTATAAATACGATAATTAAACTTAATCGCATCTTTATGAACGGTAAGAAAGTCCTTAAGAAAGATAAAATTAGCACCAGTGAAGAATTCTTGATTTACATACTTGAGATAAAGATTATGTTTGATGTAACCACTGAAATTACGATAACAAAATTCGGAAGGTATTACATCAGCCATCTCAAAAAAGATTGATTTAAATATAGAGCCAGGGAAATGGGATAGCAACTACCTGGTTACGGATTAAAAAAGAGGGAAGTGATTCACAGTTAAAAAGAAAGTGAAATGAAAATGTGGATAAAACTTTCTCACGTTAATTCCAAGAGAAATGCAACACTAACACAACAATTAATTAGTGAAACAATTAACTCACCGGACTCAATCTGTTCAATTTGTGAGCCAAATTTAAAAGTTTTATCTTTAAATGTTGATAACCACTGTGTATTCGGGAATCAGTCCATGGGGCTAATAATCTCTAATATTGATCGAGGTGAGATAATCGAGGTAAAAACGGACGAGCTATTGGTAGTTAGAATACCGTGAAAACAACTAATTGCAATTGTAATCTACATTCGTCCATGGATCCAAAAATCGAGAGACGAAGTAATAATAACAATTCGTAGCATCAGCTCAACATACAATAACTTCACAATTGCCGTAATGGGTGATTTAAACACATCTGATCAATATTGGCAGAGAACGAACCAAGTCCATGACCACAGATACGGAAGAAACCGATCATTCTACGACCCATTAATTGATCTACTGAAAGAGATTAACTTGAGACCGATAAGTGAAACATTTGAAACAACATTCAATTCAACATCATGGGTAATTGACATGATATTTACCAACACGCAAACAAATGAAGCAACTACAATCAGTGTTGAATCGGACCACCAAATGATAACGGCCAAAGCCAAATTACGACCAAAATCGTCGACTGCAAGACCGATTCAAACAAAAAAGAAAATTTTCGGCTCATGGCGACTCAAGGAGAGACCAAAAGATGATTATCCAAGAGAAGGTAAATGGTCCAAAGATCATACACTGGTGGAAATGACGAAGAAAATAATACATTTTCCAGATAATCATGCGAAATGGGGACTAATGAAGAAAAGGAAAAACAAATTAAGGAGATTAACAAAGCTGAAACGAAGTATTTTGAAGGATAAAGCAGAGAACTGGGAAACGAACCTGAGACAAATAAATAAAGAAATCAATAGGAAAATTGGCGAATTCAATATAATAAAACTCTTCAAGAAAGTTAGGGAATCCAAAAAGATCTGGACCCTGGTAAATAAACACATTAGAGTTCGAAAAGTCCCAATAAACTGGTCAGATCAACGCACAATTGATAGCAAAGCATCATGGTTAAGTGGTTTCACAAAAAACAAACCATCATATGTAGATGAACCAGCCTACTTACAGGGTAAGCTAGAAACATATGAGAGAAACATGATAATGAAAATGAAAGCGACGAGCTCCAGTTTAGCAGCTGATAACTTCGACAAAAATTCTTGGAATAAATTCAAGAAGATCAATATGGATCGAATAATATGGCTGATTGAAAGATTCTTTGAAATTTCACATGTTCCCAACGTATTGACGACAGTCGGTTGTGGCTTTGTTCCAAAAGCAGGAGGCAAACTAAGAATGGTCCGCACCCCATGTTACCTATTAAAAATCATCGACAAAATCATAGCAAATAGACTTCTGATATCGCCCCCTCTTTTCTACTACCAGGGACACAATTTGGTTTCCTAAGGAAGAAAAGTAGAGAAGATTTTTACTTGACAGTGACAACACATAAAGATTTTAGAGATTCAATAATTTTAAAAATCGACGTGAAAACCGCATTTGATGATGTTAGCCTAACCCAAATCCGGTGTCGGCTGGTAAATGCGGTGGGCGAAGCGACAGTTAAAATTATCGAGTCAATAAACAAGAACAGTTGGCTTACGATCTATGACAATGGCCAAAAACTATACAAGAAGAATGAATCTGAAGTGTCACAGGGACTAGCGATCGGTCCGTTACTATTTATACTGGCTCTGGACCATTGCATTAGGAAATGGTGGACAATGGGAATAAAAGTATTCGCATATGCGGATGACATGTTGGTAATGTTACCACCAAACTCCAAGAGATCCATCCAAAATGTGATGAATGAAATTGAAAAAATACTGATGGAAATAAACCTGAAGATAAACAGGGAGAAAACTGAAGTAATATTCCCAACTGATAAGAAAGAACATGAATTAGTAGGATTCACGATGGTGAGAAAAAAACCAAATATGAAACAGTTTAATGGGTTAATAATGAAAACCTACGAAGAGAAAGTTATCCCGAAACTCTCAGTAAACTGGCCATCGATTAAATACCTACCGGAAGACACCAAAAAACTACTGTTCAGCTCATTAGTATGGCCACAGATATATAAACATGTTCTAATGATGTTGATAGAAGATAACCCACCGATCGGGCAAATGGTTGAAGCTATTGGCTCGCTCATCAACAGATTTACAGGGGCCAAGAAGAGATCAAGATGGACACATAGAATCATATTGAAATACCCGGACTACATTGGTAACACATTGAAAACCATCAAGAAACACCAGGCGAATCAATCAGGAAAATTACAGGGAAAGAGATGGATTCCAGAGACTTGGCCACCGATAATGCAAATAAAAGATAAACAAGTAGATGAAGGTTCAAAGATAACAGCGTATAGAGTTAGACAAGGCAAGGGAAGAATCGAAGTAACATTAAAAACATTCACTTCAAGGGACACCAGAGCAATGACGCTGCTCATACCGGGGAAAGCAAGTGAGTATGAAGGTTACCTTATAGCAGTAGAATTGATTATTCAAATCTACCAAAATAAAAATGTAACAATCGAATTGGACAAGAAGACATCAACATACCTCTATGGTTCATCTGGATTCGCCAGAGCAATGAGACAGATCATGTTGAAACCAGGTAATTGGAACTACAAATTATACCAAGAAAGGAGCTGGAGAGACGGGGAAAACGGATTGGAGGTACCCGTAAGTGGGAAGCCGATAAACCAATTAAACCAGAGAAAGGAACTAAACAATTTGGTGGAAATAATTATGACGAAAGCTTACAAGGAAAGTAATGGAACACTGAGCAAACTGGGCCTGGAATACAAAACAAAATTACACAAAGGAATGAGGATAACATTGGATCAGTTCACCAAACACTACTGCTTACCTGTTTGTTGTGGATCACAAAAGACCAGTTACCATATACTATATGAATGCCCGGAAGCAATGATGAAATGGCCGCAAATAATGGGAATAAGACATAAACCAATTGAAGAATGGAGAAGCACGGAGATAAAACTAATCAATGAAATAACAAAATGTATGAAAACAGAAATGTCAATCTATTGTACATCCTTATCACTAATCGGTGGATTAAATGACCGATCGAGGGCAGCACCTGAGGCTGCTCAGTCATTTGACGACTGTAATTAGTCACCCTCAAGGGGGAGGAATGAATAAAGAAAAATTGTTACGTTAATTAATTAATTGTCTTTTAGTTAATTGTCGTATAATTAAGATAAAATATTCTACAATTATAATAAATTGCTGCTCATCGTATTCTTTACATCAGTTGATTACTTTGTCTTTCTCTTTTTCTATCTTTTTGATTACATTGATTATCTTTTGGTGAGTTATTTTTATGGTTAATATTTTTTTCTTGTGTTTATCTTTGATTTTATCAATTTGTTGATTGTTATTTATTTGTCCTTGATTGTTGTTGATATTTTCTATATATTCTAATCTAATTGTTGATGAACCTTGAGACTATTACTACCAATCTAGGTACTACTAAGGTTATCTCATGTGTATTTTGTCAGTTAATGACATCAACATCGTCTCAAATTATGTACAGTTATGTAATTGTATTTTTTTTATTGAGTCGTTAATTGTTATCAATGATTATCATTAGATATCATTTCATAGATAAATATCATTCAACCTTGGTGACAACCAAAGTTAACTCAATCATGTTAAATTGTTTCGGTGTTTAATCAAGTATTTTAGTTTCACTCTTCGTGCCCTTGCATCTAGACACGTATTATTTTAATCTAAACTAATTGTTTCCTTTTTTTCCCAATTGTTTCTATTTTAGAGTTTTCTTTTTTCTAATGGTCAATTAATATGGTTGTAAATGTGATTAAGAGAGTTAATCTACTCAACTCGCCGATTAAAACTCTACAAAGGCTTCCGCCGAGGTATTTTACATTTCATATCTCTTTGAATTCCCCAAGTTTTGTTTCAGTGATAAACTTGATAGGGAAATTTTTTTTTCTCCATTAAATTGTTACATATTCTCATCTTTAATTGTTTCTAATTGTATTATTTATCCTTCTCTTCATTTACAGGACATTCACCACTGTTGTTAGTGAGAAAATTGAAGATTTTACCATTTCCAATGAGCCACTTTTAAGTTATCTTTCCAATAGTAAGGAGAGGAAGGCCTTACAAGAATCGTTGGCTAAATTATCAACGACCTGTTACAATGTACCGATTGTCATAAATGGTCAAGAATTTACTAGTGACCATGTTAAATCACAAGTTATGCCTTTTGACCATTCAAAGTCTCTTGCAAAATACTATTGGGCTACACCGGTTTGTGTCTAATTTTAGAGTTAGATTTGTGTCTAAATCAATCAGTTTGGAGACTAATTTTATATTATTGGGAATTTGATTATATTTTGTAGGAATTGTTGAACAAAGCAATTGAAACTTCGTTAGAGAGAAGGGAAAAATGGGAACAAGTACCGTTAAAGGAAAAGATTCATATTTTTCTTCGAGCAGCCGATTTGGTGGCTACAAAGTATCGTTATGATCTTCTAGCGGCAACGATGCTTGGTCAGGGTAAAACGGTTTTCCAGGCCGAAATCGATGCAGCCGGTGAATTTGCTGATTTTTTACGATTCAATGCATTTTTTGCCAAAGAAATGATTAAATATCAACCAATCAGCGAGAATCCGTCGGTTTTGAAAAATAGTTTCCGCTACAGAGGAATTGAAGGTTTTATTGCTGCGATTTCACCTTTTAATTTCACCGCGATCGGCGGTAATCTCGCCTCAGCACCAACGTTAATGGGTAACGTTGTCCTGTGGAAACCCTCGGACACGGCGATACTTTCCAACTATCTTTCATTCAAGATACTCCAAGAAGCGGGTGTCCCTCCTGGCGTAATTAATTTCGTTCCTTCCGATGGACCAGTTTTCGGTGATTCAATCACATCTTCCCGTTGGTTGGCTGGTATTAATTTCACTGGAAGCGTTGGAACCTTTAAACATCTTTGGAAACAAACGGCTTCCAATTTAGACGTTTACCTTAATTATCCTCGATTAGTGGGTGAATGTGGTGGTAAAAATTATCACTTCGTTCACTCATCAGCTGATGTCGTTAATGTTTCTGTTAACAGCATTCGATCAGCCTTTGAATATAGTGGACAAAAGTGTTCAGCATGTTCCAGACTTTACGTTCCTAAAAGTAAATGGCCTGAGGTAATTTATTATTCAACTTTTCTATTTACAAGAAGATTTATTCCAATCAAATTTGAATTATCATTAATATTTTTCTCCTTTTATTCACAGATTAAATCAGAAATGTTAAAAATTATCAATGAAATGAAAGTTTCTAGTCCATTAGAATTTGATAGTTTCACTTCATCTGTAATCGACGAGAAAGCTTTTAATCGTATTCGTGGTTACATTGATCATGCCAGAGAAAGTTCATCTTGTCAAATTATCGCCGGCGGGGAAGTTGATAAATCAATTGGTTACTTTATTAAACCGACAATCATTGAATGTAATGATTTAAATGATAGACTATTTAATGAGGAAATCTTTGGTCCAGTTTTAGCTGTTTATCAGTACGAAGATTCAAATGTCCAAGAAACACTTCGACAAGTTCATCGAAACACTCATTTTGCTTTAACTGGAGCTATTTTCGGCCAAGACCCGTAAGTTAATTAGTAAATTTGTTGTAATTGTTTTTCATTTTTCAAAATTTTTCTTTATTTTTTTCTCTTAATTTAGTAAATTTTTACAAATGGCTGCTGAAGAGTTGAAAATGTCGGCGGGTAATTTTTATATCAACGATAAATCAACTGGAGCTGTAGTGGGACAACAACCATTTGGTGGAAGCCGATTATCGGGTACCAATGATAAAGCGGGTGGACCTCATTATTTACTTCGTTGGACATCACCTCAAACAATTAAAGAATCATTTATTAATCAAAGAGAATGGAAATATCCTTACATGACATGAGATGATTCAAATGATTTGACAAAAACAGAGACAAACACAAACACACAATGTGAATAACAATGAAGATACAATTAATTTTTAAAATACAATTGAAGGTTTGTTTGCTGTGACAAACAAATTTCTATTCAACAATTAGGTTTAAATGTTTTATAAACAATTAATTTCAAGTGTATTTGACATTTATTTGAAAAAATAGACAAACACACTGGCTGTAAACAAAGTGACCATGGAGGTGATTAAAATTGAATTTAACTGACCAGTTGATCTTAATGACCAATCATTTGATTTTAAATTATTTAACTTTAAGGTTAAACTGTCATTTAATCTTCTCAATTTATCTAATTGCTCATTTAATTCAGATTCTCTAGATTGGTGTAAAATTTTCTCATCTCTCAATCGACTGATCAAAATTTCAACCGCTCGTCGTCTCAATCGGCAAAGTACCAAAGGTTCACCAGTTTCGGCCAACGATTCCATCTCCTGTTGAGTGTATTCATCATCTTCATCATCATCATCATCCATACCCACTCCAATATGAACCATATTAGACTGAGATAATGTCAACGATGAAGGTAAATTAGTTGTTGATTGATTACCCTCGTCATCTTGTGTCATTTGATTGTTTTGTAAATTGTTGGGACTCATTTGATTATGCGAATCAGTAGTTACCAATGATGTCGCTCGACTTTCATAAAGATTATTGGAGTCCCAAGGAAGGTCACTGGTGTCAATCTCTTCGGTGGCATCGATTGGATCTAAAGTGTCAACCGGAAGATTAAGCTCATCAAATTCATCAGACAAAGGGTCAGATAATTCATCTACATCATCTTCATTTTCATCTACTTCCTCTTCATCGTCAATTTCCTCTTCCTCCTCGTCCTCATCATCATCGTCATCGTCTAATAATAATTGATCATCTGTCAAATCATCAGAGAAAAGTAAAGGTGAAACAATTGGAATTGTCGTCGATCCGTTTAGTTGATTGTTAAGATTATTGGTGTTATTGGTATAATTGTCGTTCGCTGTTACTGTGGCCGTTGATCGAGCGGAGAGAGTTTGAAATAAATTGTAACATTCATCTTCTAAATAGTCAAGTTTAGCTCTTCGATTATCAAGTGCGATCGCTAAATCCTCGTAACCAGTGGTTCGAGTTATTTTCGTTGGTTGATCACTCGTTGTACCTGAAGATGTACCTTGATTATTATCATCAGAGGTGGAAGATGATGTAGATGATGGTGAAGAAGAAACTTCGACACCTTCACCTCGATTATTTGTCTCGATGAAACCACTTTCTTCACTTGGTTGTTTCCTTTTCGATGCAAATTGTCGTCGTAATGTTTCAGACCAAAGAGCATCATCATCGGGAATATCATTCTCATCGTCATTCTCATTCCTTTCGGCTCGTCTTTCTGGCCTTCGCTTGGTTACTCGAAGTACTCTCCAGTCTTCTCGAGTTTCCTCTAATTGACTTCGCAATCGACGAAGCAATTTCCTTTTCTCTTGAAATTCATATTTAAGAATCGCTTCTCGAGTCTTGAAGGAATCATATTTTTCCTGCAATTTACGAATCATATTAGCACTTGAATGTAAATCAATCGGTGATCCAGTTAACCTTTTATGGAGACATTGAATGTTATAAGCTAAACAGAAACCAAGTCGATGTGATTCAATTACTTCATCACTTAATTTCTTAATTGTTTCAAGCAAATTTTCCAAATCAATTGATTCTATTGTTGATGTTGATTGCAATGTTTCAATTGATTGTTGATTGTTACACTTATTTGTCAAATTAATTGACGTCTCCTTACCAGATGAAGCAGAGTTAATTGTGTTGATTGTTTCAACTGATTGACGACGAGCATAAATTTCATATCCACTTGCTCTGTCCTTTAAATTAAGTAATTGTTTCAATACATTAGCGTGTAGATTAAAATTTTTAGCCTCCTTAATCAAATTGTTACATTGATTTAATAAATTATTTGATGATGGTAATGAGGAAGATGATGATTGGCACATTGAATTAGGTTTAATCGTTGTATCAATTAATGGGGTTGATTGTAAGTCCATCATGATTAACTAAACAAAAAGTCACACAATTTACTTTGGTATCACAGTTAAAATCCAAGGAATCAATTGATTATTCAACTATAAACAATTAGTAAATTGTTCAGTTCTCTTCAAACTAATCTAAAGTAAACCATTGGTTTAAACACTTTCCAGATTATATTACAATCAAACTAATGAGATATTGTGAGTAAGTTACTGAAACGTAATTAAATTGAATAATATAATTGAATCTCTGGAGAAGGAAAAATAGCAATTTGGAATAAGATTTAACAATAATGACTAAATTAACTGTTGTCAAGATTAGGGTAACATTTGATTATTTAGAATATAATTACGATGATGCAACTGTAAATTACTAATTTGTTTTAAAAACGTGAAGAGAGACAAAAGACCTTGTGAGGTTGATTAGGATGATCGTTAATGATGAGAACAAAAATTATAATCAAGATTAAGATTAAGGGATGAGGATGAGGATGAAGATGAAGATTAGATGGCAAAGGAATGAGAAGATTAATTTTCGTACGTTATTCCTTTCGTAAGCAATCAAGCTAATTAACATAAAAATAGTGTTGCAAGTTACGAATTTAGAACTAAAGATGAACATTCGCCATCTTCATCTCCCTTCTCATCCTCATCCTCATCTTCATCATCCTCGTCTAATGTTTGCATTGGAAGATTAGAGAGAGAGAGAGAGAGAGAGAGAGAGAGAGAGAGAGAGAGAGAGAGAGAGAGAGATTGAAGAAAAGTTCTAATAATAGATTTACTTTTAATTCTGTTCCATGTAAAGAGCAATGAATTAGTCGAAAAATTTATCTTCTCTCTCTCTCTCTCTTCTTTACCTCCATGTTAAATGAGTCTTGGGCTATCATCATTATCATCATCATCAATTTTCTCTCTCTCTCTCATACTATTTAAAATCTCGAGAAAAAATTTGGCATCAACTGAACAGAATTAAAAAGCAACAATCTAAATACTACTAATAAAACACAAACCTCGTTGATTATGTTTGGTACAATTAATCAGCCTTTTCATACACAGTTTTGTATTTTTCTTTGTTTGTTGATGTATCGAAATGATTGCCAAATGATTATGATGATGATTGTTATGATTTGAGGAATTAATTTATCCTAAATTGTGTCTTTTCTTTCATCTGTGAGGGGAGAAAATGATAATAAATGTAAAATTGCAATACTAATTTGAATAAGTACAAGTATTAATACTTAGTAATCAGCGGATTTTGTTTTCTCCATCATTTGTAGGAAACAATTTAATAGATTTACCTTAAATTGTATGAAAGACTAGTTAATCTAACAAGTTACATTTTTGTTTGTTTGATTGGTTACAGTTTAAACTACCATTTCTCTGCATCAGGTCCTAAATCTATTTTGTTTTTATTTCTACGACCTTCGGAAATTAAATTCTGAACACTTTCACGATAAGATGGTGGTAATATTTCATCTGCCAATTTGCATTCATAATTCTCAGGGATTGCGGTTTCTTTTGAATGTAATGATACTCGAACCAAATCATGATCCAAACGAAGAGAATTTCTGATAAAATCTCGTGAAGAATATGGAAGATCACAGTGATACAGGAAGTAGCTTAAATAAAAGAGAGAGAGAGAACAAAAAAATCAGAGATATGAATGAATGTCACATGGAATCAACAACAATAAAAGCAAAACCATTAGATGGTAAGTTAGGAGAAGTAGAAATTGATTGTTACCTTCCAGAGTCATGAAGACCAGGAGTTTTAGATCCTGATTTACTCATTCGATATGGGAATTTGTTTGTTCCAAGATATTCGATTTTCCTTAAAACTCCATGATTGTCCAGTAAAAATTCACCAACACGCTTTAAACATGATACCAAATCAGGCTGGACAAAAAAAGAAAGAGAAAAACAAAAAAAAAGAAAATTAAAAGATCTGAATGAGAGATACAAGTGATTTTACATTTTCTTTTCTCAAACAATCAACCTTACCTTCGCTAATCGTTTAACAGTAAAAAAAACTTCATAAGTCGGCATGATTGCGATTAGAACGACAATTAAATCAACACAATTGAATTAAAATAAAATTCAAAACAAAAGAAAACAAAATTTTTTTTGCTAATCGTTACTATGGTAACTCTATGGCGGTAGAATTGAATCTCAACTCAAATTAACAATTAATGAGATAAATTTGATTACAGACTAAATTGTAACAATTGGTGACAATAGTTTTATTTTAATGGTAATAATAGTTTACAATGATTTACAATTTATCGTTACGAGCAGTTTAAATTGTACTTGTGATGTGTGTTTGTGTTCATCTTTGTAGTTGCAATTATTATAACATGATATTCATGATTAACAATTAGTGAAAAGTGATACATTGATTATGATTATGACTAGGAAATAGTAAGGAAACAATTAAATCTGAGAGATCACATATCAAGAACATTAAATATAAATTTGTGATTTTTTTTTCTGTGTAACGGTAAAAGATAATTAATTTTATCTTCGTTGAAAACAAACAACAAAGAGAAATGAATTAAAAACGAAAATGATGATTTCCTCTTGAACTTTTTTTTGATGGTCAGTTAATTGTGTGTGTGTGTGTTTGGTGATAATTTTAAATTGGTCAACAATTGAGCTTGAAAAAGTAAGGTAATTTACCAGTTTTCTTTTGCCAAAAATAATCGTACAAAACTTTGAGAGCAATGAGAATAGTTAAAACAGCACAGGTACCACTAAGTATATCGAGAAAATGTAACGGTACATTTGCTCGTGGACAAATGTCCGAAATTGGCATTTGTTGGATTGGCAGTCGCTCCTTATTACTTGGAATAAAAAAGTCCATCCTATCAGCTGAATTGGTGCAATAGATTTTATTTATATCGGGAACCTTTTCATGATGTTTTTGAAGCCACTTTTGAAATATCAGAGTATTACAATCACAGGTCCATGGATTATCGGATAGATTAACTTTAAGAAGGTGAGAAAATTGTTCCAATATGTGAATTGGAACTTCTTTCATTTGGTTACCCTGAAGGTTGATTGATAAAAGATTTCTCAAGATTTTACTCATCTCTAAATCTTGTAGACCACTGATCTCATTATTATTCAGATGAACTGCTTTTACCGTTGACCAAGATGAACTGTCCGATGATGATAGACCGAAAGATCGTAATCGATTACCGTTTAATTTAACAATTCGTGAACCAAGAGGTAATGTTTTTGGAAGGTGAGTTAAATCTCGATAGGAACAATTAACCATAAGAAGATCTTTCTTAATCATGAAACAATCACATTGATTACAAATTTCGGTGTTCTTAACGGAAAATGCTTGTTCAACGGTCATCTCTTTCCACTGGACTGGTTCAGAGCAAAGTATTTCCCAGGATTGTTTAATCATATTGTTACTTGGACGACGGAAAATATTGATCTCATTTCGAGTAGAGTAAATTAGTTCACCTAATTTAATTGTTGTACTAAGACTACAATCCCAAGGGTTATCGTGAGCATATAAACTAAATGCTCGATTTGGTATCAATGAGTCTAATCCATTGAAACTTTTTAACCAATTAGATGAAACATCTAATTTCTCAAGAGATGGATAATTGTGGAAAATATCTTGTAGATTAATTGTTGATACACGATTATGGCTTAAGTTTAGTGTAATTAATGAAGGTAATTTGTTCCAAACTATGGTTTTTATCAGGTTATTGGAGAGATCAAGTTCTTTAAGGTTTGGTAATTTAGTGAACCAATTTAAATCAATAATTTCCAATGAGTTCCAGGAAAGATGAAGTATTTCCAATGATGAGCATATTTCCTGATATGATCCATTGGCTAACCAGATAACAATTTGGTTAATTGTTGCAGATGATTCGTTCACTTGTATGGCAATTTTAACCAATTCATCTTGGCGTTTTGTTGTATAATTTATGGCACTGGTAAATATTTCCAAATTAGTTAAATGATTACAGCTAATGTTGATTGGATTAGTGTTATAACACCAACATGAACCTTTGTCAATTTCATCATTTGAACACAAATCACCATTGATTGAGTTACTGACCTAAAGAAAAGGAATCAAAGATGAGAAAAATCAATTGTTATGAGCATTTAAAATAATCCAATTAAATAGTTTCCTCACCTTGTCACCAAGTGATGAACCCAAAGAATCATTAATCCAATGAGAAATTAATCCAACAAGTAGAAGAAAATTTAAATTGAGTATTGGGATTACCATTGAGCCAAAATGTTTTCAATTTGTTGCTTTTCTTTGGTAATAAAATGTTGTTCGAGATGATAACAAAATACTATCTGAGTTGTTTTCCTATTTTTGTGATGAAAATTACGAGTAAATTATGAAAAGACAACCGGAAGACGGAAAACATGAAAAAAAGAGAAAAGAAAATTGTTACCAAGAGTAAACAAAAGATTCGCAAGATAAACACACAGAGTTAATTCAATGTGAACAATGAAAAAAGCAACAGGTAGAAAGTAATGAAAGTGAAGATTATTATTGAGATGATGATGATGATCAGTCGAGAGGATGATCAATAGATGCACCTCACCTTCTAGGTTTATATCTAATCACAATAATAACAAATAGACACTTGTTCAAGTAACTAATAACTTTTAGGAATGAAGGTGAAGGCATAAGTTACCTGTACGGATGCTTTTCGATTGTCACAATTACCAGTTGATTGGAAAGAGAAAACCAATGGAATGGAATAGAATAGAAAAACAAAGGAGAATCTTTTTTTTCAATTCTATGGACAAAGAAAAGAACCAATTTGAATTTTTCTTGACCAGAACATGAACACAAAACAGTTAACTATTTGTTCCCTTGGTGAATGTGAGCGAACTGGTGATGGAAAAAACAGAAAATAATCCAATTGATAAGATGAAGATGTTAATCAATGTTGTAGAAGAGAAGAAAAAATTATAGTTGTAATTAGTATTCGAAATGTAATCAAAAGCGATGTGTTAACAGCCTTTTTCTGTGTTTACAGTTAGTAGGTTTTCCTCTTAATTGTTACCTCCACACCGATACCAATAATAGACACAATCAAGTAATCATAAAAGTAGAATCATGATTATTAATAGTTACCTGGTTTATCTCCGATATTAATGATCTTTAATGAGATTCCTATGGAAGTTGAAGAAAATTAAATTGAACACTAGTTGATTTGTTTGAATGAGAAGAAAAGAAAACAAAATATTCTCACTTGTTATTTTCCTCTTTTTCTTACATATTCAAATACACTAAATCAATGTTGATGAAAATGTTCTTGAAACAACAACACAGTTTGTCCTTAGGAAATTGAACAAGAAAATAAGAGAAATTAACTTAATTGTTCACCAGAAGAAAAATTAATTTCCATCCAAAGAGAGTAAACAAAAAAGAACAGTTTTTGTTACTGTTACCAAGGGTCGGCGATTCAATCCATTTATCTCCATGAGAATCTGGCTAATTATCTGTGTATTAAAATTCCAAATAGAAAAAAGAAACTGATTAGTGTAAGAGAATTATGGTTAATTCTTTGATTGCAATTAATTGTAAACTGGTTAATTTAATCGAGAAAATCATGTTAACCTTGATGGAGAAAAAAAAGTGAATAGAAAAAAAAACGCTCCCTTATGTTCATTGGTTGTTTACTTTTCTCTTTCTTTTTTTCTCTCTCTCTCTCTCTTTCTATCATGTGTTTTTCTATTTAGAATTTGTTTTTTCTTCTTTTCTAGTAATTAGCAGTGTTAATTTATTTCTCTTTTTAAAAAGATGATTAAACATTGTGCCCGTTTAATGGCTCCACTACGAACGATCAAAAGCTCACCGGTCGCTTTTAACTCTACATTTGCTTTAATGTATCGTGATTATGGTGACCCGATCTCAGTTGTTTCTAAGGTTGACACAAGCGATTCTTTATCATTAGATTCACCTTTGGAAGGTAATCAAGTGTTAATCCAGTATGTTGCTTCGACAATTAATCCATCGGATATTAACACAATCCAAGGTACTTATGCTATTAAACCTAAATTACCGGCTGTTGGTGGTAATGAAGGTGTGGGTAAAGTGATTAGAATCGGTTCTCAGGTAACCAAATTTAAACCCGATGATTGGGTTATACCGGCGAGACCTGGATTAGGTACATGGAGAAGTCATGCCATTGCTGCCGAAAATGATTGGATGCCGATCGATAATGATCTAGAATTAGAAGCTGCCGCTCAGATCACCGTTAATCCTCCAACGGCTTACCGAATGCTCCATGATTATGTTAAACTGAAACAAGGTTAGTATTTGATTTTTTTCCTTCTTCTTCGTTTTTTTTTTAATAATTGTTACGTTTAATTTACTAATCAGTTTTTTGATTATCTATTAGCTAATCTCAAGTGTTATTGGAAATTTCAATAACAATTGAAGGTAATTATTGACAATCCCCTTTAGGTATCAATCTAATTACCCAGCTGATATTTACTCGCGCCATCATATGAAAAGTTAATTAGCTTCTATGATTTGTTGACATTTTGTTGACGTGAATCATATTGAATGATCCTAATCAATTAATATCCCTCTTTGTTGTCATAATATTTACAGGTGATTGTGTCCTTCAAAATGGAGCCAATTCAGCGGTTGGTCTTTTGGTAATTCAAATGTGTAAAGCAATGGGAGTGAAAACAATTAACGTAATAAGAGCTCGACCCAATCCAGATGATATGACAAAATTGGTTAATTCATTGACAGAATTAGGTGGTAATCATATAATTACAGAGGAAGATTTAAGAAATCGTGAAGTAATGGACTCTATTTGGACCAAGGGAACACCTAAACCAATTCTAACTCTTAATTGTATCAATGGGGATAATGCAACTAATTGTGTCCGTCACATGGCTCAAGATGGTATTATGGTCACTTATGGGGGAATGTCAAAGAAACCGTTAATCATACCCACTGGGCCAATTATCTTTAATCATCTTCAATTTGTCGGATTTTGGGTTACCCGGTGGAAAAAAGATCACGCCGGTAAACCTGAATATTACGAAATGATGAACAATTTAACTAATCTATTCAAAGAGGGTAAATTAAAAGCACCCAAAGTGATTCCATTCAAATTTGATGATTACAAAAATGCTTTGGAAAAAGCAACAGCTCCTTTCATTGAAGGAAAAGTGATTCTTACTCCCTGATCACAATTAAATCAATACCAATAGATGAAGCAAAAAGGTAAATATAAACAAGTAAATTTAGTTACAGTTATAAAATCAATAAACTCAATTTATTTTCAATAATTGATTATTATGAATTACAGTTTTTGATTAATTGACAATCATTGATGTTTGAGATGATTAATAATCAAGATCACTTAGTGATTTCAAGTGTTAATGGAAGAGAAAATGATTAAACAGAAAACCTAAATGAGAGATTTAAGTTAACTGGTAATCAGATGATCGAGTGGAATGATAATCAATGACCAAAGATGATTCTGTTACGTATATAAAATTACTTCAATTTGTTAATTGTGAAACGAATTGTTAATTAGTTGATTTGTTTTGGCAGAATTTTTTCTCTCTTTTAAAAGGTGTTTATATGCTTGTTTACATTGGGCCAGATTATCGAATTGAGGATCATCTTCGTCATCTTTATCTTCTAATCCAAGTGCGTACATGTTTCGATGGATTAGTCCAGCCTCTCGAAATATTTGATCTACTTGAAAGGTATAAGCTTTTTCGGTGATTAGTTGATTGAGTCTGAGAGTTTCCAATAGATCCCATTTGGAACGTAGATTCTCATCCAATGTTGGATAGACTTTGATATTTTTGGTATCACAGATTAACGGAGTTTGAAAGTATAACTCGTAACGACAGAGATCAGGTTCGGTTGCATTGATAAGCCGATTCGAGGAACCACAAATTGGATAGACTTTAACTCGTCGACGTATTTGTCCAGTTTTCGATGAGCATAAATCACCATCACGATATTTCATTGAGAGAAAAGTGTTATTACCGATTGACCATTCGCCTGACCAAATGCCTAGAACACCTTCAAATCGAGACCAGTTACTTGTGGTCTCATGTTGGGTCACATTTCGAAAGGGACAAAATCGATATTGATAAATTTCATCTAAATAAGTGAAACATTGGTTTTCCAAAAGCCGAAGAGCCGATGGACCAGAAAAATTAGCCGGTGGTTTAACGGTAGCCAATGATTTAGGTGACGGAGTAGAACTGAAGAAAACGATGATTAAAACAATAAACGAAACACAAAATCGATTAGAGGTTTTTTTCTTCGGAAAATCAATCAACTGAGGAAAATAAACTCACCTAATTAAACGTGAAGTCTCACTCACAATTCTGATTGGAATTGGATTAGTTAAATTGTCTACACTTTTGATCAAAGAAACGGCCACAATTGTAATCCACAGGCAACCCAGTTGTATGATCATGATTAAATCGTACTTCTTGGTTGCCTGATTTAAATTGACATGTACCAAGAAACAGTAACAATAATCAAACCAATAAGTCAACAATTAACCGAACGATAATAGTCTGAGAACGTATTTGAACTGATTAACACAAATCACGGTGAAAATGAAACAAGAAAATTACAATTCTACAAAACACTAAAATGCAATAAGGATAAAATCGTAACCATTGTAATCAAATTTAACTGTAAACCAATTGAATTTAACATTACGAGCATTGGAATTAAGTAGTTCGCTTTCAAGTAGATTTACAGGTATCAAAAGTATTAGAAGGAAAAATAAGATGAGAAACAGGAAAAAAAAGAAGTTGAAAGCAAATTGTTGAATTAGTTTCGGAGAGAATTGATTGTTTTGATGATCATAACAATCAATTCTAAATGATGGTTGTTGTTGAGTGAAACAAACTAGTGTTTAGAATGAGATTGATTCTAACTCTCGTCGACAAACAAAAAAAAGTACATAATGAATATGAAGATAAATAAATGATAACATGTTAAGAAGATGAAGAAGACAAGAAGATGAGAGATAATTCTTACTGGAGGGAGAGAGAGAGAGAAGAAAAAAGGTTGACGTGTGGAACCTAATTTCAAGGTAATTCAGAGAGAGAGAGAGAGAGAGAGAGAGAGAGAGAGAGATGTGTGGATGATGAGAGAGAGATGAGCATTTGCTGGATTGAGAATTGGTGAAAATATCGGTGACCTGACTTTCGGGCTTTGATTATAACGATTTTCATACATTGATTGGTGACCATTGAAGAACAGATGATAATCATCATCTGATTCAATTCTCTATCATTATCAGCATCATAATCTTTCTTTCCCTTATCACAATTAACCGTTAGGAATCACATCCTGGTTAATCCTTCTCAACTTTTCCATTATTTGGCTTTTCATCTTCATCTTTAGAATAAAATTTTCTTTTTCTTTAACTTTTCTCCATCTTCTTTCCAGGAACCTTTGTCTTCCATGGTTTCTTTCTTTTCCTCTTTCTTTTTCATCATCATTTATATTTCCTTCTTCTGATTAGAATGTGATCAAACATTGGATACATTTTCCATCAATTCAATTGGAATACATGGTTTTGATTATTTGGTCCAAAAAGAACAACTTGATTCACACAACAAAATCAATTCTATTGTAAATTGAAAGAGAGAGAATAAGGTTGGTAATTTATTCTCAATCAATTTTTAGATCATTAATTGTGTTTCCAATATTCAATATTCCATTTTCCATATAAAAGGTGAGAGATTTTCTGTTGAGAAAAAAAAGAAAACACAAAATAATGGGTTAGACTGTAGGTAGATCTTTAAATATACAAAAAATTAAATTCGATTGAAGAAAATAAAGGTTACTATTTGTTTCCAATCATCATAATCAACATGATTAATTCTAAATTGGGATCATCAAGCTACCTAATTAACAGGTAAAAGAACTTCAAATGATGAATGTTTTAGGCCTTCGATTGTCCAGAAGAAAACGAGAAAAATGATTCACTTGATTTCGTTGTTACTTCAAATCGTGAAGCTGATGACCTTCTTTCGTTAATTGTTGATTAAAATCGCAATTAAGGGAATTACATTGATAATTTGATCGAAAATAGAGTAACAATTGAGTAACAATCAACAATTTAACTAATCTTACATTGAAGGAAAAGTGATTCTTACTCCCTGATCACAATTAAATCAATACCAATAGGTAAAGCAAAAAGGTAAATATAAATAAGTAAATTTAATTACAGTTATAAAATCAATAAACTCAATTTATTTTCAATAATTGATTATTAGCAATATATATCAAATTATTATCTCATGCAAAGGGAAATTTAAAATTGATTATGTTGTTAGTTATGGAAAAGAAAAACAAATGAAAAAATATAATCAACATTGTAAATGTAAGATTATCATGATTATAATACAAATTAATGAGATTGATTGATTATTGATTGATGATTTAACTGAATTGGTAAGAAATGGATAAAAGAAATCAGAGGGTAATTGAAATTTAAGAATTGGTGGTGAAGCAAATTTGGTTACAATTGGCGAAGTTAAATCAATATAATTAACCGAGATCGAGAGTTCAAGTAAATAATGATTAGATTTAAATCGACAAAGAATTGAATAACATCGAAGACGAAAATCAATTGGTTTGTTGTATCTCTTAACTACACTAATTATCTTTGCCTGTGATTGAGATTCTTGACCAACAAGAGCATAATAAACATCCAATGAATAGCCAGTGACCAGAGCTGGACATCGTTCATCAGCAGTTAACCGAGGAATTGAATCTGATTGAATAATTTGCGGCTCATCATCAACCAAAATCGGAATCCAATCAGCCTGATTAGTTAAATTTGGATTACCAAACATGGCGACATAATTTAAATCTCTGTTAAGTGAATCAAGTAATCTCATGATTTCTCGTTGAATTGATTGGCACATTTGATTTTCCATCAGGAAACGTGAAGTGTTTAACATGCACCCAGTTCTGTAATTTGAGCCAAATCGTACGATCTCTTGAATTGTTGGTTGACTTGAACACTGACCATTACTTTTGGACAGTAAGGGTATTTTATAATATCCAATTGTCGACGAATTAATTGTTAAAGATGAATTTCGAAAAAGAATTGGCTTACCAACAATGTAACCAGCATTTCCACTGAACTGATAATCAGGAAGCGATTTATTAATCATGTAATTATCATTCGGCTTGTAGACAACATTAAACGTCTGTCTAAAGGGTTGATTGTTGGTTAATTGTGTAAAACCTAAAGACAATTCAACTAAATCAATTCCATCCTTTGGATGATAATAGAAGGTGTAATTAATTGTCTCAACAACTCCCTGACAAATTATATTCGGTGGCGGTGTTGACCGACGGATCAATCGAGGGACAGTCAATGAGACACTTTTGGCTGACCAGTTAATTGTTATACACTCATTGAGATAAACACAATTAGGTATTGATGAGGTTAAAGTTGATTGTTGCTGTTTAATTGCTGTTACATTAATTGTTGTTGTTGTAGTAAATTGTGATGATGATGATGTAGATACTAAAGTTGATTTGTCTGATTGTTTTTCTGAACTTTCATTGAATTCAATCTGATAATAAGTTCGTGTTTCCGGTTCTGTTGATTTCGATGAGCCCATTTTAGAAATGTAAATATTATCATAATAAATTGTTGCTCCTAAAAACGGATTAGTTGTACACTCTTTCTGATAATCTTTGATGTCTCTTAAACAAGAGTACGATGTATCTTTGAGATATAAAATTGGCCTCAGGGTATCACAGAAACCACCGGATTGAATTAGACTTGATGGTAATCTCAATATATCGGCCATTTCAACACCACGGGCGGTTAATGATGTCGCCACAATTGGATCATTATAACGGAAACCATAACGTCCAGAGGTAAATGAAGTGGTCACTTCGTCTTGTGGTTCGTGGGGATGAGACCAAGAAAATATTGATGTTGATAATGAAATACTGGTACTGATTAATTTACGATATTCTTGGACGGTGGTCACTGATTTACGATCTGGATAAGTTTTCGTACTTTTAACATTGTCACTTAGTACACAGAATAAATTTGAATTTGGTTCATTAATCAGTTGAGATTTTCTTGTATTATTAAGATAAATTGGATATTCGGTGAAACAATAATAATCAAATTGTTTAGAGTTTTTAATTGTTTCACAATAAGCGAACATTTTTCTCTCCTGATCATCACAATCTTCATCACAACAACAATTAAGATCACAAAATTGTGGCTTCAGGTCACACGAGCAATAATCATACTTTGAATCATACGAAGCTAAATTTAATTGCCAATTGTTATGATGATTTGTCTTAGATTCTGGAGTTAATTTAGTTTCATTAGTTGATGATAACGATTGATTAGCAATTGTTTCGTTGATAAAGGTTATATTAACCTCTTCAGCTGAGGAATTGGTCAGAGTAATATTATTGTTATTGTCCAATGAGATATTATTTTGACAATTGAATATACTTAAGGTCACAATTAGGCCAAAGTATAAAATACTAATGTGTTTACCGATCATCATGATAGTTAATCAACTAAGTTCAACACCGAAACGGTCAAAATTTTTGATGATCAGGTAAAGATCGAGTAAAATGGTTCCTTTACTTTCTGTTTGAACTCTAAATCGATCACAATTAGAGTAAATTATGTCAGAATTTCTTAAAATTAGTGATGATCCAGTGAAGAAAGAGTGAATTCTATCAGTAATACCACCGATTGGTTTCCAAGTGTAGCACTTTAACCTATGGTATCCAGGAGAAGAGGGTAAATGAAGGAAACCATAAGAGACGAAAGAGATGCGACCGAATGAATCTTCTTTGAAAACTTGAAATTCTATTCGAGGCCAATTTTGAATTCCGTTAGTTACAAAGTGAACATCAATCGGATGAGACCAATAACAGCGAGAATCAATTGAAGAGAAATCAACCTGAGTATCGCCCGAAGAATGGCCTTCAATCAATTGCCAATTAGAACCATAAGTGATCTTCCATTTAGCAAATAGACCAGTGTCACCACCGAAATCATCATCAGTACCAATTATAGAACCAAAACAATGGATCTCAGCCATCTAATGACACCAACAATTAACCTTAAATCACGGTGATAACAATTGGTTTTATTAACCATCACAATGAAATGAGATGAAAACAAAAGTGAAAACAAAAAAAAAGGTTAACCAATTGATAACCGTTTGATTGATTGGTTGATTCTTTGAGACAATTGGGACAATTTAAAGCATAATCATTGATAAAAATCGCTAATTAAGATGAAAATCAAGGTGGGGTGGACAATAGATTAGGTGTTGAGGAGGAATAAGAGGAAAAAGAAACAAAAAACAAAGAGAATGACTAAAAATCGTCTTGGTTACTTGGTTTCTATGTTCCTCTTGTGATGAAAGAAAGTTAATCAAAACAAATCAGCGAAATGAAGCAATTAATTGTTTCGAGAGATTATTGTTACCATCAGAAATTAGAAATACACTTTTTGTGGTAATTAGTTGATTGTTTAGAGTAATTAATTTCTGTTCGTATCATTTTGTTTGTTTACTTTTAAAAAGTTTCGATATGTTTGAGATGATTGATTTTAATTTGGAGATTTTTTTAATTGTGAAAAAGTTTAACTTTTAAGATGAAAACAAAGGGAATAAAAATGAGACCAAGATCAGTTGAATTAGTTTTAATTGTTAACAATTAATATCTGGTTAATTTGCTGTTGTTGTGTGTGTTGTGTTTTGATGGTGATTAGTTAATGTTAGTTTGTTAATTGATCAATTTTAAGCTGATTGTGATTCTTGAGCTGCTTGATCAACCATACGCTCCTTCATTGCTCGAGCCCAATGAGAAACTAATTGTGTTGCAGAATCGGCATATCGACGGACAATTAAATCAATTTTCTGAGGATCAACTTGACCAGGTTGACCTGGGGCGGGATGGACGGGCTGTGGTGGACCGACATGAACGATTTGAGGGCCTTGAGCGGGATGAATTGCCTGAATATTTCTCATTTGTTGAGCTTGGAAATCTATTAATCAGATTGAGAAACAAATTAAGTCAACAATTAACAAACCAATCGTTTGGTCAGCCGTTTAAACTGTTACAATTTACTAATTGTTGAAACTTACGATCTTGGACATTAGGGACAATTTGGCCGTGAAGATTTCGTGATTGGTATCCTGTTAAATGATTTGGAGCTCGTCTTGAGTAAAGGGAACTATATGATTCCTCACAATTAACCTGTTGATTGTGATTAAAAATTTACGATTATTTTGTTGATTAAATGAACGAGAAAAACAAAAATCTACTCACCATTGAAGCGACGATAACAATTAAACTGATCAAAGTTAACGAGTTCATTGTGAGTGTTGATTGTTGTTGTTGTTAATTACTTAGAAACTTGTACAATCAAAAAATGAAAAAAGTTTGATTACAAATGATCAACTTAAATTGTAATCAAATCAAACCTTATATATATCATTAATTGGCAATTTAAATTGCAGGATAAAATTACAATTAAAAACAGCGAAGTTGATTAACTATCAGTCGCTTGAAAATCATTTGAATTAATAAATCATAAACAATCACCAATGATGATTGTTGTTATTTCCTTGTTAATTGTGATCATTCAATTTCCATTCCTATTTCCAAAAAATATTAATCATTGAAAAGTTTATATAAATATTGTTACAATTAAAAAATAGTAAAACAATTAATCAGAAATAATTATTTTCTCTGTCAAAGAAAATCAACAAATTGTGTCCAATTTGAAACCAAATTGATCCAAATTCACAATTACGATAAAAATATTGATTCTTATCAATTGGTAATAATCTTGAACAATCAGTTAATCAATAATTAGAATTGAAAAAAAATCAATTGAAAGGAAAAATTAATTTTCCCTCTTCTTTATAAAAAGTAACATTGAAAAAGATAAACAAAAAAAAAGGTTAACATTGAAAATGGATTTTCATGATTAACTTGATTACTATTTAAATTTATCTTGGTTAATTATCATTGATCATGGAAACGTAATCAACATCAGCCTCTAATGGCTTAGTAATCACCATGGAACTCAATTCCTGTTAATCAGCTAATTGTTTCTCAATCTTTTCAAGGTTATTAATTTTTCTTCATTTCTTTTCCTGTGTTTATATTTTTGTCTCTCACTCAAAATTCAATTGATTATTGTTAATGTTCAAATTACCTTTCAAACAATTTAAATCATCTTCTAATCAATTGATTCTTACTTACAGGTTAACAGTTATGCCATCTTTAATTAACAGTGATTCTAATAACAATCAATCATCTAATTCGTCAACAATTAGAGGTGACACACCCCAAAGGCCCAATGGAATCACATCGATTCATGCTGCTGGAATCACCGAAGTTCATGAGGTCCCGATGGACGTAATTATCAGGCCAATTCCTCCGATTCTGGACGAGGACAAAGTTGAAAGTCTAATGGAAACATTGAAGGTAAATTGTTCCTGTGGAAACAACAATTAACGATCAACAATCAGAGTTGCAATCAGAATCTAATAGATTCTCATCTCATCTCAGTTTTGTTTTGTTTTGTTTTCTTTTCTTGGATCATTTGATTTGATATCTTTTTTAAATTTGGTTGTTTTTTTTAATTGTTGTTCTTTGTTAATTTGGTTAACTTAATTATCTTTGTTTTGTTTTTATATTAGGAAATTGATGAAAGTAAAATCCCACCGATTGATGTACTTTGGATTAAAGGATCTGAAGGTGGTAATTATTATTACTCCTTTGGTGGTTGTCATAGATTCGAGGCTCATAAAAGATCAAGATCATCGACAATTAAATGTAAATTGGTTCCATCAACAATTGACGATTTAAGAATTTATTTAGGATCATCAACACCCGATCTTAAATGATTGATCAGTCGCGATTAAGGTTAATCTCTTTGGGGATTAAATAATCTGCATCCTTGTTGTTGAATAACTTGACCAATTTGGTTCCTAATGGATTTTAATTGTCATTACCAATTATCATCAAAATACTTCAATAATTAGTGTACGTTGTGATTAACACGTTGACTTTAATTGTCAGTAATTGATTTTGTTCATCATCAGTTTCATCGGTAATCAATTAATTTGTTTAGTGAGTAATTATTTTTAATTGTCTCTTTTTTTTTTGGTTATTATTAAATACCAACTAACAATTAATTTGAAACAAAATTAAACCTTGATTATTTTGTTATCCCAACACAAATCAATACAATCAATAATAACAAACATCTTTAAATCAAATATTTAGTTAATTACAAATAAATGCAAACCTAATCATGATTAACTTTGTTATTTAAATAATACAAAGTTTATAATTTACTAATCAGCAATTAACAAGTTTACAAAACAATCAACTAATTTGAAAATCAATTCTGAAAAGGATTTCAATCAACAGATTATAAAACCCTTAAAAGGATTATAAGAATTAAGAAAAAGATTTTCTAAATTATTCTAATCAATTAATTTAATTGAAACAATCAAAAAGTAATTAAAGATTTGAAATGAAGAAAATGTTAAATTATATGAATACGAAACATTTTTTTTCTAATGGTTAAACTGAAATGAATTATTATCGTTAATTGTTGAAAATTTCTCAAGGAATTGTGTTCAAGTTAATCCGATAATCTAAATGAGATTAAATTGTGATTAACTTTTGAATGGATTTAATTTTCAAAAGAACCGGGGATCGAATGTCTATTCTCACAGCGAGATGAGTCTATTCATCGAGCATTTTCCTTAGAATTAGTTACTCGTCTCTCTTTTCAGAGACAAAGATATTTGTTATTGTGTTTGTTTAAATATCTTTCAACTAATTTAACTTTTGATTAATTGATTAACTCTATTTGTTGAATCACTTTATTTAATTAATTGTTCAAATGGAATCAGTAAGACAAGGTAAGTTGTAAAATGTTGCAATAATTTCAATTGTATTGATTATCTTGTCAATATCTTCGGCATCTCTTTTCCCGGGTTGATAATCATTCATGGAAAAGAAAAACTTGTTTTCTCTTCATTCTATTTATTATTATTTTCTTTCATCATTTTCTTTTCTAATTAATAATTAATCTTTTCTATTCTCCCAATAGAAGAACTTCAATCTTACTGGGAAGTGGCCAGTATCACACATTTCTGTCACTTATTTAAGAAAAAGTTGAAATTACCTGCATTTGAATTTGAGGTAAGTTATTGTTTTCTCATTGAGATTTTTTTTTCTCCAACTTATCAATCGAGTTACTTTAATGGCTGCTAGTTCATTTTTTTTTCTCTAGTTAGAACATGAAGTAGAATTAATCCTTTCTTTCTTTCTCTCTCCTGGTTTTCATGATCTTTTAAAAGGCCTTGTGTGTGTCATTGACAGTCTTTGTTCATTCTCAGAATTATTCTCATACGAAATAGTTTTTTTTCTCGCCTGACTATTAACTATACACATTTTCCTGCGTTTTTTCACTCGACCTCGATTATTGGTCTATATAAATCACTTAAACTACTTCCTTTTTCATATTCGATTTTTTTTCATTTGCATTGAATCTTTTCTCTCAATTCAGTTCATTTCTTTTAAATCATTTGCTTTTTAAAACAATCTCTTGGCGCGAAATTTTTACTACCTTTTCCCGGCTCATTCTGTTTCCCCGCTTATTCACATTGAATTACATTTTTTTTACTCTTGATAATTGGAATTTAATCTAATTAACTAAATTGAATAGTTGGATGAGATTTGTATGTTTGATCAATTATATTTTCACTCGTAAACTTAAGTATCTCAATGTAGTAATTAGATTGTACAATCTTATTATGTGATTTCATCATTTTATTTATTTTCTTTCAAATCCTTTCATTTTGATTCTTAATTTTAATTGGTAATTTAATTGGTTTACAGGATCTGGAAGAAGCTATTTTAGAGCCAATCAATGCTGAAGGTGATGAAAGTGGAAGATGGCTAATTGAAAAGATAATTAAATCTCTTTTGTCTGGATACTTTGGCCAATCTATTAAGTAAGAGTTTCACTTCTTCTATAATACTTTCTCTTATTTAGTATCTTTTTAATTTTATTTTAACGAAAAAATTTCTATTTTCTTTTGTAGTGATGCTAATTATGATCGTTTTTTCCGAAAGATAATGGAAAAAGAATGGGAAGAGAATGATAAATTTAAAAATCCTATGGTTCAAGTTTCTTTTGACGAAAATGGTGAAGAAAGAGTTGAATGGCTCGATTTTCATTCTTTGCATGCAAGAACGAAGGTTCAAATTTTATACAGATTATGTGATTATCGACTTTCGGCTCCCGATTCATCTACTTTTGTCAAAGACGCTGCTGGCAGATTAAGACTTAAACCTATTGGAATAGATTCTTTAGGATATGTTTATTGGTATTTCCACGGGCGAAGACTTTACAAGTAAGTTAATTGTTTTATTGTTAAAGTGATTTACTGAAAATCATTAGCCATTAGGACTCCTTTTTGTTTAACAACAAATAGACTTGTTGTCTCTTGTTATAATTACGTTAAGAGAATTAATTAATCGATTTTAAATTATCTTCAATTTTCTTACTTTTCTTATTCAACTTAACTAGAGAAAAGCCTCGAGTTGCCAAAATTCTTGTCGAGAAGCTTCGAGAACCAATGAAAATGGTTAATGGTACTTCTTCTCCTATCAGAGGTGAGTAATTTTCGCCTTAAACTGGTGATGGTCCTGTTAACTTTGGTGTCTAATTGATTGTTTTTGACTTTTTTAGAAGATGCAACTGAAAAAATTGAGGAAACGTTGAAGTCTCCAGAAAAAGAGTCTGCGGAAATTGAAGTTGAAGCAGAAACAGAAACAGAAACTCAAGAAATGCCAAAAGCACCAATGAATGATCAAATAAATGGTTTTAATAAAACAATGGCCTCTGGTCTTAAAAATCAAACTACTTTATGGAATTGGTTGAAAACAACACAATCAAAGCCTGAACCCAAATCAACCACTGGAATTCCTGTATCAATACTCAAAGAATCTTGGACAGTAATTTGCCATGATGAAGAAGAATGGAGGAAACTAATTGAAAGAATGAAACAAAGTTTAAGTTTACCTGATCGTGAATTAGCTGAAAGGTTCAAATTAACTTACTTACCTAAAGTTGCTGAAATAGAGGCAGAAATGTTGAAACGTCAACGTGCCGAAGAGAAAGCAAGGGAACTTGCTTCGATGCCGAAAAGATGTTCTCAACGAATAGCTTCCAAGTTAGCGAGTCAACAACTCAGTGCTGATAACATTATTGAAAACAAATGTCGAAGTAGAGCTGATCGTGCTCGACTTCGTGATCTCTACCGTGGTGCTTGTGATGAAGGAGCAACTGAAGATGCTAATGATGAAAGTTTCAACCCTAAAAATGAAGGAGACAAAGATTCATGTTTCGATGAAGAAGAAGAGCTTGAACCAAACGACGAAGATGATGAAACTGAGCCCATAAAATATCATTCTCGTAGAAATGGAAAAAATTCCAATAGTCCAGTACAAAATATCGAAGATGACGAGCCAACACCATCGGTTTCATCAGCTTCGGCTGCGTCACTTTCCTCAAATGATAAAGAAGATGGTTCAATCTCATCAGCTGATTCTCGATTTCCTCGTAGGAGTAATCGAAGGGCAACAAAACCAGAAGAACCTCCAACTTTGGTTAAACGTATTCGCGTTGGATGTTAACTAATCTATATATTAATTGTTCTCGTCGTTACAATTTACCATCTATACTACAGCACACAAGATGACAACAATTAGCTAGAAATTCAACTCTTCAACGTTATTTAAATACTATTTTCATATCCAAGTCAAAAATTGTCATCTCTTTACAGTCACTTTTTGACCATTGACAAAAAATACATGTTATACTTAAATTGCATTAATTTTTTATCAAAGTTTGCATCTTGTTCAACTAACACTAATTCTGAAAAAAAATATCATTTGTTTGTACAAATCTCTCATCCTTTTATATATTACAAACCAATTAAATCATTTACAATCAATGTGATTATTTTTAAAATGGTTGTCAACCTTTTAATTGGCTTTAAATTGGTTGGAAAGTTATTTTCCAATTGATATTTACAAGTTGTTATTACAGAGGAACAAATTAACTCGTTAATTGTTGTGATTGGGATCGAGAGGAATCAAACATGGTTCTAAAAAATTCCAAATTGTATTGATCATCTTTTCATCGGACAATCGTTTGTTTTGATTGAATTTGTGTCCACCAATAAAATACTGACCATTTGTAGTGGTCAGTGAAGGGTCAATAGCCACATAAAGAGGTCCCTGAGCTCCTGTTTTGATTGAAATGCCTCTGAACATTTGTTGACCTCGATTACTTAACCTGGTGACCCACGATGACCCTTGGCCGACAATATCTGTTTTAACACAACCCGGATGGACACAGTTGATTGTTACATTGGTTTTATCCTTGTACTGGTCAATCAGTTTGATCACTGCTCCATTTAGGGCAAACTTGGACATTGAATAGTTAATTAGTCCATTATAAGCTTGAGATGATTGGACGAAAAGATCAGAATTAAATCCAATTGGAAGTAAATTAAATTCCGATGTAACCATAACAACACGAGCACCGAAAGTTGATTTAGATAAAAGTGGCATCAAATGATAAGTCAACAAACACGGAGCCAGAAAATTGACCTGACAAGTTTCCTCGTATCCATCGGCGGTGAAAGTTTTCACCTTTGACCCAACCATACCAGCGTTGTTAATTAAAATGTCCAACTGATTGTAAGTGGACAAAAGGTGGACACAAGATTCACGAATTGATTTAAAAGATCCACAGTCTAATTTGATTGGGACTAATCGAGGATCATTTTCTTGACCATTGGCGATTTCAACACAAGCCTTTAACGCTGAACTGTAATCGCGACAAGCGAGAATCACTTGGGCACCTCTTTCATATAAATCGGCAGCAATTTGCTGACCAATCCCTCGATTAGCACCAGTGACCAGAGCTAATTTACCGTCCAAACGGATCGACGGGTCAGTTTTCTTGCGTTTAAAGTAACAATAAACATCTTGCCATAGAAAAACAATAAACAACAACGGCAATCGAATTGTGTAAATTAACCTTTCTTTAAACGACAAGGTCATAATTGTTGACGAAACTTAAATTGTAAACTTTGATTTAAATGTTAACAAGTTTAAAGAATCCGAAATCAATTTCAATCCAATCGGAGGAAAGTTGATTTCGGTTATGTTCAATTAAAATAGTTAATTGTTAATCTGTGTAAGCAAAAGATTCACTATGTTAATGATGAGATTACAAGTTGTTGGTGATAAATTGAACAATCAACTAATCCTCAGGTAATTAAATGAAGGACAGTGGTGATTAACTAATACAATGTAAGTGATCAGGTAAATCACAACTTTCCCGAAGGTTAATCAATAACAAGTTAATCAACCAAACGAAAATTTCACTATTAAGCTGACAATTAAGGGTTGAGAATGGTCAAGAATTAAAGTAAATAATAATCTGAAGGAAACTTTTAATTCAATTGTCGATAACAATTTAAAAATTGACAACAAGTTGTTGATTAATCAACAATCAAGATGAAAATAAAATGAGATCCAAATGGTTTAAGTGTTATATTGTTCACAATCATCATCATCATCACTCAATTCAAATAATAGAAAAGTTAATTGTAATTAAATTGCTATTCTTTGTAAATTAAAAAAAAATGAATTCTTATTAGTCTTATGATGATTAACTAATTATATTTTGCAATTTTTTTTAACCAATTAAATAATATTAATATTTGATTCCATGATGTATATTAGCCCGTAAGCTATTTTAATTGTTGCACCTTAATCATGATCTTTAGGTGCAAATTAAGCTTAATTGTTGAATTATTATGGAAACAATTAGATTATTTAAATATTGTATTTAAGATTAAAAGATTATCTAAATTGTCAGAATTAACTAAATTATGATAGAAATGAAAATAAATTGTAACTTCAAGGTCTCTCTGTGGATACAAAGTAATTTCAACTCTTTTCAATTGTTAATTATTTACAATTTGATTGATGAATTTGATTTAATAAATATATAATCAAAGTGGCCAGTTGATTGTGAAGGGCAAAAAATTTAAATTGTTTACCAATTTGTATGGTTAATCATCATAAGGAACTTAAATTGTTGAGAAACAAATTTTTACTTGAATTTCTGGTTTTACTTAAACAAAATTGTTATTATTTGGTTAATTGTTTATATTTACTAAATGATTGGTTTTATTTAAATTTTCTCAACAATTTAATCAACAACAACAACCTTCAACTATTCATATTAATTCACACCGGATTGAGTTAATTGTCTTCAATTCTAGAAGTTAATTACAGGTAGAAAGGGAAAAACCATCAAAACCTAATCAATGAACTAAGATTAAAGTTTCAATTTAATAAACTAATCCAATTGTAACAATCAATTGATGGATTCAAGTTAAGGTGATAATTTATGATTCAAATTGTTCAGCTCATCGTCATGATGAAATTCATGAGTATGAGCATGACTCATGAAATCAGAATACAAAGTAAAAACAAATCTCCAGTAATGATTACATATGTTTACCTTTAATGTTGATTAAAGATAATTAATATTTGTTGGACTAATTAAATTTGTATTACAGTTATGAATTTATTGATTGCAAGATAAATTGTGAGAGGCAATTAAAGGTTAATCAATGGATCCATTAAGTAGGATTCTTGGTTATGGAGAAGCGGAAAATTTTGATAAAAGAGGTAAATTGTTTTCATTTAACATTCGTACAATCAATCAATTGATTTGTTATTATTTTGCTAATTGTTAATCTGATTACAACTTTACTACAGTTGAAGTACCACCGCCTCCGTTTGCACCAACGACGGTGGCAAATGAAGATAATCAAGAATCAACTAAATGTAATCAAATTGTTCGATTACCACTTTCAGGGTAAGAATCTTTTATTTATATTCGATAAGTTCAATGGTTCTAATGGTTCGAGAAATCGAGAAACCGAGAAAAGAAAAGGGAAAATGAAAAAATTTATTCTTGATTCTTTTTCTTTTAAAAACTTATTCAACATTCCCTTTCTGACCAACTTCGTACTCTTATTATTGATTGTTTAGAATAATCGAAATGTCCGAAGATGATGTTCGACAGGCGCTTTTACATCACGTTGAACGATTTCTTTGCTATGGTAAAAAGGCCGTAAAGGAAATGGTCATCACCAAGATGGACTATTACAGCTCATATCGGGTAATACAATTAACTTGATTGTTCAGAATGACTTGATTACCTTTGATTTAATGTCCAATCTCTAGTATACATTGGAAACATTGACAGAGACTCGATCAGTTGGTTGGGCATTTGATTCTTATGCTGGAATTGATCTGGACAGTCGTAAATGTGGACCACCACCCGATCCATGGGAGATTCATGTTCGAACACCCGATTCGTTTGAAACTCGGATTACAACATCTCAAGTTCCGGTTCCTCACACTGAGTACATTCAAATGTGCCACTTTTGCAATGAAACGGGTCGAATCACTTGTAACCTTTGCCGTGGACGATGTAAGGTAACAATTAAATTTACATCTTAGACAATTAAGTAAACCATTGGAAATTGTTACTCTTTGTATTATTTATTGTTGTTGGTATTTACTAAATTGTAGGTTGATTGTAGCTGGTGTAATGGTTTTAGTACCACGGGAGATCACACTTGCGTTCATTGTACCGGTGGTAAGGTCAAGTGTGGTCAGTGTAAGGCGACTGGTGTCCAGCGATGTGACCCTTGTCTTGGAACAGGGAAAATTGTTTGTTACGTTGCGCTTTTTGTTACATGGTAAATAATTAACTAATCACTCATCTCATTTTATATAAAATTCTAATCAAATTTCAATGATAATTATCTTATAATTACAATCAAAGGGCAAAAAATTTCGATAGCTGCTTAATTGAACACTCGGACATACCCAAGGACATGGTGAAAAAAGCTTCAGGAACTTTAATACTCAATGAAACGGATGAAAATGTAATCAACTCAATGTTTTCAGGTTACAAAAGTTAATTGGAAACTATTAATTAACTCGAGCCGTTTAATTTCAGATGCAAACAATTGAATATTTTCAAGATTCAAATATAAATCGCGATGGAATTGAATTAATGGACAAACACATCGCTCGTTACATTAACAAGGGAAAACCAGTATTCCATGTAAGTAAACATCTCCTTGACCATTGGTCAAGGACAAATTTCTCAACAATTATGATCGAATTGATGTTAATTAGTGATTCTCGTTAGAGACAAAAAGTTGCTCGAATTCCAATAGTTCGAGTTTATTATTCGTGGAAAACTTTTCTCGGACACTTTTGGGTCTATGGGACGGAAAGGTTTGTCTTTGCTCCAAATTATCCACAGAAAAGCTGCTGTGGTTGCACAATTAACTAATTGTTAACCGAAAATTACCTCATACACATTACCTCAGACAATTAACTATTCGAGTCCTTCCTACACAATTAAAATACTTAACCAATTGTTGTGTTTTATTTTTGGTTCAAGAGCTTCCAAGAGAATTGATTTAGTTCAAAAGAGACAATTAATTTCCAGTGGAAATTAATTCTCATTCTAAATGTTATCAATTAATTACCAAATTACAATTGTAACAATTTAATATTATTATGGCCCAAAGAACAATTAATAATCATTATAATCAACTCATCATCATGTGTTATTGAATAAACTGTTATTTATTTACATGTAAACTTAATTTTGTCTCATTTTCGTCAACAATTTAAAGATTTTAAATAAGTTGATTTATCGTCATTTAATTTACAGTAAATAAATCAATGAATCAATTGATCATCAATTTATTTCTGCTCTTCTCTTTTCAATATTTGTGTAATGTGAAAATTATCAAAACATATCCAGATCGTTTCCGTTAATCAATTACACAATTGTAATAATAATAATGTCAATAATAATAATAATAATTATAATTATAATAGTTAATAATAATATCATCTTAAAATCATAATTCATCTAGATCTTTAGCCTTCATTATAATATTTGAATTGATTTGACGATTTTTGCTTTCTCATTTTAAATTGTTTAGATTGATGGTCCAGTTGATTAAACGTTTTTGTTTTCGTTTTCTTTTAAATATAATTGATTATTTTAACCAAATGCTTGGAATCCATTGTGAGTCTCTTTCCAATACATTGATTACTCTCAACAGTTCTTGATAAGCTTGTTCAATCTCGTTGACCACAAGAACTTTATCAAAATGATGACCAAAACGAGCTTCAATATCACGGGCTTCATCAATTATCGACTGGAGTTCGCTTAAAGGTAAGTTGCTGCCTTCTTCTTGACCTCGGTACGTTGAGGCGATCACTCGTTTTAAGGTCTCAATGTTGGTCGGTGGAGCCACGAAAACGATGTAAGGCTTAAGCTTGGCACCTTTGAAAAAAAGATTTTGCAAAAAAATGAATAAATTTAGACAATCACAATCAAAGTATTATAACAAAAAACAACAATCAACCTAAACGAAAAGTCAAACAATCAAAATACAGGTAATTCAATATCTTTGGATGGGCAAGTATATTAATGGGTCGAGTAAAATAATACACACCCTGTTTAGTAGTTGATTATTATGATGTAACTACAATAATAACCATAATAATCAAATTAGTTTTAACTGGATAAAAATAGTTGAAAAACATTAAACAATTACATGGATAACCAAACTTAATTTTGTTGAGCTTTTTTCATGTTTTTTTTTTGTATTATTATTGATCAACCTTAAAATTAATCAATGCTAATCAATTAGTAGACATGAAATTTATTATTATCAAATCTATTTCTAATAACCCGATTGATAATCAATTAAGATACAATTGATTTGAGTTATAAATATACTCTGATCTTTACGGGTTTGACGATGTGATGATTTTGATTGTTTGACTGATTGTGATGAGAAACAAAATTTTCAGTTTGTTGAATGTTCACAACTGTTAACTTGATAAGTTACAGTTAATATTAATTGTTAATTAATCTTTACCGGCATGTCCTTGTCTTAACATTGGAATCGCTTGAACATGTAAATTGAGCACACAAATTTTTCCAGACTGTACAACAGCTTCAATAGCACTCAAGGAGGTTCCGTAATAATTTTTCTCGAATTGTCCATGTTCAACAAATTTTCCTGTTAACAAATAGAGAAATGGGAAAAAAAACAATTATGATAATAGATTAGTATATTTGTTGTAATAATGATGGTTGGTTGAGTTAATAATAATAATGATTAAGATCTAATTTGTTAAAACACTATTAAAACAAAGAGAGAAACAAAGTTAGATTATAATGAATACAGGCTAAGATAATAATCATCAGTCATCTTTGAAGTTTCTATTGATGATGATGATGATGATAATGATGAACAGGGTGCGGCCATTTTATGAAAAGGTGAAAGCAAAAGTGTGACCTGAATAACCACAACATTATTGTCATTTAAGTTAATAGAGTAAACTTGTTGATACAGCTAACATAAAAGACAATTTCTGATGACAGTTATCTCTGCGAGACGGTTGTTTCAATAGGTCAATTTGATTTTCTGCTTTGATTGCACCCACAAAGTTTATCCTCACATATGCATAATTAATAATCAGTTTGATCAACTGTCATTACGAACCATCTTTAATGTCTTGCTCGAAGGCTTGACGTGATATGAAATGATAATCGATTCCGGAAATTTCACCATCTCGTCGAGGTCTTGATGTGTGAGGTATCGCTGCTGCAAATCGCTCAGAGTCTTGCATAAGTTTCTGTCGTAACTCATGTCGTCCAATGTTAGTTGGGCCAATTAATACAATCGGTCGCTGTAAATGATTATATATTTAGAAAATTTTATAAAAATTAATATAATTGTTTACTTATCGATTGAGAAAATGATAAATTTACCTTGATATTGGCTCTTGGATAATAAATAGAAACCTCTTCATATGTTAGACTTTCATCTGTTCCAGAAACTAAGCCTGTAAAAAACAACAGCGTACAATCAATATAACGTTTTGAGTTAATGTTCCGAAACTAAATTGATATTGAAAAGTCTGAAGTGTGATTTATTTTGATTTCACAGATCATCATAAAACCATGATGATGATGATGATGATGATAAGAATATGCTTACCCAACATTTTTCGATGCTTTTTCCTCCTGTTATGATATCTTTTACCACAATTGAATAAAATGGAAGATGCGGATTTTTTATTGGCGTGATTCTTGTAATTATGAGCAGATGTGTTATTACTATCGAGTAGCATTGATTGTTGCATTGCATCTCGTCTGAATTGTGAGGAAATTAGAAAAGGAAACAAAAAGAAAAGGCAATAAGATTAAATGTCATAATATAGCTAAATGAGAAATAGAGAGAGAGAGAGAGAGAGAGAGAGAGAGAGAGAGAAGAAAATTTATCATCAGTAAACACTCACTGCAACTGGAAATGTACAGAGGGAATTAGTCCTGCAAGTGATTGATCCTGTTCACCAAATCGATATGCTTGCCACCAATTAGTATCAGTTTGATCAATCACGTCGAGAATATCACCTTTCGAGAAACATAGACCCAATTCACGACAAGGTATGTAAACATCATCGTCTGGATCATAATCAAAAAGTGCTTTCAGGTAAATACGTGGAGAATGATTATCAATGGATGGATTGGTGGCAATTTGATCTCTCGAGTTGATGACAAAAGTTAATGTTCCTGTAAGATGATAATGGTGATGATGGTGAGAGAGAGAGGAAAAAGAAAGAAAGTAAAAGTTTAGAAATATTATTTTTTTCTGCTAATTCATGATGTTTGAATTGTTATTTCCAATTGAGAAAGATGAAGTTTTCTCTTTTGGAATTGACAATATAAATCATATAATTGTAATTTGTTGTTTCTTTTTGCTTAGTTACCTATCATTTCAGCTAAAAGGTCACAAACTTGATTGATATTTCGTCCTTTCATTTCAATACCATTAACTTCCAGTATTTCATCTCCTTCATGAAGTAAACCAGAATTTTCAGCAGCTCCACCCTTAACTATCCTACCGATTATCACACGACCATCAGATTCATTTCGCACGGTGGCACCAAGAGGTTCAGCGGTTGATTTCTCAATAATTACGATCCGAACATTTGGATCTAATCCGGAATTCAACGTGTCTTCAATTTCCATTTTAACATCTGATCATGAGAAAAGAAAAATATTAATACAATTTTTTTTTAACTAAATTAAATGGTACAACTAATTACAAGATAGAGAAATTCATGTTAACATTCATGATTGTTATACACGCATTTCTTTTTGTTGTTGTTGTTGATATGAATCAATTAAGTGAACATCCTTTTAATTAATAGTCTTTTGAACATTTCATGTGAGTGTGATGATAAATTTTGTTTTAAATTTACCTTGGCCGTTTGTTATGGTTTGATGATCAGATTTTAATGGTGATAATTGAAAATCTTTTACCGTTGGTACAATACGATCATAAGCGAAACAAAGTCCTTCCAATTCAAATCGAGTGAGTATTTCAAGTAGTTCCGCTGCCTCGCTACTTTCTGGATACTAGTAGTCATTTAATCATCATCATGATTAAAATATAATCAGGGTAATTAAGAAATAAATAATTGATGAAAATTATGATTGTTTTTAGATTGATTGAACACACAAGTATATACACACACACATAGGAACAGGTTGAACAATCATTATTGTTGTGTTTTTTTTAGGTGATGTAATTATACAAGTGAGATGATTATAAGTGAAGGTTATTAAAGTTGTTAATTTTTTTTCATGTTGATGTTTTTTTTAGATTGAAATGAAACCATGAGAAAATACATTATCAGGATAATTATTAACATGATGATGATGATGATTAAACACATACACAAGATTAGGAGATAAAGAGAAAGAAAAAAGTAAGATGTTAGAAAATGAATTGATAATAATGATTATTTGATAAATTATTGTTGACTCATAATAAGTAATTAACAATAACCATAGTAATGATAATTATGTTTGATTAATTGACTAACCTTTTGTGAAAGCATAACAATGTCACTCAGGAGATCAGTTGCCGGTATGGATACACATGGCAAGGAAAGTTGCTTCTGTTTTTGTTGCATAATATTGTTATAAACATCAACTAATTTAGTTAAATCAGTTTTGGTTACAAGTTCCTTTAATTCATCATTTAATTGTTGGACAACTCGGTCTAAAATTGGATTTAAATCTATGCTAGGAAGAGCTGTGAGAAAGAGATGAAAAGATAGAGAGAGAGAGAGAGAAGAAAAAAAAAGAAGAACAAAACAAAAGTCAAACATACGATTTTCTATTCTCATAAAATTTCAATGATATTATCTCTTTGGCCTCTTCTCACTTGTTCTGGTCACAAGAAAATGCACCAATGATTGTGATAATTGTTTCTATTTTCTTTTTAGAATACAATTCTAAAATGGTTAACTTACTTTCTGTTTGATCAAAAACTTCATCATCACCTTCAAAAGCATCATTAACAGCTGATGACAATTCGGTATTATCTTGGTCTTGGTTAACTTTTCTCTTTATATGTTCCAATTGTTTCAATTTTTTACTTTGTCTTAATGAGGTTCTCAGGAATTCATCTTCAGTTTTCTTTCGGCTAATATCTTCAGAATATTTTCGCAATTTATCAGCATCTAATTTGGTCTTTGAAGAAGGTGATGATCTACAATGGGTTTCACCATCAACCATGGTTTTATCATCATTATTACTATTGTTAACATTATTACTTGACGATGAAGATGATGATGATGTTGTGGCGGCGGCGGCGGCGGAGGTTGTGATGTTGGTGGCAATAGTTGTGGTATTATTGTTATTGGTTGTGATTGATGTTGATGATGATATTTGTTGGGTTGATGTTAAAGATGTTGTTGAATTTGGAGGTGCAGGAGGATGATTATTTATACGATGTTCTGGTGGAGGTGGATAGCGAGGTTTCTGCTTTACCATACCAACAAATGATTCAGGAACGTCAACAGGTACCTCCCTATGATGGCCTCTATGTATTTGTACTTTACCAGAGTTTAAATTTCTCGTTATTAAATCAACTAATTCCATATTTTCATCGCACAATTCGACACGTTCAGTGTCACCTTCACAGGCACTACTAGGTTTAAACAAACTCTTCTCAACTGTTGTATAATCACTTGGTTCGGTTGAATCAACGGCAGCAAAAGATGCTGATGAAGATGATGATGGCTCCTGTTTTGGTCCACCTTTCCGACGTTTGACCCTCAAACAAATGGTCCTTGTCCGTATACACTAGAGTTTCAATTGTAAGAACAAAAGTGAACACAGAATTAAAACAAAATATTACAACAACAACAAAAATCAATTTTTTTTAAAACACAAAAAAAGGAAACAAAAAAACAAAAGAATAAAAAAAAAATATCAATTCAACAAGTTAAAAGTTTGAGAGCACAAAAAGTTAACACAAACAAAACAAGAATTTCAGTTTCTATCTAATGGATCAACCGAAAAATCGATTGTTTCAAGTTCGATTTAATTTAATCGATTCTACCGATCGATTGGAGATTTGAAAGAAAAGAAAATCTTTACTTTTTGAAAAGAAAGAAAAAGACAAAGAGAAAGTTTGAAATTCGCGGTACCAAGAATCGATTAAAAATCGATCCACATTCGAATCTACCTGTTGGAGAAAAGGCCAACGCCCATTCCTTTGTTTTGGCAATTCACTTGTGGAGTGACTTTTATTCACTCCGATAGATGGAGTTACTTGGAGAAATTTTTGTCGACACATTTTTTTTTCAATTTACTTTTGTTCGTAACATAATTAAAATAAATTGTCATCAAATGTCATCAATAATCAAATCAATTGTGTTATTAATAAATGTCAACTTTGTCAGCAATTTAAAGGAGAATCAAGTTTTCTTTCATTGTAAAGATTGAATTGAATTACATTGTATATGTTTGGAGATTGGTGAAAACTTTTTGAGAAAACTTTTTTTCCTCACAATTAGTTTTAATTGTTGAAGATTATTGTAGTAATTATCATTGTGAAAATTATGATTGGTTATCAGTTAAATGTCTCAACTGAATCACCACCTATTAAGATAATTAACTTTTATCTTGATAATATTTACAATTCAAGTGTAACAATTAAATGTCTCTGGAATCTTAGTTTGATAATTTGTTTAATCACTCAACTAATTAATAGATATAATCAGTTAATTGTTACAGATTATATTGAATACAATGAAATAACTGAGACGTTTAATCAATTGGTTATTGATTTCTATCAATTTTATATATTAATTGATGTTCAATTATTATTTAATTCATCAAATATTGAAACAATTAATTTACTTTGGGATGAAATTAATTTACCACCAACAATTAACAATTTAAATTACATCTCATCAAAACGTAAAATGTCAACAATTATATTTATGTTAATCATTGGAATTGAAATTTATTGGTCAACATCAATATCAACAACAATTAGACAGCAATTAGTTTTCACCGATTTAATTGTAAAACTAATCACTCTCTTAATCAAATACTATTCAATTATAATTACATGGTCACTTCATGGTCCATTTTTAATTGAACTATCAATACTAATTTCAGCTTCATTTAATCACATTAATCAGTTAATTGTTTCACTTTCAAATGATCAAACTAAGACTGACAATTTATCCCAAACAATTAACAAAATCCGTTCAACTCATAACAAAATCATCGAGTTAACAATTAAAGTAAATTCAATGTTCAAACGAAACATATTGATAATTTATCCAATCAACTTGCTCCAATTAATAGTTAATATCAACTCGCTAATTGTTAATCATCAAATCTCCTGGAGATTAGTTAATCTTAATCACTTTCCATTAATTTATTACTCAATTGCACCGATATTCATAATCCATGTAACCTTAAGGTTACTTGAAGTTAATTGTAATTCCTTTGCAAGTTTAAATCAAATTTACAATCTATCTCACCGAGAACAATTAACAATTAAAAGTAAATATGAAGTAAGTTACAATTTAATTACTATTGTTAACCGTTAATTTAATTGTCTCTCTTAATTGTTACCATTAGATTGGTTACTTTCTATTTCGTATCAACGATAAAAACATTGGATTTACTTTCTGGAAATTAATGATAATCGGTCCAAATTTTTTCTCATCTATGATTACCTTAATTGTTACAATGATTATCTCATTACCTTTGATTGAAAATTTAATCTAATTAAATAAATACAACCAAACAATCATCGAGTTAATTGTTACAATCAATTTGGTCACTGGAAATGTTTTACTCAACCATTTGGGTTGAAAAATTGATTATCATTTAATAATTATTTACAATTAACAGAACAAAAAAATTAAAAGATTATCATTTAATTGTTGAACCGTTTAACTTGATAAGTTAATAGTTAACAATTTATTTTAATTGTTATTACCTTCATTCAGAAGCCTTTGATAATCATGAATTAATTGTTTGCCAGATTCATTTGTATTTAACAATAATAATCAACATTGTATTCAATTAAATTTTGTGTTTATTTAATTGTTAAACATTTCTTTTCATCAATTGTTAATGATTAGGAGAAAAAATTAATTTAATTGTTGGGTGAATTAATGAAAAATAAGGATTGCCTGTTCAAAGTGATACAATCAAAGTTAATTGTTAAGTTTTGCAATTCAATTGGATTGAACTAAATATGAAACTGAATTAACTTGAAATTTGTTTAATTGTAAACGTATTAATAATTTAAGTCTGCTAATTGTTAGTTAATCAAGTGGTTTAATCTTAATTTAGTTGAGTTACATTACCCATTTGAAATTGATTACAATCATTAATCATATTATTAACAATTAACAATTGGTGATTTCAATGGTGATTAACAATCAATGGGAAACAGGAAGTTAATTGATCAATTTAATCAATAGTTAATAATGATCATCATGATCAAGGTGAAAATTAATTCTCAACGAAACTTGAAACAATCAATAATCAACAATTACGATGGTGATTAACTAACGATACGAACAATAATTAAATGTTTATAAAAGTGATTAACTAATTGCTAAGAGAAAGGGAAAAGTTTAATTTTAAATTAAGTTGACTAAATTGTGTACAAGCAAATGTTGATTTGATTGAGTTTAAACAACAAAATCATTGCAATTGAATTAAATTAAATTAAATCACAATTTTGTTTCCCAATCGATTGACTTTCAATTTCAAAATCAATCAAATCAATTTAACTGGAAAAATATTTTATATCAGATTTAAGTTGATTTAGTTTACTCATTGATTATTGATTCCTAGTTTTTTCATTTTGTTCATTTTTTGTTGAACAATTAATTAAATTCAGTTCATATTGATAATTGTAATTTGGACTGAGAAATAAAAAAAAAACTAAATTTGTATTAATGTAATTACTTTTTTTCTGGTTCAATTAATTCATATATTTGATTTATGGTTGATTAATTGTGATATTTACACCGATAATTGTGATCACAACAACAAAAAATGAATAAAATTCTGATTGATTGTTGAATCTAATTACAGATCAATTGATTAATCTAAGAAAGTAATTAGAGTTACTATTAAACTTGAATGACCAATAAAGGGAATTGAAAAGCAACAACAATTAACAATTGATTGGGAAACTTTTTTGATTGCTACTCATTTGGATAATGATTATGATCAAGATAATCATCTTAATGATAAACCATTTGCATCAATAATTAACTCAAACTGAATTAAAAATGAGATGATCAACATGTGAGTTAATTGTTATAATCAAAAGTGACAAACTAAATTGTTGATAAGTTGAAAACAAAAACAAATTGTGAAAAAATAAAAGTGACAATTAATAAACCAATACTCACAATCAAAGTATCAACATGACAACAATTGAAACTTTACTTTATACAATTAAACTCAACTAAAGGAAAACAATTTAAACCAAATCAAAATGATCCATTGGAACAATTTAAATTACAATCAATAACTTCAGGCAATTAAGATAAACAATCAACTACCCATAGATTTTAATTTGGAAAATAATCCAAATCAAACCAATTTGTTGACAGGAAAATAGTTAATTGTTGATGTGATGAAAGCGACAATGGAACAGGTAAAAGAGATTAGAACAAAAAAAAAAGTTCTAACAGAATCTGAACTCGATCAGATTCGAGAAATCAACACAACCATCCACCCACCTAACTGACAACAACCACACCTTGAATTATCCCCTGAAGGGATTTCCATTCATGTGTAAAATTTTCACCATCATCATGTTCATGAAAATGAACCTTTAATGATTGATTGTTAATTGTTACTTAACCATTGACGATCAACATTTCATTCTGATTGTCTTTCAATTCAAAAAGAAGAAGCGAAAAAAATAAAGTTGATAATTTGTTGATTGTTTCTCTCATTTGAACAATTTAATATCCTAATGGTGAAAAAGTTCTGATTGTTATCATCATGAAATGTTCAGAGAGATATTGATTGCTAATCAGTGGTTGAAAACAAAAACAAAAACAAAAAGGAAAAAAAGTTAATTGTAGTTAATACAATTTTCCAGTTCAATTGATTGAACTTAAAATCAACAACCAGATTAACCACAATAGGAAGAGCTACAAAAACAATTAAAGGTAAGAGATAATTATAATGAAAATTGGATAGACTTTAATTGTTACGAATTAAATAATTAAACTGTAATATTTTAATTCCAGTGTATAAATAGATTGATAATAACACTAAGGTTGATTTGGTTCTAGAAACGATTAAGATTTAAACTGAGAAACCAGAAACTAATGAATATGAGATAATCAAATGCTGGCATGTTAATTATTCACCATTGAATAGTGGAGCAATTAAACTGTAATTACAATACGATATTTAAGATGAGAGCACACTGAGTCTTACCTGGTGTATATGTTGAATGATTTCTTGGTGAGTTGAAGTCTCGAGAGATTTACCATTAATTTCAAGTATCTCATCACGATCAGTTCTTTCTGCTGCTGAGCCTGAAGATGATGGTCAAGAATCACCCATAGAGAATCATCGTCATCAGATGACCAACAAGAAAGAAGCAAAAAAAAAGAGATGATATTATATAAGAGAAAGAAAAGAAAAAGATTTAATATGAAAATGGTAAAGGTGAACATCTAATGGATAATTTGGATTACGTTGAGAACTTTAATCACTATGATTAAAGAGAAATTAACTTAATCAACTAATGGTCATTGAGTGGAGATCAAGTTAATGAACGTTATTATTTTAGATTAATTTTATTCTAACAGAATGATTAAGATTAAGGTGAGAGGTCGAAATGAAATTCGGTTGTGTGATTGAAGATTTTTTTTTTGCTATTTAAATGATGAGGAAGAAACAATCGAATTTACTGATTATGATATTCGACTTTCTCTGGTCAGTTGGTCAAAAAGAATTGACCTGTTGTTTTGGTCAATCGCGAGTTCGAAATGAAATTACTAATAAATTGTTGGTTCTTTTTGTTTTTGTTTCGATTGAGTTTCGAAAGAAATTAAAAAGAAAATGTCAATAACAATGACCAATGGTCAGAATCTCATTGACTCTCATTCACTCTAATTGTTTGATTGATGAAGAAAAAAATTCTCTTCATTGATTATTTGTCTTCTTTTTTGTCAATTTGATGAAGATGAAGAAAAAAAGACAGAGAAAAAGAAAGGGAAACAATTAAAACGAACCCAAATCTCTGAACCAGATGATGAATTTTTTTTTCTCTTCTTTTTTTCCTAATAAATGAGTTCACGTTTTTTTTTCTTGTTAACCAATTGAATTAATTATGTAAAAGATGTAACACCTTCGACTAATTAACAACAAATCATGATTAATATTTAATTATCCATGAAGAGAGAGAGAAAGAGAGACAAACACAGGTAATGGTTGGATTAATCTAATGGAATCGCTGATGGAAACAAACTACAATGGAAATGAAGGTAAATCAACTAATCGTAATTAAGATGATCAAGATACTAACCTAATAATTTAATCTTTCCTTTGTTTTCTACCAGTGCAATCACATATCCACCAAGATTGAACATAATTGTCACAAGTTAATTGATTGGTATCAATGGTAAATCCTCACAATTAGTTATTGATGTGATTCGCGATTGTTTAACACTGACAACACAGAAAATCAAAGGACTAGACTTGGAAAGGTAAAAACTATCAATTGATTTAAGATGATCAATGGAATCAAGGTGAACATATTAAAGATATAATGATGAACATAATTGGATTTGTTTATTCAAAATTTTTACTTTGGAATAGAAGAAAAAAAAAGTCATTTCAAATGTCTAAAGGCATCGAAGTGGGAATACACATTGTTCATATTCATTGACGGTCGAGATTGATTTGGGTTTCGGTCTCTCTCACTCTCGGTGAGTGTTTGTGTATATGTGTGTGTACATTTTAAGAGTACACATACCCACACATACTACAGACAGTGGAATACACAGACAAGGAAAGGAAGAGAAAAAAAACAACAGGGAAGTAAAAGAGAGAGAGAGAGAGAGAGAGAGAGTAAGTTCGAAGAGGGAGAAATTGAGGAGAGGGATATCCTGGAATGGAAGCTTTGAGATGAATCTTAAGAAGCATTTCATTCTATTCCATGGATTCTCCAGCTCTCCCCCTTTTCACCATCATCGATCGAAAAGTTCACAACATTCAGAATGGATACAATTCTAATATCCATCATGGATACACAGGCGCAAGTTTCCACCAAGATTCTGGTTTTTCTTTCGCCTTTTCTCATCCTCATCATTCATTTTTCTCACAATATTTTCTTTTTCTCTTTCTTTTTGGGTTTATCTCTCTCTCTGACATACGAGAAAGAGAGGGCAGCACCCGTTAGCTGAAATGGCTCCCGTGAGGGAGTCAGCCTCCCTAGATGGTGACATCTAGAAGGGGTAAGACGGGGAGAGTCTCCAGGCGCCCCTTAAAGGCCATTAGGGCTCCCCTTCTTAAGCCAATGGCAGAAGGGGCCGCTCGCTGTAGCCTGAGAAATCCACTAGTTGTGGCTGGTTGAGCACGGCACCACACGGCTCGGTGTAACAGTGACAGAATGTGGAATCTCAATAGGTGAGAGTGGATAGAGGAGGATATATTAGGCTGATTGGAACAGAAGAAATCTCTCTCTCTCTCTCTCTCTCTCTCTCTCTCTCTCTCTCTCAAATTTTGTCTTTCTTTTCTTTCTTCCTAACAATTTCTACACTCTTTCTCTCACACAACTATTCAGATACAAAGTTAAACCGGGTAATCATTTGAAATATTATTCTCATGTAACCATGAGACATGATGACCGAAATGAGCCAGAATTGTTGTTTGCTTATTTGTTTTTTTCAGATTCTAATACATAAAAAAAAGGTTAATCACTTACCTAATTCGTTAAGATGTTGATTTAGATCATGAATGAGGTTAATTGTGTCTCAATGACAATCAATTCAATTGGAGATATTAATAGTTAAGTTTAGTTGATTTACAAGAAGCACATGGTTACAATTCACATGGTTTATCAACAATCTCATTAAGGTAAACACATACCTTAATAATAAGTGACCTTAACTTTTAGACCAAAAGTTTAGGTCATTATACGGAGCGGGAATTTTCAACTAAATTTGTCCCCTCGACTGTACCTGAAATTCAAAGGTATTTATAAAATCAACAAAGGTGATTCGTCTTCACCAAATGATGATTAACCTTTTAATGAAAATGATTTATTTTTAAATTCCTTTCATTGGTCATTTATATCATCGCAATCTTAGTTTACTTTATCATTTATCATTCTTTAATTGTGATCCTCCTTTTCACCTAATCACTTTATAGATTATCGGATGACAATTGTGATTTACATTTTCTGATGATCAATTACCTTCCTTGGTTGGTCATTCATAGACACTGACCATCGACTTTAATTACATGTTTAACCTTTCCATTGGAATAAGTGATTTTAATAATTTTCTGTTGACCATAATTACAATTTTTCTTTCATTATTATCAAAGTAAATTAATAATCATCTTCGTTATAATGTTATTAATTATTTCTCATTGATTCTTACAGAAATCGGCACGAAATCATTTCATCTAATTACGAGATTCAAGTTTAGACCAAGAACAATTAATCAATTGTACTTGTCGCGTCTTCGATTTTGATAAAATTGATTGATTTTGTTTTCTCTGAGACTAAAAATGATTCGCAAATTCAAGGTAATAATAATGAAGGAAATTATTTCATAGAAAAACATTTCCGACTGAGAGTTAATTGTTGGAAACTTTTTAGTCAGTTGGTTAAAGAATGATGATTATTAAATTAATTTGGTTTCAATTTTGGTAGTTACCCAAAATTAATATATATGGTAGTTTATTAGATCGGATAAAGTACACAATATATTGATTTGTCCCAAAAAAAATGACGTGCAAATAATATGATGATGATAATTAACCTCATATTAAATTGCATTGATCAAATTTGGGTTGGTAACGAGCAAAAATAGATGATATTTATAATTGAACGAGATTGAAAAGATTGGCTCATTGTGATTGTGATGTAATAATCAAATGTTAGTAGTGATGATGATGATGATAATGGTGGTGATGAAGATGATGATGATGATGATGATGACTTTCGTTAAGGGAGGAAGAAAAATAGGAAGAAAAATAGGAAGATAAAAAGATAAATACAGAAAGGAAACCATAAAGAGTTAAGTAATAATAACTGACGACTCCTGATAAAAACTTAAAGTTGATTATTGTTAATGATAATATGTATAAGGATTTCGTTAATTTAGTTATTAATAATATTGCTCCTAATGTCCTTCTGATTTAATTGTAATTCCTAATGCTTTCCTGATTGCTCGAGGATCACTAATATCCGCTGGTGTTGTATGGGAACTGATGAAAGTTGTTAATTTATCACACAAAAGGTTAGCCAATTTCATTTCATCATCGGTTGGTGGGATAGGTTGAGTTGTTGATGATAAACGTTGATTATTAATTGTTTGAAGATCATTGAGTAATTGTGTACTTTTATCTAATTGTGGCTGTATTCCATCAGAATTAGCATCTATGGGAATCATCTCTATATCTTCATTTTCTGTAATAATATTATCCTTTTCTTTATCTTCATCTTTATCATTTTCTTTTTCTTTCTCTTTTTCTTTGTCCTTTTCTTTCTGTAAATCTTTTAATTTGTTCATTGTTTTCGTGTGTTGTCCTTGAGTGAGAACTTCAAGCAATGAACCAACCATGTTCATCACATAATCATTGTCACTGGCAAACGAAAGTAAACTTTGGGTATAATGAAGGCCAATCTCATCTTCTCCATAGGTTGAAGTTAATAATTGAGTCTCCTCTTTGTTTAGAGTGGCAAAAGTTGAATCCATTGAAGGAAGGAAGGAGCTGAAAGGTGTAATTGTTACCGAATCAATTAATTTGATTCTATTTGTTTCAGGTTCTTTGTACGGAGGTAGACAGGGTATTCCTTCAGTTAATGGTCCAACTAAACTTCCAAGTGTAACGGTTTTCTCTTTCCCTTGACATCCAATGATTCCTAATGTTGTTGTTCCATCGGTTTTCTGACGTAAAAAACTTAAATGTGATCCTTCAGGTTTTTCCAATGTTAATTTATCTGCAGCAATTTTAGCTGATTTCTTGGCGTGAGCTAAAATCTGTTCAGCTGTTAATTCCTCATCGTCGATAAGTTCAATCTCACTATAATCGTTACTCTCTTTGTCAGGTAATTTCATTGGATCCATTAGATTATCATTTTGGGAGCTTTCAATTCCTAAAGTTTTCTGAATGGAGGAGTCAATATCCATAGAAGATGTTTCTTCCATATCATATCCAAGTTGACTATGACTTAAATCGGGATAAGGTTTGGCTAAATCGGGAAGAATATTTTTGTTAAATATTTTACATTTAGCGTAATGCCAAAGTTTACGCGCTGCCTTATAATAAATTGTCTCTGGCATATTGTAAACCATTGCATTGTCACAAATAAGTTTTACATCGCATCGGAAACTGTCCAGTGTCTCATAAAATCCTTGGTCAATTTTTTTCTTCATTGTACTGAAATCCATGGGATGGGAGATGATGGATGAATAACCGGGAGCGATCATATCGGTAACTGGCCAGGCAAAGAAATCGTGGTTATCCCGTTTTTGAAGCATCTTCAATAGATGACCAAGAAATTGGATAAATTGTGATTTACTACCAGTTTTACCGCCAGTTGATACAAGGCGAGGTGGAGGAGGTGATTTAGTGGGTAGGGAGGAGGAAGCACCTTCAGCGGGAATGGAATGAGCTTTTATTGAGATTGGTGTACCATAGGGTTGTGGTTGTTGTTGTTGTTGTTGTTGTTGCTGTTGCTGCTGTTGATGTTGTAGTTGTTGCTGTTGTTGTTGTTGTTGTTGATCAGCACTGGTGTGATGTTGAGATGATGAAGATGATTTTGAATGATGACTACAAGAGCTTCTTCTGTGATGTCTATGGTGATGATGTGAATGATGGGATCGATGATGACCATGTTTATGATGTTTCTTTGATTTCTTTTTCTTCTTTGCTTTTTTACTAGAAGATGAACTAGAACCAGCCATTAGAGAGCCGGCAACTAAATCTTTACTTGTACCATCAACAGCTAATCTTAATCGAGGAATAGTTTCATTTTCATAGGAAGATGATTGTTGTTGTTGTTGTTGTTGTTGATCTAAAATAACAGGGTTAGATGTTAAACTTATCTCTTCAGTCATCATATTATTGGTGACCATAGAAGATGATAAAGATGATGGTTGTTTGGTACTTCCCATCATTGAATGATCATGAGCATGGTGATGATGATTTAAAGAAGATGAAGAGGAAGAGGAAGATGTTGTATTGGTGGTGGTTGCAGTTGTGGTCAAATTGTTGGAAGAAGATGATGATGAACCGACTTTGAGAACAAGTTTCAATGGTCGTTGTTCAGATGGACTATCCTCATAACCAGATTTATGGTGATCCTTATGTTTCTTGTGTTTTTTTGATCCCATCACAGAAAAGGTGGAAAAGAAAAAAAATTTTTCTCTATTCAAACAAAAGAATAAAACTAAAATAAACAACAATGGAGAAAATCTTCCAACAAGTAGATAAAGATACAATTTCAATTCAAAATGGAACAAAATTATTTCCTAATCATTTACAGTCAATAAAATAATTAATTCCAAATGATTACAATTAAATAAAGAAAAAAAAACAAACTATAAACAAGAAAATAAAAAAAATCTGTAACCGAATTTTTCTAAGTAACAGTAACTCCATCTATCGATTCACATGTAAATTATTTGATTCGAAAAAATTTTTTTGTTTTGATTTCAATTCAATTTCTAAATTTTGATTACAATTTATCATCGATAGACAATTAAAGGTAATTAATTTTACTTCAATTTGGATTATTTTTTTTTGTTCCTTGTTTCAAAGAAAAGAGAAGTGTGAATATTGACCTTTTATAGTAAATGTTTTATCTGAATAGAGAGACAACTTGAAAATGTTAATTTCTAAATTTGTTGATCGTTTATTTTTGTTTTTCTTGTTTTTTTTTATTCTGAATTGTATCATGTTAATCGGTTAAAATTCTGGTAATATATTTGACTGATTCTTTGTGGCGAATTAGATCAAAATGGTTGATATTTTTAAAGGTATGTATTTTAACTTGGTGTTTGGGATCCAAATTAATCCAATTATCACAATATTGAAGACTAGGTAAGTTAACGGTTCCATCTCCGTTTCCATTTTCTGACTTGGGTGATGATTTGTAATCTTGTTTAAAATATTTTAATCTTTTAACTGTTTTCTCTCCCACACTATAGATACAATCAACACGAACGCCAGGAAAAGGTATATCGGGTATAATGTCTTTGGTTATATTCCAATTTCGATAAGTTTGACTTGCATTGAGGAAATTGAAAATCTCTGGAAAATCATTTGCTGTATAATCATGTTCCGGAGTTTTCAATATAACATGATCACCAAATACCTTTGGATTAGGTAAAAGATAAGCTAAACTTGGGAAACTCCTTTCAGTGTTTATAAATCTACTTTTATCATAGACAAAGATTCCCATGTTGTCACCTATTAACAATATTTTGCCCCGAAACAAACACAAACAACCCCAAAGGTACGTAAAAGAAAAAAATATATAATATTCCAAGTTAATTGTTAGTAATTGAAAATTTTCTCAGGTAAAAGGTTAATTTCATCTTCTACTCACCAACTGCAATAGCTTTTAAAGCCTTCATGGAACCACCAAAAGGAGCTGCAACCGTTATGAGACGATCAATATATTTATCCTTCCATACCTGAGGTTTATCATTCAAATAAGCTAATATTATATTACAACCAAGAGAATGACAAACCAATGCTGATTTACGATTATCATTGATTAGATATGTTTCGTAGACAAGTAGATCTAATTCCAGGAAATAACTATCTTTAAGTTCATCTAAAAGAAAAGGTAAAAATTGTCATAACAATTTATTATAAATTCTGTGCAAATTCATGTTATCCTTTAAAACTCACTTGGTGCAAGTCTAAAATCATATGGAGCTCCTCTGATTGATATATTTCTTATAAAGCCATTATTTGCCAATGAATCAACTAATTTGAACATATACAAGGCTGTCAAAGAAAAGACAATTTAGTTTAATTAATGGATGAAACATTAACGAAATCATATTTTTTTTCTTCTTCTCCTTTTCTTCTTCTCTCTCAACAGGGATAATAACAGAGATAATTAAATCTGGCGGATTAGTGGTGATATTGTTACAATTAACTTACAAGAATCAAGAAATTGGTAAGGATCCAAATCTTCAATGGAAAATGTGTCACCAAAACTTGCAGTTTTAGCGAGAACTCTTTGTTCACTTGGTGGGTGAAGTTCAAGCATAGCGAGTAAACAATCAATCTTATAAGGTAACAGGTAATCTTGGCTTAACCAAACTCTAAAATAGTAATCACTTGCTTTATGACAAGTGAAATCCTTTTGTAAAAGAAGCTTTAATTGTGACCCTTGGAGTCCAGGAATTAGGATAACTGGATTAAGTGAAGTGTTATCATCACCTTCGTCATCAAAATCTAAGGGAACCGAATCAATTTGTGAACAAAATAACTGGATTACTGTTAATATAATGAAAATAAGATTTCCACCACTAGGAATCATATTTAATGGTGATTTTTTTTTAATAATCAACGAGTTAAATTAATAGACAACAACGATTGGAAAATGATGATGATGATGATGATGATAATTATATATAAATTATGGTAATGATGATGATAAATTTAACACAAAGATTATTTTTCCCAACTAATTGCTGCTTGCGATTCAAATAACTATAATTACCCGATTGCAATGGTATTTAAAGTAAAAAAAGTCCACCAATTAACAAGGCTGATTATTGATCATAATCTTTACAAGATGAAATCAAATTTAATCAAAAGCCCGGCCCAGTTGATCAAACAATTAGATGAGAACGAGAAGCAAAAAAAGTTACAATTATCACCTTGATTATTTGTGGATATTGATTGTATTGAAAGAATCACCATGTTTCATAGGCGTGGACCATTAATTGTGATTGTTGATAATTTTCAATCAATCTTAACAATGAGCACACTTAAAGATTAAACCACAACAATCAAGCTTAATTGTGAATTTACAACATTGACTTGCCCCTTTTTTCAAGTGGCTCATGTAAACATTGGCCCATCAATTTCAACTTAATTAACAAACAATTAACCAAAATAGGATCTGAAAATCAGATGAGATTGTATTGTTAAATTATCTTAATCATCATATTTTCCCAATTATAATGATGAATCTTAATCAAAGTTAATGAAAATCACCAAATCTTAATCACTTCATCCAATTAACTTATGGTTAAATTTTCAATGATAATAATTAGTTTATTATTGTAACTTGATTTTTATTAATTTGACTATTCAGTTTGCTTGCCAAATTAAAATTAAAATCAAATTGATTTTGATTACAGTTGAAAATAAATCTTTTCAAAGACTTGACTTAATTTCTGGCTTTAATTGTTAGACTTTAATTGCGGAAAAAAAGTTAAATTAGTTTCCAATGGCAAAACTTTTTCTCATTTCTTGGCAAAAAAATCAAGAGTAAACATAATCTTTGATGATTAACTTAATTCACTCAACTCTCGTTCTGCTTAAATTAACTATAATCATCTGATTATCATGACAATCCTGATAATAAACAGTTAACAATTAAAAGCTTAATACAAAAATATTATTCAATGGCAACAATTAAGACCGAAAAAAAAACCATTACAATTATCATGGATGATCAAGAAAAAACCTCGATACAACTTAGTGATTATCTAATTGTTGACAAATTGTTAGCAAATTAATTAACGCATAACTAATAATCCAAGTTGAACAATCAAATTACTGATAGAAGTTTATTGATTCAAACAATCAAATTAATTGTTGTGTGACAATCAACATTTGGCAATCAATTTTGAGAAAAAAAGTTTTTCATCTAATTTTGATTAGATGATTTGAGATTTAATTGTTTAACCATTTTGATTGACATTGACACTGATTTTGAGTGTGAGTGTGTTAATTTAATCATGATCTTCAGGGTATGAACAATTAAACAATTTGCCAATTTACATCTAAATTGCAATTAAACCTTTTGCCAGGAAAAGTTTAAAAATCATGTTCAAATTGTTTAAATTACAATTAAAATCATTGCCATCATCCAGTTAATCATTATCATTACCAAAATTACATGGACTTAATTGTAATCAAATGTTTTTTACTAAATCCTTTGATTATGTTAGGATTAAATTGCATTAACTTTAAATTTTTGTAATCAAGCCAAATAATCATATTGTTCACTCGTAATATTATCATTACAATTTAAATCACTTCCAAACAATTTACTGAGATTAACCATATTACTTTACAAGTGATCAGGATTAAAATGAGATTAGGATTTGATTAGTCGATGATAGATAAGTTAATTAGATTTGTATCGATGATCAACTAATATATTAGTTTCTGAGCTTCAATTTAGTTAATTAACTTGATTAGTACTAAATTGGTCCATAAAAATTTAGCTGTAAATTAGTAATCAAATTGATTGGAGTTGCTAAATTTAGTCAATCATATAACAATAATATTAGAAAAGCAAACAAATCGATCCACAATTAACTAAACAATTTAGTAAAATACATCTAAATAAATCATCTCATCTAATGATCAATCAGATTAACAATTTAAATGATCAATTCTGTCATCTATCAAAGCTCAATAACCTTTGGGGAAAGCAACAAACTAATGGTAACAATTAGTGGACAATTAAGTCACTCATTCGAATCCTTGACAAATAATATGAAAATCATTTGGAATTGTTTTGTTGGTAAATGATAACAATTAAAATTAAGCCAAATTGTTAACCAGAAAATAGGCTAAATGATGACAATGATGACGATGACAACATGATCTTCATGAGCTTTTCATCATCATCATGTTTTTGGCTTTCATGATAAAATCAACATGTTGTTCAGATGAAAATAATATGATGAAAGTTGTTGCATTTTTTTACACAACAAACATGATAATGATGATGATGCAGATGAAGATGAGGTTATCCTTATCCTTATCATCATCATCATCATGAATATGATATACTTGGAACCGGAAGGATGTTGTTATTTAGGTTCCCTTGAGGGATCACCCTAAATTTGGGGCTTTTTTGTAATGACAAAGTTGAAGATGAAAAAAAGAGTGAAAATTTCAGATTCTGTCAAATTCATTTACTCCTTGTTGTTGTTTACTCATTTGGTGTAGCCCAAAATTAACTTTATCACCTCCTCATGTCTAAAGATACTTACATGATCATCATCCTGGAAATAATCATCATCAACAATTTAGATTTCATTAGTTGCTTTCATGTTGAATAATTAGCAGTTTGTTGAGACTGCGTTCTCATTTTGTAAGACCAAAAATCCGATCGTTTTTAAATTTAATTTCATTTTCCTCTGACAATTTAAAGCTTATAGGCTCATCTATATATCACAGTTAATATAAAATCTTAATTGTTGAGAGAAAAACTGAAACAAACTGATTCAGTTTGATTAATTTCCTTGTAATCAACACAATCAACATCGATCAACTTTTATTATAAAAGAAAAAAGTTTCTTTCAAACTTTTGATTTTCGATTTTTTTTTTTCTTGTTAATTGTTTTGATTGTTTTCTAGTGATTTAATTGTTAATCAAGTGTGATTGTAATTGAGATCACAGTTTACAATCGTAGTTAAAGGAGAAAAGTTTTTACTTCTTGATTAACTTAATCATCTTCCAATTTTTAATTCTCAATTCAACTTTCGATCAACTTTAATCACAATGTCCAAAGATTTACTAGTGTAAGTTGAACATTTCGGTTTTAATTGTTACCCTTTAATTTTGTGCTAATTAAACAATATTTTTCTCTTAATTGTGATTCTATCATTTGGAATAATTTACTAATTGTTTCTTTCATTTTTCTAATTGTAGCGAAGGATCAATTTTCGGTATTGGTAATCCATTACTCGATATCTCAGCCAATGTTAATGATGAATTCTTACAAAAGTAAGTAATCAAATTAATCACTTCTAATCTCGAACAATTAACAATTAGATTTTTATCAAAATGGATTGATTAGTTGACGAATTGATAACTCGCTGATTACTAATTGTTTCCTCTAAACTTGATTTGTATATTGATCGTTAATCGATTGAAATTTTATTAGTTATCAATTATCTAATTCGTTGATTGGAAATATAAAATTGGCTACAATCAACTAATCAGTTAAGTAATGAAAGAGTTAATCATCTTGTTAAATGATATTCAATCTAATAGATCTGAAAGTAGATACAAATGAGAAGTGTAATAAATTGTTAACAATTTAGCTGATTGTAGGAGTTTTCTTTGAGTAGGTGATAATATTTAGCTTCTTAATCAGTTAATCAGTTAGTTAGTTGGGTGATTAGTTGAAAATAGTTGGAATCAAATTGAGAAAAATATTTTCAAAGAATCTGAATCAACCATTGGAATCGTCTCATTGTTAATCATTTCCTTTCCAAACTATTCAGCTAAAAGATTTGCTCATTATAATCATAATTAGCTACCATTCTAATTGCTGAATAATGATTCCAGCTAATTTTATGCTCCAATTTAGTTTAAATTGTTTAAAAATAAACTAACAACAATTTACAAGTCGACTATCAAGTTGATAGAAACTTTTCCTTCCTTAATTTCTAACAATTCACAAGACAAATCATCAAACATCTAAATCAGAAAATTTCAAATTCCATATTCAATTAACTAACAAATTAACCAAAAATTCCCTGTTAATCCAATTTAAATCACTGAATTAACAGTTGATTTAAATGAAGAATTAAACTCTAACCAGCGCCATCTAGTGTTTCGAAAATGAACCAATAAAAAAGATTAGAAAAAAAATTTTCTTTTAAATAATTTAAGTCAAATTGTGATTAAGGAATTTAATTACTTGCGAATTGGATTAATTAATTGATTGTTTTAAATTCTATTTTTGTACTTTAATTCTTTAACGTGTGTTGGTTGATTTCTATTCTTTGGTTATCCAAATTAAATGAATTCTCATCTCTAATTAAACTGATTTCTCTTAGGTGGCAATTACCTAAAAATGGAGCCATTGTTGCCGGTAAAACACAAGAAAATTTATATGAAGATTTAATTAATTCTTTTGAAATTGATTATTCGGCTGGTGGTGCCTGTCAGAATACCCTTCGTTTTGTCCAATGGATTATTGGTAAAAACACTTCAGTCACAACCTTTGTTGGTTGTATTGGTAACGATTATTTTGGTCGGATGATGGAGAAAAAAGCAAAAGGTGAAGGTGTTAAAGTCTTATACCATATAGACAAGTCCATAGCAACCGGAACTTGTGCTGTTCTAATCACTGACCATGGTAAGAATAGGTCACTTTGTGCTTACCTTGGTGCTGCTGAGAAGTTGAACAAAGAAGCGGTTATTCGTAATTGGCATTGGGTTGATAAGGCGAGAGTTTATTACTCTACAGGTCACATTCTCTCGGTTACACCGGATTCGGTTATTGCCATTGCTCATCAAACAAACGTTGACAAATTTACCGATAAAAAGTTCATGTTCAATTTGGCCGCTACTTATGTTAGTGAGAAACATGGAGACAAATTAATGGAGGTTTTACCATATATCGATTTTATGTTCGGCAATGAAGAGGAAACTTTGGCCTTTGCTAAATTTAGAGGTTATGGAGTAAGTACTCAAGTGTCGCGAAAATATAAAACCCTTTTGCCTTATAGAGGGAATAAACAAAATTCTAATCCAATTGATTTTCTTTTTAATAGACAACAGATATGAAAGAGATTGCAAAAAAAATCGCCAATGAGCCCAAGACAAGTAGAGGACCTCGAATTGCTGTTGCTACCCAAGGATCAAAACCCGTTCTGGTCGCTACTCAAGGATCGGATAAAGTTGTTGAATATCCAGTTATCCAATTAGACGAGGAGAAAATAATTGATACCAATGGAGCAGGAGATGCTTTTACTGGAGGTTTTCTTGCCATGTACATTCAAGAAAAGCCGTTCGATGTTTGCATAAAGTGTGGAATCTATTGTGCTACTGAATGTATTCAGCGACTTGGTTGTACTTTCCCAAAGGAATTTAAATTCGCCCCATAATCTTAATCAATTGTTTTCATTGTTATTCGCATCATTTCAAGTCTTTTTTTTGTTCCAAATCAATGGAAAATTGTCCAAAGACTAATCAATACTCAACCCATGATCTTTTCTCTCCCTCATTTCATGATCATCTCTCTCTCTCACTCTGGTCAAAAGGCAAACCTAATAGTCGAATAATTGTTTCTTCGATTCCTTCATTTTCTCTCCATTTTTACACTCACCTTTTCTCATTCTCTTTCTTAGATTATTATTATGTAAAATTAGACCATATCGTCCATTAATTATTTAGATTATCTCACATAGACAGTCAAAGAAAAGCTGTATTACCCTGAATTTCGTAATTCTAGTTTGCTGATACGACCCAATTAAACTCTCGGATAAAAGTTAAAAATTGACACTCACCCGTTGATAAAACCGTGAGAAATCAACATGTAGCCGATTAATAATCTTGTTAATCAACAAGAATGAATGAATCATGAGAATTATGAGTTGGAACAGAAAAAAAATTCAGAAGTTTCCTTATTCCAGAAACGAAACAAACTCTTCAATAAATAGTCGAATCAATAAAATCAATCACAATCGAACCATCGGTTGATTCAATCGGTTAATATTTAAGAAATTAATTAGAAATCATCGTTAACTCAATTAATGAGAAAAATAGATTCAAAAGAAAACAAAGAATACTAATTAACAGGGAGAACACAATTAACACCAAACAATCAGTTTTATATTGAAAAATGTTTCGAATCAATAAATGAATCATAACAAACTCAATTGATTTGTTCACGAGTTTAACAACATTTTCCACCTTTCTTTCAGCTTCTAATTAAAATATCTATTGTCCATTTTTGACGATTGAATAATAGATTAACCAAATTTGCTTAAGTTTATCTATCAAGTTCACCCTATGGAAACGGAAATATAAGGTCACACTTAAAGATCAACAATTTGAGAGAGAGAGAGAGAGAGAAAAAAACAACCAATTATAAGAAAATTAATCCAAATTGTGACAGAAAAGTAAGATGACCCACAGAAAAAAAATCGTTAGATTTAAAAACAAAGATAAAAGCAGAAAGAGATGAAGATACAAATATAGAGATAAACAGATTAGCAAAACAGATAAAGATGAAAAAAACACCACCACATGGAAATAGAATCATAAAACTGCAATGGTTTCAGGGAACAACCAAAAAGAAGATGAGAAATCCTCAAAGCGAAGAGAACAAAATCAATTAAACTAAAAATTCTACAAATTAACTTAACCACAATAAAAGAGAAAACGATTTAAGAGATTAATGGATTAACAAAAACGAAAAGAAAATTCAAAAAGATGAAGAGAAGAGAAGAATTTCTATCCAACAGATGGAGTAACTGTCTGTTCTCTTACTGATTCTCCATTTAATGCAGCATTTTTTTAAGTGAATTAAATTGTTTAATTAAAAGTGATAATCAACAATTAATAAGTCAATTTATATTACAAAGTGTTAAGCTAAGGACGCTGGTCATTTTGGTGTAAAGTAAGTAAAAATTTACATAATATTCAAGGAAAAAATAATGAAAAAAGGAAAACATCTATAAGGAGAAAAATTTTGTTAGTGATACTCATCACTATCAACAGGAAAACAATTATAATTTTACTAATTGCGACATTAATTATTTAATTTCAGATGTCACAATTAGACATTACGAAGTTCGTTAAACGAATAAACCTAAAGGTTCCAACTAAGAAAAATTGGATGGAAGAAATAGCAAAAATTTCGACAAGAGAACTGGTGGAAATGGTGAAAAAAATATCGATTGTTATGGAAGATCAAGAGAAAGGTGTAATTACCCTTAATGAAAGAATATTATCCAAGATGTCGTACATCATCTCTTATGTTAAGGAGAATCCAGCTTTGGTTAGTTTGACATCGGAAGAGAGAGAAAAATTGGATAAACTTGGTTCGAACCTCAAGATGATTGCACCACCAATTCCGTTGATGAAAATGGATAATACAATCTCATATTCGTCGTGCTCGAGTGTAAATTCAATTTCACAAGCCTCATTACAGAATACAATGGAAAATGTGAATAATTTTGACTGTTTATCAGATATTCCGATTGAATCGACGAAGGAAAAATCTACAGAAAATGAGACAAATCTCAATGTAGAGAAACAAAGTGGAAACAAAGAGTTAACCGCTGAATCATTTATAAACAATACGTCACGAGATGAAGATGCGGTAACATCAAAGGAGGTAGAAACAAATGAAAAACAAATCGAAACAGAAGATGAATCTCAAGAAGATAAGCAACCAGAAGATGAAGAAGATAAACTAGAAACGTTAATCGAAGAACTTGAGGACAACCATCCAAGATACTTGAAAAGAAAATTTGGCGAAGTGGACCTTCATAAGGAAAGCATAAAGATAAGAATCGATAACGTTCGGAAAGTTAAGAAGGTTTTCCATAAGGTTGAGGATAAACCGTATCCTGACTCATGGAAACCGTGGTCTACTTCTTTAATGGATCCACTAATTCTGGTAACACACAATTCGATTCCTCCAAAAAAATTACTTGAGGAAATATCCAAAGCTTTACACTCGAAAGCATTAGAAGCTTTTCCGGCCAAAATGGTTCTAGGTCGAGAAGCTATTCGCATAATATGCTCCGATCTTCAGGACATTCAAGTAGCAAAACAGGCTTTGACAAATTGGAATGGTGATCTAACTATTAGAAAACCAGGAAATTACGACCCGAAAGTTAAATTATCAAAAATTCCAACGAACATCGAATCGGATGAACAAGCCATAACCTTGATCGATCAAATTATGATTCAAAATGGTGCTGGTGGTAAAGGGAACTGGTCTTTGCTTCAAGATTTAACAACAGATTTACGAACAAAACTGATTTGGTCATAACCGTTTCACCCAGAATCAGAGACTTTATTCAAGAAAGAAGAGGCAAATTTTTCTTCGATTTCAAAGAACTGAAAGTTTATGATTATTTCCATGTTAGTATTTGTTACCGATGTTTCTCTTATGAACATTCATCTAAAGTTTGTAAAAATCAAGCTCGATGTCGATATTGTGCTGGTTGTCATGAAGGTAAAACTTGTGGTGTTAAATTTAATCGATCAGCATATCGGTGTGATGTATGCATTCGTAGTCGCAAAGGGTATGATGAAAATCACACGCCTTTTGATTGGATTTGTCCTGAATATCAAAGGCGTTTAAAACAAGCGATTCAAGTGATTAATTACGAATACCAGTGGATCATGAGGGAGTGATTTAAAAGTTACCATTATTAATGAGAAAAAAAACAAATGAATGAAGTGAAAAATGAAAATTTCGGAGAAAAGACAATTTTTTTCCTCATTTCAACTACTAACAATTTTCTTTTAATCTTTCGTTTTGCTAAAATTTCATGTTTTCTACTAACACCGATAAGTTTTAATAATTTTTATCAAAAAAAAAAAAAAGAAAGAGAGTAAGACTCAATTATACAAAATGAAATGAAACAATCTTAGATTAACCATATTTGTATTTCGCGCTTAAGATAATACTTCCAAAATATCACCTGGAACTTGTTTCAAATTAAAACATTAAAACCAAAACAACACTTACCTTATTTTGTTTATCATGTTTAATATAATCCATTGGAACATCCATAAATCATGGACGAAAATGGAAGAAATGGCTTCAATAAGTTCATCAGAATCCGTAATCTCAGTGAATGAAGTTTCATCGAAGTGGATGGCATATCAGATAAACAACATGGCGGATGAAATTGAATCGCAAGGTAAAAAGGATTTTTCAGTGATTAAATACAAAGAAAGAATCATTCTATCCAATCATCAAACGTGCCTGATCTTCTCGTCTCAACTGAAATGGACCAATCTAAATATAAAATTAAAAAACGTGATTGGGATAGAATTAATAATCAACAATCAACAATTCTGTATATTATCGGTTTACAGAGAAGCTGGGAAAGTAAAATTATTCTTCGAGAGACTGAAATGGATTATTAATCAAATGAAAGGACCGATTATCTTGTGTGGTGATGTAAATGCGGAACATCATATTTGGTCACCGAGAAAAGATAAATTCAACAAAATATGTGAGAAAACGTTCGATAAAAGATTCATTTCAGCTCATAAGCCAATAGAAGAAAATTTCACCTATCAAAATGGTGAACTGAAATCTTACATTGATATCCAGTTGGTAACGTCAGGATGGTTGATACTAGAGTCGGTAATTAAAGCAACGGGATCGGATCATAATTTATTACAGATGAAGGTCATAGCGTTAAGAGGCTCAAAGTTAAGCAACAAATGGCTATTGAAATTCAAAGTTGAAAGAATCGAGATAGATAAAAAACCCTTACTACCTTTGGATGCAAATTCATCGCTGATATGCAATATAAATTCGATTATGAATTTCCCGAGGAGAAAAGGCAAATGGATAAACAAAACAAAATCAACTACATCAAGAGGATATCGGAGAAAAATAAGAAGAATAAGCTTGGAGGAGATAAAAGAACTTCGGAGAAAAAATGGATCGATGGAGAGAAAGATAAATAAACAAGAAAATTTCTGGAAACTGATGAAAACGCTAAGATTCAATAATAACACTTTGGTTCTACAGGATAGTGAATACAAAGGAAAATATGAGTTGTCCATCAACTCATATTTGATGAATTTCACAAAAAACAAACCAATATTCTCAGATTTAAATGGTGAAATAACTGAAGGTTATCTCCACGAGGAAGAATGGCAGATGCTGGTTAAAGAAATGAAACATTTCAAATCGTCCCTAAAGTCGGATGGATTCACAAGAAAATCATGGTTGAAATTTTTCGAAAAGAATATAAATCTAATGAGACTGGTAATAACTCAGATTTTCAAATTGTCTTATGTACCTGAATCTTTACGAATAATGGGAGGAGGTTTCGTACCAAAAATGGACACGGATAAAGTTCGTATGATAAAGGCTCCAAATTATCTATTCAAATGTGTGGACAAGGTTTTAAGTCACCGACTACTAGAGATATGCGATGATTTTCTGTTACCAGAATCGCAATTTGCCTTTACCAAAGATTCAAATCGAGAGAAACTGGTGAAACAAATGGTGTTCCAATTGAACTGGTCGGAGATAAAGTTAATCTTGCTAGATATCAGCGCGGCCTTTGATTGTGTGGACTTATCAAACTTGATAAACAGATTAAAAAGAAAAAACATTTCCTTAGCCAGTCTGGTGAAATCATTTGGAGGAAGGCGATGGATAAGACTGGTGAGAGATAAAGTGAGCTTCTTCACGATGGAAACAATTGGTACACCCCAAGGTTCATCTTCAGGTCCGATTTTATATATCATGGCGATCGATGAGGCGATAAGAAAATTGAGAGATCGTGGTGTCAACCTGAAAGCATATGCAGATGATGTGATAGTGATAACATCATTAGATGACGAAGTGGAACCTATTACAAACGATGTAAAAGATTTTATGGGAAAGTTGAAACTGAGGTTAAATGAATCCAAGACAAAAATTTTCAGTAGAGAATTTTCGGAAATGGTGTTTTTGGGGTACAAATTTTTCATACCCTTTAGATACACGAAAGTGAGGAAATTTCTGGATGAAATGTACTGTGAACTACTGGAAAGCTTTAAATGTAAAAAGAAGACGATGGAATTTATACCAATCAGTCTTAAGAAACTAACGATTCAGAACATAATATACCCGAAACTCAGATCGATAGGTTATTCGATCTTTCTTGAACCAAAAGATAAATTCTTACGACTTTTCTCCTGTATGAATCAATTACTATCAATTTTCGAAGCTGGAACCTTTTCGGGATCGATGATATGGAATATCTATGGAATTGATCACATATTGGAACAATTATGGTTAGAGTCATTACATTTTTCTTCAATCAATCAATCAAACATTCATCAGGATTATTTATTCGAAAGAGAACATCTTTACATGTGGATTAATCAATCATCGAAAAGAAAAATAATGGAGAGAAAAAAGGAAAATCATTTGGAAACGTCGATAGAATATTTTATAGAAGAAGATACAATCAACGTTGGAGTGGGTCCTTTTAACGTAAACTCTTATCAACTGGACAATGCGAATCAATGGGGAAACTACTTGTCGATCGTTACAGCACAACTAGAGTTCAATCGCCGAGAAGGAGAATCAGTAACAGTAATTGTTCCGAATAAAATGAAACTATCAGTTGATTCCCGTTCGGCATATGTACAGGACATGTTTTCAATCATGAATGAGTATTCGGACTTGGAATGGAATTGGATGTATGGACCGACAATCAAATACGAATTCAGCCCAAAAAGAAAACAGAAAATCACAAATCAAAGGAAATCGACGAAGAAATGGAAAGAAGAGACGAAACTAAGGATTAGGTCGAGATTGATAAAATGGCTAAATGAAGAAGGTGATTTGATTACTAAGATATTTCCGAACTTTGAACAAATAGTAAATGAGTACGGTTACATTGGGAAAATTTACTACAGACAATTGTTAACGGAACTCAGATTGAAATTCAAAACAATCAATGATCTAAATTGCTGTCCAGATGAGGAAAATCACCACTCATTTTATTGTGAAAAAACACTCGCAACCGCAGCAATGGACATTCAAACCACAGAGAAATTTCCGAGAAATTTCAAACTAAACAATAATAATGTTAACGATTATATTAAACTAATTCAACATGTAAAAGAGACCTCAGGGGAGCTAAGATCATCTAATTTGTTATTTTTGTGATTGAGTCAATCACCTAACTTTACCCTAACCCCTTCATCTCACTTGTAATCCCTTCCCTGGTACGGTAGTTCATACCGGAAACGATGAATTTTAATTCATCGAAGCCTCCCCTGAGGTCGCTGTTAAAGCTTAAAAATAAACATTTAATTTGCTCCTATTTTCCTCTCACTTCTCATCTCCGCCTTAGATTTTCCTCTTCTCTGTGTCTCTTTCTATTTTTCTCTTTCTTTTCTATGTATCTTTCTTTTTAAAAGAAAAAGAACTCTCTGTGTGTGTTTATCAGTACAAATTGATTGTTATTAGTTAATTTAAATTAAATGTGAAATTTGTTTCTCCATTTCCTTTGTCAAATCCACCATGATAAACATCCCCAGGATCCAAGTGTTTCGACCTACTCTTGAGGAGATGAAAGACTTTGAAGGATATATCGATAAAATTGAGAAATTAGGTGCTCATAAAGCAGGCCTAGCAAAGGTAAGTTGTTTTTTTCTTTTCTCTTTTTCATTTCGGTTAATAAACCAATTTTGTTTACCGTTTTCTTCTCATTTCTTCTCTCCTGGTTCACCTTCTTCTTTGTCTTTTTTTTGTCTTTTGTCTATTTACCTTCTTCTACTTGTGTGTTCATATTCTTCTCTTCAGATTATACCTCCTCCAGAATGGAAACCTCGACGTAAAGATCCAGACTATCAATCTGAGGAAATAAATTCACTTGTTATTAAAGCTCCAATACAACAAGTTGTTCAAGGTCGATTAGGCCTCTATCAACAATATAATATACAAAAAAAATCCGTAACAGTAAAAGAGTTCAAAAAACTTGCTGATAGTTCAAAATACCGGACACCTGAATTTTTTGACTATGAAGAATTAGAGAGAAGGTATTGGAAAAATGTTGCTTACAATGCACCAATTTACGGAGCTGATGTTCCTGGTTCATTGTATGATGAAGATGTTGACGAATTCAACATAAATCGACTCAATACCATTCTTGATATGGTTAATGAATCTTATGGTATTAAGATTATGGGTGTTAACACTGCTTATCTATATTTTGGTATGTGGAAGACCACATTTGCCTGGCACACTGAAGATATGGATCTTCATAGTATCAATTATCTTCACTTTGGTGCACCAAAATCATGGTATTGTGTCCCACCTGAGCATGGACGAAGGCTCGAAAGGCTTGCTGCTGGTAAGTAATTTCATTAGAAAAAAGAAATATCTATTCTTTTTTATTCTCATCTAATACTTTTCTTTATCTCCTTCCTTCATTAACAGGCTTCTTTCCTTCAAGCGTAACCTCTTGTCCAGCTTTCTTAAGACACAAGATGACCTTAATTTCTCCAGCCGTCTTAAAACAGTATTCGATACCTTATAATAAGATAACTCAAGAAGCTGGTGAGTTTATGGTTACTTTTCCATATTCTTACCATGCTGGTTACAATCATGGTTATAATTGTGCCGAATCAACTAACTTTGCAACAGTTAGATGGGTTGAATATGGAAAAAGGGCAACTAGGGTAAGAAAATAAATATTTTTTTCTTTACTTCATTAATAACAAGTCAATCTCTGGTCAATAGTTTCTAAAATATCCATCATCATACACATTAGCTTTAAGCATCAAAGCTACTCCCTTGTGGGCATTCATTTTTCTTCCATTTTCCTGTTTTTCAAGCTCACGTTTCCTTTTCTCTTTTTTTTCACTTATCATCTTCCTTCTCCTTCTTCCCTAATGACACAGTGTAACTGTCGAAGTGACTCCGTCAAAATAAGTATGGAGGCTTTTGTCAAAAAATATCAACCTGACAGGTATGATCTTTGGCTACAGGGTAAAGACATTGGACCTCATCCAGAAGATCCTACTCATATCTCACCTGCACCTTTACCGTCTGACTATGAACTTGAAGTATTATCTAAAGTGTAAGTATTCATGTATATTGGATTTTTCTTTTTGCACACAATCAAAGTATAATAACAATTTTTTCTCTCTCTCTCTTATTTTGAAAATTGAATGAACCACAACCTCTCTCTCTATCTCTCTCTCTCTCACACACACACACAACATCTAATCTCTGTTTCTCTCACTATGTGATCCAATATCTTCAATATTTATTACTTACAGTGAAACACACAGAAAGGAAAAGAAACGAAAGACTCATTTATCTATTCATACATTTAATTCACAGAAGCTCTATTTCACCGATGTTCATCCTAAACTTTGATTAACTTATGTGATCTCACAACACAAATTTATATAATTTAATTAATTAGATGAAGATGAACATATTTATCTATTTTTCTTGTCCCATGTTTAATCAGCATCTATTCAAATGATTATTATCATTAATCTCTCATCCATTTACTATATATTTCAATATACATAAATGTATATATATTTATCCCTCTCTCTCTCCTGGTCTAGTCAATCAATAATCAACTTAATTGTTATTTCTCTGTCTTGTTGTTTTCTCTTGTTGTTGTTGTTGTTTCTTTTGGGTCTTCAACCCCTTTTTTCAATTATTACTTAAACATTATCAGAATTAAAAGTATGATGCAACTAATTTAATTAATTACAACTTACTACATTTTTTTTTACGTTTTGGTTAATCCCTTTTTCATCGCCATGTACACAGTAAATTTTATTAATCTCTTGGCACTAATCAGTTAATCAAAACAAGACAATTTCTCACTTTCTATTGGTCATTCATTGTACTTTTAATCATTTGATATTTATATCATTTTTTTCAATTATGACTACTCAATTTGAGTGTTCACTTTTTAATCCTTAAGCGTTTTTGTCATCAACTTTCACTTTGTTTATCTTTTACACTCTTTTACGTCTTTGAGTTGACTAATTGTTAACGAAATTGTGTAAATAGCTTTCAGGTTATAATCCTAATTAGTTATTTGTCTTACCTTAAATTTGATTCACTATAATGATAGAAACATGAGCTAATTGTTTCTGATAGTTAATTGAATCTAATTTGTATTGGCACTTTCATTGTTCAACAAAAGCTTATCTATTAGTTTTACTTGTTGACACGATTATTATTCACTTTCTATTGTTTATCTATTTTTTTATCTCTTAATAACTTTGTTGTTTTCTTTTTTTTTCTTCATCATCTAGGAGCAAAAGTAAAAGGCATCCACCATATAAGCCTGAACCTGAATCATCGGACACAGAATCTATGGATAACCATAGTAATCATAATAATAATGTTCATTGTGATCAAGTTCCACTCGTGGTTTCAGGTTTCCCAACAAAAGCTGCTCTTAAACATTTTGAAACTCCAGGACCTTCAGATATTCAACAATTGATTCAGAAACATGGATTCGGAGAGGATGTTATGAGTAGTATGAATTTGGATCAACATTATCTGAAAACAAGTCCACCGGATATGAAAGATGCAGTGAAACGTATGAAAAATCGTTTTACTGTTCCAAAAAGTTCTCCTAATAAACGTTCAAGAAAATCTTCCTTACCCTCTGCCACTGTTTCGATTGCTCCCGAAACAGCAACTACATCCAACGGAATTATTGATAATAATTACAACATGAACAATGATCAATTTCCATTAACACCACAAACAGCAAATCCATTAATTGATACCTCATCAAAATCTATGTGCACACAACCAGCTCATAGTTTATTACCATTACCATGGGTCTCTAAAGGTGGACATGATCCTGGAGCCTTAAGATTAATTGATAGATTTCTCAGTTGTGACTTACAACCCCCGACAATGTTTTCACCATCAACATCAACAAACTATTATCATCCCTCAGAACATAATCATCTTTCATCAACTGGTCACACAAACTACTATCACCATCCTTCAAATCAACCCCATCCACCAACAGGACAATTAACTTACAATTATCATCAACCTGAACCTCATCATACAACAACGGAACCTTCAGATTACTATCATGCTTTAGAAGATGATGAAAAACCAACTGACCTGTCGACATACTTTCATCACACAGATGAACACACATCAACAATAACAACAAATGATTACTTTCATCAAGCAAACACATCAACATCATCATCAAATCAAGATCTCATAGTAAAAACCAAAAAGGTTCAAAGTGATGTAAGTAATCAATTAACCATTTAACCCAATGCTTGACATAGTTGCTACCAGATCCTCTCTTACTCCTCCATTTACACAATCATCACCTTATTATTATCTCCTAATTCAGGTTCTCCTTTAAATAGTTTTTTTTATCGAATCCGCTCAACTAGTCGATAAAAATGTTCACTTTCAAGTATTTACTCATCATCTCTTTCATCACAATCAGCTCAATTGCTTCACCTTCACCTTCAAACTCTTTTTTTATCAATTATTGTTTCTCACTCTCTCTTTTCTCACTCACTCTCTCTCTCTACTTTTCTGTGAATCTGATAGTTAATCTAAAATGTTTAGAGTAAACAAATACGCAAAAGAAAATATATTTAAACACAATGTGTGTAATCACAAACAATTTGATTTTCTCACATGAAGTATGATTAACTTTCATTTTTACTAACCTATTTTTATTCTGTTGATGTGTTGTTTATCCTTCTATCTTCTAGGATTTGTCTAAGCTGTTAGCTGATGAAACTTGTAGCCGCGATTTGCGAGAACTTTTAAAGCGCGTACCTGTCCAACCCTTTCTATACCAACACTTACCTTACAATTTTTTTGGTGAACAAATGTATAACAGTTGCATGTCAAGTGTGTTCCCATATTGTTCTGTGTGTATAGTTATGAGAAGATTTGAGATCCCCGATGATTGGGTTGAAAAATACTCTAAGATACCTTCCTCTAGTCCTATTTTAATTCCAAAGGCCACTTTTGCCACCAAAGTGAAAGACGAGAAAGATGAGAATATGATTTTAGAACCAATATCTCAATTAAAGCTTGAAGAAGTTGATATATCTCCGTTACTAGTTTGTTCGGATTGCAAAGTTTGTGTACATTCAAGTAAGTTTTTCAAAATGATTATAATGTTACAAACAAACAACAAAAAAGAACAACATAAAAAAAGTTCTGTTCAGATGATTAAATTTAAATGGTTGGTAGGGATGAATTTGATTGATTATTCAGGGATTTGAATTAGCTCTCTCTCTCTCTCTTTCTCTTTCTCCATCGTAATAGCAATGTAATTATCATTGATTCAGTTTGATTCAGTTTACTAGCTCATATCAATTCTCTCTCTCTCTCTCTCTGACAATCTTTCACAATCCATCCTTTTTTTTGCTATGCTAAGCATTGCTTTATTTTAACCAACTATTTAATCTTAATCAGATTTTAATTAATATATAAACATTTTCTTTTTTAATATATCTTTTTCCATCTCACAGTCTGCTATGGAGTCACCGATACACTAGAAATTGAAAGTGATAATTGGCTTTGTGATCGCTGTAAAGATAAAAATTACGGTGTACACTGTTGTATTTGTCCATTGCGAGGAGGGGCACTCAAAAAAACACAAGAAGAAAATAAATGGGCTCACCTAACCTGCTCATTATTACAACCCGGGGTTATTTTTAAGGATATTTCTAGTAAAATGCCGATAGATATTAGTGGTATCAAACGCGAATGGAGAAATTCACGCATTGTAAGATTTTCTTTCTCTCTCTCTCTCTCTCGAATTATCTTGTGGATTGAAGATTATCGGAATTTTCCATCTCATTATACTAATCAAATATTTTGCCTTTTTCTCTTATTTAGAAATGTATATATTGTCAAAAATTAAATCACAAGCTTGCAGATTATATCGAGGGTTTTTGTATTCAATGTTTTATGGCACCAAGATGTTCAAGTATATTTCATACAACTTGCGGCTATCTAAATGGTGCCAAATTTGAAATGGACGATTGGCCTTTTCCACTAAAAGTTTTCTGTACCCGATGTATGGATAAGACGTCATATAAAAATAATGCCATTAACAACGAGGATGAAGTTGATTTAGGAACTATTGTTTTAGCGAAACATAAAAATAGACGATACTATGAAGCGACTGTTGTTGATAAGAAAAGTTTTATTTTACATCATGCTCACCTTGATGATAATTCAATTTTACAATCACTTACAAGTTCAGATATTTTGGTGAGTTTTTTGTTCTCATTTATTAATATTATTTCCACAATTATGTTCAATGTTAAAATATACTAATCGATTTTCTTTTCGCAATTTTGATTAACAGGAACCTGACATTGAAAATGATGGAATACCAGCAACTGGTGATACCATTAAAATTACATGGGAAAAAATGATACAATATGGCAAATATGCTGGTAACCATACGTTGACCAAATATTCACTTAAATTTGATGACGGTTGGCTGAATAAATTGATTACAAGAGATACTTTTTATCGCCTTGATGAAGAAATTCCCGCCAAAGTTCAAGCTAAAAGGGTATGAAAACTGATCAACTTCTTCATGATATATTTTCATTCTCAACTTATCTTGTTTTCACTCTGAGTAACAATTAACTATCTCTATTATATTCCTTTCTTTTCTTCCCATTACAGTCCCAAGCTACTGAGGTTAGTGTTGAAAGCATTTTCTGGGCCAATAATCGCAAAAAAAATAAAATCTTGATCGACTAGGAGTAATATTTACATCTACTATTATATGGATCAACTTTAAGAAACAAAAACAATCGGTGGAAAACAATCTATTTAATAAAAGGATTATCATTTTATAAATTTCATCTGTAACTCATCTTATAAATATTTAAATTCACCACTAAACTGGAAACAAAATCAAACCTGCGAGGAAGATGAATAATTAACTCATTATGATAACGAAAACCAAAATTTAAATGGATAAACACAATGAAACCATCTCATCACTTTTGTTTTTGCCCCCTCTCTCTCTCTCCCTTTCTCTTTCTCTTTCTCTCTCTTTCTTTTTCTCTTTCTCTCATAAACTTGCATCGGGCATATAAATTGTCTCATCTCTTTTCACTTAATTGTTAATCGAATACGCAAATTTCATTGGCATGGATATTTTTTCTTAATCAAAACCATTATCCTTTAATCAAAATCACTTTTTCTCTTAACCGTTTAAAAATTTCCCTTTGATTCTTCTCGTTACCAAAATTTGTTAAAATCAAAAAAAAATTGTGCCTTCTCTTACCACTCTATCCTTCCAACTACCCACCCTCACTCTTCACCGGGTAAATCCATTTTTATTCACTTATTAATTTCACTATTTAACGTTTTCTTTTGCTCATCATTTGCATTTTCTCTCAAATCTCTAATCCATACCTCATCTCTTATATATTATTTTTTGATCTCAAATTGTCTTATTCATTTGTCTTATCCCTTTGACTTTCTCTCTCTCTCTCTCTCTCTCTTTTCTCCCTTTTCTCAAATGAAAGAAACGCAATGTATATTCATCCAATATTTTTGAGCGCAAACATCAACCCAAATCTCAAGAATCGCTTCATCCATTCAAACATCAACTTCATGAAATCACTTAATCTTGATTAATCTACTTTTTTTTGTTGTTTTCACAAAAAAAAATTAACTGTATAGATCAACCAAAACCTTAGTATTTCTTACCCAATCCCTTCAATGAAAAATTCTGTTGATGCAAAAATTAAACAAAGAAAAACAAAACGAAAACACGAAAAATTAAATTGTTGATAAGAAAAACGCATGTAATCACAATTAGCAGAATAAATTAATTCCTCTAATTTTACCTGTGAATTATAATCAAAATCAAGTCGACACAATTAATTTCAACTCTGCAAGAAAAACCAAAGAGATGAAACTTTTCAACAGAAAAGAAAATTAATCTTCTCAACTTTATCGATGATTAAAACGAATCATAATTAATCGTGTTGATTAAATTTCACATTTTCTTAATCTTAATCTTAATCAATATGATGTTTAATTAACTGGAATCAGAATAGATTGTAATTAAAATTTGTTTCTAAAGTGAGTCTCAATCGTTTAATATTTCAGGTCAAGATCGGACTTTGGTCAAGTTTAAATAGCCTCAGGTCAAAAGCCGTGATGAACTCGTGGTTCCGTGTGTCAATTTAACATTTAATTAATTAAATTAAAATGTAATTACTTTGGGGATATTAATCTTAATGCTATAAAAAAAAAGTAATAACAATTAAGAATTAAAATTAAACGATTGATACTTTAATCATCTCTAAATTGTTACCGATCATTTAAAAGTAACTTTTTCACTTCTCATCTCTAATTAATTGATTTGATACCTAAAATTTAATCCAGTTATTAATAATTAACATTATCGTTAACTGATAATGATTTTCAATCAATTTTATTAAATCAGATTAGTGATTCAAATACAATTAGATAATTTTTGGTAAAAACTGATCATTGTTTATCTGCCCAATCAAGTCAATCGATTAACTAATTAAACTAATCATCTATCAGCAATGAAATAATTGTAAACAATTGAATACAAGATTAAATTGAATAGGAATCTAAATCGTCACCATGATTAGAAAACAAATTAAATCAAATTGATCTGATATTATATTGTTAATCTAAATTTATCAACTTAATCATATGGTGACAAGTAAGCGGGACCATTTTAATCAAGGAATCATGATTAACCTTTAGGAATTGAGATATAATTTAAAATACGTGATTTGAAAGGTAAAAATTAAAATGAATCAGAAAAAAGGATCTAAATGATTGACAGTTTTCATGGTTAGTTAAATTTGAAGCGTTTCAATTAACCAAGTAAACACGAGCACAAACAAGAGCACCAAAAAAACACCAACATTGGTGTTGCCATAAAAATCAATTCGGTACTTGGCTAAACCAATTTCACTCTTTCTTTAGAAAAAGGGTTTGGTCTTTATGTTTTTCTCTTTCTTATCATCATCATCATCATCTTCTTCATCCATCTTCTCCTTCCTTCATCAATTGTCATCGTCTTCTCGATCATCTCGATGTCGCTATCTTCGTGTCGTTCTTATCGTTGTCTGACATCGGGAAAAACACTTAACCGAAAAACGTAAACTCCTACTTGTTGTTATCTTTTCGTTGGTGAGACTAAATTGGTTCATATATAAGCGAAAAACATTTCATTTCAATTCAATTGTTAGTCCAATTCAACACAATAACCATCACTGGATTAAAGTAACAACAATTTAGAGGCAATTAAATTGATTTCTCTTAATTTTCCTTCCAATCATCGAAAGTGTTGTTGAGGTTGATCATTACAACTTCAATAATGTGTCAATACCTAAAGGTGAGCCTTCCAGTTGATTGTTATCTGTTTCCAATCAAAGGGATTTGGACTGTTATTCTGTTTAATTAATTAGTTGATTGTTTAATTTTCCAATTTTCATTTTCTCTCTTTTTCCCTCTTATTTGTTCAGAACAACTTTTGGACCTTTGTGTTGGTCTCATTTGCGTGTATTCTTGTAAAAGTTTCAAGTGACAAACTTAATTCAAGATCACATCCTAATCCTAATCAACCAATTGCTCCAACTAATGATGCAAATGGATACGTTGACCATCAACCAGCAGCATCTTATGACCATCACCATGTAAGTTTTCATCATCAATTTCCCGTAAAATGATAAAATATCACATCGAGAGAGAAACTTGATTGACCTCATCAGCTGATTTTTGTTTACTTTTTTCTTGCCACCATCAAGATGATTAGATCAACAAATCGATCAACAGTTTACTGAATTTTCATCACTTGATTAGGTTAACACCTTTTGTTGAATACTAAATAGTAATAACAATTCATCTTAATATCGATTAGTAGTTTGATTGATTGTTTACAGAATTGAGAAAACCAAACAATTTATTTAGCTAAAGTTATGAATAAGAAGAAAACAAAATACTTGCAATGTTAATCAATTGGAAACATTTAATTCATCTTGTTGTTTTAATCATTGAAGCTTAAATCTCTTAATCATAAGATCAATCAATCAATTAAATCAATAAATTGATTCCGAATAGGTGATGACAATAGTTTTTTGTACAATTGACAAATCATCCGGATAATCATTCAATTGGTTCGTAATCATTTACAGTTAGAATGAAAACCTTTTTTCATCTCGAAAATTTAATTGCCCGTAATAAATCACGATAATCAATTTACGATTATCGTGATTTGTATTCAAAGATGAGAAAAAGAAGATGGAAAAAAAACTTCGCCTAATAGTTTGAACATGAATCGCAATAAAGATTATCGTTAATCGTGATTAAAGTTGAAAACGATATAGAAACAATTAACTGGAGCAATACAATCAACAGACTTAGATCTTTGATAATATTCACCCATTAACCCAATTGCCCAATAGATAATCAATTCACCTTAAAAAAAATTTTCTTTCATCTTTTCATTGATGTTTCATTCATCTCTCTCTCTCACTTTCTAATGACAATTACAGCAGCACGAGGAAAAGTACCCGTACCAACCTTATGGATTTGGTTACGAGGTCGAGGATGGTTGGGGCAACACTCAGTATCGACACGAGAAGGGTTTAGACCCGTGGAAGGTGAAAGGTAGTTATGGTTACAAAGACGCCTGGGGAATATATCGACACGTTGACTACATCGCGGACAAATGGGGTTTCCGAGCTCATATTAAGACCAACGAACCAGGAACCGCTCCCAAAGATCCGGCCGCTGTTAAGATGAACTCTCACCCTTTACCTGCGGGAACTCATGGATTCGTAAAGAAACACGATGAGATCGCCGATCATTCAAAGACATCTTACATTTATGCCAAACAAAAGAAGAGTCTTACCAAAGTTTACTAGCGAAAAAAAAATTTCCAACTAATCAAATTCTAATCCTTCTAATCCCATGTAAATACATTGAAACTACTTTTTGCTCTTCGTGACAATTTAACTTCAATTGGTCATTTCTCTAAGAGCGAGTGACCATTGAACACAAGTCAATCCATTTTTCTAAGTGTTTTCACCTTAATTGTTTTGTAATCACTTTTTTTTAATTCTTTTCCTAATTAACCATTTAATCAATTAATGGATAATAAAATTCATCACTTGCTGACCATTTACAATTAAACGATTGCCCATCCATTCATTAAATTGAATGTTTCAAATTGATAATGATTCAATAAGAGTGATACAAATTGTTACCTGGATAATTGTTTCAACTCAACTAAATTAAGAATTGGATAATAGCAATAATAATAGTGATAATTATCAATTATATTTAGTGTTTCAATTAACCAACCGTATAACCAATTCTGAGTGTTATTGGCAATCCTTTTTTTTTTGGGAATTAAATTTAATTGCAACAATTTGTGGCTCATTAACTTAATTTGATGATGCTGTTTTAATGGTAACACAATTGGAAACATTAAATTAAACAAAATTAAAAATCCACCGTCTTAATCATGTTATTTACTGTTTCACAATCAGAGTAATACAATTAGAAACTTTTTCAATCAAGTTAATTGTTTCAACGCCAAATCTTAACAATATTTTTTTTTCAGGACGAGAAATAATCAATAATCAATAGAAATTAATATTAATCATCATCATAACAATTAAGTGATAATCAATAATTGTCATTAATGAAGATAAAAAGTAATCATAATCAATTTAACATCATCATGTGTTAATTGAATTTATTTAATTCATCAATCAATAATAACGGTTGAGTTTAATTGCATTGTTGTTTTTTTTCATGTAACTAAGGTTAATTGTTGGGATCATCATCAAATTAAAAAGTACTAATCAATTAGGACTGAAGATGAAGCTGATGATGATGATGATGGTGATGAAATATCTTGATAAGTAATAACTGAATTAACAATTTGGCTTAATTGCTGCTGTTGGGATTGATAGAAATGCTGTTGATTGAGTTGCTCTTGTTGATGATTAACATAAAAATAATTGTTATTTTCCTCTGTATCTTTTAACTGTAAAAGAAAATTAATTAACTATAATTAGTTGATTGGATTGAGAATTTGATTACTGAATTATCTAGATAATTGTGGAGTTAATGACGATCATAATTAGATGGAATTGAATTAGAGAGAGAGAGATTATTGATTGTATTAATTTTCGGTGTAATTATTGTTATTTAAACTTAACTTGTTATTGTGTGATTATGTCAATGGATTGTTGTTACTATTGAGACAATTAATTTTCTTTAAATTGTTAAATCTTTTTCTTTTGGAATTAAGTTGATCAGTTATCAAAGGATCAAGAGTATTATAATTAGAAAGAGAGAGAGAGAGAGAGGGAAAAGTTTTCCGTTTAGAGGATGAGGATGTTTTTGTTTATCAGTTGATTAAATTGTTTGATCAATTGGTGAGGTTAATTGTGTCGATTGTATGTTTTTCGTGGACCATCATCCCTCCCGATGAGCAAATGAAATAATCTCATGAAGATAAGTCATGAATGCGAAAAAAAATAGGAAAATGAGAGGCAAAGAGGGAGAAAAATGAGAAAAAAACAAAAAGGAAGTAGAGGAAATGATAAGTGAAAGAAGAATCAAAAATTAGGCCAATCAATTTCTCGCTAATTTAAAGAAAAAGAAAATAATTTCCACAAAGAGAAACATAAAGATAATCACTCAAGAGGATGATTTGTGGTGAGAATTGGGGTTACATGTCAAAGGGTACAAGTTGGGAGAGAGCAAAAATATCATCACTTATTAATTGCAGTTGAAAGAATCACAATTAAATGTTGATCAAAGGCAGAAATTAACATTTACAATGAGAAAAAGGTAAAAGATGAATGAACAATTTAAACTTTGATGGACAAAAAGTTGGAAAGGGAAAAGGGATATTGTTAATCAATTTAGGTGAGCAATTTAAGGTGTTTCTCTGTTAATTGTTAATCAAATATCAAAAGGGCTAATTAGTTACAGTATTAAATTAAAAATTTAAGCAATTAGTTGGAAAAGATCAAGGGAAAGATGGAGTTAGTTACAATTCTGACCACAAATATCAACTCATTAAATGATCATCTTTGTTTATCATTTTTTTTTCACACTCTAAATAATTACATTGATTTGATTTAAATTGTTGTTTAAGTTTTACCAAATTTGTTTGCTAATTTAACCAATTACAAAAAGAAAAAGTGTTAATAATTATTTATTGTATCAGGGGATTGGATGTTAATTTAGAGAGTTAATTGTTTCTGTTGTAGAGAGGGAAAAGGAAACAGTTATTTAAATGTATGTTAAATGTTTTCAAAGTTAATGGTTGAGGTTTAAAGTGATTAGGGGAAAATGAGAGGTTTTAATTGTACAGTTTAATTGATAATTTACTGTAGAATAACTAAATATAATCATCGCCATTATCATTAGATTGACAATGGTTTAAACTGAATTTAGAAGATGAAGAAGGGGAATAATGTAGAAATCAACAATTTACTGAGAAATGGTGGAGGACAATTAACCTGTTGTAAATGTTTTACTCCATTCACAACAGTATTGGAGATCGATGATACTTTTGTTTAGACTTGTTTGTATCGAAAGAGAAATAATTACGTTTTTTACAGCATTTTATCCTAATTAGAAAATGGGTAATTGTTTCTCTCTAAGATCTACAAAAACAAACATCGAAATTGAGGAATAAGAGAAGAGAATTAAATGAGTAAGTGGAAGGAGTGAAATTGGAAACAGGACAAAAGAAGCAAAAAAAAAGTGTATCTTTCCTATTCTTTATCGGGATATTCAAAAAGATCAAGAAAATGCTTAGCGGAGAAATGGCCCAGAGAAATAAGGAGAGAGAGAGAGATAGAGAGAGAGAGAGCAAGGAGGTGAGAGAGATAAAGGAGTGATCCTTTTTTAAGGTTTAAAAGACAAATTGGGTATAATAAGATTTCCTGGAGTCACGTAATCTCCTATCATCAAATTGTTACTAACGGGAAAAGTTGTTGTGTTGAGCACCGACACAGAGGGATTGGGGTTGAACATTGATGGTGAAATTCCTCCACCGATTGAGCTTGGCGGTACTGCTGATGAAACGGGTATTCTTGACGGATTAGAACGACTATTGGCTCCAGGACTGGGCATTGAACCTAAATTGACGAGAGATGATTGTTGTTGTTGTTGTTGTTGTTGCTGTCCCATCATGTTCAAACTTCCCGTTCCTTGTTGCTGTTGCTGTTGTTGGTGATGTTGATGCTGTTGTAGCTGTTGTTGATGTTGCTGGTGTTGATGTTGATGTTGGTGCTGATGTTGTGTTGATTGTTGAACATTAGCAGTTGCTGGAAGATGACCTGATGTTTGGGCATTAGGATGAATACCTGACATGTCCATTAGAACAACTCCTGAATTTCCATTCATCACTCCATTTATAACCTGATTGTTTTCCAATGATTGCCAATATTGTTCAGTTGGTGAGGTTTCATGGGCTCCTGGTGGTGGTTGCTGAGTTTGTCCAGTGTACCTGAAGTAAGGATTTTTCAGATCTAATGAGTTAAGGGCTCTTCTTGTGGTTCCCTCAAGATTTAATTCAATATCAACATCGTAACTTTGACGTTTATTGGATCTTAAAGTTACTCGACCGGTCAAAGTTTGCCCAGCAGTACAGAAAATTGGAGTATCAACTAAACACCGAACTTGATACCAATGAGTTAAAGGTTGAGTGGGAGATGTTGACAACCATACAGTTTGATTTTGTCCAATAAAGGCAACGTCAAACCAGAAGGCAAGTCCATGAACATCAGCTGTATGTTGCATTACAAAGGAGAAAGGAATCTCAATTAGATGTAGATCACTTTCGGGAGCGGTTTGAAAATCGACGGTATAACGGTGAGACCTTGCCATACAGATTCGAATGTCAAAGGTATCTACAACGGGTTGACGGAAATATTCTTTAACCGCTGCTGTTCTTAAAACCGTCAGATCAACACCGTGGAAATTTTCCTGATACCAGAAATTGGCCTTATTAAGCTGTTCCATGTAGAGAGCTGCATCACTAAAAGGAGCTATATGTAAATCTCCAAGGGTGGGAAACATTTTACCATTGGGTGAAAGCCACTTTTTAGCATGAAGATAAGTTTCAAGCATACGCTCATTAAAGAGCATATAGCCCATCGGCTCGGAGATAATGATATCAACTTTTTCAGGTAAAGTTATTTCTTCAATTTTACCGGGAATGACGACAATTTTATTTTGTAATTTATTGTGGAAGACTAATTGCTCCGCATGTTTAGCCATAGAACTGGCCTCAACTGCGTATACCTTTCGAGCACCCGCTTGAGCAGCAAAAAATGATAATATTCCTGATCCAGCGCCAACATCTAATACAACTGCATCCCGGAAATCATCAGTATTTCCCAGAATGGCTCTTTGGTAAGTAGATGTACGAATATAATCTTGCATCATGTTTTGCTGTTGAGAGAGGTATCCATAAAACTGGAAGTATTGGGAAGCTGAAGCCTCATCAGTCCTCTGGAGAAAAAAAAACAAAGTGAGAGAGAGAGAGAAAGAAAATTAATAAAGGTAATGTGTTGGTCATCATCATTTAAATGATTACGAGTGATTAGTAAATTGAGGGAATAATTTTGGCTCATTTTCAGCTATGAGAATTGAAAGTAAATGAGTTAATTGAACTTTTTGTAGAAGGGAGAGAAAAAGAGATTTTCAGTTTATGCAACCATAGAAGAGAGAAATTATTTGAATATTTAAACGTGAATGATGGGGAAGAATAAATTTAAGAATAATAAAAAAAAGGTTAAATGGTAAGAAAGATGAAGAAGGAATAATAATTGAAAATGATGCCAATAAATTTAAAGAAGGATAAAGAATCTAAACTGTTAGAATTTTAAAAAAATAATTATTCTGTCTGATTGGAGAATAGAGTTTAATTGTTTAGCAAGTAGACATTTAAATCAATTTATATGGTGATCCTAATCACCAACAATTGAAGAAATGTAGAGACACATTAAGTGAGAGAGAGAGAGAAACATAGATAGTAACATGCGGTTTCTCTTAATCTTACGCAGCAATAAAAAGGATTTGAAATGAATTTTTCAACGTAAATAAAGTAGATACTTTTTTCCGCCAAAAGGTTAACATGATAGAAATGTAACTCAACTCAAAGTTATTTTAGAATAATTTAACAAGTTGAGAAGAAGCTTTTTTTTCTAGGTGGAAGAGAAAATGAAATCCATGTGATGAGTTAAAATGAAAGGGAAAAAAAGTGTGACAACAGAAAAAAAAAGAAGAGGAAAAATGTAGGATAAATGATGATCTGTGTTAGTGGTAAGAAGAAAAAAAGAAAATGCTTACCTGTGAAAAGACTGATGATTTAGCTCCTTGTTTAAAATCGGTAAGAATTTTGTTAAACATGATGGATTCTGATGGATTATTGAACGAAAGGACAAGGGTAATCGAATCATTATGAATAACCACCGAATCATTACCAAATTTTGAAATCTCTGAATCCTTATAAAATGAGAAATCCTCATCTTTATCACATATACTTGTTTCACTATTTTTAAATGTAACCAAAAGATTATCTTGTTCATCACTTAATTTAACGAAAAATGGATTACCCGGCCTTTTGATGAGCTGCTTATCATCGGTAACGGTGAAAACATTTACATTTGCATAATTGGTACTCATATTGAGACAGAGGGAGAGAGAGAAAAAAGTGAAAGAGAAAAAATTAGAATTAGAATGAGAATGAAAAAGACAGAAAAAGACAGAGACAGAGATTGAGACAAGAAAAAGATGGAAGAGAAAAAAATAATATTATAAAGACAACAGAATTTTAGATAAAAATAGACAATGACAGATCACCAGTGTTAACTCAAAGATGAGAATGAAACTAATTAACAAGAAAGACAAAGAAAGTTAATTAATTAAATATTAATTCTTTCAATCAAAAAGCAATTTAAATAAAAGTAATAACAATAATCAATGTTGTTACAAGAAAAGAACAAAGACTCTCCCCTTATGCGCCCTCTTTTGCCCTGGAAAAGAACCTTTACCAAGCAAAGAGAAAACCGCCAAATTTAAACTTAGAACTTTTTCATGGAAAATTCAAACTTGTGAATTAATGAGACTTTCGGATGTTGAGGTCAAACAGGGAGCTGGTATCTCTTTTTTCAGCCCCTCTAGAGGTTTGTTGACGCTGACTGTTGACTTGTTGACTGAACAGATGAACAGATGAACATCCTCAAACCTTTCAGAATCTTCAAAGGAATCATCTTCTAGAAGCTTCTAGCATCTCGAATAAATCAGAAGTCAATGATAAAGAATAAATTATTAAATACTAATGGAAAATATCAATACTAATTAAGCTAATAATTTCAAAAAAAAAGACGAAAAAAAGAAATGAAAATGAAGATGAAAATGAAAATACGAAGCCGAAAGTACAGAGAGTCTATTTCCATAATTACGAACGGACTTTTGGTCGGGAACGATTCGAAGTCACCTTAGAATATTTTTCGATGATCTTATTATAAAGTCGATATTTTTTTCTCAATATTTGTTTGTTTTATTCTTGAAAATTTGAGAATTTATTAAGATGATCAATCTTCATGTTCAAAGGTTAAGAAAATTAGATTTTCGTTGAAGATTGACACGAACTTCGTTAGTAAAAGGTAATCGTTTCGTTGGATTGTTTGATTGCGAAAAAAAGTTTGCTCAGAATTTTAAATTGTTTACTAAATTGATTTTATTAATTGTGCTTTTGGGCTTTGATAATTTGAAAGCCTTTCGTTTAATTGAAAAGGATAAAAGGTGAACATGATAATATAGATTGTTATTAATATTTTGTTTCTTCGTAATCAATTATAATTATCATCAGATAATCAAGTTAATAATATTATGCATAATATATGTTTAAGATAATAGATTGTATTAATTGTTGTAATTGTGGGGTAATTTATATATAAATTTGTACAATTTGCCTTTGGGATAAACAACAAAGGCAGAAACAACAATCAACAATTTAAAGGCTTCAGTTTGATTGATATAAACAAATTGTTACGATTGATTTTTGTTTTCATCATTTCAACAAAGTTGATTAATGTTTCTAAATTTCCAGTTAATTATTTCCAATTAACTATAAATAATAACAATGTAAACATATAGATTTATGTATTTCCATTTATATATTTATCATTATCAATCATCAGATTGCTTGAGAAAAGTTAATTACTACTATTTAACTAATGATGAAATGATAAATATACAATATTTACAAAATAAAATGGGTTACCAATTTGTAGTTATCTTAATTGTTTATCCCTTAACAATTTAATCAATACAATATATAGAATACAATATTAATTAAATGTTAATATTTCCATAGGTAACAAATGATTATTGTTAATTGCTGTTAACTCTTACATTGTGATTGATATTTAAATATAATATATGTAGCAATTTATAAACAAGTTTGACAATTAAATTGTTGATTGTTGTAATTATTGTGATGATAATGATAAATATCATTGATTGATGTACATTTAGTTGACAATTTATGATACAATTAGACTTTGATTATGATTTGAAAAGATATGGACTCAATTTCAATCAATGTTAATCCGATTGTAAAATTAGATGAAAAAAAAAACAAAATTTACAATCTAATTAACAATTATCATTAAGAATAATATAAAGTTAATAAATTGTAGTACATTTGGAAACATTGTTTCAATTGGTTTACAATCAAGCAAATTTATTGATTAACAATTAGTTTCCTTTGATTAATATCAATTTAATTTAATCCTCTTTGGGTCAGTACAATTGTCATCATATTTGGACACATCAATTTTCATCCTTTAAGTTAATCAACTGTTTGGTTTTTCAATTTGTTTGTAAAAAAATCATCATAAGTAAATCCTCATCATCATCATCATCAAGTTAATTGTCAACTGGTAATTATAATAATGACGATGAAAATAAAGGTAAAATTAAACAGGTAATTTGAAAAGGTAACTGTCAATCCTTAAGGTGAAACTGAAAGTGGGTGGTAAAAGTTTGTCAGTCAATTTCCTGGCTTGTCATTGCATCCAAATGATAATCATCATTATCATCATCAAGGTAATACAATAATTCACAAGAATCTCTTCCGGTTCTGTTTATACCTGAACAGGTAATAAACATGTAATACTTTGATGTTTTCGAGGAAAAAGTAAAATGGTTTCTCCTTTTTCTTGTTTGCTATTTGTGTTGTTGTTGTCTTCAGATTTCCACCAGCAAAGAGATGAAAGAAAGAGAAAGAGAAAGTAAATGAAATAGAAATTTCGTCAAAATCAAGGTGAGAAAATGAGAAGAAAAAAAAACCAAATAGAAATAGATTCATGTTCAGTGTTTATTGTTGTTCTTATATTATCAAACTTCCCTGTAAAAAGAATGAAAAAAAAAATCAAAGAAAAAGAGAAAAAAAAATGAGATAAAAATGGAAGAAAAAAAAAGTAGGTAAACAATGAGAAAAGTAAAAGGTAAATGATAAAGAAAAGGATGAGGATGATAAAATGAAATTACTTTAAAATGATGATGAAAATGTATTGATAAGGAAGTTAAATGTTGATAAAAAGTATTACAATATGATGAGGATGAAGAAAAAGATGATCATGATGATAATACTTACGAGGCTTCTAAACTTGTTAAAAGAAATTCTTTCATCTTTTTTAGGTCACTTTTCGAGGGTTTGCCGATATTAGTACCACTTAGAGTGATCTGAACGGAGGAAATACCATCTTTAACTTCACTAACATCGATTTTAATGTCGGAAGGTCCAATTACAGGATTAACCGATTTTGACGATTCACCATCAGTACCAATTTGATTGTTACTTGGATCAGGAGTGATGATTATTTTGTGAGGTGATGAGGAAGATAAACTTTCTCTTTTCTCGATAAGATCTTTTCTTTCATTAATGGTAATTGATTGATTAGCTTGAGGGTGATGATGAGATTGTTGTTGTTGCTGTTGGGGATGATGGTGAGAATGATGATGATGATGGTCGGTAGAGTGTTGTGAATGTTGGTGATGATGATGATGATGATGTTCATCGTATGGTGATATGGTTGGACTTGGTTGACTTTCCAGGGAAGGTTCCATTTCTTGGATGTGACTCAACACCTCGGAACCAAAATGTTCACATTCACAGCTATTCACTGAGAGAGGAACTGATCCTGTTGAAGAGAAACCTGATGAGGTATAAACAGATTCCGATGAGAGACATTTATTGAAATGTTTATTACATAAAACTCTATCATGACCTCCACTCTGTCCCGAACCACAGGCTGACCCAGAATTTGAACATCCACCATGACTTCCTCCACTTCCTCTAGATGATTGTTGACCAAAATTCCAAGAGAGTCGCTTATGAATCGATGAATCTTTTTCCTTTTTAATATTCTCAATTGAATCTGCTGTATGGTAACGTCTCTCACCACGAACACTTCGCTTCTGATGTAATCTACTTTTAACTGTATCCAAATCATCATCTCCAATTAATCCACCTGATTCTCCACTTGGATCATTAATAATCATCATTGTTGTTGTTGATCCTTCTCCAGGTGAGTGAATGCTTGAATGATGACGATGATAACCACCACTATCGAAACTGTTACTCTCTCCTATTGATATAATGCTAGTATTGTAACCACCAGATGATGATGTTGTTGTTGATATTGTTGTTCCTGGTGCTGTTACCAAAGGTACTCCGTAACTATCAACAGTATCAACGCCAACCAAGGCACAGGAAGATGAACCTGGACAACAACCTTCAACTATTCCGGCCTCCGAGTCAAATGAATGAACTGGCGAGGGTCCTTCTGAAGGTGGGGCTGAATGAACCTTTAGACCGGTTATATTTTTCATCTTGACCAGTGGAGGTTTATTAGCGGCCGGATAACCTGATGATGAGATCGGAAGTGACCGTTGAAGAGATCGAGGTGAGACAGATCGTTGGCGAGGTGCAGTTGATGATGAATTTGTTGTTGACGATGATGGTGGAGATGTTGAAGGCTTAATCGATGGTGTTTGGTGTTGTTGTTGAAATTGTGATTGTTTACTAAGAACAGGAACCTGAATTGATGTTTCACTGACCCGAGACGGACCAGTAAATTGTTTATTATTTACATGAAGAGAGGGAACGTTAACCGAAAGGGTATTAATACCTGAACCATAGACTGAATCATATGAACGTTCAGAACCAGCACCACGAAGTAGAAATGCTCGTCTTTCGGGTCGAGGTGATGTTATGGTAACCGAAATTGGTGGTGGACGAGTTTCCATTGAATGTGAACGACCAAAAGGTTCAAGATCATCAACCGTCATACTTGGATTACGAAGTTCACCAAGTTCAAATGAAATTGCTCGAGAAGGTAAAGGTTCACCATCAGGTCCAAAGTTTTGAGATAAAAGGTTGGGTGTTGTTGAGGGAACAATCATTGAATTGGAACCAAGGGCCAGGGTGGAATCAGAAATATCCATGGAACCCGATTGTGAACGCATAAGGGAAGATCGAGAAGATCGAGGTGAGGTATTGGTAACTAAAAGTGCGGTCGACGGGAAATCAGAATCTTCATCTTCACCGTCAACCGTTGATCTATACAAAAGTGATGATTGATTGGCCGTGTAAAGGGCAGATTGTTGTTTAGCTTCACGATAATGATCTTGAGATCGTTTAATATGTTCAACCCAAGTTCGAGTTTCAGTTGTATAGAGTGTGAAAAATGCACTGGCCACATTAAATTCATTTAAATATATCACAATGAATCCAGAGCCATCCTTCAACTCATGGGTCACTATCCGGTCAACAAGGAAAGGTTGTCTAATAACCTTGACCTTATCTCCCTTTCGACCAACCGATTTACATATTAAAAGCACATCGGTAAACAGGAAACAGTGAACATCCAATTTACTCGAAGCATAAGAATCTCGAAGCTTCAAACCAGATCCTTCAAGTAACAATTGACGGATACGATGATTAAGACAACCGGGCATTGGGCAGGTAAGATTCAATCTAGTGAACTCTTTGAGAACCTGAAAACAATTAACAAAACAAAAACAAAAACAAACAAACATTAGATTAATCAAATCAGAATAGGAAAATAATATCAAAAATTCATGTATCATGATAAAAGTTGGATGAAACTTCAATTGTCCATAAAATCAAACAAAATCCTTGGATAGTAAAAAAAAAATGACACCAAATTCAAGATAATCTGGATTACATGAAAAAGGATTAAATTTAATCTGATTCATGATTACATTTGATTTGTAAATCTTTTCATTCATAAAGTTTTCACTCTTATTAATGTTGATATAAATTTATCATTTGAAAAACATTACGACTGAAATGATTAAAATAATTGATTGTAAAGAAAAGTGAAAAATTGTTACACCAACAATTTCAATGTAATAATATAAATAAATTTTCATGAAATATGAATACATGGGTATGCATAAATACATAATCATTAACAGTAACCTCAATTTGCAATAGTTTTATTAATATTCCCAGTTATTATTAACTGGCAACTGTTGAGAAATATTATATTAAATTTAATTTAAAAAAGGAAAAAGATTTCACAAATATCCAAATAATCATATGTACACTTTGAATATACCTGAATGTAAATACACATATGAGAATTAGATTTACATTCAATTCGCAATTGTAAGAAATATCTTCATCTTCATCTTCATCTTCATCTTCATCTTCATCTTCATCTTCATCTTCATCTTCATCTTCATCTTCATCTTCATTATCATCATCATCATCCGCATCATCTGATTGCTAAATTTTAACCTAATACTGTGTTGATGTAAACAAGGGTAACAAAAATAATGTTCATCATGATGATGTTTGAACAGGAATATCATTTTACTCAATTTCATGGGAGTCAAATTGATGATGAAAAAACAACCTTAGCATTTATATATATCAAGTTTCAAATAACAAACTGAATTTAATTCATCATCATTATCATCATGTAGATGATGATAAACTAATGCTATGAATAAGGCTGATGTAAGCAAGGTAAATAATCATTATCATCATTTAAATTAATCGTAACTGTTTCATTTTTGACTTTGTTGATCAAATAATACAATTGAAATGTTCAATTAAAAGGATATTTTAATTATAATTTAAATTTTCAACAAAATCTAAAAAGGTTCATTATCTTTAAGTGTTAATCAATTTAACCATTTGATTAATTTAAATATCAAAAGTATTGAGGACAAATTGTCAAATGTAAACAATCAAATTGAAAGTTTCAATTTGATGTCATATGAATTATTGATAATATGACAAAAATGAACAATTAAGAGGGGGGAGGGTAAGAAATAATCAATCGATAATCAAATGTAATTGGAAACTATTGTGATTATGATTGATTAGTTGCTAGATGAGTTTGTTGTTATTAAAAGTTGGAACAATATAAAAATTGATTGATTCTTAAAATCAATAAATGATACGAAACTTTTATCGTAACAAAATTGATAATAACTTGGACTCTCTTTTTTTTCTGGTTAATGTGCAACAATTAAACAAAGTAACTGACCAGAGTCCAGTCTATTTCCGTTTCCTTTCCAACACTACTTGGACAGGGAAAAGTTGATAAGGTTGAATGAATGGAAAGAGTAACAACAACAAAAACTAACATATAACTTTGAATATGCAAACGGATTTCCGGACAATTTCAACAACATCCATAGGATCTCAAGTCATCTAATCGTTATAATCATTTGCAATCAAACACACAGATCAAACTGAGTAAATTCAATGGAAATACTGAAAAATCAACATGGGAGAAAATATTTATTATCCAAATTGAAACTAAATTTATGCTTAGGTAAGATATTAGATCAAGAATATAAATCAACAATCTAGAGCAATACTGAACATGAATACATACACACAAATATAAACAATGGATACACATGATAACCTGTGAAAATGGAAACATTTACATAAGATATTGAAGAGTAAAAAATAATACCATAGGTATAATTTTGTGATTCTGTCTAATGATACAGAGTAAAAATGTCGAAACAACAAAAACAAATAGAGAGGAAAAAACTGCTTCCATAAGCATAAAAGGAAACGGAAAAGATGAAGATTTAAGAGCAACATAAAAGTGTATATATAATATTAAATTGACGGCAAAAAAATGGTTGACATTTAATGAGAAACAATTTGAGAGTAAAAGATAACTGATAACAGTATAAAATGGATGAAAACAATCATGATAATAAGGATAAATCTTGATGATAATATATAACAGAATGATAATAATAATAATAATATAAATCCATACTATTGATCATCATCATCATTATGGAAAAGCCTGGGGCGTAAATATTGTTTACTTTGTGTTTATATCTTGTGGTTGTTTAAATCTTGACAACATGAGAAGGAAAAATTTATATAATTCAGAATAGAACCTGAAATCATGATAATAATTCAAAATTCTAAGAGTAACCTGGAAAAAAATATTATTACTAAAAACACTCCCAATGGTTATTGGAGTGGAAATGGATATTAGTGTGCTGGTGGATAAAGAGGTGGGTATTAATATATTGTTGGTGGTTTGAATGTGTTAGTGGAGTGAGATGAGGATGAAATTTTCACAGAAAGAGTGAGAGAGAGAGAGAGATTCAGGGTAAGGAGATGAAAGAGAAGAAAAGATTTTCTTATTTTTTTCGCATCTTCTTTGGAGAGAAAAGGAAATCCAAATAAACATCAGGCAAATATAAACAATCTTAACAATAATATCACTGAAAGATGAAGATAATCTGACAGAGATTCTTATTATTATTATTATTGTTTAATAATATGTATAAATAAATCGTAACTTTCCTCATGAAACCATCATACTCATTTCTTTCAATTCTGCAAGAAATATTTTCAGCATTCAAAGTATTCAGAAAATTTTGTTAAATGGTTTTGACTTAATATACACAATTCTATAGATATAAAATTGTTTACTTCTTTCTTCATTTTGTAGAAGAAAAAAAAAGAAAATTGAAATAAATTATCATATATCTAAATATTTTATTCTTAGGATTATCTACTAAGGCAAATGCTCAATTCTGTTTTCCACTTCTAAAGCTCATTTTAAATTCATATAGAAATATGTTTACAAAGAAAAGGTAGAAAAAAAAATCTTCATGAAATTGAAATTGAAATCTGAAGTGAGTGAGTGAGAGAGAGTCAAAATGTTAATACAAATACTTGAAATATACTCAAGATCAAGTTGTGAATTGATTTATCATCAATATAAGATGATAATCTTCATCTCTAATTTATCCTCAACTGAATAATTCTGTTGATTAAGATCAATAATAATGGAAAGAGGAAAAAAATTATCTACTCAAGTAAAATTCATTTGAAACTATCAACATGTATTCATACACACACGATGATTGTTCAATTGTTGTTATCATCATCATCACCATAATCATAGTTACATGATGATGTTACTATTGTCAAAATTGTATAAATAACAAATGAGACTACACAGAATCATCTGAATACCCTGATATACATGTACATGTAATAATATTTAGTTTGAAAGGATAACATTTGCTTCATCTAGTCAAACACATAAATAGTATCAATTCAAGTTTATTTATACCTTTTTTTTCACCTAATTCAGGATAACATGAAACATGTAATATAACATGAATTTCAATGAGTTATCACTCATTTTATTGAAATACTAATACATTGACTATAACTTCATCATTATTATGACAATCAACATATCAAATAATAACAATAATAACAGTTAATGTGATAATATAACAATAATATCATGATGACAAAAAAAATTGATTCCTGTTCAATATCAATAAATATTATTAACTCAGAAACATTATAATGTCATTTGTAATTTGATTATTAAATTTACCTTCTCATATTTAATCATCTGTAACTATTTATTAATTGTTGGGGCTTAAAGGGTAATTATATGAATAGCAAAAACAATACAACTAATATGATAAGGTTAATTGTCATCTTTATGAAACAATGTATTAATCATTAACTGAATTAGCTAATAATAAGTTAATGGAATGATAATTTGAGGCTAAAATATAATAATTGAGTTGATAAAACCATAGGCATAAACAAATGAAACGATTAACTAAATCATGACTTTTGGTTGTTTTAATTGTGATGATTGATTGTTGATTCTTACCTTTTCTATTTCATCATTACTACTTTCGAAAGCATCGTAACTTTCAATTCGACTAACGATCGAGGCCAATCGTTCTTGATCATGACGACGTCGTAGACAAGCATCAACACGACAAACAAATCTTTCAACAGAATCGTTCTGAAAAAAAGAGATACAAAAAAAGATACAATGATTAATAGATATTCATGAGTAAATTAGCAATTTCATGGATTCAAACAGGTCCAATAATCTTATGAATGAATCATTAATCAAACCAATAGCGTTCAATGTATTGTCAATATTTGATTGCTTGGGATCAAACAAGTGCTAGTGGACAATTATCAACAATAAATCATAAGTATTCATGATATTCAACTAGAGAGTAACTGTTTTTTTTTTGTTAGCACTTATAAATACATGAGATATTAAAGCAAAAATATCATGTTAACAGATCAATATGATAATAAATGCATGAATATATTGAATTAATCGAGCAAGGAAACACTGAGAGAGGGAGAGAGACACAAAGAGTCACTAATATACATATGAAGAAAAAGTAAATTACTATTACAACAATAGAAACAAAGTTAAACTAATCTAATTTGTTAAAGGTAAAGTAATTAACTAATTAAATAAAAGACTAGAAAAGTTATATTGCTTGGAAATAGCTAACGTACGTAGGATTTTCGTTGATATTGATTGTGGGTTTGTTAAATTGTTCAATAGATTTCCAATTTAACTTTTGCAAAATAAAAACAATACAATCAACTGATTGTTAATTAGATTAATTAATTTACCATTTGCTTTAAGGCAACTTTCTGGTCATCGGCTTCCGTTTTTTTGAGAATCGCTTTAAGGAGAAGTGAATACTTTGTCAGCCTTTGCATAGGTTTTACAAGAAGATCCATCAATCGTAATCTATCACAATCTTTACGAGTTTCACACCACTGAAAATTAAGAGAAACAATTAGTTAATCATTTGGGTAAATATCTTCACTTTTTCTAATGGTTAATTTTACTTACCACAACGTAGGCTTTAAATAGTTCACTCTCTTTGTGCTTTTCCTTGACATATTGGAGGCAATTGCTGTGCTCGAGGCAGTATTTAACATACGGATGGAATATATCTTCAAACTGAATTAGTAAATTGTTGGGAAAATAAAAGAAAACAAATCGATAAGTTAAATTGTTGGAATTGTTAATTTAGTGATGATCAATTTTTTTCTGCGCCCAAATTGTTTACTAATATTTTGTTCAATCAATATTATCATTCAGTGAATTGGTTAATATTTTAATTAACCTCATAAATTTGATTAATTAACATGTTGATATTTAAATGTTATCCAATTAATTTGATTGTTAAATTAGTATTTTAAATTCAGTTACGTTTATATTTGATTATTTTACTTTTTTTTCATTGACGATCATCATGTTGATTTAATAGGTTTTCAAACTATTTTTAATTATGTTAACTGTTGACTGATTGATTAACATTATTTTAAAAATAGGAATATAATTTACCTTTAGGTTAGATATTAAGTGTTAATTGTTGACAATTAAAGTAATTGTCCTTTTTTTTCATGTTGGTTGGAAAAGTTGATTGCTATTAATTGATTTTTCTTGTAGTGACAAAAACAGACAATCAAATCAATTGTATTTAGATTGCGTGTCTAATCAAATTGTAATTAGTTGATGTAACGAGATGACAATTAAATAGATGTTGATATAATATATTCAAGTGATTGAAGGATAAGATAAAAAAAATCAATTGTTAATTTAATTAAATCATCAAAATCTAATGTAAACTCAACTGATTGTTTAAAAGTCTTAATAAACTAAATCAATTAATCAATAAATCCTCATACACACATGAGCGATTTGCTAACAATTTATGAAAATCAATTAAATTTGAAATTGGAAATGATGGAAAGTTTTAAATTTCTCACTCGAAATTCAAACTAATCAATTGATTGTATGGATATTGATTTACTAAATTGTATTAAGAAATATATGATTAACCCAGAGACACAGTTAATATAATTGTTAGATTATTAAATCAAGCAAAAGGAAAAAGTTAACTGTGAGAATTGATTGTTGGCAGAAAAAAGAGATTGGAAGATGATATTAATTGAATCATGATGATTTTGATTCAGAACTTTTCTCACAATAAAAGGATGAGGAAAATGATGATATTCTGAGAGGAGAGAGAGAGAGAGTGTGTGTGTGTATGTGTGGCTTTAAGGTGTGGTCAAGTGATGATTAACTTCATCATGAAAAAAAAACACCAATGGGATCAATTGATTTCTCATCTACTCTCATTTACCATTGAATACAATGGTAAAAGTATTATATTATTTTTAGAGTTGATGGATTTATTTATAAATAATATGGTTAAACTAAAATCAAATCATCATTAGAAATGGCTAATATTATATTGATTGTTTGAATATAATCGTCTAATAAATCAATGGGAATCAACAATCAACCTGAAACCAAATATACTCAATAAACCAGGTAACTTATTATCATGACAAACAATCAAACTATTAATAAATATTATATCATATTTATTTGTTATTGAATATTGGACAACAAACTTTTGTCATACGTTTGATCATAATAATAATAATCAAGGTTAAATTGTAACACTTAACATTTAATTCAAGTAAAAATAATCAATTCAATTTCATGTCAAGTGAACCCACATTAACATCATGATTAGTATTATTGTTGTTGTTGTAAAAAGTTTGATATTTATACAACAATTTAACTCCAACTGTTACAATTAGAGAGATACAATAACAATAATAAATAACAGCAAGAGAGTAACAATTAAATGTCATGTGGAAAAAAACTCATTGTTAATCAATATCTGCTAATTTGATTGTAACTGTTTACATTGATTAACACAAATTAAATGCCATTGGTGTCACAAAAGGTTAACCAACTTTTAGGTTAAACTGTTCAAAAGGTAAATTTTGTTTACCAATTTCAATAGCAAATACGTTCAGCTGATCATCATATTGATGTGATTTCCTTTGTTGTTTTTGTGTCTAAAGGAGTAACACCAAAGGAGGTGGGAATGGGAGTAGGAGTGGGAAGAGAGAGAGAGAGAGAGAGAGAGAGAAAGTTTTGCATGTAAAAAAGATGAGAGATCGATTTTGAAATGTAATCGATAAAATGATGAGGATGGAGAGTGAGTGATGCTAAAGTTTCCTGAGTCAAATAATTTGTATGTGACAAGGAATTACCATAGGATAATATGGATGATATTGAAATAGAGTAACAATGTTTGAGGATAACAATCTAAAGATTTAAATTTTTTATCATCATCATATAAGATATTAGAAGTAGAATCAAATTATCAGAATGATTTATCCTAAGAATTAAATTTCACCGTCTACTATATAATGTAAATGACTCAATTTAATTGGAAAAATTGTAATTTGTATCAACTTGGAACTGGATTTAAATTGTCAATGATTGATTAGATGTTCATTAAATTGATTAAATTGAGATGAGAATAAGATTAAATTACTAATTATGATGAATCCGGAAGTTTACATGGTAAAAAATATGCCTTTGTTAGATTGACTTTCTGAGTATGAAAAAAAAGTTATCATAATTTATATCGATAGCAAAGTTAATTAATTAGAGTAGTAATTAATGAATGTAAAGGTCAATGAAAGTGTAAAAGTTTGTAAGGAAATACTCACTGGTAGAGGAAATTAAATTTGATAGAAAATTAATAGAAAGAAAAAAATGATTAACTACTAACATGATTAAGATGATTATCATTTGAAAAGATAACCCAGTTAGTGTGAATCTTGTTGACATACTGAACAATTGATTCAAAGGGATGAAGATGCTCATGAAAATGTGATGATAATTATCATGACTAAAACAAGAGAATTGAAAATTTTCATGGTTGTCAACTTTTAACCTGATATTTGAGTTAATGTATGATAATAGTTGAGGAGGGAGCGATTCTGATTCATTTCTTAACTGTTATTTGGTGTGTATTCAGTTTCCGGATGAAATTAGGATGACAGTGAAATTCAGATTTACGCACCAGTGATGCAAATTAAAACTTAATTGTACGATTAATGAGAGAGTAAGATAAGTTTAAGTGATGATACTGATGATTTACGAGAATAATAATTATAGTAAGATGTGTGTGAGAGAGAGAAACTAATGAATGAAATTGAACTTTCGAGTAAAAAGGCAAAGAGAGGAAAGAAAATTTCGAGTAAGTTAAGTAAGAAAAAGGTTTTAGAGATTGAAGAAGAGAAAACTGATTTCATGGATGATATTTATCTTCATCATCACCATTAACATCATCTTCTTACTCTAAGAATCACCACTGGGAAGGGATTATGTCTGAAAGTCAGAGAGAGAGAGAGAAAGAGATTAGTAGGTGGGAGTGAGATGAGAAAACAAAGTGAAAGAAATGAAATGGATGAAGATGAAGATAAGACCTGGATGGATTATGGGGAATCTTTTTTCTCTCTATTTTCTCGATAAAAAAATATTTTCTCAACATGAGAGAGTAAAAGTGAAAAAGAGAGAGAGAGAGAGATGAGGATGATGAATAGAGAATCTGAAGTGAATTTTCTTTCGATTATATTTACAGTTATATTACTATTATTGGGAAGGAAAAAAAGACAATTGAGAAAAAGGATATAAATTTGTTGGGCGTGAATAAGAATCAATATGAATGAGTGCGTGTGAATCTGAATCATCAAGAATCATCATCATCATTTATCTCTTCCATTTTATCTTCATCATTTTAACCTTCTCCTCATCTTCCTCCTCTTTCACTCATCTTAGTTTTCAATGTACCTTGAAAAACGGGGTTAGTAGTGGTAAGTGGTAACTTTATCATTCCAAATGGAAAAGATGATAAAATGGTGAAAAATAAAAGATGATGATGAAGATGAGGTGCAAGGTGAAAGGGGAAACGCAGAAAAAAAATATCATCTTGTTAGTTGATTGTGTATGTTTGTTGATATTCTTACTTTTAGAAAGCCATCTTTCATGATGATTGGATTGAGAGGTTGATGAGACTCTCTGGATGCTTTTAACATGGGTAATAGATGATTCATCCAGAAATAGTGATTCGCAAGATATACTTCCGTTATGTTTGAGAACATTTTCTCAGTATCGATCTATTGTAAAAGAGAAAAGAGAAAAGTTTATGAGAAAAAAAAGGTCACATGATGATAAATAGAGAAAATGAAGAGTTAAAAGTTAGAAGAAAATATGAGAATGGAAATAATAATAATCATCAAGATATAGAATATAAATGAATGAGTGAAACAACCAAGAGAAAAACAATAAAATAGTGATGATGGTTTAGTGGAGAGATGATGAGGATGACAACTTCAATGTTTGTCTGTCAACATGAATTTCAACCTGAAACCTCAATGATGTCTGATCATCATCATCATCATAATAACCACAAATATAAACACATACTTGCTCACATGAAAATATTTCTCTTCTTTTGTATTCTTACAGTTTATCCTAAAGGTGATATGATGATATAAATAACAGGATAAGAGATGGTGGAAATAAGATGAACAACAACGGAAAAGAATAGAAAACAATGGAAAGGGAGTGAGAGAGAGAGAGAGAGAGAGAGATTCAGGAATCATAGAAATATAATCTCTCATTCTTTGTTCATTAAGTTCTAAAGAGAGATGAAAATAATCATTCAAGTGATAATAGAGAGAAAGTTCTAGCTCTATGAATAGAAATCATGGAAAATCACTAAGATATTAATAGTAGTATGACAGAGAGAGAGAGAGAGAGAGAGTGGACATGAGAAAAGGATATGACATGAATATAAGAACAATAATAAACATGAGATGATAAAAATCATTGATGGTCAAAGTCAATTGTCACAATTTGTATGACAAAAATATTTGGTAAACTATTGGTAAGACTAATAAGTAAAAATATTAGATAATATTGATTAATAATAATAATATTATCGATAGTGTTATTATAAACCCTTTGACCACTAATAATGAAAATATCACCAAACATGATTGTTTGTATAACGGTTGTTTCTTGATGATGATGGTGATGGAAGAGTAGATGAAATGATTCTATTTTCTCTTCGAGTAACTTACATCATTGAGAAGGCATTCGCTTTGGAGGTTACAAAGGCAGGCGAGAAAAAGGTCAGAAATGACTTTAAGACGTTTAATGTAAAAGACTTCGGTGTGAAGTAATTCCCAAATTGCATCTTGTTGATTTTGCAATTTCTTTGGCATCGACTCCCAACTTGAAACGATACACCTCCAATGGTCTTCAAGGTAAAGAGATTCATCATAATTGGTTTGCTTATTGGTATTGTTATTATTACTATTGTTGTTGTTATTGTTGTTGTTGTTGTAGCCACTGGTCAATGCTGAGTTACCACTGATACTGTTATCCCTTCCGAGACGAGAGGAGGATGATGATTCAGGATCATCTAAATCAGAATCAAATTTGAAACTTAATAGTCCCATTTGCTCTGGAATACCATGGACATTGTATTGATTAAGTAACTCTGTGAGTTGATCCATCTTTTCTCGGTCAGTTTTAAATGGATTGGAAAAAATTCCGCCACTTCTACGAGCAAGTTGACCTCTACTTCCTTTGGAACCTTTTAATGTACCATCATGAGAAATTGAATTTGAAGTATCCTCAAGGTAACCTTTACGATTTGTCCTGTAAAAGAAGATAGAAAACAATAATATTAATTGAGATGGTTTAAGATTAATGGTGGATAACTGATGATTATAACGAGATTTACGATTAAACAGATTGACCACCATTTTGACTTGAAAACAAAAACAACAACAGAGATGTCAAGTTGCCTCTCAATGGACTGAGAGAGAACTGATTCTTTTTTGTTTTCTCTACTCGGTTTTCTGGACAAAATGACCAATAGATAAGAGACGAAGAGGATTAGTAATTTAAACCGATCCATCATCCAGTGAACAATTAAAAGTAAAAGCTTGAAATCATGTCACATTATAGGAGATTAACACATAATCACAACAAATCCATTGGATCTTTTGTTTTTCACACCAAGACAAAAGATTAAAGACAAATGGTTGACAAAGATAGAGAACCGGACAGAAGACTAAGAAAATAGAATGGAAAATGTTTAAACAGTAATTAACTGACCACTAATGGTCAATAGAATAACATAAATAATGTTGATAACAATTAACAGTTGGATTGAAAACAAAATCTCATAACTTATATAAGTCTTAATGGTAAATTGATCAAAAGAAGAGATGAAATTTCACCAACAAATCATATCAAATGACTGCAAGTAACTATTAATAGATTAAAAACTAAATTAACACTTGAAAATTAACAAATTCATGTTAATAATTGACTTAATTGTCAACAATTAACCAGAAAACAATCAGACAAGAAACAAGAAAATATTCACACTTAAGGGATCAGATGGTAAGAAAAAACTTCCAATGAAAGTAAATTAATTTCTAATTGAATAATTAACTATCCATAGAATTAATTAAAAATTCTCTTCCTAATTAAAGTTAATTAAATTGTTCAAATTCACTTTTAATTGTCAATCAATTTACGAGAAAAGAAAAAAAGAAAATTAATACAAATGTTAATTATGTAACGAACCCTTTTCTCTAAAAAATAATCAAAACACGTTGAACGTGAAAAACGCTAGTTCTCAGTTTTTTAATATTTTGAATGTGAAAATGGACTAATTACCAATTAATTGGTTAATATTAATAATATTGAAGTTCCAAGGACCACAAAAATAACAGAAAATTATCCAAAAAGTAAGTGATAAGTGAAATAAAATAAAATTAAATTGACTACAAAACCATTGAAAAGCATTGGCAACGTTACCTTTGCTCAATGTGACCAAACCTAAATTTATACATGTAAATGTATTTAAAAGTGAAAACTAATATTAATACTATTGTTGTTAATATTACTGTTAAGAAAACAAGATTTCTGATTTATCAGAATGAAAAGAAATCAATTCCGTAAAATGGGTCTACTCGACCCATGCTTACTGAAATGTTGAGTATAATTTTCATGAAGATGATCTGATATATAAATTTCTTTGTATTTTTTTTTCTTTTTCCTTTCCCTTTACCTTTGATTTGTATTTGTATTTTTGATTTTGATTTTATTTAAATATTATTGATTGTATAAATTGTTATTATTATTATTAATTGTATAAATATTATGTAAACAAATGAAATAATTTACCTGTAAAACTGAGGAGAATATCTTGATATTCTCTGGTTCAAGTGCTACGCCACTTGCACAGGATTTCAAATCCATCCACTATTTGGATCAATAAAAACAATTTCTCATTAAAAACTAAATTCACTCAATGAGTTAAATGAAGTGTCGTGGTGATTACGATAATTAAATTGTCTTTTGTTGGACCGATTTTCACAATTAAATCAACCTTAATCCAAATTACTTCTTCTTCATCTTAGTAACAAAAAAAAATCGAAAGTCTTTCATCACAAATGATAATAATCTCTCTTTGTTACATTTCTTTTGTTTTCTTCTTCAACATTGATCATCAGTGCGAAAGCTTAACCAATGTGATTTAGAAAACATTAGGCCTGAGATATTTGTCGATCTGTTTTCTTTTTCTTCTCATTTTTTCTATTCTTTTTATTATTTTTTTCATCCTAATATTTAATCAAACATTTCTATTGATTAGTTATGATTGTTAAAATCTAATGGAGGTGAACCCATTAGTTACTAATTCCAATGGTCATCCGTGAATTTAGAAGAGTAAGTTGAACATTATTATCAGTTATTAATCGTAATTGCCTATAAATAGATATATAAATCTCTTATTTAATTTCACTAATCAAAAAATGTCTTTGGTAATTACAACTTTTCTTAATTGTTAATCTTCTTTTTACTTTTGTTGTTCTTTTTGTTTTTCTTTACTAATCCTTTCGAATTTTGTTTTGTCTATTTTTATTTTCTTTCACAGGGGAGTCTAAATCTCAAGTTGACGTGTTATTCAAGACATTTGGAAATATTAATATATCTCAGGAAAATGGAGATGATATTGTTTGGAAGAGGTGACATGATGATTATGGAAGATAAAAATTCTGGCTGCCAATGAAAATCCATTAATAAAACTGTTCTCTACTCTTTTTTATTATAATCTCTCTACCCTGGAATATACATAGAAATTCAGTTGTAAATTCAAGGCAAGTCTATTTAGTCTACCGTTATTCTGATTGTTGTTGTTATTTCTTGATTTCAAGTTTCAATTCCATCTAATTCACAATCGTAGTGATTTACTTGATTTATATTTATTGCTTTTCAATGTTCAGTCTCTCTCTCTCTCTCTCTCTCTCTCTCTCTCTCTCTCTCTCTCTTCTCTCTCTCTCTCTTTCTTTCTTTCTCTTCACTCATGTAACTTTGTTCGTTTTTTTTTCTTGTACTATTTCTAGTTTACCATTTCCATGATTTGACTTTGATGCCCTGATCTCATTACTCGTAAAGACCAGAGAGAGAGAGAGAGAGAGAGAGAGAGAGAGAGAGAGAGAGAGAGAGAGAGAGAGTTTAAAATGAATTATCATCGTCCATGTACTCGTAGTTTATACCCTGTTGATGATAATAGAGCATTTTTGATGATGAAGATGATAACAATTATAATATAAATGTTAATGGCCATGATGATGATGATGATGCTATCATGTTAAAGTTGTTATTGTTGCTGCTTATGATTCTGATAATAATTCCCGCTGTTGCTGTTGTAATTGATTAACAATTGGATGGATCAACTGTTTATTTAATGCAAATGAACTGGAGAAGAAAAGAAAAAAGAAGATCTAAATTCAGGTCAATCTACATGTTTACTTGAAAATCTTCCATGTTGATCATATGTATTTATGCATAGCATTTAATTTACATTTGATCTAAATGTTGATAGTATAACACATTCTAAGCTCATCTTTGATCATGATAGATTTTACAAATCAATTAATCGTTTGACCTTTCCTGATTTATTCGAGGATCTTTTTTTTTCATCTCCATCTTTTACCTTTCCTTTTTTCTTCAACTACTACTACTATTCACATCGTCATCACTAAATCAATCAACCAACTGGTAATAAAATGTCACCAAGATTCAATTATTATTATCATCCGGGGATCATGATCATAATGATTAGAGAATCTCAACAGAATCCTCTTTAATTTTGATTCTCAAGCAAAAAGTTATTCGATTAGATCAACAACAATACAACATAAACCATGGAAAGTCAAGGATTGGAAAAGAGATCAAGAGAAACTGGAAAATAATAACAATATTTTTCCAATATATTTAATATATGATTAATCCACGATCCAAGGAGGTAAATTCAATCCATGGAGGAATTAAAAATATCTTCATATAACCAAAGTCATTCCTTATCCTCATCATCATCAATTATCCACAGGATGGCTTTATCATCTTCTAAGGTCTTTACAGTTAATATCCTCATTTAAAAGGGGCAAATATCCCGAGAGATTTGACCTAATTTATTCAAGGATAAAGGGAGTTGTGTTATGGTTTTCACTTTGATGATCTTTTTAATCAAGATTATTTAAACAGAATCAATTCTCAAAAGGATTTGGATTTTCATTGTTTAACTTGTATCGATATATCATCAATCAGAAAAAGGCCAAAAATGAAAGGGGTAAAAGATTCAAACATGGATTCCATGATAACCTTGTAAACCTTCATGTGATCAGATTTTTAAAATGAGGTCATAATTATGTTAATGATCAATATTCTATTTCTTTTTACAGGTTTGCTGATTCATAATCATGATTGTTTTGATTTTCCAGGGAAAAACATGGAAAAGAAGAAAAAAAAAGTGACAAAGCAAATTTTCCGATGGCCTTTTCTCTTGTATTGTAATTGGAACATTGAAAGAAATCAAAGGTAAATCAAGGGAAATACAAGTCTATTTGACTCTGATTGATTGAATAAAGTGGAAATAGAGAGAAGAAGCAAAAAAACGACAGAGTGGTCACTTCGACTGGCAGAAAACTGATGACCAGAAGCAGTTTCAACAAGACAATTTGTGATTTCAAACTTGGAGTTAACTCTTAACCCAATAACATGATTGTATCTTCAACTATTTGGTTAACCTGATCAAAAGCATTTGTAATCATAATAACAAGCAAGCAAGAGAATCAATGTCATTTCAAGATGACAAAAACAACGAAATACCAATAATACAAGATGAAAAGACGAAGGAGTAACAATATCAATTACTTATAAAGGAGAGAGAGAGAGTATAAAAAGTTCAGTGTTAATACTTGGTAACTGAATCTTCACCACGATTAACACTCTCATTGATCAAATGTAATAATAATTTCTCACATTTAGAAATCATATTCACTAACAATAAGTATTACTCTTATTATTATTTATCATTAATCTATTTCTTTTTATTTTGTCTTTTTACCTTCAATAGTATCCATGGGTTTACATGGGAGGAAAAAGGTGAAAAATTAATACCAATTAATCAGCTCATGGTGAAACAAGGGAGCCAATGGAATCATTTTCAAGGAGAGAAAAAGTTGACTTGTAACATTAATGGCGGGAAAAGTAGATTAATGTCAAACAAGTGAGAGCAAGTCAAGGAGATGAAGGAGGAAATGTAATAATAAAAAGCAATAGAGAAACAAAATTACCAATAACAATGTCAAGTATTAAAAAAAAGATGATGATTATTTGGAGCTACAATCTGAATGGTATTTATATATAAAGGAAAACAAGGACAAGTGAAAATAAAGTACTGGACAAATGGATGGACAATGGTCATTGAAAGTACGTTATTACTTGAGAAAAGATTAGAAAAGTGTCAATGGGAATTGATATTATTATACCTTTGATTGTTTCAAAGTTGATTCAAGTGGTTTAAAAAGATACTTGAAGTTACAATTTAATGTTCATACTCGAGGTTTAACCTCTCATGTGTATGGAGATAAATAATTTAAGTCTATGTGATTTATATGATATTCAGTTATCTATTATATATGAATTAGTCTTCTAGGAATAGAGGTGTGAATGTGGGGAAAGTTAAGTGAACAACCAAATGAAAATGACCAGAATATCAGATGCTACGAATATGTATTTCGATTACTTATCAAAGAATCCATGATGCAGGGAAGGAAAAAAGAGATAACATGATAGAAAGAGAGAGAGAGAGAGAAATATTGAGAAGATATCGGAATGAAATTATGGTTATTCTTTTATTTTCAGGACACTAAAAGAAAAACATTTCTACCTCCATTGAAGAAGAGTAATAATAATACATAATGATATATATTGAGTGAAGAAAAAGTTGATAAATATACTTGGAACTATCAACATTCCATTCATTTTCTTTTTCCGAATCTTCTTTTTCATCTTATTCTCTGATCTCTTCTTATTTTGCTTGTTTTCTCTTCTCCCCATCTTATATATTGTCTTTATCATTTTTATCTTCTTTTTTTACCATTAGATGAGGATGAATAAACGCAAAGGAAGATGCAGATGATAAGGATGATAAGGATGGATAAAAGGAAGGAGGAGATAAAAAAAACTCCAAGACATTGAACTGGGACATGGAAAAAGATTCATCTTTAAGTGACATACAGATAATTGTTTGTGTTATATGCAGAGAGAGAGAGAGAGACTGAGGGTTTACACTTGATTGAAGAAAATTCTAATGAAAGAAGGAAAAAGTCTATTCCATTGGAGGAAATATTGAGAGAAGAAGCGGACGAAAAGTTATGGTAAGAAATGGAGATGGAGACGAGCGAATTTCTATCTTTCTGGTTACGAAGATTCAGTCAAAAGCATGAGAACGAATCATTGGAATGAATTTACCATGAGAACTCAAGGGAACTCTAGTCAATATGAATACACAGAGAAACATTTGATTCTTTCTTATTTTTTACTCATCCCTCTTTCTCCTTCTCCTTCTCCATCATCCACAAACCCTCAAGGTTTCCCATGCTCTCTCTCTCTTCCTCTCCCTCTCTTACAAACATTTACATGAAAATTCAAAAGAAGATCAAAAAGAAAAGAATGATGAAGAAACGAGGGCAATGATGATAAACAATTGGAGAAAAAAAGCAAGAGAATCGGATCGATGTGAATCGAGATTTTTCCCTTCGAATTTCATTTACAGCTGATATATTATATGTTGATGTTATCGATCAAGCTAAAAGTGTATATTATCATATATCAACATGAAGAAGAAACTGTTTTGCCGAGAAAACTGTTATTCGATAAATGCAAAGGTGAAGGTGGTAAAACTAAAAGGACAAAAGATATTGTTTGTGATGATATTAATAATAATAGAAAGAATTGTGAAAGTAAAATATTGAAACAAAATCCCCGAAGAAAATAATAATAGTAAGTGTATTTATTTTGATTCTATCCTGAAAAAAGTACATTGGAGACTAACTAACACTGAGACTTTGATATTAACCTCGAGAAAAGGTAACATTCAATGAGACGAAAAGAGTAATGATCAATTTTCCTCTTCGCCCTTCTAACTGTATCTTAATTGTAACCATTTTTTTCTCATGTATCTTAATTTACTATTGTTGACCTTAATTAACTCTAATTAGTGTTGATTGTTTTCCTTCATCTTTTCTCATTATCGTAAAAATCGTTGGTATATATTATTGAGTAGACAAGGAGAGTAGAGGAATAAAATTGAAAGAGATTGAATCGGCGTTAATGATTCCCAAAGAAAACTCATTATATTCATTAACCATTGAATTAGATTGTTGGAAACTTTGGTGATAATCAGAATATCTTCATTATCATTGTTATCAAATGAACATTGAAACAATAGGAGCTTTTCCCTTGCCTTTACAATGAACGTAATTATTATCATGTGGGCTCAAGAAAAGGTGAGAAACTTTTATTGTATATTATAAACATTATATTCATTTGATATCAGTAATCAGGTAATCATCTTATTTGCTGCGATAATAATGAAAATATATTAACCTTAATCGTCTTTCCTTGATAATCAGAGCATCCAATTGATTACCTACACCTTAATCTAATTGATTCGCATTTCTAATTCTCTTGTCTTCTCTTTTCTTTCATCCCTTTAGATTGATTTTCAATTATCGTCAACACTTATTATACATATCGTTGCTACGGAATAGGAAATAATAACAACAACGACAAAAGGATGAAGGATAAAAGATGAAGATGAACATGTAGTGTATATGTTGTAATAAATCAATCAATGGAAGATGTCAATTGAGATGAATAAACGTTGAAATTGAATATATAACAATTTTAACTCTCACATTAAATGATCATCACAATAACCAAACTTTAACAACTACACTCCAACTAACAACTTTAATAAAGTGTAAACTTGATGTTGTTATATTGGCTGTTTATTGATTCATGGTTTGGTGTTTGACAACAACCAGGGAAACAGATTAACTGAATGATGATGAAATTGAAATGATGAACAAGATGAATATAAACAAACAAATAACATGAATGATAATGGCGATATAAATATTACCACGGAAAAGATTAAGGTCAAAACTTGAACCTGACAGAAAATTAAACTTTAAATTAATTGTGATTTTCTTATATTTACTCAGTGGAGAGGAAGTAAAGGATGAAAAGGTGATGATGATGGAGATGATGATGATGATGATGATAAAGGAGAAAGTGGAAAATGATGATGATGATGAAAAAGATTATAAATATTATAAGGAAAGAAAAAAGTTCCAAGGTTGATTGAGATTCTCTCAGGATAAAAAACAAGAGTTAATTTGGATGATGGGAAATTTGAACAATCCAAGTGAACAATCAATTGATGCAAATTGTTAATTCTCTTGTTAAAATTTGCTCATCTAAATACATTAACAATAGAATCATTATCAAGGTGTATTAATACATTAAATGTTTACTTGAATTAATTTTAATCATCTTCTTATCATCATCATCAATAAAATTACCTTCTTGGTGTTCATTGAATGATGATAAATATAATATATTATATGTTAATCATAAGTAATTCATAATTATCATGATATATTAATAGCTACCTTGCAATGAGAATCATCCTGATGATGATAATAATAAGTATTATGATATAAATGTTGATTGTAATGTTAATCATGTTATAGACTTAATTGTTTAAACACTTGAATTGGTTGATAAGATAATTAACTAATCACAATCTTTTCCACCTTTTGTTTTAAGCTTTAGATTTTCAGGTTTAATACTTAATGAGAGTTAATTTCTTAGGATTAACGATATTATTATTCAATTGATTCTAAATAATCAGTTAATCATTGGGAATATTAGTTGAATTCATTCATTGATTTCACTGGAAACATTTATGTAAGTTATTGATTATTGACTATTATTATTGTTATTGTCACTTCTAATCAACAATCATCATCATTTTTGTCATCTCTTTTTGTCTTCCTACTCTTTCATTATCATTATCATCTCAAATTGTCTTAATAATCAACCATCAATTTGATTTATCACTTTTTTATTGGTGAAAATTTCATCCTTTAGTTATGATGATGATGATGATGATGATAAAGAGACTGAAGAAAAAAAAATGTCAACAATTTAATCTTCATCAGTGACTTCATCTTTATCATCATTATCCTCATCATCTTAGTTACAATAGTTTCATTTTGAATAGTAGAAATTGATTCCATGTTGAATCTGAAAACTTAATTGTCCATGAAAATTGTTGTCTTTTAATGTATACAGAATGAGAAGATGAAATCATCTTGATAATGGAAGATTGTTTAATACTACTTATCATCCATTCATCATCATCATCATCATCATCTTCATCTTCATCTTCATCTTCATCACCTAACACTTAATAAGCAATTGCTTGAAATTTGAACAAACTACAATCAGATCAAGTTGATTGAGTTAATCATTGAACCTGAAAAACAATTTACAAGGTATTCAAGCTTTTTGAATAATGATAGAAATAAATTTACTATTAATAATCAGAGAAAATTGTTTAAATCGTAAATTGGGTTTTCATCAATTGGATAATCAAAGTGATTAAGTTAATTGTACTTACCCTCTAGATGATGTTATTATATAATCGTCTTGTCTTGTGTCTCCTCTGTATTGATCAAGGCTTAAATTGTCATGATGAGATAACTGTAAGAAATATAAGAAAAAGAGTCAAGTAAAATGATTAACAATCAAGTGATTAACAGTTACAATTAAAGGTAAATAGTATTTTATAAAAAAAAAGAATGAGAAAGTCAATTAATCAATGTTACAATTTAAATGGAGTAAAAAATGATGAAACAATCTTGTTGTTGGGTAAGTGATTAAGCTAATTGTTAATCTTTTAAGATGAACCAGAAATGTAATTGACATTTATATATATGAAACGGAACCGGAAACTATTATTATTTTCAGCGTGATAAGTTGAACATTAGGATTAAGAATTAGAGAAAATGAGAAGAGGGGAAAAAATCAAACATGAAAAAAATTCTGACGATGAATCAGAATTTTGATTCTTATTCAGAAGCTCTGGAATTCTTATCATCATGGTAACTGTTGATAATCACCGAGTTAACTATTAACAGAAAATCATAGTAAAAGAAAAACAATTTACATGGAGATGAGAGAGAAAGAGAGAGGAAGAGAAACTCAGAAAGAAAGGGAGATAACCAGAATTTCCGATCAATTCTTAACATGAGCAAAAAAGGAATTTGATAGAGAAAAAAAAATCGAACAAAATTTGAAGAGAGAAAAAAAAGTTCAGCCAAGCAATAACTTCGCCCGAGTTTATCACCATGATAATCATTATGATCCTGAAACGATAATCATGAAATTAATTCCAATGACAATGTTCAGTTTAATGTGATCATTGGAAGAGAGGTTGACAAAAAATATACTTTATCCAGGGAGAAACTGAGAAATCATCAGAATCCACCGTTTCCACCATGAATGTTATCACGTAATGAAAACCGTTATTCAAGTGAAAAATAATTAAATTTGACGTAATCATTACTCTTCATCATCATTGCCCATTTCCGTTAATTCCTACGATTGTTATTGTTTTTTTTATCTTCATCGTTATTACACTAATTGCTGATACCGATCTTTTGGATGAACAATTAACCATTCGATGTAAAATGCAATTTAATTATATTCTTGTAACTTTTTTCTCCTTTTCCTCCTTCATGTTACTCATCATCAGAATCACCATGAAGACATGATGATGAATGAACATTACACACATTGAGAAAAGTTCATATCTTCAATGATTATGATAAGATGAGGAAAAAGTAAAGAGAAAGAAAAAAAAATTCATCTTCATCACTATGACAAAGTTTCATTTGATGATGATGATGATGGTGAGGAAGATGAGGATGATAAACCAGAATGATTGTCATGAAAAATGATAATGAGAAAAAATTAATCGACACTCATGATGGAAAACTAATTTCAATTTGTCTCGCAACAATTTTCATTCATATTCAAAGTAAAACATCAAATCAGCTGGAGGATGAAAGACAATCATCATGTTGATGATGAGGATGAGGATGAGGATGATAAAGATGATAACATTTGGTAATTTCTATTGTTAAACTGACATGGGGATTTGAGAACAATGAGAAAGACATTAAAAAAAAGAAGAAGAAATTTATTCCAACAAAAAGACGAATCTATTATTATCCATCATGAATCTGAATCTGAATCTGAATTTATTATATTAGTTAAAAATAATGATAAAAGTATTAATTCTGGTACAATGAATATCAATGTTCAGGAAGAAAGTTTCAAATGTTTATCATGAGAAAATGTGGAAAAAAAATTCTCTTTTCTCTCCTGGTTCATGTTCACTCGTCAATGAATAAAAACATGATGATATTCAATCAGAATCAACAGAATTTACTGAATAACATTTGAAATAATAGAAATCAACTGATGGCCAATAAAATGATTAACGAAAGAAAATTTTCTTTTCTTTTCAATTGATTGACTTGGAGAGAAAAGGAAATAGATTTTTTTCTGAAACACACACAGAACTTATTCAGAGATTTCATGGAATATCATTTATCATGGCGATGAAATAATAATAGAGATTTTTTTTTCATTCTTTTCTCTTGTTCTCTTTTAAAATCAATGATAAATTTCAAAGTTCAGTAACAATGGACAAGAATAAGATTATGATGATGATGATGAACGTTTGGAAATGTTCAAGAGACTTCCGGCTATCATGGTGAGTTTCAGGGGAGAAATGAGTTAGTGTGTGTGAGAAAAAGATTCTCAAAGTGGGAGAGAATAGAAAATCAGAAAGAAGCTTTTTAAATTCACCTTGAAAGATTCCTGACAATTCTGAGATAAGAATAACTCAGAATCATTAGGAGATAATCTTGGAAATTCATCTTCTATTTTCTACTCTTTTCCACCCTAAACTCAACCTTCCACCTCCTTCCAATTCACTCCCCAGGAAATTCATTCATATCAATTTCTCTCTTCAGGGAGAGAGAAGGTAAAATCAACCATGGAACTTTTTTCCTCTTTCTCTCTCCTATTGGAAATTTTCATGTTCTATTTATTGTTCATCAATATCATGGTGTTTTTTTCCTGTTATTGTTCAATTTCATTCAGAGTTATAATCTACACTTCATCATGATAACCGTTTCGAATCATCTTGGTATAAGGTAAAAGTGTCAATATGATGATGACAAAAAAACAGTTTTATTTACTTTGAGAACTTTTTCTTTCGAAAAAAAAGTCTACAACAAAAAATTCGAAAATTTTTTCCCCTTCTCTCTTCGAGTTTACTCTCGAACTTTTCGAAAATGTCACTTAAACTGTTCAGAACTTTTTCTCCCCTTTTTTTTGTATCAATTTATTATCTTATTGTGATATTTGCAATCAGTACAAGAATCAGATCTCAAAATGAAACTATCAACATTTTTCACTGTACGAACTTTAAACCATTAGAACTTTCGAAAAAAAAATTTCGAATTTCGAACAATCAACAAAAGTTTCGAAAACTTTTCTCCTATGACTTACTCACTTATCTATAATTAACTTGGAAATGATTACATGTATTGACCTTTAAATAACTTTATGATTAATAAATTGTTTCAAATTGTTACAATTCATAATCTATTAATATTAATAACTTTGGATACTTAATGATTCAATGAAATGAATTTAATTGTTGTGTTTCAATTTGATCAATTTATCAATATATTGACTTGACTGACTTTCATTTCTAAGGTTAAATCAGTTTGATTATTTTGATTGTTTACTAGCAATCAAATTTAATCATCTATTTTTGAACAACCGATATACTGATTGTTTAAGATAATTTGAATGTCAGTGGATAAACTTGATTGATTTAATAATTACTCCAATTGTTGATTGAAACCAATTTAAATATTTGACTGTTGTTGTTGACAGTTAACCATAATTGGCTTAACAATCAATCAATGATTTAACAAATTACACAAATTGAATGTAAATTTTTCATTCAAAATCAAATCAACTTACCCTCGGGCATTAAATTCATGATAATCGTAATTTCAACTAGATTATTTATCAGCAATGATTGAGAAACAAAATCACAATTGATTTCTACAATAATACTAATAATATCATCTCTTAATTTAGTTCAATCATCTTAATCATCATCAACGATGAAATTGATGTTCAAGATGAGTTAATTACATGAGAATAATAAATCACAATTGTTTATTAATTTGATTGTTACTGATTAATTGTGACAAAAACGATGATGACGATGGGCACAAGTCCATGAGGTAGATTATCATCATTAGGAGGATGATAAATATTCATCATGTTTCTCATCATGAGGATGGTGATGATGTTGAACAAATTGTTGAGAGGGAATCAATTAAATCACTTAAAGTGCCTTTTAACTGTTCCTATGATTAAAGCATCAGTATTTTTTATGTATCCTCTTGGATAAAGGTGTGGTGAAGAGGATGATCAAGTTGCCTCTCTGTGGTTCATCATCATCATCATCATCATCTTCAAGCCTGCATCACCATCACCACCCACTTTCATTATCATCCTCTCACTTTTTACATTAATAATTATCCTTCATCGTCATTGAGTAACATTTTTTTGTTCCCACTCCACAATCATCATCATCATCATCATCATCAGTTGTTACTTGCAGTTGTTTAACTTATCATCCTCATCACTTTACCCTCCTCATCCTCATCCTCATCTTCATCAACCATCATCAACTTAAATTTCACTTCCTGCTGTTCCTATTGATAGTTAATATAACTTGTGAATCAATATATTGCTCAGTTGATGATATATATTTTTTATCTCAATTTCATGATAATATTGAAATGTTGATACTCTTCATGAAGATTATCATGCTGATCTTTTATGATGCAGATGTAAGTGATGATGATGATGATCATCAACAACAACATGAAGTTTGCAAAATTTCAATCAACAACTTTTTTCCACAATATTGTTGAAAAAATCACTTTTCTCACTTCATGATAATCACACTGAATAATCATCATCATCTGAATTTTATTGAACATCATTATTTTATGATAAAGTTTAGTTAACTTTATCATTCTGATTTTGCTTCATCAACTCACCTTCATGAAATTGGTGGTGTTGAAATTTCATGTAGATTTACAATGTTAATTCACCAAAATTAACTAAACTTTAAGTAATCGTTTCATGATTTATCTGAGCAATTAGTTAGCTGATAACCAAAGAAATTGTTATATAATCAATTCTGAGCTCTGAATGATGAGGATATTAAAAAATTTCTTTCTCTTTTTGTTTCTCTATGGAATATAAAATCGCTGGAAAAGTTGAAACTTCCTGTGATTTGAATTTTATCATGAGTTTTATAGACAGATTGATTCAGATTCTGAAGGATTCAAGATTAATAGTATGTACAAAATGATTGATAGTTTATCATCCTCATCACAATCTTGGTAATCATAATGTTTATATGATGAATATTTTTTTTCTTCCAAATTGAAAAAATTCATCTTCAAGTGGCTCTCCTTTTCTCTCTCATGTCTATCGTATGAAATTCATGATAGATTCAGATGAAATTATTGAATCGATTTGTGTTATCGGAAAAAATCACCGAGATAGAGAGTAAATTGTATGAGTGAAGAGAGAGAGAGATGAGTAGATGATATTTTCTCTACAGAATGTGAGCCTTGTTGAAAGAGAAAAAGAAAAAAAGTTCTGGTAGATCAGAATTCTGAGAATGAATAAAATTGATGATAATATTTCTTCATGATAACTATTTCATTGGGAGTTGAAATATGATGAAAACTGTATCCATTTGTGTTAAGGTGTATGAACATGATTACCATCATCATCTCCCTCATCATCATCATGAAATATCATCTAAAATATTCAAGATAATGGACAGAGTTTCATGATGAACGATACAAGTAAAAAAAGGGACAACTATCTCATCTTTAAACAATCAACTAGTAATTGTAATATTCAATTGGATCCATTGAGATTTCGTTCATTTTCAATTTCCATGGGAATCATCATCTTGTTGGAACTTTTTCTCAATCTTGATTCAATTTCGGAATTAATTAACTGTCCAAATCACCATCTTCTTCAATTTCATGGAGGGAATTGTGATTATGATTGATAGGGAACTTTGATTATAATTCAATTAACTCTCAAGTGATTAATCAATTTTCATCTCGGGTGTTTTATTGTTCAACAACAATTTAAGGTGATGGTTTAATTGTTGATTAACATGTTGCTTATTATTCAAGAGGATCTCAAGTTCTCAGTATCATGAATTTCAATTTAAATCATCATGATGAGTTATCTTCACTTGGTAATATTAATATGGTTTAATTAAAATTTCTAGTATTCTCAAGCAAATGAATCAATAGGATTACTGTTTGTTTGTCATTTAAATTGCTTGTTAATCATCATCCTCATCATGACATTGACTGAATGATATTGAACTTTACATAACAATCAACATGAACTTTCCTCATGGTTCTGTTCAAAGACACTAATAAAAAACTTGAGAATTTGTTTTTTCTCATCTCCTTCAAATGAAGATGATCATCTTAATCATTGTCACAATCAATTACTTAATTGTTTAGTAAACATAATTGGTAAAATAAACAATGTTAAACATTGTTGTTATTTGGTGACAGGTAATAACAATCATCATAAATGAAACATGAGAAAATGAAAACCGGAAAAGGAAATGATGAGGATAAAAAACTTGTAACATTGAATTATTGACCTTAAAGGATGAGAAATTGAAACTTACCATTGATGTTGAATGGTGGTGTTGTGAATGGTGGTGAGGTTGTTGTTGTTGTTGCTGTTGTTGTTGTTGTTGTTGTTGTGGGTGGTGGTGGTGATGATGGGGAGTTGATGATGATGATGGATGTTTAAATCGTAGTATTGATGAAGAAGAAGTTGTTGTTGTTTGATGATGGTGAGACTGTGATGATGTTGTATCATTAATTTCATCATCAATACCCAAGGATGAAGCATGATGATAATTTGGAACCAAAAGTCGATCACTTGAATAATGAAGATCACTTAATATCTGGTTACCTGATTCAGGTGAAGAGTCACATTTGTTACCTGGTGTTGTTGATGTTGTTCCGGTTAATGGATTAGTTGATCCTGATCTTACACCAGGTAAATCATTACCTCCACCTCCATAAATCCCACCGGTGGTATTAACGTTTCCACTTGCACCGAGTCCATCACCTTTCATCAACCTTTGGGTTGCCGGTGGTTCAAGACAATCAATTTGTGTCAAACTTTTACTCCGATGAGCCTGAAAATCAATCAAATTTACAATCAAATTAGTAAATTAGTAAATTGTTATGCTTAATTGCTGTTTAATTGTTACTCGGAATTGGGTTTTAACCATATAACCTTTTGTATGTCATTATCGTAATCATTTTAAATTCAATTGAAATGTTGATAATTTCAATTGATCGGTGAAATAATTAATTGTAGTTTAGAGTTAAATTTTAGTCAAGGTTAACGATTTATCCGGAACTTAAATATTAATATTAACAATTAAGTAATCAATTTATGATAGTTGGTTTGGTTTGCTTGGTAATTGGCAACTAAATTAACCTAAATTGTTCTTCCTTTTAATTGTAATAATTTATATTCAATCATGATAATCATTAACATTTCGATTGCTTTTTAAAACAATCAACTAACTGTTAACAATTTATCAACAATCATTTTAACAGTTGGAGGTAAACAAAATCATCTAGATCATAAATTGCTATCAATTCACATAGGAGTTTCTGTTAATCATAATTAACTTAATCATTTACAATTTAGTTCAATAATGATTACAAATGAGTAAAAATAAACTCATGAAAACTTTGAATTAAAATCAATACGGAAAAACAAATAAACTAATCAACTAATTTTCTGTGTTTACTATTAATAGATTTTAACAATTAAAATTGTTAAATCTTGTATTGATTGTAAATCTAAATTAAATGTTAATTGTGAACAATCAACAGGTGAATCGTTGTTTTTGTTGTAGTTAATATATCAAATTGTAACGTAATCAACAACAACAGAAAACTGATTCGTGATTAGGTAAACATAATTAACCAGCTATTTAAAATTAAATGATGATGATCAACATGTAGTTAAATTGTTCACACAATCAAGAATTACATGTTTTCCAAAAATACCAACAATTAAAGTGAAAAATTAACCAACTAATCACAATTAGTTGTGAATGAACATTTTCATGGTTAATGAAAAAGTTTCATCATCTTGAAGTGATCCCATTGGAAAACATATGAAGATGATAAATCATCATCAATGACTATATTTGTATCTATTGATGATGATGATGATGATGATGATGATGATGATGATTTAAAGGTAGCAATTGATTTGATGATCGAGATGATGATAAATGTGATCAATCAATTGTTGATAAGATGATAATCTTGATCCAATGTCAATGATTATATGTTAGGTTGACATTCAATATTTTATGATCTACAAGCTTGCATTTTATTCAATTTAATCACTATCATCATCATCATCATGATAAATCATTAATAACCTGATGTCCCTTACTAATTATATTAATGTCATCTAATTGCAATCAATTTAATAGCAATCATTTGATTCCGGTTACAACGTAATTAAAGTTTACACTATTAACCTAAAAATCCAACACGTCACCAGAAAAATAGTAAAACTTTTTTGTTTTGTTTTCTGTGGTTTTTGTTTTGTTTTAATTCACCTGATTAATCAACATAATTAGTTTAACTATCAACATGACAATTTATGCTTTGTAATCATCAATAGTTATTAATCATGATTAGTATATTATTTTAATCATCATCAGCTTTAATTTAGATTTTGCTTGCTAACGAAAAGGTAAAACTCACAATATGAGAATCACAATCACAAGGAAAATCAAAACAACCAGAATTTTGTTTACCTTTTTTTTAAGGTTAAAAGTATCAACAATTAACTGATTGTTGATTATCAACTAATCACAAAATGATTATCAAAAGAGAGTGAGAGAGGGAGGATTATAATCTGCTTGGGATAATCTTACCGGTGTTAATCCGACTTCTAGAAAATTGGGTTTTCGGACTTTGAAATGTGAATTGACTCGTTTGAGCATTTTAATAGTTGATTAAACGATAGACAATTAAAACTTTTAAATAACAACAATTAACTAATTAGAAAACGTTTTAAAACAAGAGACACGATCTAATCAATTGATAACATGATTAGATTTAAACAGCTGACGGTGAGAAATAATTAGTTTGATGATGTTGAGAGTTAATTGTAAACCAAAGATAATAATTGTGTTGATAACAATAAAGATCCATTGGATTAACTAATGATAATAATCAGCACAATTAAATCATCATAATCATTTAGTATGATAGGAGAGATCAAATAACAATCAATAGAATCAGTTTTAGTTTATTTTGTTTTAATTGTAACACAAAATAATTAAAAATTACTGATTTTCAATGGATTCACAAAATTAACTAATCACTAAATTTTTTTCATTTAAATTTTTGTTTTTCCTCAACAATTAACAACCGCAATCGGGGATAATTGAAACAATTAAGAAACAAAATCAAATTGGAAGATGAAAAAAAAAACAAATTAACGAGAAAAATTTTCACATTTAAAGTGAACACGTTTTCTTGTTGGTTAAATTGCTGGTTGATTGTTTGTATCCTTGAAACAATTTAACAGTAGAAACTAATTAAACCAAATGATTAGTATACTTAATTAAAGTAAAATATGTATCACAATTTAAATTGTAACTAGAGACCAACATGTAACCTTTTATTATTATATGTTGTGTTTACTTTTGGTTATTATTGTTGTTTAGTTGATTGTTGTTCACTAGATAGATACACACAATTAACTGATTTACCAGTTAATTAACTGGATTATTAGCACAATAGTATCACAGGTATATTATTGATCAACTGGGATGAGCTGAGACTCTGCTTTTTTTAATCAACTGATTGTTTGTTGTTGTTATGATAACAATCAAATTGAAGGAAAAAAAAAGCAATAATAAAAGACCAATGTTTATGTTCAATGTTTAACGCTGAGTGATGATGATGCTGTTCAATAGTATTATCAGCATGATGATGATGATGATGATGAGAGAGGGAGTCTCAATGACAATGTTCACCATCATCATCATCGTCATCATTGTTAATCATCATGTACGCAACTGCAAATGGTAGAGAGAGAGAAAATGGAAGAAAAGTAAGAGAAGATGAAAAGAGAGAGAGAGAGAGATGATAATTCTTATTCTGAGTAAATCTCCCTCTTCAGAATTTCTCTCTCATCTTCACATATAAATATATCTTCATTTTCATCATCTTCTTACTTTGTATTCATAAAAGTTTATGCATAAGATGAAGATGGAGAAGAGAAAAAAAATTTTCACCAAAAATTGAGTTGGAATTTTTTTCTCTCTCATTTTCTTCTGAATCAATATTTCTGTTGACAATAAGCTGAACATTTCATCAGCTGATTAATACTATTATTATCTTAATTCAATATCATCATAATCTAAGAAAAAGAGAGAGAGAGATTATCATCTTTATCATTGGAAGAAAACAATTGACGTCTTTTCCACAATAATAATAAACATTAAGAATAACATTCTAACTGAGAAATCAGCTGAATTATAAAAGGTTTCCGGTTACTATCTCTCGCATCCTCATGAAAAAACATTGAACCAGAATCATAACTTGAAATTTCACCGAAACATTTACCATTCATTGAAAAAGACAATTATTTTTCTTGCTCATCAATCGTTAATCCATCAAATTGATACTGACAACTGATGATGAAAATATATCATCACCATGATAATCCAATGTCTTTCCATGAACAACTCACCGAGTCATTCATGTTTCCGTTGTTTTTTTTTCTCACCAAAACTTCAAAATTCATGATCAACTCTTTCAATGGATATTCAATGAATCCCAAATAACATGATAAAAAACAAGCATCAAACAATAACTTTCAACAATATTGATCCATTAGATTGGATTAGTTTCTAAATCAATGTTAACTTCATCATCTTAATCATGTTAATCTTCATCATTTCTGACATGTTACAATAATTTTCTTCCATCATCATAATTATCATGATAAATATTAACCTTCAATTGATACAAACTTCATATGTTACTCGTATTATTATATCAATGGGATAATATTTTCAGTATTAATTCAGTTCGTAACCATGGATTTGAATACAATCCAAGAAAAGGAAAGAAAAAAGTTTCATTCTTTTCTCATTGATTCTGTCAAAAATCAAGATTATCTCAAACTTCATCTTCATCTCCATCCTCATCACCATCACAATGATGATGATGATGATGAGAGGATTAGTGTATATATTTAAATGAATGATGATAAAGTTGTTCAATTGAACAGAAAAAAAAACTTTTCTTTCAATTATAATCTGGAATAAAGTCAAAAAGTCATCACAATGATTAAGATAATTGTAAATTGTCATCACCAGTGATCAATTAAAACACAATTAGATACATACATAGATAGACACACTAATTGTTTCAATGATCAACTTGATTCAGTTTAATTAACACTATTTATAGTTGCAATTAAATTGATTATCGATTTGAAAATTAAAACGTTCATTAAATTGGCAAAGGTTTTTTATTATTAAACCAATTGATTCAAATTACCTCTTTAATTGTCTTTGATAATATTCAACAATTTAAATTACTAATCATCTGGTAATTATTGATATATAAATTTAATCAATTGAGTTAATTGTCATTTACAGTTGAAATTTTCAAATCTCTTCACCTTTTTGGTGTTTTAATTGTTTTAATTGTTTCAATCTTTCTCAATGATTAAATTACACAATTAACATTAGATTTGCATTTAATTATCATCATCTTGATCACAATTAAGCTGGGAAAATATTAATTACACTAAACCAACAAATTTTCATGATCACAATCAATTAATCAACTACAACGATGACCATAGAAAGTGATTAAAAATTTTAATCACTTCTCATTCACCCCAAAGAATCAAATTAACTCACAACGTCAATTGCAATTTAATTAACTTGATTCATCTTTTCGTTAAATTAATTAATCGTTAACCTTAATCATCACCATTGTGACAATTTAATCTGTTAATTGTTCCCCAGATTTAACCCTTTACACTCCTTTTTCATATTCTCATAATTAATTATCGATAATCAATTTCACAATTTATATGATCACATAATCACTTTTAATTATGTAAACAGAATCCACTCTGATAACAATCAATATTTCTGGTCTTGATTGTTAATTTGAAAACTTTCTGTAACAATTTAAAATATTTTAACCGTGACAATCAAAATTGATTGTCGTTGCTACTTTGAAAATTAATTATCTTTCCCATTAATCATATTAGTCTATACTAAGTAATTAACAACTTTGTCTTAATTAAAAAGTAAAGCATTAAGATATGAATTGAATTTCTAAGTCAGAATAATCAGTTAATTGTTGTTATTATTGATTGCCCATTGATTTAATATGTAAGGGGAGGTAAGCTACTCTTACCCCCAAACTCACCTCATCATCAACAACCAACAGAATCAAGGGTTGACTAAGTGTCACCTTAATCAAAGGGTATAAAAAACAAGATTGTTAAAGACAAACAGTCAGTTAATGTGAACCAGTTAATCCATATCCTTGTTAAAATTAAATCTCTTTGTGTTAAACTCTTGTCCATATTGTTAATCCTAATTCAACATTAAAACTATTTATAATTAATTAATTGTTAATCACTTGGTGTGGATTAAGTAATTACTTAATCCACTGTGATATGAGATTGGCCCCTAATTAAAAGATTTCGGTAATCGAGTGTTCCAGTAAAGTAATACTCTTACAGATGGTGGAGATGCCGAGTCTCTATCATCACAAGTGAAAACAATCAAAGTTAATTAATATTTACTTATTAAATTTCTAAAGTTTTCCATCACAAGTTATTATCTTACAAGTCTGTTATCTCAAAATTTGCTTGCCTTTATAAATATCAATTCAAGTTTATGGTCTCATTGAGAAGTAATTACTTCTCAATTCAACATCATTTCCAATTCATCATTTTCTTTGTTTCATCTTCGTATTGGAGAAAGTAATTACTTTCTCTGCCTACCTGTTATAGTCATCGTTTTGGTCATCATTATTGGATCAATACAAACAGCAAAATTTTGTAGCGCGTTTTTGTTATTTCTCAACTCTTTGATCAAAATGCCTATCGACCCAAAGAATCCGATTGATATAACCATTGGTAATGTTGCTAAGGATGAGGAATCAAAATTGACCTTCGTCAAGGCTATGGGTTATCCTCCTTCGTACAACCTCACTGGATCTTATTTAACCAGAAGATTCAATGAAAATATAAAAACCTGTTTATTATATTTTGGTAAATTACCACAATCAGAAGAAGTTGATTATAATATTAAGTTCGATTACGATTGGTTTCAATGTCCGGAAGTTATAAAAAAGTTGAGAATAGCTGGTTTTACTGACCTTAACATTCGTAAGCTTGCTAAGTTTGGATTTTTTGATAACCTGGATAAAATCCCACCGATTGATTTGAAGTCTGAATTTACCGATAATCAAATATCTATTCTTCTGAAAGTTTTTAAACAAGAAAATCCACAACCATTGATCAACTATGATACTGAGCTAAATCAAACATTCAGCAACATCAACATCAACCAACAACATTTCCCCTTTACTCACCAATCTGATCATTTCGAGGATCCTATGTCAACTCAATATCATGATCATTCTCCTGTACATCAACAACAGAATAACAACTTACAGTTTCACCCGAGTTGGCTCAAGATTCAAGACAAATTCAATGAAAATGAAAGTCTAAATGAATGGCTAAAAGAGTTGGAGTCTAAGATCGACATCTTTGGGTTTGATGATTCAACTGCGATAAAGATTCTGTCAGCTAATCTACCATTTAAGATTTATGATGAAGTAAAGAAAATTTTAACGCTTTTTCCAGGTATTTCCTTTAAAAACCTTTGTGGTAAAGTGAGAACAACCTACATTGGGGAGAGTGAGATAGTCGCTGCATCTCATAATCTTTATACAACGAAATTTTACAAGGGTAATGATCCGATTAATCACTGTCGCATCATCACTAGAGCTGCTCGATTACGAGTTCCTAATATTAGCGAACATTGTATCGTGTTAATCATTTTGTTCACATTACCTCCTGATTTAAGGTTGACCTTAGCAAATGACCTTACTATAACCCGGATTGATGATGTCTTGAAAAAGATAATTACCTTTAATAATTCTTATCCTCGTAATAGCAATAGAAACAATCAACAGCCAAGATTACCGGGTAATCAAATGCAGAGACCCTTTGGTAACCAACAACCTTTTACTCCAGGTCAATTTGGTGGTCAACAAAATCCCAGCCCCTATTATACAAAAAATTTTAATTACCAAGGCCCGAGATTAAATCAACCCAACCAGCCAATGTATCAACAACCTAATCCACCTAATTTCAACCAACACCCCAATCATCAAAACTATCAACAAAATGATCAACGGTTTAGTCAAAGGTAATAATCAACAAAATAATTACAGGCAACAGTTTCATCAGCCTCAATTTTATCAAAACCCTAACCAAATGATGAATAACCAGCAACAGTGTCAATTTTGTAAAGATAATGGACATGATACTGAAAATTGTCCGTTAAAACAGCAGATTGAAGGTAGTAATATACAACACTACAAATTGAGAGCGTCAACTACACTTGGTAAGCATATGAAATCAAGAGATCCGACAATGGTAGTAGAGGTTTTAGACAAATTTCCATTGGTTGAGACAATTGCAATGGTCGATACTGGAGCTTCAACTACGCTAATCTCTCTTGATCTTGCTAATAAAATGGGATTAGCTATCTATAGATCCCGCCATGAGTTTTGTGGGTTCAGTAAAGAGTCACCACCAATAAGAGCAGTTGGAGCGTCACAAATTTTTGTTAGATGTTATCCAAACTTTGAGGAAAAAGCAATAAGAGTCTATATTATGGATTC